GCTTTAATTAGAGGGAATTTAGAGCATGTGGAACATACACATGCACACAAAACACCCTTGGTAGTGTCTTAATTGGGAAACGATTAAATTCGTCTTTTTCCTTGTTTATTCTTAAGTAAACAATTAGCAGCTCATAATTCACAGCAAAGTGATTCTTACCTCTCCTCCTTCTTCTTTGAACAGATCGCACACTTATTCTTTACAGAGAAACAATAAGTTCTACATAGACTTGATGAAGCGGGATGTAAAACCCTAAACAGCCAAACAGAGCCAGGGTCAGAGCCTGAGAGCTTTGAATGAAACAGGACGCTAATCTTTTAAGATGTTTTAGTGTGTGAGGTTCTGTATCTAAAAAGGTTGGAAAGCTGTGTTTATGACTCTAATGGATATTACTCATTACACCTGCATTAGATGCAATCTATTGAGTGTGTTATTTGTGGTTTCTTAGTGTTAACAGTTTTTATTTGTTATTATTTGAAGAACGTGCAAACATGTTTTGTATCTCATTATACCATAAATATTGTATCCTGCCATGATGTATCATGACAGCCTATGATATCATATAATACAGTTAATCATAACATGTGATATATTCTGTCATATCCTATTATATCGTATGCTATTACGCCATAAATTTATCATATTGTGATATATCATGACATATCCTATCATATTATATTATACCGTAAATCATATCATGTTGTTACATATCCTGCAATATCCTATGTTATTATGCCGTAAATATAATTTTATGTTGTGACATATTGTGACCATAGACTGTATATAGAATGGACAGAGACTCCTTGCCAGGTGAAGCTACTCCGAGAACAGCACCCTCTGTTGATGGGCTGCAGTATAAGTCATCCCGCCTCCACCAGCAAAGCTTATGGGACTGTGGAAAAACTTTAGAAATTTATTACACAGAACATAAATTTTTCTCCCCCCTGCTTGCGATGTTGACATGTAGTTACAGTAAGACTGGTTTGTGCTCAAGTCCTCTTTTTTCTGTGAAGCTCCATTTTTAAAAGTTATTAGGGGGTTCATGTTTTCTATGATTGACACCTGATACAGCCTGTGGGCGTTCAGGGATTGCGTAGCTCTCCCGGGGATACGCTGTTTGAGCCAAGCGTCATCACAGCAACCCTCGGCAACTGCGTGGCCGAATGCGCGCATCGCTACTGCGCAGCGCTGGTTTCAGGAAATGAAGAAAAATCCCGGAAATACGGAGAGCTATTTAGCTTCAAATCTGTATACAGGCGGTAGGCGGAACCAAGTTGTCCATAGTATATACAGTCTATGATTGTGACATATCCTAGCATATCACATTGTATCATACTGTAAATATCTTTGAGGTGTGACATATCATATCATAAGATATCATGACATCCTATCGCATCTAATCATATACCATAAATATCAAATCATGTTGTGACATACCCTGTGATATCACACTCCATCACATTGTAGTATTTTGTATTGTATTATATCAAAATGCATTTTATCATATTGTATTTTAATGCATTGTGCCGCATTATTTCCTGTATTATTGTACCATATCGTATTTTAACACGTCTTATAATTGTATTTTAATGCAGCATATTTTACCATATCATATAGTATCATGCTGTATCATGCCATACTATATTGAATCACATTGTATTGTAATCTATCGTTTCATATCATCGTATAATATCATACAGTGTTGTACTGCGTTATGACTTACCATATCATGTTGTCTGCTATCTTATCATATCACACAGAAACGTATCGCACCATGTTGTATCGTAAAGAGTGGACATTAGTTTTTCTAATGACTCACTTATTGCTTGATCTAGATAAATTGGGTAATTAATATACAAGTTTGATTGTCGGGACAGTTGTTAAAGTAAAAGCAGCGAAAAACAACTGCTAAAATTAAGCATGCAGGGGGGCCTTACTGGCTTAGTGGTTTAAGCCAGGCCACATGTACAGAGGGCTGAGCAGCTCTGTCATACTGCAGAGACTTTATCCTCATGATAGAAAGTAGTGCCAACAAACTACATTCACTATTTTGTCCAGTAACATGTCAACAAGAAAGAGTGACGACCGCTTTGAACCGAAAGAAAGGCCCAGAGTGCTCTCAATCAAGGTATTTAAAACTCCGACTAACAGAATAAATCAACATTTGAAGTGGAGACAGTGAGTTAAATGGCTGTGTCACACCTTCCATAAAAGCAAGTGCAGACTGTTGACACAGCTCAGAAGCACCTTTCTACTGTAATACTGTGAGCATGGCAAAACAATTAATATAGACACAACTCGCTGGCAGCTGTGCACAAAGTCTCGCCTTTTGTGTATCAGTATTTATACGTGTGTGTGCAACTGTGTGTGTGAGAGTGTGTGTAACCTGACAGGTTGCCACACAATAGGGGTCCAAGTGAGTGTGAACTCTATTTGTTCCCACAGCTGCTATTAACAGACTGAATGAACAGCTTCTCGCTAATAAAGTGAATAAATAAATAACACTTAAGAGGTCGTGTTTACCTCCTCAGAGTCTGTCAATAAAGAGACTCCACAAAAAGCAGAGAGAGCTCCTGCTTTCTAACTCTCTGTGTGTGCTGTATATGTGAGGATTAACTCTGCAGTTCATAAAGGTAATTATACAGACTGTTAGTAAACGACTACGCTGCAGTGACGAACTCACCACTGCCTCAGTATAACCCGAGCATCAACTACAAGACCGACTTTTATATTAAGGGCCAGTACGACACTTTTCTGTCTTTTGAAAATATGTTGGATATCGACATCTGAACGGCTGGACCATCTCCTGAGAGGAACACAAGATCAGCTCAATTCCTGATGTCACTGATTGGTTTATCGCCTTTAAATTTAAAAATAAACATAACTAACAAAACTAAAACTCTCTGTTCTGTCTTCTTGTTTGGTCTCAGGAGCAGGGGTTAACTCAGTGACAAGGACTTTGTAGCACGGCAACAGCGGAGGAAGCTTCTGGAGACCTGGTAATGGACTTATTGAGTCCCTCTTCCTCAAGTCTCTGAAACAACAGCCCCTAAAATAAAGAAGCGTCCATTCAAAAACAGGACAATAGTATTTCTAAGGGATGCCCTGATAATATAGGAGTCATTTTAACACGGCAGGCTACTAAACCAAACTACTGATTCAGAGAGGAGAGTGGAAAAGGATGATTTGTTTTCATCAGCAAAAGTGAAAGAAACTGTTGCACAGAAAATCAGGACAATGTAGTTTGTAACATTTGTGTCAGATCAGGCAAACAAGACACACATGCTGGCAGAGCGCTATTTCGGAGTACCGCTGGGCGATTAACTGGATTTTATTTGCAATTATGGTTACAGCAGTCAAGACTGAACAATTGTGCTGCCTGTTGTGTTGCCCCCTTTAAGTCCCATACATTGGGTAAAACAAACTCTCACTCTCTTCCTTCACAGTAGAGCGTGGGAGCACAGGTGGAGAGAAGAGAGCAGGGAGAGGAGCAGGAGGAGGCAGGCATGTATCTGTGTGCCTGAAAAGCCAAGGGACAGAATGATGAGAGAGGTGAGGTAAAAAGAGAGAGAGATCATTCAGAATCATTATAAAATACGAGCTCAAGTCTCAATGTTATAAAGGATGTTAAACAAAAGCTTGAAAAGACTGAATGATAAAATTTCAATTATAAAAGGAGCTCAAATCCTTCAGTTTTTCATGACACAGTATAAGAACACTTCACTGCAAAGGAAATTTGGTATTTAATTTTAGTGAGTATAATCACGGAAATTAAGTTAAAGTGAGGAATAAATGCAGTCTCTATCAGGAGTCGAACATATATATTATTTTAAAAGGCTAAATCATCTCGTTAGACAAAGAGTAAACAGAAAGGGTAAATTTAAAGAGTTTTTAAGTTTCAAAGAGGTTTACAAGTTGTGTGCGATGCAGATGTCAAATTGTAATTTTACTAATTTTTATATTACAGGGTTTCTGCAGGTTTCAACAAGTCACATTTAAGACTTTTTAAGGCCATAATAAATACAGTTTGAGATCCATTTTACATCCATACTGGCAAAAAAGTACAAAAGTCATGAAGGGAAATCAGAACATTTTAAACTAACTTCAAATCAGTCTTTATATGACACTAAAATTAATACATTTTTAAGACCTTTCAATTTTGTATTTAAGACATTTTATGAGCTTTTAAGAACATTTTAGACATTTTAAGGCCTTAGATCCAAATGATTGGATTTAAGTCGTTTTAAGACTTTTTAAGGGCCCAGCAGAAACCCTGTATTAATATCGAGATGAGATATTGATTGTGATTTTGGGTGAAACTCCTGAAAAGTGGGATGTCTGTGAGTTTTCAGGATAATTTCAGAATAGCTGACACTGACTGGAGTTTTTGTAATGCACTTTTGTGTATTTTTTAACAGAAAACAGTACAATCTTATTTAAAAAAAGAGGAAAAATAAAACCGTTATTTGTCAGTATAAGCTGTCTACTCCCTACTAGTCATGTTTCAGAGCACACTGGTGCAGCGATGCAGCGTGTGTTTGAATAATACAAAATATGGCCTCAGTCTCTAAAATACTGACCATGGTCCTAAAATACATGTTTCTTTTATTTTCAGTGATTCAAAGAAAATCCAACAGACTATTCCAATTTAAAAATTTCCTCCTCTGCTGATTATCTGGAGAAATGGGGACATTGTTTCTGTTAACAATAGCTTCTAGGGAATTTTTCAAATCAATTTCGTTAACGTTTTGATGGGAAAAAAATGTGTTTTCAGTTTAGTGGCAGGAGAAACCTCAGAAATGGGTATTCAAAAATAAAAAAAAAACAGTTTCATTTGTGCGGCTTCATACCTCGAGCTGCAGAAAAGCAGAAATTGTCTCTTATTGGCTGACCCTGCAGAAATTCTGCTGCATTTCTGTTTGTGAAAGAAATAACAAATAAGAAATGAACTGATGTTTAAAGATGCTGATCCAGATACAAGAGGAAGACTGATGGAGGAGGAGGAGGAGGAGGAGGAGTGTTTAGCTGCTGGTTGAAAGACTGTGGAGCGTAGCAGAGAGTACAAAGTGAATGGAGATAGAGACAGAGGATGGAGGGAGGGAGGAGGGAAGGGTGAGGAGGGAGGAGGGAGGAGGAGGAGGGGGGGAGCAACAAGATGGAGAGAGACTGCCTGCACATACTGTCAAGGCAGTTAATATAAGGTGGGGAGATAAGGCCCCACAGACAAACATTGACCAAATCAGGCATTTCAGCAGCGCAGCCCCAACTGTCAGTCAGCCTGAGAGACAGACCAACAATCAGCACTCTACCTCTGATAAGGGCTCTACTGAGCGCGTGCAGGAAATAGCCAATCTGCAGCCAGCCCTGGCAAGGAGGGTGATGGCAGGGGGAGGAGAGGTGAGGAGGAGAAGGAGGAGGGAGGGTGTGATGATGGAGAGGGAGAGAGGTTAGAGGAGGGAGGACAACAAGTGAGGGAAAGTGGCCTATAAATTTAGAGAGAAATGTGGACCGAGAGTTCAGAGGAGAGGATAATACCCGAGAGAGAGAAAGAAAGAAAACAGGATGATATTCCTCCACCCGAGTGCTCTCGCAGAGACACACATTCAGCGGGGAATAGAAGTGTGGCTTTTAGAAAAAAAAAGAGAGAGAGAGAAAGAGAGGTGTGATATCAGCTCCTAAAATAGTGTCTCTCCCCAGTTTTTTGTCACCTGGGAACAGCTTGTAGGGAGAGAGTGTGAGAACTTGGTTTAGACCCACACCTTGCATTAATGATTTGCCAACAGCTTTGACTAGCTCATTATTCAACGTGCCGTGCCTTGCCTCGCACACAATGGCATCATTTCATCGTCTCTATTGATTAATGGTGCGTGCAGAGCGTACATGCGCACACACATCCACATGAGTGAAGGATAACGCCGCCTCTTTAATGGAGGAGTCCGCACTTGCTATGAAATTCCCTCATAACAAAATAAACACATCCCAGAAACGCAGGAGTGGATGCCTATGGAAGACCTATGGTCCACTTTTGCAGCTTGGACCCACAGTGGCCCCTAAAGGTCGTATCAGGAACTGCGGTCTGGCTGCAGGTTTGAAGGGATAAATTCCCAGCTGTTTAGCTTTGTCAAACACATTTAGGTTCCCTCCAAGCAAAACAGCATCAAGCTCTAACAGCTGGTGTCCATGGTTTCCAAAAAGAGAGTTAATTCGATTCGTCAGATAAAGTCCTTTTTAAGTGGGCTTGAGATGTTTTGGGATAATGGCATGATCCGTATGTTTTTTTAATGGTACAGGCTCATCTGGTAAATAAACAATAGTATCCATGATCTCCAAAAAGATAATTTCTACATTTCTGGATTTTACTTCGCTTTGATTTTTGATTTCCATGATGGAGATTCGACCTACATTTGTGGAAAACATTGATTTTTAGGTATGAGTTTGAGGCAAAGCTGTGATTTCCACTTCAGAGTCATCATATCCAAAAAAAATGCGCACACAACATCACATCATTTCATCATCTCACTCGGTTAATGGTGCTTATAGTGTGTGATTGCCATGCATATCCACATGAGGGAAGTGAAACACTATTTTCAAACGCAGCCATATCTACATGAAGGGAGAACAGCGTCGCCATTTTCATGAAATAGTCTTCACTCTATGATATTCCCTTATAGCATTAAATAAAACATCTGAGAAAGCACAGAGGTTGATGCCAAAGATCCAAGATCACAGATCTACCGTGGCCCTGAGGTGCAAAAGACAATGGCAAATTAGAAAACACAACACAAAGAGAGAAAACACAATGGTTAATGTTGTTGTGTTTTCTGATTTACCGTTGTGTTTTGTACCTCAGGGTCACCGTACAGATCTGACCTAGAGCACGACCAAAAGTCACATCAAGAGCTGCAGTTTGGCTGCAGGTTTGGAGGACACATTTCCAGCTGTTTAACTTCAACACATATTAAAGTTCCCTCAAAGCAAACCAGCAGTCAGTAAGTGATTATCTTATAAAGTGGAGGATGTACCGTCCGTGATTTCCGAAAAGGAGGTCAGGTTTTTATTTCTCCTCTTTGTCTCAGTCTGTCTTAGGCCCAGGACAATATTTGCATGGTACAGTTTTAACTCGTGTGAAAAACTGTGATCAGAGACAATGATTTTGAAGTCATGCAGTGATTTCAACTGCAGTCATGTATGATTTAACGAAAAGAGCCTCGTTTGAATTCATGGTACATATAAGCCTCATGAGTGAAGGTTTACAACACCTCTGCAATGGAAGAGTCTGCATTAACTATGAAATATCCTCATAATGAATTAAACACACCTAAAACATCACAGAAATAGACGCCTATAGAAAGTCTACTTTTGCAGCCTGGACCCACAGTGGCCCCTAAAGGTCGTATCAGGAACTGGCTGCAGGTTTGAAGGAATAAATTCCCAGCTGTTTAGCTTTGTCAAACACATTTAGGTTCCCTCCAAGCAAAACAGCAGCAAGCTCCAACAGCTGGTGAGTGTTTATTTTAGGAAGTGGAGTCGGAGGGGTGTCTGAGCTTTCTCCTGATCATGAACCAAGCCACCATTAGCAACACCACTGATAACAGTAGGAATTGAGCTAATCACAGAGGGTCTGTTTGTATTCTCGTTTGTGTTTGCATGCCCTGCAGGGGGAGAGATTTTGAATTTAGAAAAAAAAAAAGAAAACAAGGAGAGGACAGCGTATGAAGCAAGTGTGAAAGGGTTAAGTTCCCTCCCTTGGTTGCATGCTGCTTTCCCTTGCTCTGTCAAGCCCCATTAAACCTGCTACACCACAGCAATAAGGTGCCATCAATTACAGGCATGCTGCCATCAATGCAGAGCGCGGAGAAGAGAGGAGAGGAGAGGCAGGAGCACATAAACAGGACAAACGGCCACATAAAAGGCCTGCAGCTCCATGAAGCCCTGCAGCCTGCCTGCTCTGTTTTCCTCCCTGCAGGTGTACTATCACAGTGTTTGTGAATGGGGGGCATGCTTTGTTTCGAATATGCATTTATTCCACACTCACTTTCATTCATGGTTATATGCAGATTTACAAAAAAAAAACAAAAGGCCGAAAATGGGCCTGATGCAGTGTGCTTCTACTGCCACCTTGTGCAGATGTGGAGTATTTCCCAAAAACACATCGATTTCCAAACTTTCACAGAAACTCCTGCCGTTCACACCCACATCCCCCTGACATGATGTTGACCTGACGAAGAAAAAACTCCATCAGACTATAACAGCTGAAGAGACTCAATAGAAGTGATGAATCCGGAGTTAGACACTCTAAATTCTGCGTTATATATCAGTCACAGAGCCTCCTTTATTCCTCAAGGTTTTTCCTGCGTTATTGAACATTCAGCACAAGACAGACGCCGCACCAAAACAACCACCGAAGTGAAGGTAACTGCTGCCACCAGTGAAGAAGGAAAAAAGACCGTCTTTCTTTAACTCATGCTGTTGCAGAGTCTTGACAACACCTTTATAAAAGCTTTAAAAAAAAAAACAAAAGTTTGTTATTCTGGAGTTTTTATGACTCACACAGAAAACAAGCTCTACAACACAGATGTCCCTGACCTCTCTATACCTTACATTGGAACAGCTCCAGAGAGTTTCATGCAGCTCCATGTGTCGTGTTACTTTCTCTGAGGTTTGGCCCTTGCTCTGCAGAAGAAAGTGTGAGCGCAGTTTGACTAAAGGCGGCTGTTTGCACATTCAGAGGCACTAAAAGTCTGGATTTCAGGAGCTTGTGATATTAAACCCTTTACAGTGAACACACACCACTGAAATGTACGAAAGAGAATTAGGGCCACATGAGGAGAAAAAAAAATTACAGAAAGGAGATTAAAGTTGAAATTTCGAAATTAAAGTCGAAACTTCGAGATTACAAAATGTCATGAATAATGTTGAAATTTCGAGATTAACAAAAATTATAATTTTGAGATGAAAGTCGACATGAATACAGTTGAAATTTCAACTTTTTAAAATTTTGACTTTTATCTCGATTTTAACTTGAATCTTGAAATGGAAATTTAAAAAATCCCCCTCCTGTAGTTATTTTTTTCTCCTCTTGAGCCCTAATCCTCTTTGGTAGAGACAAGTATCAGTTTACTGTGATGGCTTTAACTTGGACCTGAATGAGAGGAGAAAGGTGTAAAATAACTACTCTCTTCAGCGTGACTAAGTTTGTCCATCCAAAGCCTCTGTAGAAACATGGCAAGCTTCAGTAGAGGGAGACCCTCTTCAAAGTCGATATTTAAGCCAACTTCAACAAACTTATTTTGATATGTGATCTACACTGATTTAAACAACCTAAAAAAAAGACTATATTCCATCTCTACCAAGTCTGATCTGATGAATTCTTTAAATACTGCACTGTACCTTTAACCGACCACCAAAACCAAAGCAGGAAGCCCAATGTCTGGATTTACCAGATGTTAAAATCACACTGAGGAGCTTCAAGTTGGTCAAATTTATCATCCCTGTGATCAAAGCTGCACTTCTAATTTTTTTCCACTTGTAACAAAGATAAACTCAATTTCCTGTCTTTAACAAGCAAATATTTCCAAATTCATTTTTGAGCTTTAAGGAGTTTTGAGCATTTTTGGACAAACACATTAAGATTTGAGGTTTTAGCGGCGTGCTCGAGAAGAGTTGTGCAATAAAAACCACCAATGAGAGTTTGAGTTTATTACTTTATTTTATAAGAAGATGCATTTTAAACACAAACATTAGTACAGTAAAGTAAAAAAAACAAACATTTTTTTTGTTGTTAGGCATGAACAAAAATATCAAGGTTTCAAGGAGTTATGCGGCCGGATTACAGCTGTAAAACGAGTTATTATTTGGAAATGAATACGACTTTAAAGAAAAACTCTACATGTCCTCTCACTGCAGCAGTTTCTCTCCGTCCTCCCAAACATTTTCTCCTCTTGAACTTAGATCTCCATAAAGTTCAACGGACGAACGCAGCATGCAAGCTAATCGCAGCTAACAGGTTCAAATGCATCTCCTCACGGTTTCTTGGCTATAGTAAACTAACACAAATGACAGGTGAGAGCTGCCACAGAGCTCCTATGGCTCTTCTTCATCTGGAACAGTACAACTCTTACTTTTCTTTTCTTTTTGAGGGTTTGATGTTACGATCTCCTCAGAGTCGCAGACACCGCTTTGAGCCGTTGCCGTTGTCTTTGTCGCCTTGAGCTTTGAACTTCTCCACTCGAAGCAAAGAAACCGTTCTTCAGAAAGCTGCTCAAGGTGAGGCCTGTCGATTATCCAGGATGCAAGTTCTTCAGATGTGAGGAAGAAATGAACAGAGCGTGTGAAGAGGTGAAGCGAAGCTGAAGAAGAAGAAGGTGAAGGTGCTTTAAAACCTTTATCGGCACATTTGGCCCGAAAATCAGACTTCCTTTTGAAGAAATCTGAACACACAGGATGTGTGTGATGTATAGATTTAGAATCAAATTCTCTAAGATACCATTGAAGTTTGTCTTGGATAAATCTCTGCAGATCTGCTTAGACACTTTGGGAAGATTTTTTTGATGATTTGGAGGAGATTCACCGTTTTTAACTTTTAATCAGTGTCAAGTTTATAATTATCGGTGTATTCATGAGTCCTTGAAAACAAGTGCCGCTTATAGATTTACTCTGAAAACTTTTACATGTAAATAAAATCCCGTCTGAGAATTTCAGGCCCAGCCTGCAGTGAACTTTTTCTACAGTTGGTATTCACACAAATCCCTCGGAGTGCAAAGTTTCCCTGTTGAACAAAAGTGCAGCAGGTCTTGGGAGGTGGGATATGACGCAAAAGTATATCCCAATAGTGCCTGTGTAATGTTTACAAGATATTCAAGATGGTTGTTATCAATGCAAATGAGAAGAAAACAACACTCTGGTGTGCAGGAGAGTAGCAGTTACGCAAATCACACAGCTCATGTGATGTAAACCAGATCACCCGCTGTCCTCTCATTCATCTTTAATCTCTTGAATATTTTCCTGCTGTGTTAACACGTCACTTTTTTGGGGTTAGCAGGAGAAAATCTACTCAAAGTCAAGGGGAAAAGTTTGCATTCAAACATGCAGCTCATGTCAAAAAACTTCAGGGAAACTTTTAGGAGTTTGGTGCATGTGTGAAAGAGAGTCATGTGGATAGTTTCAGCACCAGCAATTGTTTTCTCCAACTCTTAGTATAAAAATAAAGGCCGCAGTTATAACACAACCATGAGAAAAGAAAGAAAGCACCTCTAATCACGATGAGAGTGTGTTTTGTTTTGTTTTTCTAACCTCAAAAATTATCAGACACAGTAAACAAAGAGATAAATTAGATGTGCGGACAATATATTTACAAACAGTGTCACATTAACCTGAGTTTTATGTCGAGTTAATCTGTGAGGAGGAACTACTGCTGCCAGAGCTCTTTGTCTTCTGCCCCCTTGTGGCGCTGGGCTGCCGCTGCACTCGCTGACTGGAGGCCTCTCTGCTCTTCTCGCTGTGACTCGCTCCGGCTTTACTGCGCACTGCCGGCACAAAACGAAGAAAATGCAGCAAGTTAAAGGTGAGACAGACACCGAGTTATCAGGACTGGGGTTGAACGTACTCCAGACAATGAGGCGGTGGAGTGGAGCATGGAGAGGTGCCATGTCGAGGAGAAGACATGAAAAAAAAAAAATCAAAACAGATGGTTTCAATTTCTCACCTTTTTGTCATAACATTTTATGTTCCTATGAGCTTTTATTATTCTGTGTCTGAATGGACTTAAAGCAAGAATGTGAATGATTAAAACAGTGACAGCCCCCACTGTCTTATTTTAGTCCCGATTGTAAATTAATGTCTTCTGTGTTTAAAAATAAATATCTTTGTTTTTAAATCTGGTGCCAACAACACATGTTAAAAAGTTTGAGCTGGGACAATAAACACTAAAAAAGTTGTGAAATGCTTAAAAAATAACACCTGTTGGGACATCTCCAAAATGTAAACACAGTTTGTTGCCGCACTTAATCAAATACAGGCATGGCTCTGTAGTGGAAATCACTGCATGGCTTCAAAATCACATCCAAAAACCTGTGGCATTGGACACAATATGTTGCTATTCACAGAGGCAGGCTAGAACTGCACTTTATATACAAACATGACCTGACTTGTCACCCTAAATTCCCTCGGATCTGGATTCTAGCATCTAGAATCATTTGAAAATCAAATATTAGTCAAGAATCAGGGGACAATATTTGATTTTCAAAAGCTCAAAAACTGGTTCTCCTCAGTTCACAAACATTTACAGTCTTATTAAATACAGAGGGGATGCAGCACAACCGAGGACATGCTCCTATCCCAGAATTATTCTTTTTTATTTGTTGCTGACATCAGGTGTAAAATATTTTTCATATTTTGGGGGTTTTAACATCTGTGTGTTGTCTTTGCTCTAAATTTAATTCAATAAACCATCAAATTCTGTTTTTATGAACATTTACACCACATTTGACCTCTTTCTGAATCACATTTGTAAAATCTTCTAACATTAAAATGTGTCTTAAGTTCCTATTTTTAACAAGATCAGATCATTCACACATTTTCCTTTTGCAGCTCACAGTTTCGATGTTTATGTCCTCTGTTTGCCCTGGTTATTCCTACACTTTGGGATAACTCTCTGTCTTTGTGGCAAATTTAAACTTTCACGAAAATAAATTATGCAGACAATGTTTTAACACTCATCTCTCTACCCAACACACACATGCATGTTCACACGTACATGCATATATACACACAGTTTCCACTTGGCAACCAGAGTGAGATGAGGAATGAGCAGCATCTATTTTAGACACATCTGTGTTCCTGACAAACATTCAGAGTAAAAGAAAGGCAAGCAGACAGACGGATGGATTCGGGACACAGTGCAGCAGAGGGGACCTTGAGTGTGAGCAGGGCTAGAGTCTTGGGGGCCGTAGACCACAATCTTAGTGTTGACCCGCGTGGCTCTGGGGCCAGAGGCTGCGGGGGGAGCTGCAGAAAGCTTAGGGCTCTTTCCAGAGACCAAAGAGTCCTCTTCTTCAGGAAAGAAAGAAGTGCAGAGAAAATCAAATTTCAGGAGGATAGAAGAGAAACAGAAAGCACGCTGACATGCACATAGTGGATTTACAGACTGGTCAGACTATATCTGTGGTCTTCAACTTAGAAGAGACTAACAAGTGAAGTGTGGATGAGGTGCAGCTAGAGAGGAGTGCTGCTTGTACTGAGGTGCAGAGTGCAGAACATAGACTAAGTCTGTAGAGTGCTTAAGAAGAACTTTTTACATGCTTGAAAGGAGAAGCAGGAAGCAAGAGGCACAAAAAAAAGAAAAATAGGAAAAGTTAAAAAGTTAAATCTGTTAGAAGTTTCTGAAATTTGTGGAATTTTCTTCACTTATTTAAGAAGAGCTTTGAGTCGAGGCACTGCAGACCTTGAGCTCTTTTCAAAGACTTTCACACACCAGCACACACTGTCGACTGTGAATCTTGTTCTACTTGTTTTTTGGAAACAGTTCTCCAGTGTGAAATTCTCCTCCTTTTTATGTCTTTGCTTCTCTGTTAAATCTTTTATCAGAACTTTCTTAACACAACCAGCCGAGTTATAGAGACATCTTACAGAAGAAAAGCAACACTTTAGCCGAGACACTCTGACTCGGACAGCAGGAGGAGCCGTGAACGCTGTCAGAGTTGGCTGATGCCTGACATGATGGTGACTAAGTTTGTCAGCTGAAACAGAATTAAGCTGGCAAAATCTAAGGACTGACCCCAGCTCTGGTTTATCAATAATTTGAGGTTGACTGTAATGCTCGCCAGCCCCCCCCCCCCCCCATAATCTGCACGAGACGGCGCTTAGTTCCCTTTTATATTTTTCTTATACTTGTCTTGAATACTGTTCTTCCCTTGCACTGCTCTTTCTTTTTTTCACTGTAGTTCTTTTATCTTATTTATTTGTTTTTTGTGCCCAGTATGAATGTGTATGTTGTGTGTACCGCTACTGTTAACAATTTAATTTCCCCACTGAGGGATGAATAAAGAAAAATCTAACCTAATCTAATCTAATCCAACATGTGATGACACTTGTCAGATTTGTCTGTGAAATCTGAACTACACAATTTTTTTTTTACTTTTCCTACAGTTTTTAACAACAGCCATGGACTTCTTATAGACATTTTAAGGTGAAAAATAGGAAAAAAAATTACACCTTTTTTTAACCAGACATTCCTCCTTGTCATTGCAAAGAATCACAGTCAGCTCTAACCCCCTGACATAGATGGATGCTTTACTTATGAACAGAAACAGGAATCCCACTGCTTAATCACCTCTATTATAGAACTGAGTGTAAAACTTTGTAAAGCAGAGCTTAAGTGACTTCTAAAGTCCACCACTCACTAAAAAACAGGGCTGTCAAACATCAATTCAAACCACAACTTTTTATAGAACTTCAGCAGTTAATCATAATCAATCAGACTCTGAATTTCATGTTGAAAATAGCATTAATCTGCATTTCGTAGTAGTCTTTGAGTACATATTGAAAACGTAACGTGATTCTTATTAGTGTCCTGACTTGAGCATCAAATTAATGTGATTAAATGCACCTCATGGTTTTGACTCTCAATGCTGCAACTCAGTGAAATACAGTGATTATGTTTATTACTAATAATCTATATTTTATTCACTTTCTATGTTTATTCTTTGAACTGTAATTTTAGCTAAAACATGTAAGTTGTTTCTACAGACACACTGACCTCTGGCCTCTGTCGGGGCTGTTGTAATGCTGGTTGTATGAGGTGCACTTGTAGACTCTGATCCTCCACAGCTCTCAGCCACCCTCTGACCGGCACACATCGCCTTCAGGGTCTGGAAAACCGCCTGAGGAGCCACGTTCATCTTTAAAAGGTCTACAATGATCCTGAGGAATGAGAAAGACAGAGGAGGAATATGAAATCAGGATCTTCCTCTGAATGTGTAGGCTGAAAAATGTACTTAACTCTATTGTGTTGTTTGCATCACTGACTTGAAGACCTCCTGGTCGACTGTGATGCCTGCAGCCTGGGTCAGCTCAAACAGCTCCATCTCTTCAGCACTCAGGACTTTCTTCTTCTTTATGGCGTATTTCTGCACATTACTGGTGACAACAAGAGCAGGGGAGTCCGGGGCAGAGGGGACCGTCTGTGGCGTCTGTTGAGACATCTCTGTAGACACCTTTAATAATGAGAAACAAATAAGGTTAAAGACCAGATCAACAAATCTGGACCACCAATTGTGGATCCAGGTGCATCAACAGTGCAGGTAAGCTAGCGACCAGCCTGGAGTGAAATAACTGACTTGTATCTTCCTCTTCTGCATTTATAAGCACAAATACGAAAAAAGGGTTACATTTCAATAATGAAATTGTTGCCTCTCTGGAAAAACGATAAATACTTACTGTTATTACCACCGAAAAGAGCGTTTAGGGCGAAGCTAACCACTCCAGTTCCTCGGGCTTGAATGAACCGAGGCGCACCACTACGTCATCACTACGGGACAAATGGTGATGTCTTATTGGACTTGTAGTCCGTTTTTCCAATAGGGGAAAAATGCTTATACTAAAACAGTTAACTGTTTTTAAACTGAGAATTTGACCTCAAAATGTAAAGTTTTTCTTTAATTTACGTTCTAAACATGATCTTAACTTGAGGGTGGTTTTTTTTGTTTGGTAGTCCTCCAGTTTCTTCGCTTTTGTTCTACGTAATTCATTTTGCTTTCATTGTATTTCAATTACTTAATTTTTGTAGTCGAATTTTCCGTATGTCCAAATTTCGACATTAAAGGGATATTCCGGCGTAAAATTAAGTTAGGGTCAAACATACCGTAACACCAAGTTAGACACCCCCTCGGAAGAATACACAGAGCCACGCGCTCAACCAAAACGCCACTCTATAGCCACAAATAATTCTCAGAACAGCACCTAACTTCATCAACAATACATATAGGGTCCCCAACCATAGCACTAGCCACTAAACATCTTTTTAACTTTGCCTAATTTCTTTAGCAAAGAGACTAAACACAACTCACCTACTCTCTTCCAGCAGCCAATTGTTGCAGGCCTCCAGTGTCTTCGCTTTGTTTTACATCATTCATTTTGTGCATATATTTGCTTTTATTGTATTCCAATTACTTTTACTGTTTTATGTCGTCGAATTTCAACTTTGTATTATGTCCAAATCTCGAATTAAAAATACATAAGGTTCTTGCAAAAAATGTATTTTAAATCGATTATTTCAGTACCTTTACATTACAGCACCTTGCCGTATTCTATCAACTTTTGATGGATACATTAGTTGTAGTAATTTGTATGTTTTCTGGGCTTATAGTTTTTTTCTCTTTGATATTTTTATTATTATCATTTATGGTAGCATTAAATACGACGGAGTATTAGGGCCATATTAAGAATAAAATTTCAGACTTCGAGAAAATTAAGACTGCGTGATTCAAGTCGTTAATTTACCAGCATAAGTCATTACTAACGAGAATGAAGTCGTACTAAAATCATTACCTACAAGAATAACATCGTAATAGTGTTTTCTTACGAGACTAAAGTTGTAATAAAGAAATTACATATGAGAATAAAGTCGTAATAAAGAAATTACGAGAATATAGTCGTAATAAAATTATTACTTACGAGAATAATGTCGTAATCAACTACTACTACTACTACTATACTTATGATAATGTGATGCTGATGTGCCAAAAAGAAGTAGCTTTTTGTTTGAGGAACGTATATTGAAGTACATTTTCACGAAAGGCTCCATGGCTTTTATTTTAACAACTGTCATCTTAAACAACAAGTTAGAATATAAGGACTTCATTCTGACTTTATTCTCGTAAGTAATTACTTTATTACGACTTTATTTTTTGTAAGTAATGGTTATATTACAACTATATTCTCGTAAATAATTACTTTATTACGACTTTATTCTCGTTTGTAATGACTTTATTCTCGTAAATTAATGACTTTAATCTCGAAGTGTCATTTTTTTTTTTCTTAATGTGGTCCTAATACTCCGTCGTAGTTAACGTAGTTGACCTTAAATATAAAACTTGCAATTAAGTATTGCGCATGCGCTTCAGAGAAAGCTACAACGGCAACAGCAGCATCTCGTATTCGTACGCTGCAATTTTTTTAAATTTAATTTGATTTTGTATTGTATATATAAAAGTATCATTCTTAAGGTTTAGTCTATCGAGCTGAAATCATTCTTGTGGTTTTGTAAGTGGGAAAATATCACGGAAAGATGATGACAGAACAGTTTCGTTTTCTGATAATGCCAGGTGTTATGCCGTAGAATGCACCCCTGCCGTAGAATGCACCCCCTGCAACCCATCTACTCATTAGCTTCTTAAAGTGGAAGAAAATGATCACATATTTAAAAAAAAACTCGGATATTTGACCATGACAACATCGTTCTGTTTTTATGTCTCAAAAATGCACACATAGAGATGTACGGAAAGCTGTCAAGGTAGAGAACATTATATTTTCGGGACAGCAAATATTCCGAATCAGAGGGCTATTGTTTTCGGCTTATCTGAACAGCCTGAATGAAATTATAAAAGGCACAAGCTTTTGAATCAATCCAATGGTAAAGAAAACTTGGATCATTTCGCTTTGTTGTGTACTTTCATCTGCGCCTCCGTCAGGGGTGCATTCTACGGCAGGGGTGCAATCTGCGGCACAACACCTGCGACCGAAACCGGAAGTTGTTTTGGGAGCATCATCTCGCACCTGCGCAGTCGTCTCCGCTGTCGTCCAAGAATGGCCGCTGCTGCAGCAGGAATAAACAAGCAGGGCGCCGTAGCGACGATGGAGCCTTGTATCCGACATGGGAGGGGAGCCAGTGGAAACACCGTCAAGGTTGGAACATTGTCACTCAAATTCAGAGCAGGATTATATTTTTTGGCGTTTTCTTTTTGGGGTTAGTTTGCTTTATGGATCGGCAGCAGGCTAGTTAGCTTTCGTGGCTGGTGATTTTGGTGCGTTGGCGTTGGCATCAGATAGACAGACTGTTCTCTTACTAAAATACATGAGAGATATGTGCAAAACTATGTGCAGAGGAAGATCATCGCTTGGCTGTATGTTTGATTGAAAATGTTAGCTGTGTTAATGTAAACTCATCTCTGATATTAGAACCTGCAGGATGCTAACAGAGCTGGCAGTCTGGTGTGCGTCTGCAGGAGCTGTGGAGCCATTTACCAGACTGCAGCTGCTCTGCGTGAGACCAGAACTCACATGATCGAGCTCAGACAGTCTCTGCACACCCTTCATGCAAGCTACAACCTGATACTGTCTAAGGTGTTCAGGGTTTTTACTCAGCCTTATGCAAATATTACAAGCAGAGGGAAATCCGTGTGGAAAAATAGGAGTCTGGGTGAGAGAAACTTCAAATACAGAGGTTCAAAGGTAGCTCAGAGCTTTTTTATTTCATCTTAGTTTGAAGAATTTTCTAATGCTGGTTTGTCGAGTGATAGTAACTTAAAAATGCAGATCAGCCTTGTTGGTTTATTTTTGTAGTATGGGACGCTATGTTCATATGTTTGAGATATGAAAAAGGTTTAAACAAACTAGCTCCTTCCGCTTGTTATTAGAGATACAGATTAATTCTTCAGGTTGATTCATATCTTTTGGAAACAACCAGTGTTCGTGCTGTCTGTGCTCAAAGCACTGCAGGCAGCTTTCATATTGTCAAGCAATGTAAACAACAGCCCTCCTTTAGCAGACCACACACTGACAGATTCAATACCAGAGGAGACCACATTCATAAGGATAAGCTGGACTGATCAGGGGACCTCCTCGTTGTCCCAAATGTGGGAGTTGTGGATCTTTTTATTTATTTATTGGGTTTTGATGATGTCTTTGGCTCCTCTGCTTTTTGCCTGTATGTCAAAGCACTTTTTAAACATTTGTTTTTAAAGGTGCTGTACAAATTAAGGATTTGTTATCATTTTTATGTATAAAACATTATTTCAACAGTTATTGTTTGGTATTATAAGTTATTCAGTCAGGTTTTTATGCACTAGAACTTTTTCAGCCCAGTATTTTCTTACCTAATCCTTCTGCTTTCAGTCAGATAAAAAGAGAGACTGGTGTTAGATATTCATCATCCCTTGAAGTGGTGGCTCCAACACTATGGGATAATTTACCCGCTAATATTCATACAGCTGTTTTTATTGTCATTTTTAAAAAGCTTTTAAAGACTCACTTATTTAAACAGGCCTTTATCTCTCCCTGTTGTTACTTATGCTCTAATTATACCATCGTTTGTCCGTCATGTGTCTTTTTCCAGATATTAATGTTGTGTATTTCTCTTCAGGTTCTGGAGTGTGGTGTGTGTGAGGACGTGTTCTCCCTCCAAGGAGATAAGGTCCCTCGGCTTCTGCTCTGCGGTCACACTGTGTGTCACGACTGTCTGACCCGGTTGCCCCTCCACGGCCGGGCGGTCCGCTGCCCCTTCGACAGACAGGTCACAGAGCTGGGTGAGTCACGGTTTCTTGTTACAGGGAATGTGGGTTAGCTTTGCTCTGTAGAAACCTGCAGGAAAAAAACAAATATTAAAGGGATATTACGCCTTTTTAGAAGTGATGCACATGTCTGTATCTGCCTGGCTAAAGTCTGGAAGATCAGGTCAAACAGAAACAGAGCAGACAGGGGATATTTCAACACCTCTCACTCAGGGTCCTTCAGGTTTTTCTTGTTTCGGGTTCCCATTTGGAAATCATCACAGAGTTCATTGAAAGCCTGTCTAATCTATGCTGTGAGCAGAGAACTGGTCTCCATCTTTTACGATGTTTATTAAAATAAAATTGACTTATCAGATGTTATAATCTGGCATAAAATTTTATGTGTTTAAAGAAAGAGACATCTGAGTTTCTTTTCATGTTCATATGATCAGAAAATCAGCACAAGGTTCAACTTAAAAAAAGGCCTACTTCCACAATATCGTCCTCCACACTGATAATCCGCCTTAAAAAGCCTGTATTGTTTTGGCTCTGGTGTGTACACAACACATGCGTGGCGTATTAAGCTGATTTGGAGTGGAAAGAACAGCTAAAGCTTTATTTTTCCAGAAACACCTCCCACCACTGCAGTGACGCTGTTATTACTGAGGGTGAAACGCCTCTTTTTGTGTTATTCTGGTTTTAAAAAATCTCTGTTTTCACTCGTGTTTAGGGGACTCTGGTGTTTGGGGTCTAAAGAAGAACTTCGCTCTGCTGGAGCTCCTGGAGCGGCTCCAGAATGGAGCTTCGAACCAGTCGGGGATGGCGGAGGACGCTCTGAAAGGCATGGGAGAAGTAAGACAAGTCTCCTTTTCTTCTTCAGCGTCTTGTTGATTTATACTCTTTCGCCGCTCACTCACTTCCCCTCTCCTCTGTCAGTGTATAATTCGCTGTGACGAGGATGAGAGCCACACGGCCTCCATGTACTGCACCGTGTGTGCCACCCATCTGTGCGCCGAGTGCTCCCAGCTCACCCACTCCACCCGCACGCTGGCCAAACACCGCCGGGTGCCGCTGGCCGACAAGCCTCACGAGAAGACTCTCTGCCCGCAGCACCAGGTCCACGCCATCGAGTTTGTGTGCTTGGAGGAGCCGTGCCAGTCCGGGCCTCTCATGTGCTGCGTGTGCAAGGAGTACGGCAAGCACCAAGGACACAAGGTGGGCAGGAAAGGAAACATTCAGACCAATTGTAACACTATCAGCTAAACACTAACGAGATAAGGTGGTAACAAACCAGCAGCTCTCCAGTCCAGTGATGTTAAAATATGTTTTTTGTCGTTAGAGTTTGGTGGCTCTTAAGAGAGTGATATAAACGTCTGTTTCAAGTTCAGACTCCTCAGATTCCTGTCAGTGTCAGCTCTCAGTGAAAACTCTTTGGTTGGTGAATTTGCCCACAGGGATGATGTTCAGAGCAGTCAGAGCTTGTTTCAGCCGCTGAATTCAGAAATCTACAGGAGACGCCCCAGAATAATTTTTCATCAATAACACATGTCCAAATTAACCAACTGCTCTCTTCCCAGCATGCCGTCCTGGAGACTGAAGCCAATCAGATCCGTGCGTCCATTTTGGACATGGCCCACTGCATCCGCACCTTCACAGACGAGGTGTCCGAGTACTCCAGGAAGCTGGTGGGCATCGTGCAGCAGATAGAGGGCGGAGAGCAGATCGTGGAGGACGGCGTCGGCATGGCACACACTGAACATGTACGATCTGTTTCTCTGTTTCTCGGTGGAGAAATCTTTCGATCTTTTCTTTATTCAGTATCTTTATAACTCTGTGTCTCCCATCAGGTCCCCGGCACGGCGGAGAGCGCTCGCTCTTGTGTCCGGGCGTACTTCGCAGACCTCCACGAGACTCTGTGTCGGCAGGAGGAGATGGCGCTGAGCGTGGTGGACGCTCACGTCAGGGAGAGGCTGATCTGGCTGAGGCAGCAGCAGGAGGACATGACCATCCTGCTGTCTCAGGTGTCCACAGCCTGCCTACACTGCGAGAAAACACTCCAGCAGGTACGAAACAAGACAAGTCTGATGGCTTTATATCAAAACCTGGATCTGTCAAGTTTTGCTGGATCACCCCAGGGGGTAAACATTTTGTGTTAGTTTAACGACAGAAAAGACAAACCAGGAGCGTATATTTAACCTTTGAATGATCACAGCAGTATGTGCAATTCAGACACGAGGAAGAAAAAGTGTTCACTACAGTTGAACTGAAGTTGCTCCTCTGTTCTTGCAGGATGACTGCAGAGTTGTTCTGGCCAAGCAGGAGATCAACTGTTTACTGGAGACTCTTCAGAAACAACAGCATCAGTTCACAGAGCTGGCAGACCACATCCAGCTGGACGCAGGCATCCCCGTCACCTTCACAAAGGTACACCATGTTCCCGCTCTCACATGAGTCAGCTTGTCACTGCTTGTAAAGGTTCAGTTTGTGTCAGCTCAGGGGGAATGTTATGTTGTTGTTTTACAGGACAACCGGGTCCATATTGGTCCAAAGATGGAGATTCGCGTCGTAACTCTGGGGCTGGACGGAGCAGGAAAAACCACTATCCTCTTTAAGCTGAAACAAGATGAGTTCATGCAGCCGATCCCCACCATAGGTAAACAGGTTCAGGGTGAAATCAGGTCCCTCAGCCACAAGTAAACGAACATATTTGACTGAAATCTGTTTCTGTTCAAGGCTTCAATGTGGAGACGGTGGAATATAAGAACTTGAAATTCACCATCTGGGATGTTGGAGGCAAACATAAGCTGAGGCCTCTCTGGAAACACTACTATCTGAACACCCAAGGTATGGTTGGTGCTCTGCAGACCCTGAATAGATTCCCCCATGTTATTCTGAGGTCAGACTGACGTGTGCAAAGGTATTCAAAACCAAAATCATGTCGACCCCATAATCTCCCTTTGCACAGAATGTCACTGCGAGCTTTCTGTGAGCTCAGCACACGTCCCTGTGATGTTTGAGTATCAAATCTATCTGCAGAGTCAGTGTGCAGAAAAAAGCCAGAGGGCTGCAAAACCCTGTCAATCTGATCCTGATCAGATTGGAGCTTCTGGTCCAGCCTGAGTGCAGCTGAGCTCACTTACATAAAGAAATACAATAGCAGCTCTGTGCAAACAGAGGCAGGAAATCACGTGTGTCAGTAACAACGTTCTAATTACAAAACTCACAAAACAGAGTAGCAATGGTTCGCTCATCATTTAAACTTCATATTTACTTAAACAAACTAAAGACAGGCATGTTTGAACCAATGAATGAATGAATAAATGAGTGACAGGCCGTAACAAGTTTTGACTCTGGCTCTGTGTGTGCAGCGGTGGTGTTCGTGATCGACAGCTGCCACAGGGACAGACTGATGGAGGCTCACAGCGAGCTTGCCAAACTACTGACCGAGAAGGAGCTGCGAGACGCTCTGCTGCTCATCTTTGCAAACAAACAGGTACCAGAGTCTGTCCCTGAGTTTTCTCTGTGGGTTCTTCTCGATTATCTGAATTCTCGTCTGGAACCGAGCGGATCATCTGTTTGTGTGTCTGCAGGACGTTCCCGGCGCCGTGTCTGTGGAGGAGATGACGGAGCTGCTGAGTCTACACAAGCTGTGCTGTGGGAGGAGCTGGCACATTCAGGGCTGTGACGCTCGCAGTGGGATGGGGCTCCACGAGGGGCTGGACTGGCTCTCCAGGCAGCTGGTGGCGGCCGGCGTCCTGGACGTGGCCTAAACCTCACCCTCCTCTTCATCACTACTCCACCCTACTGACTGTCCCCTCAACGACTGAACCCAAACATTAACTCTAAAGGCTCTAAGCCTGCGCTCCTCATCTTTCCTTCTTTGTGCTCGGCTGTGGGCAAAGAAAACAAAGATGTAAATACTTTCTCTCACTTTACTGAGTCAGAAGATGGAGTAGACTAAACCGTCTCGCAGTAGGACCCCACCTCAGCAGCCAAAAAAATGAGATGACGGGAAATTTAAGGTGTTTTCAAACCTGCACCATTTTTTTTTCTACATGTTATCGGGGTGAAATGACTGAAAGGTACGAAAGATTCGAAACTGCCTGAGATGTTTCATCAAAGGAGGTCCACTGAAAGCTCGGGTCTTTGCTACTGACGGGCTCAGATTGTTCTTCTTAGTGTCTTAAAACATGATGGAAAAGACCCGGCAGAGAGGGAGGGAGGTTTTCTGCTGAAGAGTAAGATTTAGAGATTGTGTAAGAGAGCGAGCGAAAGTGAGCAGGAGGTCGTGCAAATCACAATCCTACCAAGGTAAGGGGTCAAAATAACAGATTGCTGCTCAAAACAAACCAATCTGACCTGAAACTCCAACGACTGAGAGAAGGGCTCATTATGGGGTGCTCGATTTACACATGGACACGAGCTGAGCAGAGAGAGGGAGATCACAATAAAAGAGATATTTCCCACAACCTGATGTTACTTAGGAACTAATAGAGCTTATCTCTAGCCAACATGTTAACAAAACAAAAGTTCACTATATGCTCAAACAAAGAGCTGTGCAAGTTACTTCTTTAGCCAAATAACTGTCTGATGAACTTCTAAAATTAAAGAGTAGTGTGAAAACAAAAGAAGGCGTCCCATAGGGACCACGTCAGAGTGAAAACACCCCTCAGATGATCGATTGTCTGCGTATTTCTCACTGAGATCCAGACAAGACTCAAAAGAAATACTGACTGAGATGAAGATCTCATTTCAGTGGTCTGAATGATCAGATAATTGAGCATGCACGTCAAACTAAACCAAACTTCCCCCGGGCCATCGTGCAGCCAGTTTACAGTCTGCTGTGGAAGAGCAAGCAAGATCCAAACCATAACTGCACATCATTTAAATTACCCAGCTACTAATCAAAGACATGAGCAGATATATGAATTCAAAGAGGATTTATCAGTTAAAAGAGGATTCATTAACTTTACTAATTCTACCTGAACAAGTAACATAGAACTGAAACTGTTGAAATCAACACCTCAGAGATTAAACCTCCACCTCTGCTGTGACATGGATTGCAGGACAGGATGTCAAGATTAGTGTCCTGAGTCTGCTCTCACATCTGTGTCCAACAATTGTAAACATATCCTAAATTCAGAAACCAGAATAAGCATTCATTCCAGTTTAGAGAAAACTGGAAGCGTATCTACTGTGTACTGTGGTAAACACATTTCTGGACACGTATGATGCAGCAGGTCACATTAGAAAGAACCCAAGAATCATTACAAACAGAACTGAGGCTGTGGTGACTTTCAACCAGATTCTTGGCCCCCATCTGCTCGCCTTCACAACAAATGGACTAAGTGAAGTTTATTCTCAGAGTTTCATGAGGAACTCAGCAGATAAACAACATTTATCTGACTATAAAATAGTCATTTAAATTAGACTTTTAAGGTTATATAATGTAGTTTGTGTTGTTAAACAGAAACTTCACAAGCTCCAGTTCAAGTATCAGATGACGGGTCTTTTCTGTGATGAAGTTCGACAACAATCTGAGTCAGTGGCAAAGACGAGATTATTATAAAGTGGACCAGATCACACTGAGGTGAAATCATTCGAAGATGATTTTACTGACCGACGAGTTACTCTCTCATTTTTTTAGGCAGCTTTCTTCACTTTTCTCCTTGTTTTCTGATTGCTAAGGTCAAGAAATGTTAAAAACGCTCCTTGTGTCCTCCTGACAGAGTGGACTGTTTCTGTCTTTGACTCGATTCATCACACAGTAACGTAAACTGGGTAGTTTTAACGGTTAGTATAGCAGACTCATAAAAAAAACAACATTAATCTTTCATGCTAAATTCAGCAAACCTGCAGGTGTGTGAGACGGTCAGGAAAGTTCTCTTTAGTTTTATTTTGTGGTTTCAAACAGGTGGTCAAATGTTCAGATTTTGCCTTGACATCTAATGTAAGCAATAGCTGTTGTTGTCCCACTGCGTCTTTAAGTTACGTTTGTTTTTGTTTTTTTAAGTGTATAAACTATCTTATTTAAAGCCACAGCTGGTCTTGAAGTGGCGCTCAGTGTAGTTTTCAGTTTGAATGTAGTGTTTTCTGTTACAGAAGCGCTTACTGATCTTATTTATGAGTGTGAACTTTGACACGAGGCTGCAGGGGGAGAGACTCCGAGTCTTTTTACGCACCGATTCTGCCTCCGTTTTGTGGAGTTCGTCGCACGCAGAATTTGTGGATCGCACTCGTTTGCTGCCTCACTACGACTTTTTATGGGAAGCAAATTAATCTGCTGTTTCTTAGTGGACTCTTGAGTATTAATCTCACTGCGAAACAAACTGTCTTGTGAATCTATTTAAACATCTAACAGGTCCTGTTTGTCCGGTGTGCGTGAGACTGTGCACCTTTAATCTACAGCCTTCAGTAATAATGTGAAACGTAGTGAAATATTCAACCTAACACTGACACACGCGTTATGTAATTATTAAGGAACCATTGTTGGACTTTGATTTCATCTTTATTCATTGCTATGTAATGTTAACTATTTGTATCTATGTATAAAAGTAAAAAAAAGCTGCACGTGTGAAAAGCCTTTTCACGTAGTTCGTGTATCATTTCCATTTGTTTTGTTTTTTTGAAATGTTGAAGCACAATGCGCATCCAAACCTTTGTTACCAGTCGACTTGATGATGGCTTTTGTAAATTATTCATAATGTGATGCTATAAAATAAACTAATTGAACTTGTTGGGAGCTTCTTTCTTGAGTTGAAATGTGAACTTAAAGGGATATTCCGGCGTAAAATTAATTTAGGGTCAAACACACTGTAACACAGAATAAGACACCCCTACTAGAGATGAATGTTGCCAACCGCTTGTTTCTCGAGTTATACCAACTTTAGTAACGACTGCACGATAGCAATACACAGTGGGCTGAGGAGTCATAAACAAACCTCAACCAAAACGCCACTCTATAGCCACAAATAATGCTCAGAACAGCACCTAACTTCATCAACAGGACATATAGGGTCCTAGCCATAGCACTAGCCACCAAACATCTTTTTAACTTTGCCTAATTTCTTTATCAAAGAGACCAAACACAACTCACCTACTCTCTTCCAGCAGCTGCTTGTTTGTAGTGAGACCTCAGGCCAGTCCATTACAGACTACAGCGGGGTGACGCAGCTCAAGGAAGAACATTTATGATCATTTCTTGATGGAAATGCAATCAGACCAAGACGCTAAGGCAGAAGAACTACCGCGTCTGCAGTGCAAAATGATTAATATGATGATTATTACATCAAAAAAATGATAAAGTAATGATTATAAATGTTCTTCCATGATGGAATCGCCTGAAAGTCTCCGCACAAACAAGGGGCTGCTGGAAGAGAGTAGGTGAGTTGTGTTTTTACACTCTTTGCTAAAGAAATTAGGCAAAGTTAAAAAGATGTTTGGTGGCTAGTACTATGGCTGGGACCCTATTTGTACTGTTGATGAAGTTAGGTGCTGTTCTGAGCGTTATTTGTAGCTATAGAGTGGTGTTTTGGTTAAGGTTTGTTTATGGCTCCTCAGACCACTGTGTATTGCTATCGTGCGGTTGTTACTAAGGTTGGTATAACTAGAGAAGCAAGCAGTCGGCAACATTCATCGCTTAAGGGGGTGTCTAACTCGGTGTTATGGTGTGTTTGACCCTAACTAAATTTCACGCCGGAATATCCCTTAAAACTTTTTCTGCATAAATTCCTGCTTTTTCGTCCTGTACCGATCACCTCCCTGTTTGAGATTGTAAATAATAACTCCTCACACAGTCACACTGATCATTCTTTAATTGCAGATTCTGATTTTTTAAAAAGTCACATAGCTGTACAAAGCATGATGAAAACATACATTCATTTGATAGTGATGTTAATGATGCTGATGTCCTCATACGGTTTATCAGTTTTGGGGTTCACTTTGACATTTGAGATCCTCTGGACAGCCTCCATGCCCTTCGTACACCTTCCAAACACAGTGTGCTTGTTATCGAGCCAGGGCTGAAAAAAGAAAAAAGGGAAGGAGAAACTGAAAATTAAAATCTCCATCAACATAGAAAGGATGGCTATGGAGGAAAAAAAAAAAACTTACAGTCGGTACGACGGTGACGAAAAACTGTGAGCCGTTGGTTCCCGGGCCTCCGTTTGCCATGCTGAGCGTGTACGGGCGGTCATGTCTTAGCGTGGCGTGGAACTCGTCCTCAAACTCTCCTCCCCAGATGCTCTCTCCACCCATCCCTGTGCCTGTGGGGTCTCCAGTCTGAATCATAAAACCCTGCACACAAAAAACACCGAAGAATACAACAACTTCAGTCTGGGACGTTCAAATATTGGATTGGGTGTAAATTAAAAATTGTACAATTCAGGAAAACAAGTTTAAACAGTATTTGAGACAGCAGATTCTGGCTGCTGTTGACCTGCAACTTCCTGCTCTGTGTGGTTACAAAAACAATCTGAGCTTGTCATCAGTGAAACTGATTCTTTTAAAGAAGGTATTTTTATTGCATTTGCCTTCAGGGATTAAGCTGCTGCCCCATTTCACAGAGAAACTCTTAAAAAACACTGGGACACTGTTTCAGAGCAGACCGGATACCTTGATGACTCTGTGGAAGATGTGTCCGTTGTAGTATCCGTTCCTGCTGTGGACACAGAAGTTCTCCACAGTTTTGGGGCACCTGAAACAACAGCACAGAGTCAGTGGATGAGATTTTGTGACGTGGGTCTGAGATATTTGAACAGCTCGTATGACTTACTCTACGGGGAAAAGCTTGATGTGGATGTCTCCCATGGTGGTGTGGATGATGGCGCTGTCAGACACTCTCTTCGGGCCCTCCGCCTGTGTGGCAGCCATCACCTCTTCTTTTGACGGTTTCTCGTTGAAGATGTCTCTGTCTGAGTCTGCGCTCTTTGTGTCCTCTGGTTCTCTCTTTGTGAACTAAATAAAGGAAGTTTCAAAAAGTAATTAAAACAGGCGATGAAACAAAGTCAAATCATCATATTTGTTGCAAATCTCACCATGTAGAAGCGGTTCTTTTTGAAGGCGGTGCAGAATATGGTTGGGTCTGGCTCCACGTTCTGTAAGGCTGGGTTATCCGAGGCCTTCATCTCTACGGTGGGCGCTACATCCATGGCCTTGGCGACTCCCTGAAACAGACTCAGCTGGACCACGCGGATATTCTCCAACTTACCGAAGATGCGCACACACCTGGAAACAAGATCCAGACACATCTGTTCTAAATTCAGGTCCAAAGTGCATATACGACAACCGCAGCATCAGCATCCACTGCAGTTCCATATTTTTGGCTACTAAATTTTTAAGCCCAGATACAGCCCCATAAACCTTAACCTTCTTGTACTGTTACTGTCCAGAGCTTCCTGTAACAGACCTGTTTGTTTCCACGTTGATGACCTTGATGCCCAGCATGGTGCCGTAGAGCACAAAATGTCCTGTCTCATCAAAGATGATGTTGGTCAATCGGATCCCATCCACCTTCTCCAGCTCTCTCTCTACAGCCATTCGTCTCCCGAACTCCATGTCAGGCAGCTGCTGCCTCATCTGCTGCAGCTCCGTGAACATCTAACGGAGAATATAAACATGTGAGTTTGCTCCATCAGTACAGATCCAAACTGACGAGTGTGAGAGGACTTACAGTTAAAGATTCATCGAACACTCTCATCAGCTTTCCTGTGAGGAAGCGGAAAATCCGGACCTTCCTGTCAGAAGCAATGGTGGCCATTTTCTTCCCATCAGGAGAAAATGCCAGACTGGTGGGATAGGTTTTGTGTTTTGCAAATTCATACAGGTCTGTGTCTGTTTTATATTCCCAGTGCACGTGTTTGGGGAATCTGAATTCATTTGGGAGGCCTGTCCAGTATTCCAACATTCCCGCTTTATCAGCAGAGACGATGACCCTGAATTTGGGATTGAGGCGGATTTGGGAGAGCGGGGAGGAGTGCATTTTATCGAAGACATGAAGTGGCTGGTTGTTCCCTCTTCCATCATAGACAAAGATCTTCCCTGTGGATTTTTCTGAGCAGGCCACCGTGGAGATGGCATCGCCAGGATTGTAGATCCACTCGCTCTGACCTGGGTGGAAGCTGCACAGAGAGCGGATCACACTGAATTAAATAACCAATAACAGGTCTGTCTGTCCTTCATGAGACACAGTTTGGTATTTTAGACTCACCCTAACTTCAGCATGTTGATCATGTCAAAGTTGACCACATCGAAGACTTTCATAGCCTGATCATCACCCACAGAGCAGAGAAGAGCTCCTTCAGCACTGACGGCAATGCTCTCTATCACACCTGCAGAGAAATTCACCATCAAAGCCAGAATGGAGCTGTCATTTTCTTTTAGGAAAAACAGGCAAATTCTTTGATTCTATCTTTCTGAGAGTGAGTATCCTCTGATTTACAGGGTTCCTACACAGTTTGAATTTCCATACTTTCCCATACCCTACTTTTTAGAATAATTTTATAATTTTTGGAAATACCTACTTTTCTATTTTAATAAACGTTTTTTTTAATGTGGCAATAGTCTGGAAACCTAAACATTTTTTCCATACTCTGTTTTTTATTTACCATACTTTTAAAGGCCTGGAAATTGATCAAATTATTTTCATACTTTTCCATACTTGTGTATGAACCCTGGATTTCTTTGTTCTTCTGTGACAGCAAACTTGAATTTTTTTAGTTTTCAAACAAACAAGCCATCTGTGGAAGTTGTCTTGGGCTTTGCAGAACTTGGATTGAGGTTTTCCATCATTTCAGTGATGAAATAAATAATTAATTCAGGGAGTAAATCTGGAGTAAGGTCAAACATACCGAGATGACTACGAAAGTGTTTGACAAACTCGATTCCCTCCTCCTCTTTTTTCTTCCAGAACTTGACGTGGCCGTCCTGACTGGCTGTGATGATGAAGTCGGTCCTAAAAGACAAAAAATCAACTTTTTATAGAAAAGGCACAAAATGAATGATTATTATGTGCTGTTACTGAGTGGATATTAAGTAACACAACAATCGTGTTGAAATAAATCAGGATGTATCACTGAACCACTTTAGACTGAGATGTTGGATCAGTAGTCAGTCGACTTGATCTTTGTTACATAGTTTTTTCAGATCTCCCTAAAAACTTTATCAAACATCTCCAGCTGCCAGTCTTCACAAAGTGGACTGCATCAGTCCATTACCGAGGTCTTCACATTGTCTTCCCATTTGTCAGAGAACGCCAACACTCCTCCAGAGATGAATGTTGCCGACCGCTTGCTTCTCTAGTTATACCAACTTTAGTAATGACCGCACGATAGCAATACACAGCGGTCTGAGGTGCCATAAACAAACTTCAACCAAAACGCCACTCTATAGCCACAAATAATGCTCAGAACAGCACCTAACTTCATCAACAGTACATATAGGGTCCCAGCCATAGCACTAATTTCTTTAGCTAAGGGACTAAACACAACTCACCTACTCTCTTCAAGCAGCCGTTTGTTGTAGCGTGACCTCAGGCCAGTCCATTATGGACTGCTGCGAGGTGACGCAGCCCAAGGAAGAACATTTCTGATCATTTCTTGATGGAAATGCAATCAGACCGAGACGCTAAGGCAGAAGAACTACCGCGTCTGCAGTACAATATGATAAATATGGTGATTATTACTTCAAGGAAATGATAAAAAAATTATCATAAATGTTCTTCCTTGAGCTGCGTCACCATACAGCTTTTTAACTTTGCCTAATTTCTTGCAAAGACACTAAACACAATTCACCTACTCTCTTCCAGCAGTCGCTTGTTTCATTGCGGGGTGACGCAGCTCAAGGAAGAACATCTATGATCATTACTTTATCATTTCCTTGAAGTAATAATCATCATATTCATCATTTTGTACTTCAGACGCGTTAATTCTTCTGCCTTAGCGTCTCGGTCTGATTGCACTATATGAAGAAATGATCAGAAATGTTCTTCCTTGAGCTGTGTTACCCTGCTGTAATCTGTAATGGACTGGCCTGAGGTCTCGCTACAAACAAGCAGCTGCTGGAAGAGAGTAGGTCATTTGTGTTTAATCTCTACTACCTAACACCTAACTTAATTTTACGCCGGAATATCCCTTTAATCCCTGCTACTGGTTCATAAAGCTCTGCATGACTCAGGTCCAAAATATATCACTGGTCTTCAAGCTCTGTATTTCAGAGTCTGTTAATATAATTCAGTGAAACTTGCTCAGAGGTCTGGACTCAGTTAAAGACCCTCTGTTGAAATAAAATCCACTTACTTGGAGCAGACTATCTGTGAGATCACGTCTCTGTGCATGTAGCTCCGTTCATACATGGCAGCTGATGGTAGGTTGTCCAGATAGACTCGTTCAAACTCCAGGACTGGTAAAATCAAAACATAAACACGAGTTTTTAGCGGGACTTTGGTTAGCATCGTTAGCATAATTTAGCAGAGACCAGAACGTTCACACAGTGTAAAAACACCAGAAACGGACCTTTCCTTTTCTTGGCCTTTGTGGCCTCAGTTGGCATCGGTCCGACCCACTCATCCTCTTCTCCTTCCCCGTCCTGATCATCTTCAGCTTTTCTCTTCAGATCCACATTGTTGTCAGCCGCCGCCATTGCTACGAACGGTCCTCCCTAAATAAGGGCACTTCCGGTTTTCGTCAGGTAGCACAGTTGACCGTTTTTTTAAAAATGTATATGTATTTTTAATCGAAACCTTTCAACATCCTGAAATCCTAGGCTAAAGAATAAATGGTTTATTTAGAAAATTTATTTTACAGTGATTAAGAAAATTTTTTCGCTCTGCTAAGGCGGATAACTGATTGTTTAAGTTAAAAACGCACTTGACCAACGATTAACGAAAAATTATCTCCATGCACATTAACAATAGTTTAAATTACGTTTGAAAAGTCTGTCTTGGTTTTAGACGTTTCGCTGAAGTTTTATGGTCGCGTAACTATTTAACGGAACAATTGTTTCCGAGGACTTGTCGTCCTGAAACACTTGGGTCAAACCAAAATTCTCCTCAGGCAGGAGGTTAATAACGCTGCTTCGTCTTGTCTTAATTCCAGTGCACTCAGAGGTGTGGATTTTCCGATTTAAACACAACAGTATAATTTGAAATAAATCGTAAATAGTTTTCTTGGCTATTTATATGAATAATATTATCTTCAGGTTGATATCTGTTATTAGGAGCTCCCCTGTGTTCACGGACGTAAACAATGAGCTCGCATGTGTGATGAAGATGGCTGTAGACAGAAGACTGTAATAGATTTTACTTCATAATTAAGCTTATTTACCTAAAATAACTCTCTATTTCATACCATTAAGTACAAGACGGTTATAGGAAAAACAAAATATTCTTACTGTGGAGACAAATACAACCTTAGCGCCAGAATGAGCAATATTTACATCCAGGAGCCGCCAACCAATGGCAAGGTGAGCGACTTTTACATTTTTAACCTCATACAGTTAAATTTTTTAAGAGATTAACTCTTAATTTAACGAGTTAATTTAACACCTTCTAAAGCCAAAGTATGATAGTTTACACTTTAACGTGCTACTGTTTTACATGTTTTATTTCTGGTACTGTTATTGGTGCTACTAACCTACTGTTTGTGCCCAATGATAGATGTTTCTAATCAAAATCCATTTTTAAATTTTAAGTTAATGATTAAACCGTCTTAAATATCTCTGAAACCTTTGTAATTTCTTAGGTCCTGTTGAAAACCACAGCAGGTGATATTGACATCGAGTTGTGGTCTAAAGAGGCTCCCAAAGCCTGCAGAAACTTCGTGCAACTGTGCATGGAAGGTAAATATCCACTTTGTGCATTGTCTCATATGTTGCAGATTTTCTAAATAAAAGCCTGCTAAACTTCACCCAAACCTCAATGCATTGACAGGTCTGCCCTATTTTAAAAAGGCCAGAAATTGCAAAGGAAAATTTGGGCATTTGTGTTTCCAATGACAAACAAATCACTCACCTACATCCTGGAAACTCATTAAAAATTATTTCAAAGGTTTTACTAGATTATAAAATGAGCAAAGAGTCGTAATTGTGATGATATGATATGTCGGAACCCAGAATGCAGCTTTTAACAGATTTTATTATGAGGAATAGTGCAAGGGAGGGAGGTATCCAGGGTCCAAGGGCTGTGAGACGATCCAAGGGAGTGTGAAGAGCCATGAGAGTGAATACCAGGCTAAAGTGATGGGTTAGTGGGCTGGCATGAGGCAAGGAGTGAGGCACTGGAAAAAAAGTGGAGAAAACAAGGGTCAGTTAAAAAAATAGGAGCACCAAAAGTCTTCAAACTTACTCTAGACTAGAGTACCTAGATACCTCTGAAGAGGGCTGTATAACCGAGCATGGAGTCACAATACTTTGGGTTGAGGCTTGTGTCTGCAGCAGTCTTAAAGCCGGCTTAATTGCAGGGCAGCTACAGGAGAGAGAGAAAGGAAGAAGGTGAAGGGAACAGCAAACAGCCCACACAGGAAATAGAACCCAACAAAATAAAATGTGCAGAGTGTGTGATCACCACTCTAATGCTTCTATATCTTTTTCCTCCAGGTTACTATGATGGCACGATATTTCATCGAGTGGTGCGTGAGTTCATCGTTCAAGGTGGAGATCCAACTGGGACAGGTACAGGTGGAGATTCCATCTACGGCCGTCCATTCAAGGTCAGAATATGTCTCTAGTGTTTCTTTTTGTCAGCTTTATTCCAGTAAAGTGTATTTAAGACATGTACCAATCATGTCTGAAAAGGAGGAGGATAAAGTTTACATACTTGATGCTACTTCTGGTATACTTTTTACAAATAACATAGTTAGAACAGAGCTGATATTGAATAATCTTTCTCTGAGACTCTCTGAGGATTAACTTTGTGTCTTTTCTCTTTTCAACAGGATGAGTTTCACTCCAGGCTGCGCTTCAACAGGAGAGGTTTGGTCGCCATGGCAAACGGTGGACCTCACGATAACGGCAGTCAGTTTTTCTTCACCCTGGGGCGAGCAGATGAACTCAACAATAAACACACTATATTTGGAAAGGTAAATCTGAAGACCTGTAGCAGTGTAAATACACACTTTTTAACCGTTTTCCTATGCCCACACATCTGATACTGGACTTTACTTTGTGTGTGAAATGTTTGTTGTGTGGTTTTCCCAGCAAACATGAATAAAGCCGACTCAAAGCGATTATTTCTGCATGTTTCTTCTTTGTGAACAGGTGACAGGAGACACGGTTTACAACATGCTCAGACTGGCAGAAGTTGAATGTGACAGTGAGGAACGACCTTTGAACGCCCACAAGATTAAAATCGCTGAGGTATTTTTTCCTTTAAGGGCTTTTATTTTTAGAGTCTGGTAAGTGTCAGTGAGATAAATCTGGACGTCTTTGACTCTCACAGGTGCTTCACTCTCCTTTTGACGACATCATACCGCGTGAAATAAGAAAATCCAAAAAGGAAAAAGAGAAAGAAGAGGGGAAGAAGTCGCAGTCAAAAGCCACAAAGTGAGTCATCAGGTTCCTGTGGGAACTTTTCAGGTTTGGTGAAACTGGGCTGCCCCTCTGTGGACAAAGACACCTTTGCTTATCTTGACCTCTTCATGCTGAAGTAGTGTCACCTTATGAAAATCTCACCCTGCAACATCACAAAATGTTTGTCCGACTGTTGTTGATGCTTTGTTGTAAACAGTGTAATGATTTTCATAGGAACTTCAGTCTGTTGTCATTTGGAGAAGAAGCTGAAGAAGAAGAGGAGGTGGCTAATCAAGTCAGCCAGGTACAAAAACATAAAAGAGCCCATAAATTAGTAATAATGACTTTATTTATATAACACTTTTAAAAACAAGGGTTAACCAAAGATTTCTCATTCCTCCTCTTCTTCTTCTTCTTCTTCTTCTTCTTCTTTTCTTTGTTAAGACCCTAAAGGGAAAAAGCAAAAGCAGCCACGACCTCCTGAAAGATGATCCCAGACTGAGCTCCGTCCCTGCTGTCGATAAGTAACTACAACAATAAAGTTCGATATACTTATGACAAAGGAAACAACTTTTGGATTTAATGTATTTTAACTCTGATGTTTCCTTTATTTTGAAAGGAAAGGGAAGAAGGGAGTACCAGGAGATGCTGCAGAGGTAAACTAAACTGAACCTCGATGAAGGATACTCCATAAATAATATTCTTTTTTTTTTTTTTTTTAAATTTCGCATTTCGTTGTGTTCGTACAGACAGACGATGATGAAGATGAAGATGATGAGGATTCGGATGAAGACTCAGAGAGGAAAGAGAAAATGAGAGAGCTCATCAAAAAGAAGCTGCAGAAAGAAAAGGGTGAAGACAAAACGACAGAACCCAGCGAGGACGAGCGAGGGAAAAAACCCAGCAGAAGGTAAGACTGTGAACTTTCAGTCTGAGTCCCTGCGCAGTTTTTTTTTTAATCCTAAAATATGAACTTTAATGGACAGATGTCAGGTTAGAATGAAACAGTGTTTGGTTGCTGACAGTTCTGCATGAAGCTGTGGTTCCACTTGTACCACAGAGTATGATCCAGGAGGGGGCACTGTTGAACTATTTTATACAGAAAAACAAAAGACTGCTTGAAATGACTCTCCCAGTACATCCACAGAGACAGGACATCAGAGGACATTATCTCCCTGAGTTTTACATAAATGAATAAAAAGACACTTTATCAGCAGCGTCAAAGCAGGAGGTAGCTGTCTTGATCAAATCAGAGTTCATTTTGGGCTCCAAGGGGATTATTTCAGGGGAAGGCAACACGTCTCTACGAGATTTAAATTTGCCACGACTGATCATACTGTTTAATGACATCGTTAAATGTAAACTGGCTGTCATCACATGATGGTTAACTGTCTGAAAAATGACAAAGTTTGATAAATTAGTTTTATTTTATTGATGTGGTTGACCTCAGGTGAACCCTCCAGAGATGTTTCCACTCATCCTGATACTTCATGTGTCTGAGTCACTCACTAACACCTTTGGTATCAGCATTATGGGACATCCTCATAGTCCATTACCATGTGTTGGCTCCTATGGCACCAGTTTACAGGAGCTGTTAAAACCATCTCTATTGGTGAATCAAACAAACTTAAATCAAAGTTAATAAACTTTGATTTAAGTTCTGTTTGTTGGATTTATTCTGCATCTTTAAAATCAAAAGTTTAGTGAGAACTCTGACAAATAAAGCAAAACAGACACAGTGAGACAATCTGAGGACAAACGCTGGAAGAACATCATCTGAAGGGACAAAAGGAGGACAATAAATCGAAAATGAGAGGGACAAATAAAAGAAAGTAAAAGATGGAAAAGCAATTAAAGACAAATAAACAACAAAGCAGCAGATAAAAGAGATAAAAGGCAAAAGAAAGACATTTAAAATGATTAAAAATAGCAGGTTTAAAATGGAATGAAAGAAATAAAAAGATTTAAAAGTAATGAAAGTGATAAAAGAGTTAAATATTTTCTACATTACAAGGAAATTACACGGATAAAAACTTTAAAAAATATATAACGGTCATTAAAAGGAATAACAAGATCAAACAATTGAAGAAAAAAAGCTGAGCAATTAAAAGAAAGAAGGAGAAAAAAAGATAAAAATCATTGAGAGGTTTTAGAAGAAGACTAGGGAAATAAAGTGTGATAAAAGATATTCTAAGAGATAAGGATTTCTTAACCCCAACCCCCATAAAAATAGAAGAAAAAAAGAAATTAAAAGCTGTAAAACTAAATAAAGAAACAATTAAAAGATAAAATTAAAGAGATTGATGCAGTTAAAAGCAATTAAGGAGGGATTAAAGTGACGATAAGCAGCTAAAGAAAATAAAAGATAAGAATCTAAAAACAGCAACAGAAAATGGAGTAAAATTATTAAAAGAGGTAAAAACAAAAAATTTAATAAAAAGACAAAAAATTATTGAATAAAATACAAGAAATAGATACAGTAAAGGGCTTTTAAATGAGATAAAGAGACCGTTTCATTTCTGTGGGAAATATCAGTATTTCAATTCACAGAGGTCAAGAGTGTCATGCAATGGTCAGGTAGCGATCAGAGCGCCCTCTGCTGGATCAAAGCTACTCCTGATGAACTCTACAGCTTCAATACAACAGCTCATGAAAGTTCAAACAGTTGGTTGCAGTTTAGTTAAAACATCATGGCCCCGATTTATATCTGGTTTGTTTTTCTCTGATGGAGGCCGAATTTGTACGTACAACGCTCTTGGACGTCGCTCCAGCCCCCTCTCTTTTCTGTAGCTTCGCCTCTTTCCCCTCCCTCGTCTCTGTTTCTGCTACAATCACCAGTTTTCTTTGCGTTCACACACGAACACTCGCAAATCTCAGTTGTAGCTTTCTGGACCAACATCAGTGGACCTGCTATGTGAAAACAGGAATGTTGGCACTCGGACCAAATTACTTACTGTGCTAGAAGCAAACAGTGCGTTTGTGTGAGCCAACAGTGTGTGTGAAATGAAGGTGAGAGAGGAAGGTGACGGCGTGTGAGACCACATTAGTCTGAAAATGACCCGAGGAGAGCGAGGGGCCGATTTATCTTTCATCTCTCTTTGATGCTTATTAGTTATCTCTCCTTCATATCCTCTTAACAGGTAGCCCTCAACACACATAATCAACATACCCTTCTCTCATTAGTGCTAATGGGATAAAGAGAGGGCGCCCTGTGTGTTTTATGTGTGCGCATGTGTGTGTGTGTGTGTGTGTGTGTGTGTGTGTGTGTGTGTGTGTGTGTGTGTGTGTGTGTGTGTGTGTGTGTGTGTGTGTGCCCTGACTGACAGCCAGCCCAATGCAGGCAGACTGTAGTATATTAAACACAAGCGCAGATTGTTTTGCTACAAGAACTGTAACCCAACACAGTGGTTTGTCTTGGCAGGGAATCAAAGAGCAGGCCGGTAGGTACAGTGTTAGTCCGGGACAAAGGGGGCATTGTTGCAGGGTGAGCTCTGCTCTCCCACTGTTGCTTTTCTCTGAGCTTTCAGCTGCTCTGTGAGCAAAGAGGGAACACCAACTGGTGTCTGGTCACCTGGGAAAAAAGGAGAGAGGATGTTGAAAGCAGTTTTCATTTCTGTCTGATTGACTTAACTGATGCGGGACATTTGTTTTTGTAAGAATAAATCCTGTATTTTTAAACCAGAGCCCCTCAGTTGATGTGTTCTGGGGTCTCAGTGACATGAAGTAAGTGTTATAAAAGTGATACAGACACTCAGTCCATGAAAACCAGCCTGTTATCTGTTTCCTCTGCTCCTTTTTGCATAAGTAGGACAAATGCACAACAAGGAAATTACAGTGAAAGTGGCACCAACTCTTTAGTAATTTCTTCTATGGAGAAAAGCAGAGGTTAATGGGTAAGGAAAGGAAAATCATGAGAGACTAAGTTCACCACTCTGTGAGGTAGAGCTGGGCGATAAACCAAAAATTTACAGATACCGAAATTTATGACAATAACCGACGTCATTTGTTCATATTGGTATGTTCGGTGTCAAAAAAATAAATAAATAAAAAGTTGGTTTTGGATGCATGAAGGTAGGCTATGGTATCATGTCCCTTCAAGACGCTGTCCTACGTCAGAGACGTGTCTCCACCCCATCCAGTCCGTAACAAAGAGGGAAAGACAGGTGAGGAGATGGAGGACGGTTCAAAAGTTGTAGCGGCTGAAGTAGATGAAGTTAATGAGAGAGGGGGTGAGCAGCTTGTTGAGTAGTTAAAGCCCATTTATCGTTATCGAGGTGAACAGTTTGTCACAGAGGTTAAAATAATAATAATAATTTTATTTTAAAAACAGAAGTTTACAAAGTGCTTTGACAAACAGTCGTAAATCACAGAACATCAGCACATGGAAATTAAAAACAAATAAAAAACAAAAGCTCAGTTCAAAACAAGGCCTCTGAATTGAAGGCCAATTTCATTTGTCTTAAGGAACCCAGACAATACAAGAACCCTGCAACATACAATGAGACCATGACGATTAAAATAAAAAGAGAAAAGGAAATGTAATACAAAAGGGGAGTAGAAAGCAAGAAACAGGATAGTTAATATAAAAAGATGATGATGATAATAATGATAATAAAAACATAACAAAATAATAATGATGGTAATAGTAATGATAAAATGGAATAACAAAAAAGAGCAGGAAAAACAATGCAATCAATAATAAAGGCCTAAACGTTTAAATAGGAAAATATTTTAAGTAAAACAAAGGCTTAAAAGACAGTAAGTCGAAATAAGAGAAATAAAAGAGAAATGATGGCATCACATAAAAGCGAGTCTGTTAAAGTTAATTTTTAAATTTGACTTAAAAAAGCGACTGTCTCTGCACGCCTTATCTCCTCTGGCAGGTCGTTCCAAAGTCGAGGAGCTCTGATGGAGAAAGATCGACCACCTTTAGTTTTGAGCCTCGACTTTGGAACAACCAGAAGGCCTTTGCCTGAACCATGTACAGAGAAAACTGCACCGGTGACTTCTGTGGACTAAGGTGAAGTGAAAAAATGAGGACCAGGACTCTGGAGTCCAGTTGTCCTTTCAGCGAAGAATTGGAAATCAAGAAATGGAATGACATCCTCAGTTTTAAACAATATCTCCAGTTTTGGGAGCAACATCTGCTTTCATCTAGACAATGACTTTTTCAGGGAGGACATTCATATGATCCCAAACCACATTCTGACAACAGGGATTACAACAGCATGGCTCTGTAGGAGAAGAGTCCCGCTGAAAAACCGGACTGATGCTGTCCTGACTTGTCCCCAAACTGTTGAGAGGCAACATTTCACCTTCAAAACTCCAGAAACTGGTCTTGAAAATACTGTGATAATGATTTAAACGTCATGCCGCAGAGCTCAGTGTGTCTGATTCAAGTGTTCTGGTTTCTGCAGACTCTCAGGCCTCATTCGGGGGAACATTCAAAATGCTTATTGTGTTTTTTCCCCCACAGTCAAGGCTGCTGAGACTACCTTGAGATCTGGAGTCTCCCTGAAACCAAAATAGACTTTACATCAGTTTGAAAATATCCGACATCGCAGCCAGATGATATTACACTGCGATACTCTGGGATTGCAAAACTCTTGGACTTGTTAAGATTTATGGGCGGTTTTAATAATTGGTGGACTCACTGTACCTGTAAGAGGCGAGTTTAAAAGGGTAAAAAAAGATGAGTCATGTCCACGAAAGCAGATGCTGTTTGGTTTACCTGCCTGCTGAGATGTTTGATGTTGTTTTGAAGCTCTCATGCTCACAGTTGGACTCTTCTGTTAATGCTACTATTGATCAAGTCTGGTGTTGCTGTGTTTGAAGTGGGCCTCCTTAGGGGGGGGGTGCTTCATAAAAGACACTACTGAACGAAGTCCCAAAAGCAGTGTATGTGGTAGTCGCCACTTTTGTTAAACCCGACGGGGCATGACTGGGGAAGCAAAACGCTTCCATATGGCTGCGGGACACAGTGTGAGCTGCTTCTGCCAGCAGGACCCGGCTCCCTCTGCTAACTCTGGGAATGGCTTTGCAGTTACTGCCGTCTGAAGATAATGACAGAACTGCACTTCCTGATATTTACATCACTTGTTATCACACAGTTAGATACAGCATGTGGGAGCCCACTTTAATGATGCAGGTGGTCTGACTTAAACAGTCTTTAAAATCAGGATTATCACATAATATACATGATGCCTCTTTACAGTATGTTATTAAACCAATAAATATTAAACAGCGCTGTAAGGCACGAGTGTAAGTCCATGGATGGAGTCTTATGCTGCGTTCCAGTTGTACTCGGAAGTCCTGATTTCTAAGCTCCAAGTCGGAAATTCATCTGGAACGCCCCCCTGAAGTCGAAAGTCAGATGATCCTCACCAACCTTGATTTGTCGACAACGACATAATCCAAGATGGCAGTGCAGTGCATCAACAGTGAAGAGTAACAGTGAACACTCTCCTAATCTATTATTTATTATCACTTCTGTTTTGTTTTTGTGAAATTAAATAAGTGGTATATGTTGTGCTGCCCAACGTCTGATCGTGAACATGGCGCTATGATGTTTGTAAGAGTAAAATACTGTGTTATGCGTTGATTACAACTGGTAAAGCTAACAACAACTAACAAAAGCTGACAATTGTAAACAACAGCTAACAACGGCTAACTGTAGGCATCGATCTTGGTTTTCCGACTTCTTTACTGGAATGTCGTCAAATCGAGTGTAACGTCATTCCCAGCTCCGACATCCGACTTCTGAGGTAACTGGAACGCAGCATAAAAGCCGTAGTAAACATTAACACAGGGATGTATTACATTATCCGCATAGTCTCGTTAAAAGCTCATCATTGTTTCAGCTGATGTAAAAATTGCTGCCGATTATGTGGGTGTTACTTTTTACACAGCTGTGTTGTCATGAAGCACCTGAAGGTTTTGCCTTTGTAGGAAATAGGGAGTAGTTCCAGGAACTTATCTGAAGGAACTACTTGGGTGCTGTCTTCGTTTCCACTGGTGCCTGAAGTCCAGGGTAAATTATGTTACTCAGGCCAGTGACATGTCAAGTTACAGTTGAGTCACTTCGCTGTTTGTGTGTCTATGATGCCAGTATTGTGCCACCGGAAAGCACTACCCTTTGAGCAGGAACTAAACTTAAACCCAGGTTCCTGCAGTCAAAACCCACAGAGTTCCTAAAAGTTAGGGTGACCATATTCTGAATCCCTACAAAAAAGGACACTATTACACGGGCGGACTCACTCGCAAAATTTTGAGGGGTTTTCGGGTTGGGTCGAGTGTTTTTTATGCGCTTCTAACTCAGTTGGTCCATGGCACACAAACTAAAAACTTCCATATAAAACCCCGGTCATTTGAAGGATTTTAAAAACTCCCCCCCAGACAGGCTTGGCAGACCCCTAAAAGAGTACAAGTCCGGGTAATAGGATAGGATAAATAGTCACCCCACTAAAAGTTCCTGTGGTCAGAAAGTACCTCAATGCTTGTTGTCGGTGTCCACTTAGCTTCCCGTTCAGCCACGCTAGCATACATTACTTTAGCTGCAGTTTGTGGCTGCAAGCTTTCACAGAGGGTTGTTACAGAAGTGGAGAGACGGGATACCTGCACTGTTGTCCTCAAGACATGAAATCTTCCTGCTGCTTCCTGGTGGATTCGTCTTAAAGGGAGACTTCTGAGTAATTGTTCAAGGCATACTGAGTCAACAAAGTGCAAAACAGAGGAAAAAGACAAGCACAGAAGAGAACTCTCCAGCTACAGAAAAGCTGCTGCGAAACACGTCCAAGGATTATGGTGCCATTTGTACGTCTCACGTGAGGGAATTTTGTTGCAGTTCATTTTGTTACAGTCAGTACTTTCAAATGAAGAATTCGTCTGAGCTATGGTTGTAGCTTGATTGAGCGATTTAACAGGACTGTTGTCAGTTCAGTCTGTTTCCTTCTTTGTCTGTTGAGGTTTTGTTGATCATCTGGCTTCCCAGCAGCACATTCATGCTGTTTAACGTCCATCTCAAAGCCCAGCACCCGACCAGAACACTGGAGCATGTGCGGAACACTTACGCCAGTTTCAGTCTGATTACGCTGTATTCACGGATGAGAAAATCAATCCCCAATCGCATTATCAACCCTAATTATCAAGTTTGACAATAAGAAGTTGGTGCATGAATTTTAAGGTTTTGAACAACATGTAAAACAACTGATTGTAACCCTGAGTGAATTATGTTAAATTATGGATAAGTATAATAACAGCTCCTCTTAAATGGAGTGATCATAAAATGTTGTTTATTGACTACTTCTGTTCCATGTTTCCATGGCTTTGCTTCTGTATTTGATCTTTAACCACACTGGTCCTGAGGACAGCATCTGTCTGGCCTTGTGGATAGTGTAACCTACATTAGACACTAATTATCCAGCCCAAGTGGCCTCACCCCATACGCTGCGTCACACTCTATTAATTGGCTGCACCTGTCTCTTGTCATCGGTCATAACCCAACGCGTTCGCAGGGAAAGGTTGCAGAGATCAAGAAAGCATTCGGCTCTGCTTTTGTGCAGAAAACTGCTTGAGATAATCCAGTTCTTGGCAGCCGGGCTGTGTATGTTTTGGAACTGCCAGGTTTACACATCTCTGACCCACTGTAGCATGCCTGCCCCATATGGGGCACTTGCCGGCTGGAAACAGTTCCAGACAGCGATGCATGTCTAGGACGAGGAGGGTTAAGACTTTTTGGAAAGGATTTAAAAAACCAGCAGAACTCCACTTGGACTGGAATCAACATCAACATCTGACAGTGTGCACATTTTCTGTGTCTTTAGAGGAGCAGAAAAAAAAATCACAACCTGATATTTAACTGATATAAATGTCAAGAAAAAACAGCCCAGATTGTACAGGATTCATAACTTTTCCCCTTCATAACTAACCAAAAGAATCTCAAAGGATATTGTCAATAATTGAGCGCTTCTAAAAGAGGAACCTTGGTCCGCTGCGTGGGTAATGTGTTGGCGAGATCACTCTGCTAAGTCATGCAAATTCCTGTGTTGAGGTTGGATTCCTCCACTCCAGCTCACAGTTCTCCTTGGCTTTTGACCAAACCGTGGAGTGCCCCCTGAGGGGAGTTCACCCAGCCATCTTGTTATTCTAGCACATTCATCCACATCACTTGCACAGTCATTAAACTGGTGTGAGTCCACCATAGTGGGAGAAGCTGCTGCCGGCAGCCCTGTTTTGTACTCTTAATAAGACTAAGGAGTTAAATTTAACTTCTGGACGGACGTGTGACTTTTTAATTTCAGTCACTCAGCGATGATATTTTACCTCTGAATATTTTGATTCCATTGGTAATTACATTTCCCAAAGTCACTTGACGGCTGGAAAATAAGAATCCAGAGAAATCCAAAAAAGGAAAGTACGTCTGCTTGTGCATTTTGGAAACAGATTCAATTTTTGATGAACCATAGAGTCATCACAGTACTATTTTTAAGGCTGCTGAATTCCTGTGTCAGCCTCAGACTCCTGCCAGACACCGGAGTATTAAATGCAAGGTTCTGAATCATGAGAGAGTTCTTGGTCTACTGCCAATCACTTCATATGCTTTCTTTATGAAAAGTTAATCATCCACAGCTCTCTGGGTTTCACTGTTTTTGAATTTTCTGAAAGAATGACAGTAGCTGGCAGCCCCAAGTAGACCCAGACCGCTGAGAAGAAGAGCTTTACCCATTTAGTTCGGTTTATCTGGCAACTGGTGGCAACATCTGAGCGTCTATTATTCCTCTGCTGTTTTTTAAATGACCGTCAGAATCTCCTCTCCTGCTGGTACACGGAGATCCTGTTGATAGATTGATGGATGGAGGGACTGATGGATACGTCTCCGTCACTGGCATTAGAAATACTGCTCAAGACTGGTGCAGATGTTATTTTTCAAACAGACTCCTCCAATAGTGGCAATGTCTCCTCTTTTATGGAGTCAAGGACCTGAGGAGTTCCACAGGGCGCCATCCTCGGTCACCTGTCATACTCTTTGTACACGCTGACTTCTGGACATAAATTTGCACGTTTCTTTTCCTTTGTTTAGTAGAGTGCATTTACATAACTGCCCAGCAAAAACTAAGAAAGAAGACATTTTTTATTTGTGAGTTTGCCCATCAGAAATCAGACGTACAAAAAAAACGTTTATTTTGTTCTGCAAATTGGGAAGCTTTTATATATATATATATATATATATATATATATATATATATAATGTATATTTAAATTGAATCACAATTTAAATCGAATTAGCATCCAGAAAAACCATACAAGAATCGAATCGAGAGAAAAGCATATCGTCCCAGCCCTAATGTATAATGATTCTCTACCCAATGTAAACTTAAATCACTTAAACCATTAGATATTATCATATCTCCTTTGTTTCGGGGTGGCCAGGACGCTGCATGTAAAAGACCCACTCCCCTCAAGTCACAAGCAGCCACAACGACTGACGGTTTTTAGGTAGAACAACAAGAACATTTATATATAAGAATTATGATAATCAACAACAATTAAAGAACTGATTTGAATTGACTTCAGAAGAAAGAATAACAAATGAAAAATTCTAATGAAAAAGTGAAACAGCTGACCTACAAAACAATGAAACAAAAACCTTTAACACTGGTGACGCCAAATTTACTCCATCAAATGATATTCTTCATCTTCACTGATTACATCCCGATGCATCTATCAAAACCTGAGAAATCTATCAATACAGTAGAACAAATTGTGATGTATTTAGTCTTGTGAAAAAATTTAAAAACAAAATAATTTGCAGTGTTGTGATGTGAGGGTCCTTAGAGGAATTTGCTGAGCCTGAAGGTGTGTCCTAACAGATGTTGTCAGAGCTTTTCCTGTCCTCTCTGGCGTCTCTCTCTTTATTGGCACCGCGGCTGTGGAGCCGATTGTTTGGCTGTTGCCGTGGAAACGTGTCTTGTTTTCTGAATGGCAGCGTGTTATGGCAGGTAGAAAATGATCACTCAGTCCAAAGAGTTCCTGGCTGAGTAATATATGACTCTGAAAACTCACCTCTAACTTCTGGAGCAGAAGCTGTACGGTGTTCAAGTCAAGAGTCTGAGCTGTGCGTCATATTTGACACATGGACGACTTCACTGGAACGCACTGAAATCCCCTCAGGAGGGCCGTCCTGACTGGACAACTGAAAGACATGACAGTGTATTGTTTTGAGACAACAATTCACGACAAGAAGCCGACTTCCTCATGTATGCCAACTCTGACTCTGAAATCCAGCTGCAACATTCCTACTTTGAGGAACAACCGTACGTCTGACTGATTCCTCATGTGTTTCCTCAGGGATGCTAACAAGGAAGAGACGTGACATCAAGCTCTTAATATTTACAGAAAAGTTAAAAATTTTTTGAGGCCTTAAGGCTTCAGCTCGGATATTGTCTGAGTTTAACAAAGATAACACGCATGTTGGAAGATACAGAAGATAAGTAAGACACTGAAGAGGGAAAGTTCCAGGTAAAAAGAGAGGAAGAGGATATAAATGTATGTCAGCACAGAGGAGAAGCAGATGTAAGAAACAAAGGCAGCCATTGTTTGGTCTGGAGATGCCTCACATGTTTCTAGGCCGGGGGCCCAGACTGAGCAGCTTACCTGTGCTTTGTGGCTCTGCAGCAGAATGGGACAAAAACAGAGCTGTCAGGCAGTACCAAAATATTATCATTTCCTAACATAACATATCTGCTCTAAAACGGGCCATAGACTCAATCAGAGGAAAGGGAACAATAATCAGCACTGTTGGCCTCGGTTCAGACGGGCATGAGCAGGGCTGTAGGCCACCTGCCAAAGAGGACGCTACCTTGAGTGAAGGAAGCAAGGATGTGCCTTGGCCTGCCTCTGTCATCCAGTGAAACTTTTATTAGGGCGGCTGGACACGAGGAGTGCCTGTAATATTAAATGTTGTTCCACTTAGGGAAGGATGAATAAAGTTTTTCATTACGTCTGCCTCTAACTGAGCCTGACAGTGATGTATTCAAAGTATCACGGCTTGTTTCTCTAATTTATTACTCAAAACTTGGAATAATGTCGCATGCATGTGCTCGTTAAAAGGTAAAGACTTGGATCTAACAACTCTGAATCTGACGACCCAAAACTTGACCCAACAAAATCAAAAAAGGACGACTGAGGTGACAGGATTCAGGTTTAAGAGGAACACTTTGTTAGGTGGTTCAAACCGCAGACAGTGGTCCCTGATTTAGCTGAACAGTTCTTAATTATTTGCGTATATTGGACTTGATGTGGGACTTGAGCCTTGTTTTCCTTGATTAAGGAATTGATTTGGGACTTCATGGTCTTGATTTTGGACTGGTTGGTCTTGAACCTTGGTCTTGGTACAGGACTTGAGACTTTCTTGTGTTGGTTAAGGATTAGGTAATCTAGACTTGACTCAGGATTGAGAGGACTTGACATGAGGTATAAGTCTTGGTGGCATACAGTACTTCACTTGAGATTTAGTAGTTGAGACTAACTCATTTTTGCTCCTCTTGGATTGTAAACTTTGGACTTTTTCATCTTGACTTTAGATTTGATGTTGATGTCGACTTGGTTCCTCGCTTTGCAGATCTTTGGTTTGGACTGAAACCTTCTTGGTTGTGACTTCAGGCTTGTAAGTGTGGACTTATTTTTGACTGAAGACCAGTTGTTCTTAGGACTTGAGCTCATTGGTCTTGATTGGCGGTGTGACGTTGGCGTTTACTTGGTTTTAGTTTCTCTTGGCCTTTGGTTTATTGGTGTACCTGGGTTTTTTGGAATTTGGTGGTCTTCCCTGGTGACATAGAGTTGTGGATTGAAGACTTGCATTTGACCCAACTTTGAACTCCTTGGCCTTGACCAGCAATGTTGACTAGTTGGTTTTAACCAGAGACTAGGTATTTTTGGGACTACATTTAGAAGTTATTGAACTTGAATCTAGATTTGGTGTTGACCTGTTCTTTTTTTTTTTTGGTCTTGTTTTTAAGTTTTTGGTCGACTTTGAACTTTAATGGATTGATTTGGGATGCTTAAGTCAGGTCTTTGAGGAAACTGTTGCTCCTTGAATGTATAGTTTGGGACTTGTGTCTTACTTTGACATTACCTAGACTTTTTCCCAGTTTGGACCCAGGGTTTGACTTGAGACTTGTGATGATGGGGTTTGACATTTATTGCCATGACTTTAAACTTTCTTAAGACTTGTAAAAGTTGATATTTTCCCACTGTTAAGTACGTAAAGACTATCAAAGGGAGTTCCACCAAATAAAAGCAGGTTTTTACAGGTATGTTGGTAGTTTTGTGGTCTGATTGAAGTAGGTTTTGGTTTTCAGTTGTTCAGGTATTTTCTTTAAATCTTTCCTGGATCAGAGAGTTTGGGTCTGTATTGAATCCTACTGCTAGATGACAGGATTTTAAAAGGTTAGATTTTCAGTTTCAACTCATCTCAGAACAAGAAGCCTATTACCATTTTTCTCTCTTGAGTCTGCTCTCTTCAGGTGCCTTTAAGGGGGAACAATTACTTTACTTTGGCCTCATTAAATTTATTGGAGTAACACAAGCTTTTAATGTACATTCTTCATCCTGACACTTGCACTCAGAGTTTACACCCTCATAATTAACTGGGAGCCGTACATTCTCAGAACAATCGGTGTTTGTTTGAGGAAAACGTCAATTTAATGTACGTGTACAGACGTTTTGTACATGCGAGGACTTCAACCTTTCAGCGGACATCCATCCTGACTGATTTTGTCTCTGCTGCTCTTGTCTCTTACAGGTATTATCCTCTTAAAGTGATGCATGTTTAGTTTGAATTTTTACTTTATTTCTCCCCCCACAGTGATGAATTGCGGAAAGAGGCCCGGCAGCTGAAGAAGGAACTTCAGGCCATAAAACAAAGAAAAGAGGAGAGTTTAAAACCTGCAGTGGATGAAGTCAAGGAGGGTATGTGGGCCGGTTTTATCCCCTTTCATTTACTGATGGATGTTTATCACTGTTACTCATTATGCTGTAAAATTATGGGTGGCTGATAATACACCGTACATGAATCTTAACAGGAACTCGTTCACCACAGAACTCTAAGTGTGAACAAAGTCTCAAAGAGGGTGGTCCGAGCTACATTCTCTGCTAATGGACAGGCAACCCTCTGATTTTGTCAATTAGTTGCAGACGCCTATCCCCCAGCCCACCCCCCAAAGGGTCTGCATTTTTGTGTCGGAGCTCAGAGAAATTTGTGTGGCTGAAAACTGTTGAGTAGTAGCCATAGCTGCACTTCAAACCTCATTGTGTTTGTTGGTTTGCAGCTTTTGGCCGACGTGGGTCTGTAAAAAAGTAAATAAATCTGCTCCTCCGGTCCTCACCACACTGCAGCCTGTCGCATCGCCGTCAATCTATGGATATTTTTGCTGATTCTGAAACAGATTTTTGAAAATGACTAAAACCTCAGAGGCCGGAGGTTGGCGTGATGTTATTGTGCAACAAAACAAAATCCTTCATGGGGGTCCTTAAGTGCAACTGTGGGATTACCACCAGCCAATATTTACCCCAAATATAAAACCATGACTACTTTTTTTGTAGATTTAACATTTTTTTGTCTGAACAAACACTTGTGGTTTTGTTTTTTAACCCAAACACAGATGGATTGAAGATTTAAGGAGGCAGAGCCCAAAACAATGAAAGATTAACTGTTGCTCTTGGTGATATCTGCGTGGAGTAAAGCCGTTTCTATCAACAGCCCTCTCTTAATAGATCCAGTTAAAAGCTCAAGTGTTGAGTCAGTAACAGCTCTGCATTGTTTAATCTCAGCGGCCTAAACTCCTCCATTATCGTTCAAAGTGTTTCAGCTCTGCCAGGGTCCTTTTGTTTTGAGCGTCTCTTGCAGCTTCGCCAGACGCCGCAGTTCCTTCTAAAGAGTTTCTCATTATGTTTCCGTGTTGGAAGCTAAAGTTAATTCCATAAGATGGGATTCTTAGATGTCATGGGCCAACGGCCACCGCGGGGGGAGACGGATGTCTGCTCAGACGCTGTAAATCTTCAAACCCGGCTCGCCCTGCAGAGGAACACTGTGGCGAGGGCTCGTTTTATCCGGTCCCACTGGAGAAGCCGCACTCGCACATTAAGACTCGCGTTGACACCATCATCCCTTGAAGCTTAAATCATCCCCCTGGTTCTGTTCCAGCCTCTCTGAAGGTCAAGCTTTGGTCCCAGTTCAGCCACATGTCTCTCAGACTGGTCAGTGTGGGCTCAGTGGGGGGGACGTCATGGAGGTTTGGGTGTTATGTAACAACTGAAACCTACAGTTATTTACCGTAATTCACTCATTCATCAGCCTTCGGTACAAAAAGGGTCAAAGAACAGGAAGAAATAGAGTCTAAAACTGTCGGAGGGTTTGTTTTGTGTGGGAACAGATCAAATGCTCATGTTGTACCATAAATATCCAGTGAGTCATAGAAAAAAATGTTGTTTTCATTGTTGTTTCCACATTTTTTCCATATTTAAAGCCAACATAAGCAGCAAAGTTCCCTTTTAAGCTCATCCTGATGAAGTAACAGAAAACCCTTGCCAGTACAGGGGTCACCTTTTTACACACTTTTAAATTTTGGACAAATTTTAACCTAATTTTATCGATTCGGCTTTAGAAATCATTAAACCGATCTACTGTAAATCTAAACTATCTAAATGCCCTTTAAGCTGCAGCCTGTCATGCTTTGGTGGCTGTAACACAAACAGTTTGGTAAAAACCCATTTCCAGAAAAAGTTACGATGTTTTGTTATGTGTCTGGTGAAATTAACCAGAGCAGACATAGCTGAAAGTGGTTTTCTCCCTCCGTGGTTTTATGTCTGAGTGGTTGAGACAGACACCACGAGGTATCGTATGTTTCTCCTCAGTTTCTGATGCTCACTCTGTCAGCTGTTGAACAAAAGCAAAAAAAAAAAGAAGCCTCTAATGTCAATAAAACATTTTGTAACACTGACTGGAACAAATTTACTGACAAAAACTTACTCAATGCTTATGTTCTGTTGGTTTTTAAGCTCAAATTATCCTCCAAAATTATGTTTTTAAATCGAATATCCCAGTGCAGGTTTGTGTTTTACAAGGCAGGGTTTTAGTGGGGTCTTAAAAATTTTAAAATCCAATCATTTGATCCAAAAATTCACTTAAAATCTCATAAAATGTCTTAGGTGTGCTGTTGAAAGGTCTGAAAAATGTATTAACTAGGGATGCACCGAAAATTCGACCACTGAAAATTTTTAGTCGAAAGGCTTTATCACCGTGTATCATAGCTTTTGTACTTTTTTGCCATTATGAGTGTAAAATAGGATTTAAATTGTAGTCACTATGGTCTTATAAAAGTCTTAAAAAGTCTTAAGTTTGACTTGTTGAAACCTGCAGAGACCCTGTAAAGGCTGATAGCTTTGCCTCCAAATTTTGACTTGCAGTGCTTCCAAAAGTGCACATCCACACTCTCTGAGGTCCTCACACCACAGTACACTACATCTGACTGTAGTTCTGCCTAAATAGAAATAATATTAAAGTTATTATTATTTAATATTATTGTAACAGAACATTCAAATGTTCCTCATTGAAATAAAGAGGTGGAAATTAAAAATGTTGTTGTATCCGATTCATCAAAAAAATAATCGACTGATTAATCAATTAATCAAAAAAAATAATTGACCAATTAAACGATAATTAAAATAATCATTAGTTGCAGCCTTAGTTCAGACGTATTAACTGAGCTTCCATCCAAACAAGTAAAATGTAGAAATGCTGAGTGAGACAGCAGTGATTGTTTAAGTAAAATAAGCTAACCCTTTTTTTAACTGTGTTTATTGAACGTGTCTATTTAAAATATTACTGTAGGTAGTTGTATTGTCTGTTTTTAAGCTGGCGTGTAAAAGGCTAAATCTTAGTGAAGCCATGTTGCTCTTAAATTGCCGTGTCGATGTGATGATCTTAAACTTGCGCAGTAACCAGAGGCTGTTTCAGTGTTTTTACTGCGAATGCCTCTCACAGTATCCACGATTATCCTGCAGCCCAATACCAAACCCAAATTAGAGGTGACCAAGACTGACTCTCATACTTTTTGGTTGGCTCATTACACCTTCTGACAGCTGTTGAGAAAGTTTGTTATTTATTGCACAACTCTTCAGAAACACTCTCTGTTGCATAATCTGTGATGGATCGCTGGAGTTGACCTCAAAGCACCAACCGACAAAATCATTTTTGATGTGTTTGTGATTGATGGTCGGCCATACACTCAGCTGCTGATTGTTTGACAGCAAAGAGGAACCTTTTGTCCTATAAAAGAGGCGTTTGTCGTCCACAACAGCCCTCGGTTGCTACAACATTAGCGTCTTGATTTGTAGCTCTCCTGTCCAGGTGACAGGAGAGGAGAGGAATGTAGTTAGAAAGGCCATCAGGCTCAAAGATAGTAGTTAGTGACAACAGCTGCAGAGGGTGATGTGTGTTCCCGGTGGAGGACCGGGGGGCATCATCAGTCAGCATTCAGCATGACACAGACTGCAGCGGGAGGCAGAAGAGGAGAGGTGACTGTGGAGGGGCAGCAGGGAGATCACTTGTTGGTCCCATAAATCAAGAGAAAAAAGGTTTGGCCCCTCCAGCAGCAGCAGCAGAGCAGTGAGGAGAGAGTGGAGCTTCAATTTACAGGACTGAGTTTGCTCCGTTTACAAGGCCTAAAATCTCTGAGAATTTAGGGTAATTAATGTTTTCTGTAATGATCGGTGATTGTGGGTCTTTGGAGGCAGGACGTAAAATCTGAAGTAACCCTGTAAGAGCCAAACTCAGTCTGTTTATATCTTTATTTAAAAAATTCATAAGCCCTTTAGACGTGAGCCTCTCACTAATGTGTTGTTCGATTGTTTTGGTTTGTGATGTAGCAGGTCAACCAGAGAGTGGAGACATGAAAGAGACATTAATTCACCTATTGAGGCGGAGGCGGACATGCTTTCCTCTATTAAGCTGGAGTTTAGTTAAACCCCCAAACTGTGCTGTTACTGCACCTTTATTTACCTGTGCATTTAAACAAGCGAGGGTGCACGATTATTGTCTTTTTCATGGATTAAAATATTGAGATCATGCCAAAAAAAAAAAAAGTAAGACTGCAACAATTACACAAGTTGGCGAAGAAGAAGTAGCTGCTAATGAGCTGGTTGTAGCAGCCGTCTGAGAGATGATTTAGCACTTTTAAAAACTGATGTGTGCCTTTTCAGGTCACATGATAAATTAAACATTATCAGTTAATTGTTATTTTTAACTATATCCAGCACTTTGAAGGTGTCCTCTCCCTCTAAATCGTAGTTTCAGACCACATTGGTGTAGCAGAAAAGTGTTTATCAGAATAATAAATCCAAAATCAAGATCATAAAGTACATTTCATTGATTTAATTTGATCTCCAGCTGAAGTAACTTCTAAAAATCCCTTACAAAAAAAATAAAACGCTTGTTAACATGGGTTTAAAACTGCAATTAATCGTGATAAACAGATTTGATTTGTAATCCCTGATAAAAACACATTCACACAAACTCGTGACATTACAGGAGCTCGTACTTGAGATCAGTCAGTGAACTACTTCAGTGTTTTTCTTCTTACATCATTTATTTATTGCACCTGAATGTGTTGCAGCGTCCAGCCAAAAGTGGCACAGCTCGGCCTGCGAGATGATGAGGCCATCGCAGGGTTTGTGGGCTGTGTGTGTGTGTGTGTGTGTGTGTGTGTGTGTGTGTGTGTGTGTGACGTCATATTTTGTTGTGGAAAGTACAGCTCTCTGCAGCAGACTGTGCTCACTGTCTGCTGCCCTTACAGAAGCGCAATGACTCAAACATCTACACCTCTGCTTTACACACGAGGCAGACGAGGACAGTTGGGTGGAAAATTATTCACAAGTCACCGAACAGAACTTTGACTTTACTCTCTCTGTGCCGGCTAACCTCCTCACTTTTCACACCCGTGTCCTCCTCTAAGTCCAGGTTTTTAATTATTCATATGTTTGTGAGCACCAGGACTTTTACTACCAAGCCACGCAGAATCTGGTTTGTCCTCATCTTGCTGGACACCTTGTTGTCCCCGACACACCATCATGGGGCAAATCTCCTCATGGAAGTTTAAATTATGTAACAATGATAACAGGTGGATGACCTAGTTTTAAAAAAATGGCCGGCATGGTTTTTGTAGGAGTCTTTTGTTGCATAATCAGTGATAGCTCTGTCGTCCAATCAGCAGACTGCAGTGTGTTGAGCTCCACCTTTGAGTTTTGAGTTGGTCTGCTGGTGACCTCATGAGAGCAGCAACAAAAATCAGACTGAGCTTTTCTATCAGTATTATCCACAGCAGTATTGTCAGGCCAACAGAGATGGAGACAGACACATAGATTATGTGTGAAAACTGCAGACTGAATGGGTGAAACGGTACTTATAAACTTTGCAAGAGTTTAGAGATACACAATATTTGATTTTTGCCAACATTATCAGACTCATTTGGCTGATGCTGATATTTATACTGATACATCTGCATCTCTTTATTATAGAGCATAACACATATCTTTTACGCTGTTTGCGACAGACTGTTTATTTAAAAAAACAGATAAACTGAACTTGATCAACCATAAGAGATAGATTTATTCTTTTTCACATGCTTACACTCAACTCAACTCAACTCAACTCACTCCCGTACATGCTGGAGAGTCTCCCTTGTGTTTGCATGCATGTGTTTTATCTGCAAACATTTTAATTATTGTTGATACTAATAATAAACTTTTTAAGCAATTATCTGCCAATACTAACATTATGCATCCTTACTTGAGGGGAATATTGGGGCATTATCTTGATGGTAAAGCCACTCTTGAGTTGTTTCAAATAATAGTTTTATTTTTTTTAACCTTCCTTGCTGTTTAATTTAGTTCATAAAATGTGAAAAAATGGTGGGAAATCCATCAAATTGAAAGAGCACGCCTTAAAACTTCTATTTTCTCCAAGCAACGGATCAAAACAACAATTATAATCAGTTTTCTGTCACAGAGGATGAAGAGAACTCGAAGTATTTACATGTGTAAGAGTACAACAATCAAAATTTTGCTATTTTTTAAAATTAATTTGTGTTCAACCAATTATCCTGAAAACAAAAATACACAGATAAGCCTGATATGAATCACAAAGGAGCAGAAAACCACAACTGTTTCTGATTAATTCTCTTTCAGTGAATCATTTTAGACCAATTAACTTTTTTTTTAGTTTTTCAAAATTTGAAGCATACTTCACGGTCAGATGCATAAGATCAAAAAACACTGACGCTCAAAAACATTAAAAACAAGAATATTTCATGTACATACACATACAGTGATATAAACAAAATCTGAACTTTTATTTTGTCAATTTAAAAAAAGTTGACACAAATTCTTAAAAAGTGACCCACCGCCACTGGGTTACATCAGTCAGAGGAGTTTTTGTTTTCCCCCTCTCTGACCAACATGTGCTGCTGCGTTCAGTCCCTGCGGAGGATTAAAGAGGTCCTTCCTGCCCAGGAGCGATCAATTACATAAGGTTTGGGTATAAGGTGGCCGAGGAAAGTAGGTCATCTTTGAGAAAGATAAAGTGAAAGGTTAGTAGGTTGGGGCTCTCCTCCACTACATCTTCGTGAAGGTTGGCAGCAGAAGTATGGATTCACGCTGAGCATGTCAATGAGAGATGAGAGGACTGGCCTGCATTGCCTCATCTCCTCACCTCTCTTATTATCATGTTCTCTGATCATGTACGGCAGCAACTGTCACAGCCTGACATGCTTTTATCTTTTCTCTCTGATCACGTTCTGCTTATTTAGTCGGTCAAATGCCCCAGAGCATCATGGGAAGCACTGGTATTTCTTCACTCTGAATGTTGTTGTAGCATCAGGAAAGTTTTAACTCTGCTAACCCGTTTTTTTTTTTTTTTTTACATGGTTGAAACTGTTTTTGCATTTTTGTTGTGGGCAATTGAATTTTGTATATTTTTCTAAAACAACATGAAATTTAAACAAAAAAGGAGAAAAATAGAAAAGAGCTCAGAAATCAGCCAAGGCCTTGATCATAAGTGGGACCAGATCTGCTCCAAACTCAATAATCTTTGGCCTCTGCTACTCCTGTCCACAAAAAAATTGGGCCAGCAGTTTTTCCATCATCCCGTCATCTAGAAAAACAAACAAACTGCACCGAAAACACATGCTAAGGTCCCCACGGTTATGAAATTCCTGGAAAAGTTATGCAATAACTAGAAACTGTCCTGGAAAAAGTGAGAAACCAAAAAGACTTTTGACAAAGTTACATAAATAAATAGTTTTTTTTTTTTTGTTTTCTTCTCTCCATGAATCTTTTTTTTAATCCCCACCAGAAAAAAAGCCGTCCAATGAGGCCGTGGCGGAGTACCTGGAGGGTCGAAAGAAGTACGAGGAGCTGAGGAAGCAGAAGAAGTCGAAGGCCTCCAGCCGAGAAGAACAGGTCCGAGATCTGAAAAAAATTAAAAATCATTTTAGAGATAAAGAGTTCTGTCTGTCTGTCTGTCTGTCTGTCATGGCTCTAAAGTCCCTTTTTCTTTGGTTTTTGGTAGACACTGGCCCTCTTGAATCGGTTCAAGTCCAAGCTGTCTTCAGCCATCACTGAAGCCCCGGAAGAGGAGGAAGTGGAGGAGCTGGCAGAGGATGATGACAAAGGATGGTCAGTAAAACCTAAAGGGATATTCCGGCACAAAATTAATTTGGGGTCAAGCACACCGTAACACCGAGTTAGACACCCCCGAGAGATGAATGTTGCTGACTGCTTGCTTCTCTAGTTTTACCAACTTTAGTAACAACCGCAGGATAGCAATACACAGCGGTCTGAGGAGCCATAAAAAAACCTCAACCAAAACGCCACTCTATAGCCACAAATAATGCTCAGAACAGCACCTAACTTCATCAACAGTACATATAGGGTCCCAGCCATAGTACTAGCCACCAAACATCTTTTTAACTTCGCCTTATTTCTTTAGCAAAGAGACTAAACACAACTCACCTACTCTCTTCCAGCAGCCGCTTGTTTCAGGCCAGTCCATTGTGGGGTGACACAGCTCAAAGAAGAATATTTATGATCATTTTTTAATAATTTCCTTGAAGTAATAATCACCATATTAATCATTTTGCCCTGCAGACGCGGTAGTTCTTCTGCCTTAGCATCTCGGTCTTATTGCATTTCCATGAAGAAACGATCATAAATGTTCTTCCTTGAGCTGCGTCACCCCGCTGTAGTCCGTAATGGACTAGCCTGAGGTCTCACTACAAACAAGCGGCTGCTGGAAGAGAGTAGGTGAGTTGTGTTTCGTCTCTTTGCTAAAGAAATTAGGCAAAGTTAAAAAGATGTTTGGTGACTAGTACTATGGCTGGGACCCTATATGTCCTGTTGATGAAGTTAGGTGCTGTTCTGATCATTATTTGTGGCTATAGAGTGGCGTTGTGGTTGAGGTTTGTTTATGGCTCCTCAGACCACTGTGTATTGCTATCCTGCAGTCGTTACTAAAGTTGGTATAACTAGAGAAGCAAGCAGTCAGTAACATTCATCTCTAGAAGGAGTGTCTAACTCTGTGTTTTGGTGTGTTTGACCCTAAATTAATTTTACGCTGGAATATCCCTTTAAATCTGATTTTATATCGACCAAAGAGCAACTGATTCGGACCCCAGAGAGAACAAAAGGTTCAAGTCTGCACACATTAGTATGAGTTTAAAAAGAAACCACACTTCTGTCTTAACTAACTAATAAATATCAATAAAAAAAACAAACACAAAGAAGTGACTGAGTTGATTCAGTTAAAGCAGTTAGAGAGACATTTACAGACTACAAATAAACACTTAAGAAGAAGACAGAAGGTATTTCCTCCTCCAGCCTACGAAGTTTTACAAAGTTGAAATAACTGAAATATTGGTAGCAGCTCTGAGCAGCATGTGAGCACCACCATCCTGAGTCCTCCTGGAGAGTTCAAAAAGCAGTTTGGCAAACAACTGTGTTTTGTGGACGGTGAAGATCAAGCATGACAAGCTGGCACGAAAAGACCTTTTTCATTAGCGTCTGCTGGGTTTGGGCTCATGTTATTCTCATTGATACCCTCGTGGTGAACGCTGGATCGCAAAAGAAACCATTAATTATAACAGTAAGAGAGGAGTACGCGGGACACGAGAATGCAGAAAATCCTTCTCGGTAGCAGGAGGGATGAAACTGACCTTCATCGAATGCAAAGAGCGCTCCAGGTTCTGATAAATGTGTGTGAAAGTTCAACTCCTATGCATGTGTGTGTGGGGATTCTGACCACCAGATCGGCCATCAGGAAATCAGGCCTGACGCTGTGTTTTCCTCTCATATTCTGTTTTTCACCAAAGATCTCCGAGAGGAAAGACACTGAGTACAGGGTTTGAAATGAATACCATGTGTTTGAATTTGAGCAAAGTGTCTGTGCGCGAGAGATTTACAATAACAAAATCTGTACTTGCTATTAGCCTCCAGAAGCCCCCTTGAAGTGCAGCCTGTCTCGGCGTGTGTGTGTGTGTGTGTGTGTGTGTGTGTGTGTGTGCAGGTTAGGGGGAGCTCTAATGAATTTGAGAGAAGCCTGCCTCGGCTGTAGACACCTCACTGTGCCGCCCCCGCCAGGTAGGCGAGGAGGAGGAAGGGAGGGAGGGACAGCGTCAGTAGCATAGCAGTCCTAGAAAAACACCAGTGGGAAGCCTGTGCCACTCTAGGAGCACTGCGAACAGAATGTGGGTTACAACAGGTCAGACATTGGAAGTCAAGTCTGGGCCAGAGGAGGTAAACTATTCCATCTGTGTCTGTGTCTACAAACTCTTTAGCCCCCTCCTCCTCCTCCTCCTCCTCTGTCTCCCCCTCTCAGTCCACACACTCCTCTTCGTCTTATTTCCCACCCCCTTTACTCCGGCTAAAGAAAAATAAATGGAGGAAAGGCTTCTGTAGCAGCACAGAGTGGTTTTGATAAGCCCTGAACGCCGGGTTTCCACATCACATATGACTGCGAGGCCGTACGGCCGGCGGGCTGTCATCGCCGAGACTGCTAGACAAATTATCAGAGGCGGCCCGCTCGCCCTGCAGGAGTCCTCAGGGTCTGCCAGAGTCTAGCCATGACATTCTAGATGAGCTGTCACAACTCCTGCCGATTTCAAATGAACACGGGAGAGAGAGCGCGCACACAAAAACAGCCGCGGCGCAGACACATACCACACGCTACACACGGCAGACAAGGCATCAAAATATTTTAAGAAGTACAACAGAGAGTATACAGTGTCTGTGTTTGGACACACTGCGGCACAGGAGCACAACACACACACTCACATACACACCCAGACATACACAGCACTAGGTTGTGTAAATGTTTTGTTCCTGAGCAGATAAGAAAGACCTGTTGGTTGTCAACTTAATGGGAAGGTAAAAGAGTGTAGACTGAGTAAGTTCACTTCGACTGCTTATGATCCACACTCTTACATTTAGTGAGGAGACCGTTTTTAGAGGTTTTGAGGGGAGATATTGTCCCGTTCTTGCGTGATTCAGGTTTTCAACCCCTTAACAGTCTTTTGTTGTGATTTATGTGTCAAGTGTTTTTAATAGACAGCGAGTGTAGACCTGAAGACGGGCCTGTTTAGCACCTGGACTCTTCTACTACCGAGCCCTGCTGTTGTTGTGATTAGAGATGCACCGATCCATTTTTTTCCAATCCAGTCGGCCGATACTCTCAGCCCAATAGCTTGGCTGAGCGTATCGGCCAATATCCAATACTACTGTTGAATGAATGAACTGTATATCTTGCCCTTTGAGTGAAAGCATCAGGCTTGACATTAGCCTTGTTTTTTAAAAAAAGGTAACAAATTAACACAGATATAAATTTACTTAATATCATTTATTAACAAATAACAAATTGCACATTAGCACACAGCAAAAAGAAGTAAGACTTCCATGTAAACATTAAGGGCAAAAGGATAGACAGACATAGAATATAGAGCGAACAGAATCGCTGTGTTGCTGTGTTTGACATCAATTAAAAGAAAAAAAAAGAACTTGATCGGAACGCTGTATCGGCATCATTCCTCAGATATCTGATCCAGTTCATTTGTCAATATCGGAGCCGATATCCAATCCAAATATCGGATAGGTGCATCCCTAGTTGTGATACATATAAAATACAGTTTGGCATCTTCTTGCTGTGTTACGCAAAGTCTTCCCCTCTAAACCCTTAATATGGTGTTCAGCAAGGCAAGCTACCCATGTTACAGACTCTTGCGATTGTTTGAGGTGTGCGCTGATAACAAGCCGATTGATTCCTCTTGAGAGAAAAGGTCACAGCAAACATGGTTTCCAAGAAAAATGTCACAGATTGATTTATCTGCAAATTCAATGATTGCAAACCATCCAAACCTGTCTTTATGAACATGTTACACAGAGTTACAACTCTAGTTGGCTCCAGTTACCTTCAATTTTAACCAATTTTCCTGATTTAGACTGGAGGAGAATTTCAGAGGAGCCTTTATTTCATTTCATTTCATTTCATTGATTTAGATCTCCATCAGCCTTGGCTCAGGCCATTGCTATTCCTCCTGGAGTCTACATTTACAATTAGCTCTCCATCGCAGTGCACAGTCACAAAAAAACATCCCAACACAAACACAAAGACAACGTCAATAACCACAACAACTCACAACAGTCTACAAGACAAAAACAGAACAACAAAACAAGAACAATACAAACAACATAGACATATAACTGGACCTTATTCATTTCCACAGTGTAGCTACAGTTCTGAAATAATCAGATGTTCAAACATCAACATACATTCCACATAATTGAATTAATTTACAGAAACAGAACCCAATACATAAGCAGACTTCAGGTATTTCAAGTAAATTAGACAAACACTGATTGGTTATACCAAGTAGCTTCATCTAAATAAGGAGATGTTTGACTAATAAAGGTTCTTTCACTAGATCTTTAAATCTGTATTTGTTGTGTTCTTGGATAAAATGTCCTGGCAGAACATTCCATTTCACCATGGCCTTATACATTACCATACTTTTCATCTTGTTTGTTTTTACTTTAAAACACTCTAAAACTTAACAGAAATTCTTCTTTTTCATCCTAAACATATTTAAGATTTGGAAACCTTGTAGAATTACCAAGTACAAGGTATTCAAGATTCCAGATTACCATGTGTGTCACAGACAGGGAGCACCGCTGCACATGAAACTGCATGATCTAGTGTGATCTCACAGATGTACCTGAAATAGAGACTGATTCTAACCTCATGTAGAAACACCAGGCAGGGAGGAAAAATCAAAAGCAGAAGGCTGAGAGAGTCTGCAGAGAGGATTAGCTATTCTTCAGTGGGATTTGAAAATCCTGACAAAACCATCAGTTTTAATCCTAAATATCAAATATCCGCTGACTAATTCAACCAAAGGCGTCATAACTCGATTAAAGACTCCAGTACGGATGTGAACAAGCAGACCAGGAATGTCCTTGTAAAAGTAAAATTATATTCATCCGGTAGTTGTTCAGAAATTATAATCTAGACTAGACAGAGCTGCCAGTTTAAGAGGATGTAGCAGGTCTTTTCCGAGCCTGTAGCATGGCTGAGAGAGGATCCTTGTAATTGATTAGTCACTGCTGCTTGGATGTTTAGATTTACAGATAGCATTCACACAGCAGCTGGAGGACTGTGTTTTATCTGTGAAGTGCCTGACACTGATACGTCCGGTGAGGAATGTCCTGATTCTTTAATCTGTCTTTGGGGGAAGAGAAACTGACAGGGGAAATGAAAGACACATGAGTGTCTGTTCTCAGGGGACCTGACTTTTCTGTCAGGACTTCAAACTGCAGGAGTGTCTCAGAAGTGGTCTTCTCGTACTGTACCTGGACTACTGCTCTTTTGAACCGAGAGGAACCCTGGATTTTAGTAGAGTCCTGTATTAGATAATGAATTTAAACATTTTATCTCTCCACCAAGGCTTAAAACAGAGTGTATGACCCAGGTTTAATATGTCTGCAGTATATTGGCTTCCGAGAAACAGTACTAGAGAATATTTTGGAAATATTTCAGGTTTAGTCTGAGCAACAAAGGTCTGCTAATCTCCTGAATATAGAAATGATCTGTTTGTCTAACATTTGACTTAATGCTGCCTTTGTCTGCAAAGCCTGCAGTGAGTCATTTTAAAGCCAAAGTGATTTAACTACAGAGAAATATTACCTGCTATTACTCTTAATCTTCTAGATGACTGTTTTGGTTTTTAATGCTCCGATCAGATTCAGAAGTCCCACCCTTTCTTGATTTTGATTGTTGAAGGAGAACTGCAGCTATAAAAATGGGTCAATTTCAAACATAGACTGTATATACTATGGACAACTTGGTTCCGCCTTCTGCCAGTAAACGAATTTAAAGCCAAAAAGCTCTCGGTAATTCTCGTGATTTTTCTCTATTTCATGAAACGAACATTGCACAGTAGAGTTGTACTCATTCGGCAGAAAAGTCGCAGAGGGTCGCTGTGGTGACGCTCGGCTCAAACAGCGTATCCCCGGGTGAGCTACGCAATCTTTGTATGCCCATAGGCTGTATCAATTGTCAATCATAGAAAACATAGGACTTAAGCACAAACCAGTCTTACAGTAACTACATGTCAACATCACAAGCCGGATAGAAAAAAAATCCTGTGTTATAAATTTCTAAAGTTTGTCCACAGCTTCATAGGGATTGCTGGAGAAGGCAACCTAGTATGACCTATACTGCAGCCCGTCACCAGAGGGTGCTGTTCTCGGGATTGCTTCACTAAGCGAGGAGGCAGACGGCATCCATTCTATATACAGTCTATGATTTCAACCAAGAGAGCAGTGACACTGAATTAAAAAAAAAACACTGAGGGTGTTTCAGAAAGAGTGCTGTAAACTCCAAATTGCTTTGGTTTCAGGTTAGAAAATAGATGCTTTGGCGCTGACGACACAGTTGAAAGGTGCGGCCCATGTACAGAGGTTATAGTCTGTGTTGCAGTGGTTGCTAATTGGACAAAAAGGTGAAAAAGCTCCAAAAAGTTACTTAAAAAAAGGAAAAGAAAATTGGAGCTACCAGCACAAAAAAATGCAGAGTGGACACAGGCCCTTATGAGATGTCGTGTCAAATGTTATATACCTTGATGTAAAAAGTGTCTGTTTTGTTAAAAGTACATGTAGCTAACATTATTCCAAAAATGGCTTCACGTTTATATGAATGTAAAAAAAAGTCAGTGCTCAACATGAAGCAGACGCCGATATAAACTTTTAGTATTTCCTCTTTCTTGATTCTCATATTGTGATCAAACAGGTCTAACTAAAAGGTTCCAGCCCGTTGGTGGAAGTCCAGCTGATCTGTGATTTAGTGGATCCCCTCGCTGCTCTTCTTTGAACTCTCTCTGTCTCTCTCTGTCTGATTTAGGATGGCCCATGTTCTGCAGTTTGATGAGCAAACCAGAAAAGTCAAGGATGCCAACATGCAGGACGAGGACACTTTCGAGATCTACGACCCACGCAACCCTGTCAATAAACGAAGAAGAGAGGAGAGCAAGAAGATCATGAAGGAGAAAAAGGCCAAGAGGTGAGGTCACCGGGTCAGAGGTCGGGTCCTGCCGAAGCCATGTGACTGAAAAAGAAAAAAAAATGGGTCATGCAGCATCCTGTCTGCTCCCTTCAAACTGAGCGCTCTCTGGGCTGGAACATCTGGATGGTGATGCTGACCATACGCTCTGTAATCTGTGATGGAAACGCTTCTCTTTGAACAGCTGGACCTGGAAGACTCTCAGCTACTCGCCAGGATGTCTTCAGCTCTGCTCGTAGTAATGATTGAGCTCATGATTTGATTTCATGTAATGCTGTTAACCTTCGTATCATGTTCATCTGTAAATGTTGAAAAAGGAGCGTTAGACTTGCCAGAATAAAATGCATTTGTAAGGACTGTGACTCAGTTTGTTCTGTATTACCTAAAATAAAACCAGTGGCCATATTATTAGGCACATCTGGACATTTTATTAACTCACAAAATAATACTGTCATACTCTTGACCAAAACTAGAACATACAAGTTAATTAAAAAGGCAGGTGACATGCTGACATTGTCTGGAAGATGTTAATTAAACTGTCATGGACCTGTGTAGAGTAAGCACTGTAGGGGAGAGTGGGGTAAGATGAGCCATTTTTAATTCATAAGGTCCTATTTAGCGTCTTTATGAGGAGAAACAATATCTATCTAATATTAACGACAGGGTAAGTCTCTAAAATCTTCGAGTTTTAAAAGTCTCGACGCGTTCCATTAAGTTTTCAAAATGGTGGAGCCCACCGACTCCAGTTTCACTTACCTACCGTACGTTATATTGCAACTGGCTGGGTCTGTGGTCATAGAAGCTAAGCTAGCTACGACCGTTAGAGTGTGACGTTAGTTTGAGTGACGTTAACAATGTACGGGACCAAAAAGAGCTATTTTTTTTTTTTTATCCTTATATCTGTTCTTCCTACACATGATGTTTTAGCTCAAAATAATAGTAAAATAAAATAATAAAAAAAGGACATTAATGGGATTAATTATAACGTCAAAAACATGCTAAAAATTAAACCTTCCTCCTGTGTTAGCTTTTACTATGCACCCACCATGTTAAGGGTCGGTTTTGACCTGTGTCTTAAATCAGCTGTAAATTACACTAAAAACAATTCTCTATCCTCCAGTTTGGTTCTCATCTCTAGGTTACCTTGTTATCCATAAAAAATTGCGTATAATATTTTCTGTTGTGGTCTTGTGGGCCTTTCTTTGTCACTATACCCCTCACACAGACATCTATACTGAATTGACCTCACATGTCTGGATTTGCCTGATGGTTTTTTTTGTTTGTTTTTTTGTTGTGCAGGGTAAAAATTGGTAATATGAGAATTTCCTAAATCTCACATGATTGGAAGAGGATCTGACTGTCAGTGTGATGCCTGCCAGTGCACATATGATTTCCGTTTTTGCTCTTATTATTAGATATTGATCTAACCGGGTCAACAGCGACCTCAACACGACAAGTGCCATAATTTGATCGAGAGCATTTTATAATTTTGTCAATTCAATTTTTTTATTTTTATCTAGTTGAAATAGATGTTCCTGACAAAGTCAAAAGTCTTGATGAAAAAAAGCTAATTTAAGTGGTTCTTTTAAGCATTTAAAATAAAGAACGGGTCGGTGCAGACCCTAACACAGAAGGAGGGTTAAGATATCCTTTAAAATTATTCACTTTCAACTTAGTGAGATGTTTTAACTTAATTCTTATTCTGTTCAGTAGAATATCTAGTATTCAATATTTTAAACTACAAAATGCCATTTCCCAGACTGCTGTCATGAAGTGGAGCAGGACCTGGTGGTTATATGTGGGGAATGCAAAGTTGGTGATTTTCCGCCCAGGTGTCATGAGGTTCAACATCTGTTCTCTGGATACTCTCACCTTTGACACTGTCCATGCATGCACATTAGAGATAGCGTATGTGCTCATATGCAGCTGAAGAACAGGTGGATTTTGGTTCATTTTTAAGCTGATCAACTACAGCTGGATGGCTAACAAGATGAACAACATAAAAAAGGCTGACAGGACATGGGAGTCTAACTGCTTATATTTAATGTTGTATAATAGTAAATTGTCCCTTCAACGCAGAGTCAAAAAGCCTTTTTCCTTCCATTGTACCTGTGCATGGTCATGCCGGGGTCACTGCTGGAGTAGTCGGCTTGTAAAAAAGGAGCTGTTCAAACTAAAGACTTTACTTCACTGAGGTGGTTTAAGGGCAAACGATCCAGGAGTAGGATTTGTTCAGTGCACTTTTTTGAACTGCACCTCTGGGATTAAGCTTGAATTTTTGTTTGGGACAGGAAGGTGAGTTAATGTTACATTATGATCCCAGCTCAGGCCACAAATCTAAAACAGGTGAGACAGCAGCATAGCTCTGTGTATGTGCTTCTGGGTGCAGCTCAGGTAAAAACCATCAAATATAATTTTTGATGTCTTTGATGCAATAAAGATCCTCAACCCTGCAGATAAATTAGACTTTTATAAGATTTTAAATTGACTGATCTTGCCATTGTATTTAGTTATTTATGTTCATATGGCTGCTTAAAGAGAAGGTGTAGTTCTTCTCTAGCACCACCAGGCTTCCCAGTGTCACCATGCCCAGCTCTGGGAAGGAAATACTACTCTTTGCTGCCGGTCATGTGACTCCAAGTGATGAGATGGGATGGTAATAGCATTATCATTCTACTCCACAACCACTATCTCCCTCTGCCCTTGTAGTTAAGGGCTAAATATAGCCAGGTAATCCCTCTGCTCTCATAGAAATACAACACTTCCTCTGTTGCAAAGACTACTCTCTCCTATTTCCTACTTCCAGTGTTTCCCCATCCCTGGAAAAGATCATCTTAATCTCACTAAAGCAGACATACTGTTGCATTTCACTCCTTCTCTACAGGTCGAAGTGGGCCTTTGTTGCTCATATGTTTGGCGTCAGAGGTGGCCTGTGTACTTGACCCGGATCCGTGGCTATGAGTCCTTGTGCCCCACGGTGTGATGGACGGGATGTGCAGAAGAGAGAAGCGTGGTAAGTTGGCGTGCGTTCATCGGGAAGGATATTGATGAGTCTCAGAGATCAAAGAGAGGATGGTTTGGACAGTCACAGTTGTTTTTCAGGGTTCATTGATGGTCACTCACAGACATCCAAAGACCGAGCGAAGAGTTCATTTTCATCTTTTCTACTTTTTTCTCTATTTTTGATCTAAAATAAAGATTGTGATTACTTTTTAGCTATCTTGTATGTGCTCCAGGATATGTTAAAAATGGTCATTCGGTGCCTAAATTGTTCCAGCTGCCTGAATTAGTTGTGAACTTGCACTTTCAGTTCATTTAAAATCGACATTTAATAAACCTAAAATCATTGTAGGACCAAATTCTGTCATTGATTCATAATGTGCTATTTTGAAGCTGTGATATGAAGAGGACAGGAGAGGATACTGGCAGCTGGTAAGATCTTCCAGTACACTGAAAAAGTCGTGATATCCCGAGGGGTTAAATTTAGAAATGGCAGCACTGAGTACCTGAGTGTACCGGCCCACTTAAAGCACTTTCACTGCAGCATCTTCCAGGATGACATTGCATTTGGGAATAAGTTCAGCCTGGTTCAAATTCTTGGCTGGACAGCTTGTGCTTTTGTTCTGGAGCTGTCTGCTTCAGCCAGCTGGCAGAGTTTTATCCTGCAGACAAAAGACTTAAATCTTAATTATGTTTTGATGTAAATGTATGTGTACATTTTGGCTTGTCGGCTGTTTAATCTGTTCTCTAACCTGAGAGAAATCAGGCTTTGCTTGGATAAAAGCCCTAATGTGACTGATTATATTTCACTGTTACTTTAAAGGATGATTTTTTATACAGACCAGGTCTTTCTCTCCCTCATTACAGCCCCTTCTTCCCGGAACAATGATCTCCCGAGGTGCTTCTTACATTAGCAATAAGACTTGTTTAAACTTAGTGAGATGACGGGGTAAGACAGAGCTGTCTTTGTCTGGCAGAGCTCTTAAACCACTGTGTTGCCCCTGTATTTGTAGATTAAAGTTAAGGCTGCTCGGACATACCTTGAAAATGACATGTCAGAGCAGAGGTGTCTGTCAGGAGCCAGAGAGATGCCAGTCAGAGAAAAGAAGTCCTGGGAGCTGTGGGGAACTTCCTCGGGGAACAATGGTGTAATCATTCATCAACAACTGCCAAGTATGAAGTCCGAGGGGGGCCTGCCCATGAAATTCCCAATACCACAGCTATTAGACAGGACCAGTCAGGAATGAGAGAAATGTCTTAGAAACTGTACAAACAAGAGGAAACGAGGGTAAACAATGACTTTAGCCCAGATCTACAACAGAGATCAAAGGAGTGAATCCCAAAAACAATGTGAGGCACTAAATTACAAAAGAAAGGGTCATTTGGGGTTTTAAGATCCATCCACCATTTTCCAAAGTATAAAAAGAATATGCAAAATTGAATTTTGATGTTAGTTAGTTAGTTAGTTAGTTAGTTAGTTAGTTAGTTAGTTAGTTAGTTAGTTTGTTAGTTTGTTAGTTTGTTGTTTGTTTGTTTGTTTTCTGTTTATTGTCCCTTCTTGGACGATAATAAAATAACTCACTAACTAACATCCTTATGGCATTAGTTAGGTAAATTAGTTGGGGTTTTTTTATTGTCCGTTCTTGGACAATAAAAAATACTAAGTTACTAACTTACCAACTAACTAACATCATAAGGATGCTGGTTAGCAAGTAAGTAACTTTGTTTGTTTGTTTGTTTATAGTCCCATCTTGGACCATACAAAAGCAACTCATTGACTAACCAACTAAATTCCTTATGATGTTAGTTAGTTAGTTAGTTAGTTAGTTAGTTAGTTAGTTAGTTAGTTAGTTAGTTAGTTAGTTAGTTAGTTAGTTAGTTAGTTAGTTAGTTAGTTAGTTAGTTGTCCTATCATGGACATTAACTAAGTTACCAACTAATTAACTACCTAACTAACATCATAAGGAGGTTAGATAGTGAGTGAGTGAGTGAGTGAGTGAGTGAGTGAGTGAGTGAGTGAGTGAGTGAGTGAGTGAGTGAGTGAGTGAGTGAGTGAGTGAGTGAGTGAGTGAGTTAGTTAGTTAGTTAGTTAGTTAGTTAGTTAGTTAGTTAGTTAGTTAGTTAGTTAGTTAGTTAGTTAGTTAATTAGTTAGTTAGTTAGTTAGTTAGTTAGTTAGTTAGTTAGTTAGTTTGTTTGTTTGTTTGTTTGTTGTTTGTTTGTTTGTTTGTTTGTTTGTTTGTTTGTTAAACGCTTCTTGGACAATTAAAAAACTAAGTAACTTACATCATAAGGATGTTAGTTAGTTAGTTAGTTAGTTAGTTAGTTAGTTAGTTAGTTAGTTAGTTAGTTAGTTAGTTAGTTAGTTAGTTAGTTAGTTAGTTAGTTAGTTAGTTAGTTAGCACATGTGTTCCCAGAAGATGTATCTTATTTAGCACAGGTTATTCCTCATTTCAGGTTTTTAGTTAGTATTTTTACAACTGAGATCAAACAAAGTGAATTTCGGAAAGGATATTTTGTGGTACCCAGAGGATGAGTCTTAGAAACATTGTCTCCATTCGATACATCTTATGTCCCCTGAGGATGAATACTGTTGACTGGTTATCTTTTGATTTCCCTCAGCACTGATATGTGGTTAATATCTTAGCTTTGGTCAATTTCTTTGTGATCAGATGCTGTAGAATTAAGAGCAGGTATGAATGGTGCCCAGAGGATGAATCCTGACAATAACATGTACCCCTTGATCTCAAAAAGCCATGATATTTCATGAAAAATATCTGTGTTCTCCAGGATATGAACCAATTACCCTTCTGTCGCCATTTGACTTCATTTATATCCACAAACAATCAAAGTTTTAACTTCACATTAGTTCCAACATTTGCCCCAGAGGACGAACCCAAATTATATTTTTACTGTTTTTAATGGGAAATAGTTCCAATCATACTGAAATTCTACAGGTTCCTCATACGCTCAGTTTCAGCAGGTAGATGGGTCACCTTTAAGGGATGCGGCTTTGTTCCTTAACCATCCTCTGTCAGCAGGAAAGCCAACAGGTAAATGGATTAAGTGTATAAAGAATCAATAGCCAATCACTTAGGCCAGTGGAGTAAAGCCAAGAGCTTATGCTTGGTTGTGGATGAGGCTGAATAATAGTGAGTGTGTGTGTCAGCATCACCATTTGGGTGGATGGAGCTGGTGAGCGTACTTAAGGACATCCTCTATCTCTTGAGAACGTTATGAAATCCATCAGGAATGAATTATGTCGTGATTTAGCCTCTTCTGCTCCAAGTGCTCACAGCTAATAAATGACAGCAAGCTAATGAGGACAAATGATAATGGGGCTGTGGTCCGAGTACAGAGAGCTCTGAGGCTCACGGTCATTGCTCTGTTCGGTTTCATTGTGATGCTGCTTCTGTCTCCGTTTCATAGCTCACATGTCCTTCACTCCTGGCAGGGAAAAGGTGAGTCTTTGTTTAATACGTGGACGGACCGAGGACATCCAGAAGAAGCACATTGAAGGTTTGACGGTGATCCCGATGGTCGGCTGTAACGTGAACCCTCTTAGGATCGGTTCTTTTAGTAGCTTGTAAGTGTAATTATGTTCGGAGGTAACAATGTGTTTAATGGATGTGTAAGTCATCCCACTTTATAGCGTGTATTAGTTGTCCTTAATGCGATCTCTCGCCAGTCTCATTACAATGAAAAAGTGGCTGTAAAGACAAAATGATCTGCTCGTGAGCAATTTTGTTAATTGACTTGAGATTTATCACTCAGATGTTCTTTTAAGACAATACAGCCTCATTTAAGTGATAGAGTTGTCCTTCGTTTGAAGATGTTAAATGGCCAAATGAAAAGGAGGGGTAGCTGCTTTATCGGGTCATCCCATTGGTCAGATTAGTTTCTTAAAGGACATTATTAAAAGACAGGTTTTTACTTCTGCGCTGACTCAACTCCATATCTGTTATTGCCTCAACCCAACCGCTTTACCTCATTGTACATCAACCAAAACATATGAAGACATAAATGTGTTCATCTGGTGTTCACTTTTAAGCCCCTAAATTTAAAGAGGTTCAATAATAATCCACTTTAATCCAGTTTATTCCATTATTGACCCATTTTTGTTCCTCTGTTACTCATTAGACTAATAGTTTGATCTTCAACATTTAACCGTCTTTCAGTTGAGCTTACACAAGTCTTTGTCCACAGAGGGATAACCTCCAGATGTCTGGCGATTATCCCCTGATGTTTTGTTTATTAGGGACCCACTGACGATATGTTCGGCACTTGTTTCCATGCTCCAAATTCCTGAGGTTACAAACCTACATCACCAGACGATAGGAGACATGATTATTATGCCTCTTGCACTCAGAGGGATTAACCATTCACTGAAAACACATTTGCATTTTGGCAGGACTCGTGGACCCGCTATTATGGCAAAGGTCAGAGAGTGCATCACAGAGTTCCTGGAGCTGTGTGCCAACATTCATTCATTCATTGCAGTGTTGAAATGGATCCATGAATGTGCCGTGAGAAATATGGACAGCTTTCAGTTTGAACCCTCTCCCACAGGATTGAGTTCTCTGAAATGAACTTTCTAAGTGCCGAAAACTTTTACAACAGCCACTAAAACTCGACAATAGGGATAATCTCGTAATCCAGGTTTCTCTGTGGGAAACAAGACTGACCTGTGCTGGTGGGAGGTCTCTCTGTAGGTCATTGTTAAACTGGAATCCTGTCCTGACAGGTTACATTTTTTACCTTTGCCTGAGGACCTTTGCTTGCCTTGGTCATGGCCTTCCTCTCTTGGTCACATATGAGCCGGTATACAGCCTGAGATTCTGGAGTAGAAGTTTTTACGTTACAGGTAGCAAAGCTTTTAAAGTCAGAGCCCGATGGCACTGAAACAACCTGCCTACAAGAAACAGGTCCACAGACTCAGTCAGTGCGTTTACATGCACAGCTTGATCGGACTAAGCTCATAATTCGCTTTTTTTGCCGAAATCAGACTTCTCTCCTTGTTCGCATATACATGCAGCTGAGAAAATTGAATTATTGACATGAACATGTCCTCCTTCCCAAAACTAGGGGGCGATATGGGTCTTTTCAACAACAGCAGGTCCGTGCCAGACGTCAGAAGTGGCTACAACTGCTAGTGGGCATTTTCAAGTAAGAAGATGGAGCATCGTACAGCGTTGTTTTTGTTGTACATGGTGTTCACACCACTTTTTCTGCAGATGAGATTCACACTACTCCTCTTCTCTGGTGTTTTTGTTCCAGGTTAGGGGGGCGTGGCGCACATGCATTGTCCATCATACTCCAAAGTTTTTTCAAAGTGATGTTCTTCGTGGACCGAAACTCACTTCTGACCACATACTTCGCAGAGTACTGCGAGGTAACTTGTCCAATCAAAATGCAGAAAAAAGCCCATATATTCTGGGTAAGGAATCCAAACGCCTGGTCGTGTCTTTGGTTCACAGGCGATAGGACGAGCTCAAAGCTCCAGACCCGCTAAGAAAACAGCTTTGAAGGAGGCCACGGAGCACAGCTGAGGCATTTCTCTTTGCATCTTTGAAGGTGTGAAGGAAAAAACACATCCTCCTGGTGTATGTGAAGGGGTGGCTGTTGCCCTCTCCTGTTCAGCCAGTGCCCTTCAGGGCTTTGATCTTGTCCGTGGCAGTTCAATCTGGGCCTCAGCTGTGGGAAAGAGCAACAGGGCTTAACAGTACAGAGCCCAAACAGAGCCCAGTAGATAGCAGGTGCCGGAGCCGTGACCTTCCCATCCCAGGCTAGCATTCCTGCCTGTCAGACCCCCCAGGTCCGTGCATGCACTGTCTCCACTGACACCATCTGGAGCTGTTTGTCCTGCTGCGCAGTTTCAGATGGAAGAGTGTCGGAAATGCTTCAAGCACTCATCGACAACGCCGCGGTACCACAGCAACTTTGATTAAGAATGATAAACTCTTAGGGAGCTATGTTGTTTGTCACTTTGCTAATCCTCACACCTCCCAGCTGGAGAACAAATACACAAACAGATTCTGGTTTTAAGTTCAGAGCTCAGGACTACAGCCAAGAGTAATGCCACAGGTCTTGGAGTTTAACCCCTGAAGGGAGGAGGATGGTTACCACCTGAGAGACTCAGACGTGCCTGAAAAAAAAGATCTTTGAAGTGTGAATTTAGGATGGGGAAGAATTTTAACATGTTTGTCTGCATGATCGCAATAGCTCATGCTTATTAGTACCGGTAGAAATGTAGAAAATCTTACAGGCATTTGTTTTGTCCGTCAGCCTGTGAGGGATATTTGAAGCTGATCATGGTTCATCTCACTGTCAGTGCTGAGTCCTGAAGAGGAGGAGGAGAAATCTGTTCCCCATCCTCTTCTCCTCACCTCTTTCTGCAAGACCAGAGTGAGCTCCATGACTCAGCATTCAGGCTCTGGGAGTTCACAGAGTCGTGGACTCAGTCTGGTACGCCTAATGGATTGATCATTAATTAATAAAGCACCAAAATAACAACCAACATTATCTGAAGATGTTTTACAGAAGTCGTTTTTTGCAAGTTCTGCATCAGACCCACAAAGTTTGGAAAGTTTTAAGTTTGTGAGTTTAAGTATTAAAAAAAGTGGCCAGAAATACGATTCAAGAAAAAAGGGAGGAATAAAAAGGAAAGGATGTGAGATAGAAAGGAAATAAGGAGTTTACAAAAGAAGGATGTGGGATATAAAGGAAAAAAGAAGAAAGGAAATAGGAAAGCAAGGAGGCAAAGAAATAGAGACAGGAAGGAAGAAAAGAAATGAAAGACAGAAGAAAGGAAGGAAAGAAGGAGAAAGAAAAGAAAGAAAGAAAGAAAGAAAGAAAGAAAGAAAGAAAGAAAGGACAGAAGGGTGGGGGGGTGAAGTAAAAAAAGACAGGAAGGAGGGATAAAAGGGAATTGAATAAGGAAAGAAATAAGGAAGGAAGGAAGAATGTAAGAAAAGAATAAGTTGACAAAAGAAGGAAAAAGGGGGCAAGGATGAAGGTTAGGTGGGATGAAAAGAAGGAATTGAGAAATAAAGAAAGGTGGAAAGAAAGGAAGCAAGGAAGAAAGAAGAAGCAGGAGAAAAGGAATGAAGAGAGGTGAGAGAAGACAGGAGAGAAGCACGAAAAGAACAGAGGTGAAAAGGACGGAAGGAAAAGAAGATAGAAAGGAAAAAAGAAGGGAAAGGAAGAGAGAAAGGAGGGGAGGGAGGGTGACAGGAAGAATAAAGGAAAGTCTGGTGAAGAGAGAAAGAAAGGACAAAAGAGAGAAGGAAGGAAATGAAGTAAAAAAAAAAGAGGAAGGGGGGTGAAAGGGAATAAATAAGAAAAAGAAATGAGAGGAAAAGGAAGAAGGTAAGGTAAGATGGAACAAAGGAATCAATAAATGAAGAAAGGTGGAAAGGAAGGGAGCAAGGAAGAATGAGAGGAGAGAAATATTTGGGATGGAAGAAGCAAAAAGGAAGGAAACAAGAGAAACAAGAAAAGACAGGAAAGGAACAAACCTTAGAAAGGAAAAGGAGAAAGAAAGGAAGAAATGAAGGTAGGTAGAGGAGTTTCTCAGGGTCAGATCAGGTCCTCACACCCCTTCAGTACCTGGTTCCTCATAAAAGCCCCCTAACACTCGTGGTCCGGGCCTCCCCCTCTCAGAGCTGATTTTATGGACGTGTTTCGTCTCCGTGCCTGTGCTCATATATCCACAGACGTGGTTTGTAACATACATCATTGCGGACGCTCGCGCACATGCTGCAGGAGTCACATGTTGGATGTGATGAAACCACCTCAGCCTGTAAAGTCATCTGCAGAAACAGTCTGAACTCTATCAACTCCCCTTTCTCTCTCTCTTCTGGTCACCCTGAGCTGCTCTGCAGGTTAGTATAATGTAATCACAGACCCCTGCAGATGGGCCAGCAGGAGAGACAGAAGCTGGGCCAGACGTCCAGGTATTCTAAACTGGTTACATTAGACCAAACAGGCCATCTGTCTCCCTCTGTAATGGGACACTGTGGATTAGAAGGAGACTGCTGCCTTTCCCAGCCAAGTGGGCTAGTTACTGTTTATTTGGAATTAATTACCAAGGAGAGTGGAAACCTCACAGCTCCCAGAGAGTGAATCCAGACACTTGAGGCCGCGATGAGAGGAAGGAGACTGCCATACCAGAGCTATGGCAACAAACCCGGAACAGTTCAGACGGGGGGTTTGATGCTACTGACTGAGAATGGCTGACGTTTATTATGTTTGACTCTCGGATGATGATGATGCAGCTGGCGTGTGGGAGTTAGGTAAATAAGGACAAAAGCTTTCACAAACGCCCTCCTTCTGCGATCGGTCACCCTAAACTTCGGCAGTGAATGAATGGATTTCTTCAGCGGTGGTAACGGGTATCCTGGTGTGATGCCATCGGCTTTTCTCATGCCGTGGGCGCTTTCCAAGAGCCGAGTGAAAGGACGGGAGTATATATCTCTTAAAGCCTGTGAGAACGGAGCATCCACCCTGGCACCAACACTTCAGTTTGATCCTCAGTGAACACTGAGCTCAAAGGGATCACTGTGTACATGACTACAAATGCTGGGCAGACGTGATTTGATGTGTTTTGACAATAAAATGAACCTAAAACACAGATCCTGCTGAAGGGCTGTATCTTTATTTTTATTTTTTTGCGCCCTGAGAGGAGTTGATGGTACGGAGATTAAAGCCAGAACAGTCAGGCATGTCTGAAGAACCTCCACATTTCCCAAAGCGAACACTAATGCTGTGTTCCAGTCGTATTTCGATGTCAGAAGTCCCAGCTGAAAATGACATCACACCCGAGTTTCCAGGGTTTCAGTTACCAAGTCAGAAAGAAGCAAGATCGGAGGCAGAAACAAGATGGCTACATCTACGAAAGTTATTTTCGCGCTCGCCTTGTCCGATTATAAGGCAAGCACTAAAATAACTTTCGCAGATGGAGCCACCTTGATCCACCTCTGATTTTTCTTTTTTCCGACTTGGTAACTGAAACGCTTAGGTGTGACGTTGTTTTCAGCTCCAACGTCTGACTTCGGGTAACTCAAATGCAGCATAATGCTGTGTTCCAGTTGTACTCGGAATCCGGACGTCACTGTGAGCGCCCCCCTTAAGTCAGATTTCCGACTCGGAAAGTTGGATGATCCTCAAAAACCCAGACTTGACAACAACGTCACAATCCAAGATGGCAGCGCAGGGCATAAACAGTAAAGAGTAACAGTGAAAGCTCTCGTAATGTATGAATTATTAGCACTTTGTGAAATTAAATAAGTGGTATATGTTTTACTGCCCAACAACTTACTGTGAACATGGTGCTAAGGTGTTAGTAAGTGTAAAACACTGTGATATGCGTTGTTTACAACTGGTATGGCTAACAACAACTAACAACAGCTGGCAACGGCCAACAATAGCTGACAATTGTTAACAACAGCTAACAACGGCTAACAGTAGGCGTCCATCTTGGTTTTTCCAACTTGTTTACTGGAACGCCATCAACTCAGGTGTAACGTCATTCCCAGCTCCAAAATCCAACTTCCGAGGTAACTGGAACGCAGCATTAGACTGAGTGAGAACACCTCTTTGGATGGTGTCTTGTGCTCAGACAGTTGCCATAGTTTCCCAGTTGTCTGCAAAATATAACATCATAGCAACACCAGGGCTTGACACTAACTTTTTTCACAAGGAGCACACAAAGAACTTTAGGGGCACAATGAAAATTGATCAAATAATGTCTGTCTTGTTGTCCGACCTTAGTACTATTATTTGACATCAATTTTAGGTCAGTTGGTCACTTGACATGAAAGCTATTGACGGAAAACAGCCTTTTTTGAGAACATCAACAGGTAATTTATTGATGGTCCCTATAACACTCAACTTTGACAGAGAGGGTGCCGTGTAGATTTAACCGCGCTGTTCCCGGTTATGGCGAGTGAGAAGACACCGGTAGATCCGCAGTGAATGTCCATTGGATATCCAACCTAAAACTAATGTCACCGCAGTATTTACATGAAAAAACATTTGTTGCCTCTGCTGATTTCTTTTTTTTTATGTGCACACATGCCCCTAAATAATTTCACAATTTGCACACATCTATTTTTAGTCGCAATGGTTGCACTGTTGAGCCCTGAACACCCATCGCCTGTGATGAGAATAAAAGGAAACACCGGTGTGTGGTCTCTTTAAAAGCTGCTCTTTTTATTGTATCTACTTTTTAAAAAAAAGGGCTGGTGAGGGGCTGTATCACTGCATTTTTTCACTATGCTAATTTTCAGTTTGCATGCAGTGAAATAAATGTACAAGTGAGACAACGCAATAAATTAGCATATAATTTACATTTGAAAAAAAAAATTAGTAACAGTGTACCAACATTAATACTGAATATAAAATATAAGCAAATAATCACATGATGCTTTTTCATTTCTCTTGCACTTTCGGTACAGGTATAAGCAATGTGACATTCAAACATCCAAGTTCACAGCAATGAGTACCAGTTGGATTGATTTCACTTCTTTTTTTTTTTCTGGAGGCTCTGTCTTTTTCTCCTGCCGCGAGTGGATGAGTTAGTCCAAGCACTTTGAAGGTCTCAAATGCTTTCCAGCATCCACCGTCTTTTCCCAAATGCCTCCTTCAAGGTTTGGTAACCAAAAAAAACTTGCTCGACATCGTCGTATATTGAAGGTGGCTACAAAAAGTAGCAGCAGCAAAATTAGAAATTAGTTGTTAACAGCTTTGATGAGATCCTTGCACACTCCTTTGTTGTCTCTCAGGTTTCTCCTACTGTACCTCCATAGAAAGTGTGATGGAGACGCGTTCCCTTTGCATAGAGGGATCAGCAACAACCGGGTGAGTGTCCACAACAATACATGGTTAACAATGACATTTCCCAGTGTGAGGTATAAACAGATACAACAAAACATTAACATGACCAGCATTTAACCAACAGAGATATTGACAAGGATATTCTTTCATATTGTTTGGATCCAGCCTCACTTTAAACACACTGGAGAGGGTTGAATAGAAGCACCCACTTGATAGCACCAGAAGCCTGGGAAGGCTGTAACCCTCAGAGCAGAGCGGGAGGAAAAGAGAAGGTAAACACAAGAGTCCATGGAAGTAACAAGTGAAAACGGAGGGAAAGAGCACCATTCAGCGGGCTGTTTTTGAGCTCTCACTGAGGGGTCAAAAGGACGAGGGGGTGACTTTAACCAGAGGCTCATCTGAAGCAACATTAGGATGATTATTTCTGAAAGGCTTCGAATGAGAAACTCAACCCATCATACCGCTAGAGCAACAACCAGGTATTGGTTAGCCTAGCTTAGCATCAAGACCTGATACAGGGGGACACTTAGAACCTGCCAGCTTACGTAATGGCGTCCATTAATTCTGTAACACCCAATATTCGTGGTCACCATTTTGGAAAGGCTAACTCCAACGAATTCGAAACAGGCAAAAACTTGGAAAAGAGGCTGCCCGCCAAATGTCTACAACAAGCTCACCTGTCAGTCGAATTGGCCACACCCCTAATTATGTCTATTAATGTCAGTGAGACCAGATTAAAAAATCTGACATTTAAAAACACAATGAAAAAAAGGAGGATATGAAAAATTCTGCCCTACAAAGACGTTAAAAAGGTTTGGTCAAAAAACTGCAGTTCCACAAGTGGCCACTAGAGGCTAGCTCCAAAATTCAAGTCATTACACACTGTCGGTGGGGATTGTGGGAGTACATTGATCTGTTTTTAAGATATAACAGCTAACAGAAATTTACATGTAAGGAATTCAAACTGCTGTCATCTTAAACTCCCCTCAGCTCCACCTATTTGCCTGTTGCTATGGTGATGAAAAGTGAGATTGAGGCGGAGTTTCCAATATCGTGTCTGCTAACATCTTCATAACACCTCTTCAGAAACTCATGGGTGACGTTAATGAGACTGCATACAGGTTTCACACTGTTTATGTGTAACCTTGGCTTTTGAAGCAAGCCCCCAGTGGACACTCGAGGAACTGCAATTTTTTTTTAAATCATTGTCGGACACCATAAAAGCATTACATGTTTCCACATCGGGAGTTTTTTTTCTTTTTTAAGATTTTTTAACATAAAAACTTGAAGTTGATGCTCTAAGACAGATGTAACCTGTTGGTTCATGACCTCAGCTGACCTGGTTGGTTCATGTTTTTTAAAGTTTGGACAGAGTCGGGTTGTAAGTTTACCTCGGGTGACATTCTTCATATTACACTAAGCTGAGCTGATCCTGGCTAGAGCCTCATATATACAGGACAAATCCTATAGACTCTTTTACAGACTCAAGATTGACGTCACCTTTCTTATGAAGTTCTCAGCAGGAGAGCAAACAGAATCTACTTCATGTGATTTTAAATGTTTGCTTTCTGCTGAAGTACAAAAACATGTCAAAGATAAGAAATAGTGAGTGTGATGTGAATCCGTTGAACAAGCTGCTTCACAAAATGAATCCTTCAGAGGTGAAATGAATGCTCCTGATCGGGATGTTGCTAACGGTGTTGCATGCAGCCCAGGCACAGCGACGTTAGCTTCATGCTACTTTTGGATTACTGAGCGAGGAACTAAGGCACCCATGTGGGAAAAGATAAAGTCATGTCAATTCTTGGTATTTTCTGGTCCTGGATTAACATCATATTATATAATATAGAAATCCTTACAGTATATAAGGGTTTAAGGTATGTTACAGTATGTTATATTCTAGCTCCAGCACAGAGACACTGAACATGAATTCAATCACATTACATTCCCTTCCATGACAGTAGGCTACTATCCGACAATATCTCAGCTCTGTTTGGATTGGTACAATAAATATACAGTACACTGATGGGGTTTCTCTGTCCTATACGAGCGGTAAATTGGCAAAGTATTTACACAGACAAGAAAAGTGCACCGAAGACAAAAGTCTGCCTGCCAATAGCACCATCACAGTCATCCCAAAGACAGGAGTCCGACACGTTCAACACCCCGTCCTCCACCGAGGAGTCCTCCCCTCCGTCTGTCCGTCTGTCTGTCTGTATGTATGTCTGTGGGGGAAACACCCTCAAAGAGCGATGTGTCCAGCACTTTGGATTCATGAAACAACGACACAGAGGAAGACTAACAATGATATTAATAATTATTATTATAATAAAAATAACATCACCAACATATCATCTTCCGAGTTCCACTTCACAGAAGTGAAAATTAAAAAAATAAAGTTTGTGTCAGCGCTGAGGGCTGAGCAGTGGTTTGGATTCCACCGTGATGGAGGGCAGGAGGAGCAGGTGTGACGAACAGGGATGCCTTTACTTCCTCTTTTCCTCCGCATGTCTGTTTATGTGGTCCCGACGTTTTTTAAACTCTTCCCTGTTTTCTTCTTTCCTCCTTTTCAGTGCTGATTCAGCTTCCCTCCATCCGTCTCGCTCCTTCTCTCACTCTCGCTCGCTGCGTCTCCCCAGCGGTCAGTGGCCCTGGCATGTCTTGCAGCACATCTGTCTGAAGTACGCACGACTGCAGAACTTGAACTTCAGCACCAGTGGGCAGTACGCCACTTTGTTTACGTCTTTGCATTCTGGAAATAATAAAGGAAAAAATCACAACGCTTGAAAGATGCAGCTTCACAAATGACTTTTCAATGTTCTGTGATGAATTCAGAAAGTGAGTGCATGATGGAGAGCTTGTGTCACTTTAGTCTGGAGTTTTTAGCCCCTGCAGGATGTTTAAGGAGAAAGTAATGAGGGTGTCCTAGTCTTTTAGTAAACCAAGATCGACTCTTATACCAAGAGCGTCTTAAGTACCCAGATTAGGGCTGGGCAATATGGCCTCAAATCAATGTCACGATATATTGAGCGGTTCACCTCGATAACGATAAATAGACGATAACTACTCCACAAGCTGCTCACCCCCTCACACATTAACTTTGTCTACTTCAGCCGCCGCTCGAGCTGCAACAACTTTTGGACCATCCTCCATCTCCTCACCTGTCTTTCCCTCTTTGTTACAGACTGGATGGGGTGGAGTCACGTCTCTGACGTAGGACAGAGTCTTAAAGGGACATGGGACCATAGCTTACCTCCACACATCTAAAACCAACTTTTATTTATTTATTTTTTGACATTTAATATACCGATATGAGCAAAATGAAGTCGGTTATTTTTCGTAAATTTCGGTATCGGTAAATTCTCGGTTTATCGCCCAACCCTAACACAGATCCTTGTGAATAGAAGAACTGCTGCAGATGTTTATATTCAAGCGACCCGAGACAATCTGACAGCCAGTAATGCTGAACAAGAAATCGTGTTTTTGGCACAAGTCCTCCATTGTTCATCTGATGAACTGCGAAAGAGGTTTTCAGGAAAATTCTGAGCTCATATTCAGTCACTCTACGTCTTATGGCTTCTGAGAAGGGAACCTGGCGTTGCATTTTCAACATTTCCAATTCAGTTAGTCGCTAACAGGTGTAGGACCCCTTAGTGGATCTGGTACCTAAAGCGGGCGTAAAATATGGACCTTATAAACTTTGAACCAGGTGCACACAGGCTCCAAGATCTCCACCCAGCCTCTCATGTTCCTGCTACATTAGAGTCTCAAACAAATCATCCTAGTTTGAAAATACTGCCACCCCTGCAGAGATTTGGAAGTTTTATCATGTGTACGAAACACAAAAATGATCTGTGTAAATAAATGTGTTGAAATGGAGAAGTTTGGACGCTGTTTTGCAGCTCAAATTGAATTACCTGTTGAAATGGGAGCGTTTCTTAACTATAAACACGAGAAGCACAAACTCTGCTGCAAACATGATCGCTCGAGCATCTCCCTCCACAGAATGAAACTCTGCAACTATTCTTGGACCCAGAGGCTGGGACTGAGTCGGATCCTGGCCTCGTTCACTTGCTGGGCTATCTGCCATCTCCACCACACACACACACACACACACACACACACACACACGCACACACGCACGCACAAACACACGCACACACAGGCAGGGCTCTAAATGCCTTATCACGATCAGAGTGTCTTCCCTTATTAGGCTTTGGCCCCTGCCTCCTCAGAGCCAAATGAAACGAGACGTTGCCTCACTGCTGTCCGTAAAGGAACAATTAGCCTACAGCTAATCCCATTAGCCAGCCTGTAAACGCTGCTCACGTTTTCCATTCAGGCTAATCGAAAGGCCCTTCTCGATGCATCCGAACAGCCATCCATCATGTGTAAGTGTATATGGAGGGCTGAGCTGTTTCACTTTGACCAGGAGCCAACCTCACTGGAAAGATTAATGTCGCTGGCAGAGTGTGGAGGAGTGTGTCATCTGAGCGTGTTTAGGTCATAGCAGAACGGCGAGGATGGAGATAGAGACCGTTTATAACTGTTTTGAAGGCGGTTTTGTGTGTAAGCAAATCATGTACAGTGTCTGAGGTATTCACAGCTGTGTTTGGACTTACAGCTTTAAACACAAACCTGCCGCTTTTTTGAAGGTTTGTTCATTTTCAGATTCGAAAGTCTGAGTCCACAACTTGTTGAGCAAATCACCATAAAAAGATGACGGCCAGGCAGTGAAATGATCCTGATAGGCGGACTACAGTAAACTTTATGTGGAGGACGATAAACTTTTGGCATTTTTACAGGATATGAAAACATCAAACAGGCTTTAAATCAAAGAGAAAGCATCAACAGTTTGTACGTCTGCTGAAGTCCACGCAGGAGGACATGCTCACTACTTACTACTGTGATGAAGAAAACGAACATTTTTTAAACTAATTATTTTCAATGTTTACAGTGAATACGGTCAAATCCAAGTGACCTGTCTGTCAGGTTGACGTTGAATCTGGTAATGGTCATTCTGTTTTAGGACAAATTTTTGTACTTGGCATCTTCAGATATTAAACTCTGTCGTACATTATTTCTGATCCGTTTGACAGTCAGTGAATGTTAGTGCTGCACTCTGAAAGTAACAACATAAATCAGTCCTTTTTGTTGAATAACTTGTCCCACTTTTGATTCACTCATCGCTGTTCCTCTCCATCTCTCGTCCCCCTGCTGCCGTGGTTGTGAGTGACAGTCGGCCTCCGTCAGAATTGCAATTCTTTGTCTGCCTGTCTCAGTCATACTTCTTTAAAATGTCTTTGCACTAGGGCTTGGCGATAAACCGAAAATTTACTGATACCAAAATTTACAACAATAACAAACGTCATTTTGCCAATATCTAAAAAAAAATTAATAAATGAAAGTAGGTTTTGGATGTGTGTAGGTAGGCTATGGTCTCATGTCCCTTTAAGACGCTGTCCTACGTCAGTGACGTGTCTTCACCCCATCCAGTCCATAACAAAGAGGGAAAGACAGGTGAGGAGATGGAGGACGGTCCAAAAGTTGTAGCGACTGGAGCGTCGGCTGAAGTAGACGAAGTTAATGTGGGAGGGGGTGAGCAGCTTGTGGAGTAGTTATCGTCCATTTGTCGTTATCGAGGTGAACCGCTCAATATATATGATAATGATTTGAGGCCATATCGCCCAGCCCTAGTTTGCACTGCCTATTGGAGACCTGGATGTGTGTGTGCGTGTTGTGAGTTTGATCATCTTACCGTCACCGTTGGCGATGGGGGTAGCGTCACACTTGCTCTCACACTGCTGCATGGTAGTGGGTCGGAGGGAATCTGCGCACTCATTAGACGGCTGCCCGGTGTACGACAGACACTGCACCGTCCTCATCTGCTGACCCAGACCGCACTGAGCAGAACACTGTGAGAGGAAACACCAGAGTCAAAGTTAGCATCTACCATCTCTCCTCTCCTGACCCTGCGGCATCCAGACACACTCTGTTTAATAATCCCTGCAAACATCTCAGGAACTTGTTCATGAGGTGACAGAGCAACCCGGGGTCACCTGTCTTTGACTGATTTTTACCCTCTGACAGTGAGTGAATTTGTTTCTTCACGGGGGGGAACCGACAACTGCTGCTCGCAGCGATTTTCCTGTTCAATAAAAAAAGGAGAAACAGACTGAATGAAAATTTTCTTTTGTTTCTCACGAGGAATGCCTCTGTAATTCTTTTCAGACTCAGAGTTTAGCTACAAGCAGAAATGCACGACTAAATGAGAAGAGGGGGAATACTTCCAGATGGGTCTAGAAGGCCTCATCTGTTTGGTGTTGCTGCAGTAAAGGCCGCAACTGGAAAGAAATGCCTTCACCCGTGATTGGATAGAAATGTTATGACCATCCCGAGGACAGGAACAATCATGGTCAACATAAAAATGAAAAAAAAAAGGAAAAGATGCCAACTGTGTTAACCCTGCTCCTCAAAAAAGTAGACCACATGTAAGGCCTTAGGGCGGTGCGAACTGGTCCCTTTTTTGCTGCCTCAAGAGACGCCTTATGTATCGTCACAAAAGTCTGCTCTATTCTGTTTAAGTGTTTTGCTGCTGCTCTCCCTGCCTTGGCTTTCCAAAGTAGGGACAGGTATGAAACAGAGTAACTCCCAATTTCCACTGCATCCAGAACGCCGGTGAAAAGGCCATACACACTGATCGCAGCTGATCGTTTCCATTTGAGTTGATGTGTCACGTCGGCTTTTTTCCGGCCCCCTGTGGTTCAGCAGGCTTCGTAGCCAATTGCCAGAGTTCTATTTTTTCTGGACGCCGCAGCACGCCGCATAAATTCAGCACAAATAAGTCAATGCTGGAAAGGATGTCGGGCACAGACACAAAATAAAACATCCGGCTTCTTTTGAAAAAAAAAAAAAAAACACGTGTTTCTGAAGGATCATATTTCACACCTTGCAAACGTGGTCGGGGACAAACAAGTCAAAGATTTTCAGACTTCATTCCACCCCGATGACACCATGGATGAGGAGATGGCGATTCTAGAAGTCTAGAAGTAGATGTCCTCCTCTGGAAGGACACAATCCACTGCTTATATGGTTATGTGACTGTCTTTATACAGACAACTCGTTATCACGCATGCGAAGCTGCAGGTTCTTGTGAGTTCCCGCTGTCTGAAATCTGTCACGAAATTGGCCTCACAGACTGCATCCAGAACGACGGTGAAAAGGCCATACACACTGATCGCAGCTGATCGTTTCCATTTGAGTTGATTAGGGGTCAGAATCACTGAGGTTAAAAAATATAAATCCTTTGGCGATCCGGCTCTGCTTCCTGCCCTTCCACATGTGTACGTGGAGCAGGGAGAGCATCAGCAAAGTTCCTCCTCGGTGTAGAGCAGACTAAGTGACAGTATTTTTATGACCCTTGTGCATCTGAAGGGAGGTAATTGTTTGGGTGTGCTGCAGAAATGGGGCAAAAACAAGCGAAACACAACAGATAGAAAAACAAGGATGAGGTGAAATCCTGTTTTGATGACTCGTGGTTTGAGTCTACAACCAAAACATTTAATGAGGTATGAATGTCTGGAACCTTTTCTCAGTATTGCAGTATAATCAAGTTTTTATTTACAAGGATATCTCCAAAACAACAGTGATAAAACTTGATGCCTCGTAATAAAAGCAACTCAAAGCATATGGTCATTTCTGGCTAAAAATTTAACAGATAAATTAGAAAGTTAATGAAAAATGACTGTTGGGTGAACACGCCCTGACAACAGAATCGAGGACAAAACATTTGTAGTCCTTCACCCCAAACACACACCTGTAGTTCTTCTTCGAGGACTGTGCCAGTTGTAGTAAAAGCGAGTTTGTGTGTGTGTGTGTGTGTGTGTGTGTGTGTGTGTGTGTGTGTGTGTGTGTGTGTGTGTGTATTTAATGAGAAGACCACAACAACATTTGCACCCTCTGCCAACGCACCTTTGGCGAAACAAGGATCGTCAAACCACTTTTAAAGCACACCTGTCAGCCATCACTCCGCCATGTGTCCGTGTGAACGTGAACATGTGAACCCAGCTGCCCCCCCCTCCTTGCCGAAGAGAGAGAAAGACCAGGCTTTCTGTCACCTTCAATGATCCTCTCTAACCGCCTCGGATCAGAGCGCCCGCATGTCATCCCTTCCCAATTAGAGAGTCTTTATTAGGACCTGCTGCCGGCCATGACAGATGGCGTACGTCAGTGGAGAGACTTAAGTGGGATTTGAACCGGTGACCTCTTAGGCCTGGGAGAGCAGGACGCTCAGTAGCTGGCAACAACCCCCCCCCCCCTTTGGTGATGCTCAGGCGAGAGCGCGGAGGGGCGAGGGACAGTAATTACAGCAGAGGTAGAGGAAGAGGGCTGCACATACACACACACACACACATACACACACATAGGTGCATGAGAAAGTGCTGTGTAAGAGCGGACTCCAGCTGTTGCTCTGTGAGGTATTAACCTGCTGAGGACGCCCTCGCCGAGGTTATCAGGCCGGTCTGCTTTGTTTACGGCCTCTGATTGAATTGTAAAGGTGTGTGTAATTCATGTCTGTGTGAACGCACATGTGGCCTTTATGAGAGCAAGCTGAGGGAGGGCCGCGACCTAGACTCCCTGACTCTTAACCTTTGACCCCTCTGACCTGCGAAAAGAGCCCAAAAAACCATAACACCACTGCCTTCCTCCGCCCTCACAACCCTCATCCAAACATCGGCGTCTGTTTAAATTCCACTTTTACGCTGAAATATTAACAAACATTTCCAAATAACGAGCCGTGCTCTCCGCACACTCAGCTCTCTCTGACGCACGCATTCTGGCGACCTCCGTCCAGCGTGAGTCAGCCGTGTTGTAAAGTGATCAACAGCTTTTCCTTTGCACACTAAGTCATGTCAGAGCGAGCCTCAGAGTGCTGCTCCTCGTCTTCCCTTTTAAGTTGTGTTCCTGGAAGTGATAGCGAGGCCTGCTCTGATGGAAGATAAGCTTCAAACGTTCAGGAGGACGTGACCGCCGCTGAATCATGCACCGCAGGTCTGCAGGAGAGTTTGGACGAGAAGAGCAGACGTCACAGGCCCGTGCAGAAGCCCTTATCCAGGTTTATATCATGATAACCGACATGAGGACTCTTATCTGCTGAGGAATCCTTCCCAGCAATGTGTGTGTTTAAAAGCTTACCAAAAGTTAAAGCTTTGAGAGGGACAAATGTAAACATGACATCAAATCTGAGGGTCCCAATCCAGAAAAATTTCACTGAAAGTGTCTGCTCATGATATTGTCGAGAAAAAAAATTTCAACAACTGACTCATTTTGGCCCAATTCCTCTTCAGGATTGGGCCATCAACCAGCTCTAGAGGATAATCAACTGCTTCTGTCTGCTAACTAATCAATCTGACTTTGTTTGATACAAGACGACTGTAGATTATGTATGTAACCCTATCTTATCAAAATAGCTTTACTCATGATCACGCAAACTCAACGAACAATCATTGAGATAGAGGAATTAGCCTCCTCAGCTGACAAGATGGCATTTTCTTCTTCTCTGTCACCATCAGATCTCACCGTAAAATCAAACTGGTAGCATGCAAGCTTGTTATCCAGTTAGCACCGTCGCTACCTGGTCAGTCCCGAGAACCCAATTTGTACTGCGCATGTGCGAAACGTACGTCACTTCCTCTCTCTGTATTTCAATGTATTTTTCTGCAGTTTTAATCATTACTACTGCTACCTATCCGATCCGTACTGCTCAAGGCAAAAAAAAAAAAATTATTTTAACTACAGATCGATTTCAGAAACCAGCTGGCGATGTGACAGGCAAGCTAACCGCAGGCTCCTGGGCTAATGCTGAGGGATTCATGAGAGCTCCTGCCCAGCACGGTGAGGCATTTTGGGCCACAGAAAGTGCCACAACCCGGTCAAAATCATGGTTCTCTGACTTTTCCAAGTATCAAGGGGGAAATTATTTCATTCATTTTTATAAAATTTATTAACAAGAAGCCTACACATTATAGACAATGAATTTCAGCGTTTTTATACAGCGTTTTAATTTCATCAATGAAATATTCACATTCATTCAAGCCTGTTATAACTACGTTACAATTTGACAATTAAGCTGTAGTAGGAACCTTTAATCGTGAAACTGAGCGCCATTCTCTTGACTTTCCGGCGCTCTGCTTCAGTCGGGAGGAAGCACTCCGTTCAGGGGAAGATTTGTGGCTGGTGATAAACTGAAGCATCCATCCTGACTGAAGCGAGCTCGGTGATGCTGAAGCTGTTGAACATGTGTCGAAGCTGTTGCAAACCGCGAGGGGCAAAGAATTGCTGAGCTGCTGCAGAGATGGCTAGTAGAGGAAGTGACATTTGTTTTGCACATGCGCAGTACAAATCGTGTTTCCAGGACGGCTCAGGTAGCGACAAGAACGTTTTCATCCAGACTCTGAAATCAGTATCTGTAACTGTATTTAGCCGTATGCTGGAGTTCTACAGACTCAACAATTATATTTCAACCACCAGAGACACTGCCAGTTACTTGACGCTCTTGCTTTTTATGTCATTTTTAGATATTAGCATACGTATGCAGAGGCAGCAGAGGCAGCCTAATTATTTTCAGAGCTTTAGCCGTAACGCTTCAAGGTTTTTTCTGTAGCGATGGTGCTTTAAGCCATGCTAATAGTCCAAAATCACCTCATAATGGTTAAAAAAACTGCCTCTTGTAAAGAAAATGATCTCCAGCCTTCACTAAACTCTAGCAGCTGAAAATAGAAAACCACAGAGAGCGTGTGCTTGTTAATGAGGGAATGTGAAGTATCTGAGTGATCACTTCAGGGAAGATATTTTGATTTCTTTGGAATAAATCAAAATTGAAAAAAAACTTTATGGTTCTCAAATCAGGTTTAAGATGTGAGTGAGGTGCTTCCCTACCTGTCCCCAATCACCAGGTATCCATCGAGGAGGAGGACAGCGCCCTAAGGTGCAGCGGGTTCGGACTGGAGGTTTGTTATGGCTCGGGCAGTGTGCGGGAGGGAAGGTCTTGGTCAGGTCGCTGCTTTTACACAAGACGATGCGGTGCTTGAAGCCGGGTCCACATTTTGGCGTGCACTAAAGAGTAGAAAAGAAGAAGAGGGGTGGGTCTTAGAAGAAAAACTCCACCTGACTCCAAACTGAAGCTGGTTTCAGGTCACTGTCTCACCTCCGACCAGTCCAGCGTGACCCACTTTGGCGGGCAGGACTGGTTGTTGCAGGACTCTCGTTCGATGGGTCGGTGAGTCAGACAGTGGGTGTCCTCCAGCGTCTCCTCCTCAGCCGGGCCGATCTTCCTGATGCAGAGGACCGTCCTCGTCCTTATTCCGCCGTCACACGTCTTCCCACATTCTGACCAATCGCCGATAAACCACCTGGGGAGAGAAACAGGAGTTAGAGCTAACAGAGACCGTTATGCCTAAAATAAAAAACCTACACCCATTCATCAGAGCAGCACTTCTTCCGATGCTCCAAAAGTCCCTGAACTAAGAACTATTTTGATACCGTAGCTGGAATTCAATGATCCTCAGAGGCTGACAAAAGCCACTAGTTCATCTTTGTGTCAAGTGGTTTGTGGTTATTTGATTAATGGAAAAACTTATTTGGGAATATGTCTCATCATCATCTTACAAAATGAAAAGAAAATAAAGCTGAAGGGATGAAAAGTTGAGGTTAAAGATTCCTGATGTACCATTTTGTATAGAATCGTCTGTTCCATGTTTTTGTGCGCTGACTGTTTTATCAGATTTGGTAATCACATTTTCATGCAGTATTTTAAAAGTGTTTTGTATCATGTTGGATCCTAATTTTTATCATTTGTGATGTTTCTGTTGGGACCAAGAGGGAAAACAACTGAACAAGTCTTCTCAATAAAGATAATCGTTTGACAGAATTTGACTTTATATTTGAAGTAGAATTAAAAGTATTGAAGCGATGAAAGCAACACCATGTTAGAGGGACATTCCAGCATTAAATTACTTTAGGGTCAATCACACTGTAACACCGAGTTAGACACCCCCTCGAGAGATGAATGTTGCCGACCGCTTGCTTCTCTAGTTAAACCAACTTTTGTAACAACCGCACAATAGCAATACACAGCGGTCTAAGGAGCCAGAAACAAACCTCAACCAAAATGCCACTCTATAGCCACAAATAATGCTCAGAACAGCACCTAACTTCATCAACAGTACATATAGGGTCCCAGCCATAGTACTAGCCACCAAACATCTTTTTAACTTTGCCTAATTTCTTTAGCAAAGAGACTAAACACAGCTCACCTACTCTCCTCTAGCAGCAACTTGTGTGTTATGAGACCTCAGGCCAGTCCATTATGGACTACAGCGGGGTGATGCAGCTCAGGGAAAAACATTTATGTTTATTTTTTCATTGAAATGCAATCAGACCGAGACACTAAAGCAGAAGAACTACTGCGTCTGCAGTGTAAAATGATTAATATGGTGATTATTACTTCAAGAAAATGATAAAGTAATGATCATAAATGTTCTTCCTTGAGCTGTGTCACCCCGCTGTAGTCTGTAACTCAGTCTGGACTCACCTGTACAAACAAGCAGCTGCTGGAACAGGGTTGTGTTCCTCAGACTGCTGTGTATTGCTATCGTGCGGTCATTACTAAAGTTGGTATAACTGGAGTAGCAAGCAATCTGCAACATTCATCTCTGGAGGGGGTGTCTAACTCGGTGTGACAGTGTGTTTGACCCTAAATTAATTTTACGCCAGAACATTCCTTTAAGCAGAGATTATTTGAATATATTAACTATTAGTCGAATACCATATGACCTAACAGAAAGGTCGCCACTGAGTCGTTTAGTGGTCTGAATACGGACAGATGAAGAGGAACAGGAAGTGCAGGGAGTAGAGAGTCGGGGAAGACATGCAGCAAAAGATGGTGGTCAGTAACCGCTGCAATTAGGACCACAAATCTAAACATGGGGGTGCTTAGACTTCTGGGCCTCCAATGCCCCAGATTTCTGACCTTTTAACCGCTGACCTTTTCCAACCCTTTGTCTGCAGACTTCGTAGAATTAATATCATAAAACTGCCCAGACATCAGCCCTCCAAACACATCCAGCCTGTGAGATATTACATCATCTAAAGGAATGTATACAGAATTAACGACGTGTTCAAACATCTGTGTTAGCTTTCATTACTCCAGCCCATAAAATCCTGGCGATTCTAAAACAATCATGTTTACATGGTCTCCTTTTAGCCGGCCTTTCCTCAGGCTGCAGGGGGGGAGACGTGCATTTTTAACAGACACTAATATTGTGTGCAGTGTAACCTAATATACACACATGCTTTGCAATAGCTTTCAACTACTAATCAAAACAAATGAGATACCACAAGTCTGCGTCCGCTGAGTACTTATGTGGAAATAAATAACCCCTGACTGTAGTCTAAATGTATGAAAACAAATGAGCACTTATACAGTAGATTTTGGCCTTTTTCTTGTCTGAAACGGACACCAACACTCACTCCCAAACACAAATAATTGTCAGATAGTCTGAAACTAATTAACCCTGTGCATTTAATCCCTCTTTTTCCAGACGTGTTTGAAGTGAGTCTAGCCTTCAGACATTTGGCCACCAAAAACAAGTTCATATTCCACCTGTGTGTTACCCCCGAGGGGCGGCCAAAAGAAGCCAAAACAATCAAACACAGGTGGTCATTTTCAAGGCTTTAATTTTTGGCACGAGGCAAACTCTGAAAATGGTTAACACATGAAGTTATAAATCATTGCTGTTTTATTTTATAATGTTTCTCCAAACACATCCCACAAAGTAGGGCTCATTGAAGGTGAATTAATATCATGAGTCAATCTTCTCTACAAAGGGTTGTTTTTTATTAACACTCAAAGCTGCTATACTCAATGTCTTCACGTCAGCATGGTAAAAATGTGTGACTAACATGAGGGTAGAGCTCATAGTTACAAAGTACCTGAGGAAAATCACCCTGAATATTAACCCTGGACTGACTGAGCATCTAAACCTCTTTTTAGAACTCCCTCAAAAACAAAACAGCATACAACGACAGCACAGGATATAAGGATGGAAACAAGATGATGAATGGTAAATCCCAAGAAGGTGTACTGTGTCCTTCTTCATGATTGTATCTTAATGTTTCTTAACCTATCGTATCGTATCGTTTCTTATCATATCATATCATATCATATCATATCATATCATATCATATCTCTCTTATCTTATCGTATTGTATTGTATCTTATCGTATTGTTTCTTAACGTATCTTATTGTATCATTATTTATCATATCAAATCAATTGTATCGTTTCTTATCATATCTTACTAAATCATTTCTTATCAAATCATATCTTATCGTATCTTACCGTATCATATCTTATCATATTGTTTCTTATCATGTCGGATCTTATTGTTTCATATCTTATCGTATTGTTTCTTAATTTATCGTATTGTTGCTCATGGTGTCATATCTTATCGTATCCTTTCTTAACATATCGCATTGTATCGTTTTTTATGGTATCATAGCTTATATTATATCTTATCGTTTCTTATCGTATCATATCTTATTGTATTGTTTCTTATCGTATTGTATCTTATTGTTTCATATCTTATCGTATCGTTTCTTTTTATATAGTATTGTTTCTCATTGTATCCTTTCACGTATCACATTGTATCGCATTGTATCGTTTCTTATGGTATCGATCTCATCATATCATATCTATCGTATTGTTTCTTATTGTGTATTACTGAATCATTTCTTTTCATATCGTATCTTATCGTATTGCATCATTTCTTATCATATTACAATGTATCGTTTCTTATCGCATCGGATCTCAGCAAATAGTATCCCACCATATCATATCATAACATATCGCATTGTGTCTCTTCTCGTTGTGTATCATAACAAATCATTGTGAATTGTATCACATGGTATTGTGTTGTAACCTTCTGTATCATGTTTCATTGTATCATATAATATTGCTTTCTATTAGACTGAACTGTACCATATCATACAGTGTTATATTATATTACAGTGTAACATTGTATCATTTTGTATTTTGTATGTCTGACCGTTCTGTGTAGTATTAGCATTCTGTTGCATTGTACTGTAACATATGGTATCTTTATATTGTAGTGTATAATCAATATTGAATCATAATGTTTCATACAGTATCATATTGTATCTTATGTCATCATACATTATGTGTATTTGTCATGTATTGTACCATATCACATTGTATCACACTGTAACTTATATCATATTGCATCACATCTTGCTTTATCGTATCCTTCTGTATCATATATTGTATGGTTCGGCATTGCGCTGTATCATATTGTGTTGTATCATCTTTAATTGTATCATGTCATAATTGTCTCAGGATTTTTGTGGAGACCAACAATCTAACAAGCTGAGAGCCAAATTATGATTTTAACTCATTTCATGGTTAGAGACATTTATACAACTTAAAGTTATCTTTTTACTCTGCCAAGTGAATAAATAAAATCAGAGTAAATAAATGACACTCAGTTGAGAATTTACCTTTAAAGGTGAAACAATCTCTCCTCTGTATTGTTTTTTTGACTGTTCCTATGTTGTAATATTTTTACTCAATATGAGAGAAAATGGCCAACGTTCTCTGCTCGCAGTTTTTGTATTGTGAAGATTATATTGCCTTTTCTCGCTTTGTAAGATTCAAGATTCTAGACCAGATTGTATTAAATTAAGTAGTTGTGGAATTCCTGTTAGAAAGAATCAACCAAACCAGCCGTAGAGCTCTTTTCTAATGTCGTCAGTTAAGTGTTCACTTAAAATCTGAATATGATAATGACGTCAGGACTCAGAGGTACGTACTCAGGAGGACAGGGCTCAGTGTTGCAGTCTCTCTGGTTCTCTGGAGGTTTGCTGTCTGGGTCACAGTAACTGTTTTGGACCACCGAGTTGTCATCCAGCCTTTTACACACCACCTCCTGCTTTTGAGCACCTGCAGGGGAAGAAACGGATCAATAATGAAGCACCAGCTGATTTCACACATTAAAAAACTCTCTCCAGAAAACATGGAGACCGACCGGCTGGGATGGTATCACTTTCAGCCCGTAGTAAATCCAGACATGTAAATTCCTGATTCTTAGCAGGATATCTTGGCAAATCACTTTTACAGAGCAGAGAGCTCTTTACTTTGGCCTCTGATGGAGAGAGCGAGCGCTACCGTATCAGTGTCACACCTCCCACTGTGTGTGTGTGTGTGTCTGTGTGTGCGTGCGTGCGTGCGTGCATGCGTGCGTGCGTGCATGTGTGTGTGTGTGTTTGCGTACGCCATACCGACTCAGAAAGGGTCTGTATGGGGTCTCGGGGGACAGATCCTGCAGCAGACCTGTCTGGCAGATGTAATGAGATATGAACGTTTATGTGTGTGTGTGTGTGCGTGTGTGTGTGTGTATGTGTGTGTAGCATAAAAAGTTTACCCATCTGTGTTCAGAGTGAGTTACAGTTTGGAGGAGCGGTGCGACGCATGGGGTAAAAGCCTTTCAGTTGTGTGGCTGTTAAAACGTGTTTATCGTGGGTTTTATTACCGCAGTGATTTATTCAACAACACCTCATGATTAACTGAGCCAAATATAACTAATGGCTGCACGATTACACAACTGTGAGGTGATTTAAAGTGGAGCCCGACCTACATTTGCACATTAATGACCCTAACGGATATATCTGTCTTGGTGTATACGTTTTATGTTCAACATCTGAGGAGCTTAAGGGCAGCTTCATTTCACGTCTGATTACAGCTCCTCATGAGCATAAAAATAGAGCGGTATTGTACGCCTGTTGTGTCCCGCTCATTCTGTCCTCTATAGTAAGAGAGGCACTTCCTCCAACAAGCTCAGATCAGCGTGCAACAAAGTTCAGGAGGTTTACTAATTGTCATGCAGCTACAGGAGGGGAGAGGAGCAAGAGGAGAGCAGGTGTGTGCATACATGTATCTGCGTCTGAAAAGCCAAGGGACGGTGTAAGCAGGATGACAGAGAGGCTGTATTTAACCAGCGTAAACAGGCGAACAATTACCAGGCTAAACAGTGACATTGATCCGTATTAGGGCCCGACCGATTTATCGGCGACCCAATTAAATCGGCCAATTTTAGACCGTTTGAGACTAATCGGTAATCAGCCAAAACCGGACAATTTTCACCGATATTTTCAGAAATAAAATGCGGAGAATAAGACTCGGTTTCACGAGTTTGATCAGTCGGTCTTCCTGTCGGCGTGAAGAGCAATAGCCTACAGTATATGTACAGTATATAGTATACTGTAGATACAGTATATACAGTACAGTATAGTACAGTACAGTATATAGTATACTGTAGATATCTACAGTATACTATATATTTTTTATAACTTCTTAAAAATTTTTAGAACTTCTTAAAATATTATTTCTTAAAAAATTTTAAAAATCGTCCAATTAATCGGTAATCGGATTCCCCCCCCCCCCCTAATAATCAGTATAGTCATCAGCCCCAGAAACTCCATATCGGTTGGTCCCTAGTAGAAGTCTGCCATCTTTTAGTTTAGTGAATATTGTTCTCTCTATTCTTATCAATAGACGGAAAACTCTGACTTCTTAACAATCTCCCCACTGAGCCTTAAACATCTCGTCTTGGTTTAGACAGAAATTTAACCGTCTATAATTGGTCTATATTTTAGCATGAATCTAGACAATAGAATTTAATCCATTAATTATTAAATATTAAATAAAGAACATTTTAAAAACATTTTCACAGTGACTGATCAATGTACAGTAATCAATGATATTGATTATATATTGACAGTCTATTAGACAGTTAAAAAATGTTCATTTTTAGACCAGTGGTAGACCGAGATTAGCCCAGACGTCTAAGGACCATTAGACATCTATTGGACCAAAAAATGCTCTGTGAGTCGCTGATATGAACACTTTTGCTATGAGTGAAAAGCTCGAATGATCCCCTTGATGGGCAAACATGAAAAGTTGATTTTGCAGAGAAAATGAGCGCAGCACATACATGAGAAAAATTTCATTAAAAACACATTATACACATTTCTCTTTGCCTGATGGGGCCCCCCACCCCCCACTGTTTCTGTTTACAGGACAGAAAAAGACAGCACACACTAATCAGATCATTTGGATCAATACTGAAAAAGCCTGTTCACAAAGCAGGAAGGCCATGTGTGCCTCCCTGACTGAGGACCAGCTCTGGACTCAAAAATCCTCCTTTAGAAAAAAACCCACATGCTTATTCAGTCATGCTTTTACTAAATATTACAAACCCGTCCAGGCCACACTTGACAACTGGGAAGAGATACTATTTATTGTTACATGAAACCCATTGCTTTTGGGCTAAAAGGTTTGGTTTAGTCATTCTTGAGGCCATGGTCAACATTTCACTGTGGTTTCAGATTTTAAAGGTTTGACTCTGTCGGACGAGGAGAGCGGCTGTATAAATGTGTGCAGCGATGGTAAACCAGAAGCTATGCAGAGCGGCTCATTCACAGAAATTACAGCATATTCATTACTCTGGTTAAAATATGGAAAATATACATATTGAATTTATTAGGGGGCTACAAAGCAGTGATTCTGGAAACCAATCGCAAATTATGGTACTGGGTTTCCACACAGCTCCAGTGCAGTTGTGTAATTACTGGTTGGGGAAGATTTACAGAATGACACCACACACACATTATATGAGGCATTAAATATTTGAGAAGGTTAGAAATATTCAGGAGGAATTTAAACACCCGCAGCGTGTTATGGTATTCAACACCAAAATGCTCGGAGGGACCAAGCGCGGCCGCAGGAGCTCAACAGAGAGAGGATTCTTCTCTTGAATAAAAAACAAACGAGAACAAAAGAGGAAATGTGAAGCGTTTTTTTTTTTTTTTTACACTCCCTGTTGATGGTAGTTTGATGTATATTTCCTGAAAGTCTACAGCTGAGTTAAAGGGACAAGCTGACTCACCTCCAGCGCAGGTAGCCGAGCATTCAGACCAGGGCAGGTGGTGCCAGGAGAAGCCCACCTCATTGTCTCCACTTCCCGTTCGCTGGATGGGCACATTGAACTTGTAGCGGATCCCCAGGTTCTGCTCCTGCAGGAGGACCTGCAGAGGAGGCAAAAAACAGAGGGATGAGGACAGAGAGGCCGAAACTGACTGAGCATCTCTTCTTTCTTTTTAAAACTTTAAAATACACGGTCAGGCATTTAAGCCTTTAAAGCCCTGGACATAAAACTCTGTCCCTCGGGTTATGTTGCTATGATGAAGTGCTATCTTTGCCTACTTTTTGCTCTACTTTGGTCTCCACCGACTCCTTAGATCTCAAAATAACAAGATTAAAGAGGCTGAAAACCTCTGAATGCAGATGGAAACACAGAATCAGTTTATCTTTCTGCTTCAGTTTGTCTCTGCAGGTTATCTTTCTCTCATTTGACCTTTAATTGCTATAAAAACCCTGATGAAGCTGCTTTAAATGAGGTTAAAGTCCAGGTCAATGAGACTGCTGGATGCAGAGGGAGGCAGAGGGAGTCCGGTTTTGCGAACCACAAGGAAACAGTCATTGGTGGAGCGGCCAGCCACTCGTCTATTCCAGTGGTGCTGTGTGGTCTAGTATTTTCAGCATGCATGTTGAGGCTGAAAACCACAGAGGATTACGACAAGAAAATGCTCAGTTGCCTCACATGAACACAGAGACACACAAACATGCAGAGTCAAACATGAACGTTTGACACAGACGCTCGCCAAATCAGCCAAAACGCATCCTCAATATCCACATTACATAGCTTTGAACCTCAAACCACTGGCTGAGGGGTCACTCAGGGTCAAAAAACAGATGTTGAAGAGTGGATCAGCAGCACGCCCACAACACAAATACACTATTATATCAAAAATGACAAATACACAACAGAACAATAAAACCAATCAAATCATAAATACGTCTTTAAAGGGTTCCTCTCTGTTTTTTAAAATGAGTGATAGTAATCACCAAGAACCTACAGCTTCATCTGTCTATACTGTGCGTAACTTTACAGTGAGTTTTAGTTGTTTAACTCTTTGTTTCCAACTCGGCCAGTCTGGTTTTTTGTGTTATTTTAGGACGCAGCTTGTTGCTGTTTTTAGAGAGAAAGCTGGAAAACCTTTGATTGGCGTCCTGAACCAAGACTTATTTCCATCTCATAGGAAGAATGCAAAAAGAGAAGGTGTTCTGTGTAAACTATACGAAGCTGCCAAATCCCACCAGCTCGTCCAATCACCACATCTGACCCCCGAGTGTTTAGAAAACAAGAACACAGTGTTCATTTCTGGTGTTAACAAAGGATCAAATAGCGATGCGTGAGAGGCTTTTTCAGCGTCTTTCAGCTCATCCTGTTGGTTTCATGGTCACGAAGTTGATGTTCTGACGCTCTAGCAGTGTTATTTTTGGCTGTTGTAAGCAGCTATTTTCAGTTCTTAAAGCTTGAAACCATACCTGCTCAGAAACTTACAGCAAACAGGAGAATTCGGAGACTTGAAGGTAAAATTAAAGAGAGTTAGGCCGCTAAAGAGAGCTGGTGGAGACCAAAAACAGAGTGAAAAGACGGTAAATACTGAGATTAGATTTCTTCAGTGGGTGAAAATAGAATTGAAACAATAAAGTTGGGTGATTTTTTGTGAGCATAAAAAACTTTTTTCCCCTAAAAAAAGAAAAAAATCAACTTGAAAGGAAAGAAAATCTTGACACGTCTATCTCATGTTAATTATTTTGTTGTCATTTTGTATTATTTGTTATGGTGATTATTTTTATTGCTATTATCATTATGATGATTAATGTTGTTATATAATATTATGGTATTTTGTAAATCATTAGTGAAGGAGAAGGGATGGGACTGATAAGTTTCGACTTCTTCCGACTCCTTTTTGAACATAGATAACTTTTTATTATTTGTTGTTGTATTCTTTACTCTTTTGTTATTTTTTGTCTTTTATATGTTCAAAATAAACTTCACTCAATCAATCAATCAATCAATATTTACTTGACACTGATATAAAGGTTATTGTAGAGGGTTGGGTCAGACTTGGTTAGGGAGCAAGCAATCAGGTAGGAGGCAAGGAAACAGTTTTATAATACCTCACTGTGCTGCCTTGTTAATCACAGAAAGCAAATACCATAAATTGCCCAATATAAGGGGCACTGGCACGTAAGGGACACTCGCTTTTGAGGGTCTCTCAGAGGGAAAACTGTAAAAAATATGGACGTAAATATCAATAATGCATGCTTCTCCTATAATCCTCCGACTCTGTGGTTTGTAATCATCCTGAAAAAGAGTGCATTATGGAACATGAGATGTGGATTTTGTACCATGACAACCAGGTTTTCAGTGGTGGCTCCGAGCGCCTCTAAAGACTCCGGCTCGTCCGAAGGTCTCTTGTAGTGGAAGGCCGTCCCCGCGATGTCGAACTTCCTGGGCCAGTCGATGGTCCACGCTCCATTGATGTAGTAATCATCGCCCTCAGATTTCAGAGCTGGGTAACAAGAGGAAAGATGAAACACATTCAGAAAAGTGAAATCTGAGGAGACAGGAACAGTAGCAGAGACGACAGGTGGAGACAATCATCATCCTCCTCCTGGACGTCACGGACGGTTTTGTATCCCTCGACAGACTGGAGCAGAAACACGCGCAGAAACACAGACACGTGCCTATACATGAAGGCATCCATGTGTGCAGACATGTACATACGTCTAATTTAGGAAGAGAAGGAAAACACTCTTCAGGTGAAAGCCTGGACGACTCTCCTGAATACCGCTCTGTCTGGTTGTCAAAACAAAAGTTGGTCTCCAAGCACAACAGATCTGAAAATATCCACTCTCTCTCTGTGTTGAAATGAGGCCAAATTGAGGAGAAACGATCCAACCGCTGGCTGTTCTGTCTCTCTGGCTCGTGCTGCAGATTCCCCTCTGCTGTTTTTACGCAGATTAGATGAACAATAGTTTACTCCTCTTTAACGTATCACGATCCCTCTTCATAATAAAATCAGCACATCTGTCTCTTATTAAAAGTATTGTGATTCTTTTATTTTGGAGGCCTTTACAAGCAGTCTGCGTTTTTATATTGTCTCGCTCGGTTTATGCTTTCATAAAACATAAAAATGCAAACTCTGCTGACCTAAATAGCCAGGACCCAGACACAGCTGTAAATGAAAAAGGCCTGATCAGAAGATGTAATTCATAACAGTAAGAAACTGCAGGGAAGACCTTGTCCCGGAGAAAAAGGCCAAATCTCACTCTTTTAACGGAGATATATCGACATTATATCCTCATAATCCTGGTGGAGCAGGCAGCTGTCACCACGGCCCTATAAATCTGATGCAGCTCTCTGCTTCAAAGTGTTACTTAAGCCCTCCATCAACACCATCCGCAATAAATTCAACGCGCTGTCACACGTCTCGCTCTTGTTAATGAAAAGACACAGAGCCGCCTTAATTGAATCCGGTTGTTTGATTGTTTTGGGTCTGATGCTGCCCAGTGTTGCAAAAGGTTTTTGTTTAGTCTGGATCAGAGCGGATGAGCCTGGTGCCAAGACGGCCATCACATGTGTAAAGATTCAGAGAGGTTTTATTTTACAGACTCGCTTTTATGGCTTCGCATTAGGCAACAGGGGGATTAGGCGATGGTATCCTCTAATTGGCTGTTGACTAAGACGCGAGAAAATCCCTGGAAATGTGGTCGACACAGAGCTAAACCGATAATGTGAAGCAGGTTCGTGAATTAATCAAACTGTAGGGTTTCGAAGGTCTGCGGAGATTGATGGATTGATGTTTGAAGAAGAAAAGCCGCATCGATGCTCCTCTGGGACTGAACTCTTGATTTCATTCATAGTTTTTCACATGTTTGCTTTTATTTAGCTGAAATTTTATGACCACTTACCACAAAGTCTAATCTGTTTTGCAAGTTTATGCCCATAAGGATCAATATTTTTTCTGTTCTAATCCTAAATCTTTTAATTTATTAAGTTGGGCTGTGCGACAAAAAACAAAAAAAAAAAAAATGCTGACTTGACAGAATTTTATCCCGAAGAAATCACAAATGTCTCATGGAAATCCATCCCAGAATTGTCAACACTTTCGATTTAGAATAAAAAACATCACCATCAGTATCTGGTTTGAGTGAAATTCATTAATGGTGAGATATTTTACTGGGTATTTAATTTAAAATAATAAAAAATGTTGATGTCATAGAAGGCTGCAAGAAAAATCGAATGATCCTTTAAGTTGGCAAGATCTATCCTCTTGGGACCATGATTGTGTGCAAATAAAGCCTTACTGATTCAGCTGGTCCAGTCAGAACCATAGGACTGGATTATCAGACTCAGCATGTTACAGCAGTGATATAAAGAGGTCATGGCGAAGTGTCACTCACCGATATAATTCTTCGAAATGGCAACTTCTTTGATTTCGATGTGGACTGATCCTTTTGGGATCTGAACCACCTCCATGTAGCCTGCAAGACAAAAACCAGGGATTGTGAAGATGGTGGTACTCCTCTGTCCCAGATCTCATTTCTACAAAATATTTTAACAACAGGGAGACGACACACAGTCACAGATCATGTCAGGTAGGAGTACCTATAGAATAAATTCCCAAACACCCAAAAAGGACAAAGCAGGAGGACAAAACAACCCCCTCCCTTTTCTCTTTTACACACACACACACACACACACACACACACACACACACACACACACACACACACACACACACAGTATTTTTAGATGGTTTACTAGCCATACCATAGAAGGAGAAATATGTTTTCTCTCTCTCTCCTGCTCTCTATAGACGACTTCAGGCTGTAGCCAAAACCAAGTGCTGTCTCTCCTCCTGGTTTCCTCACTCCATGATGTAATTAATGGGGAAATAATTATGTTTTGATCTATATTATAACAACAGAGCCAGGAGCGTACGCTCTGCTGGCGAGAGATAAAAGCTGAAGAGTTATGATTTCATTGAGACTATCTTCCTCTCTTCAGCTGGCTCTTAAAAATAAGTTTGTCACAAGTGGAAATCACGACATCCCACTCTTGTCCTCTTCACACTAAGAGGATAAAGTTGCTGTTTTTCAACTGGATCCAAAGGTGACAGGAAATCTAAATAACGAAATTCCTGAGAGTCGGACATGTTTTACCTCCTCGGGGTAGAGACTCGTTGAAAAGTCCCTCTGTTGCCTCGCAGGTACTGCCGTCCCCTCCACACACACGGCATCGATCTTCTTTTGCATCGGAGCCCAGGATGTTGTCACAGCCAACGTGCTTGAAGCCAACAAACAAAGGCAGAGATTTAGAGTGCGCGTCACTGACTGAAAACTGGAAAATTAAAACAGGATTCAGCACCGAAGAAGACAAGACTAACTGGAGACAAAAGCCAGAGTTCAGAGCGAGAGAAAAAAGTCTGATGAAGTCATACTGGTTTAACTAAAAGCATTCAAAATAAACACATCACGACAGTCTGAATACAAGATAAAAAAGTCAGCATGTCCATTTTAATATAGCTGTGCTTTTCCTATGGTTCGATTGAGTCAAGCTCAGATTGATCTGTGCCAAAGTGAAGGTGAAAAACGCTGACTGGATTTATTTTGGATTCAGGAAAGACATGCTGCTGACACGTGTTGGCTCAAACATGTAGCCGAACAACAAAACTGTAAGTAATACGAAGTCAATATGCACTTTGAAAACATGGTTGACCTATCTTACTTCACACTGCTTTTGCACATGGCGTGTTTTCTCATATTATGCGGGTTTAAAGATATTGGTTAGAAGATTGAAACCTCTTATGTACACAATTGGCCAAGAACAGGCGCTCTATTTAACATGCATAAGCCTAGGGGTGAGCGATTGATTATCATTCACGATAAATCGTCAGAAAAATCCTCCATGATAAATCTTTTCCATCTCATGATAAATACGATAAATGCCAGTTGATGACGTAAGCGCGAGCGGACTGGGACAGATTCACAGCCATTGCCCACACAGAGCAAAAAAACAAACAAACATGGCCGAAGGTAATGAAGAGGATGTTTCTGAGCAGCTCTTTACTGAGTGAGGCTTCACATGAGGGATTTCCTTCCAGATTGGGGTCTAGATGAGTCCAGATATGCCTGACATCGAAAAGTGGATCTGCTGCTGTTCACTCAGTGCAATAAGAGTTTTTAACAAATGTTGAAAATGTTTTCACATTTCAGACTTGTTTGATGTCATTAGTTTTCTCCATAACCTACCACTCAAACTTGTGGTTAAGTATCTTATTTGACTATTAAACTGGTGTTATCAAGACAAAATTAGTCAAAAATAAAGATTGGAATTATAATATTTTTTATCAGGACTTTTATCCTAATCTCCAGAATGGCAAATCTTATCGTGATACATTTTTTAGCCCATATCGCCCATCCCTACTTAAGCCTGTCTACTCGACTTGTGTCCAGTATCACCAGTGTCACGTGTTTTGTCAATGATGCCCGCTTTACTCTTCACTGCCTTTGCTGATCCTCTCCCTGCCTTTCATATGCAAAACAGAGAGGCGTGTGCTCTCCTCAGGCTGTGGTAGTCCATGTATGTGAAAAGGCAGGAAGCTCTTCAAGCAGAGCCGTACTGCCAAATTTATCTTGTTGCATGTAAATAATGATATTTATTCTCTTTGATGAAGGTGATCCTGACTGAAAAAATGTCTTATTTTGAATCATGGTTGATAAATAAACTTGATGTCAGTGAGGAATAACAAATTTTTATTGTCCCTCCATCATTTAAATGTTAAAGTCAAGCATAAAAAGTTTTTTGTAAGGTCTGCAACTCATCTTAGCTCCACACAAAGAATGAAGTGTAGTAAAACATCTCACGTTTTGTGTATCTAAAACAACTCTGCTTGAAAATCTTCCTTTTTTTGTGACCTGCCTCAGAAGAAAACAGGTTGTGCCTTGAAATAATCAGTCAGTCAATACTTTATATTTCTGCTATCGTTGAATCATCCTGTGGAAAGACAAAGAATTTCTCTGTGCCAAGTCTCCCCCACTCTCCCGCCAAAACTAACAAGAACACATTACTAACCCGTCACTGACATGTTTTTTTTTTTATGACACAGAGACTTAAAATGTTTTTTATTTCAATTCTGTTTCTCAAAACCCAGAGTAACATACTAATCAGACTAACTCAGTTTGAAGTTCTTGCTGCATTGTGAGTTGATTATCAATGTCTTGGAGCTTCAAACTGCAGCAGTGTTTAATTAAAGGGCAGTTATGTATTTTTATTACTTTAGGTTCACAGTAAGAGTTTTCATCTTTTTAGCAAACAATCTGGTTATAGTTTTGTCTTATATATACTTTTACCATCAGGAACTGTTAGCAGCTGGATAGCCATCAATAAAAACAGCATCCATACGGCTGAAAAAAAACACACTTGTGCCGCTGTTACCAGAATCATTTTCCCACTAGCATGAATCAGCTGACGTGCTGTGGGTTGAGCTTGACTTCATGGCCGACACTAAATTTTTGACATTATCAGAAAATGACAAAATTTTCAACCTTTAGAGTACCCATGAATCAATTTGTGAGCCAATATATGCTGTTGTTTATGATGAGGCAATATGGCCTCAAATAAATGTCACGATATATTGATCAGTTCACCTCGATAACAATAAATGAACAATAACTACTCCACAAGCTGCTCACCCCCTCCCACATTAACTTTGTCTACTTCAGCTGCTACAACTTTTGAACCGTCCTCCATCTCCTCACCTGTCTTTCCCTCTTTGTTACAGACTGAATGGGGTGGAGTCACGTCTCTGACATAGGACAGCGTCTTAAAGGGACATGAGACCATAGCCTACCTACACACATTATTTCTTTTTCTGACACAGAATATACCGATATGGGCAAAATGACGGTTAATGTCGGTTATTGTCGTAAATTTCAGTAACAGTAAATTTTCAGTTTATCGCCCAGCCCTAGTATGTGGTATGAAAGGATGAATGTGACAATTATTAAAGCACCTAAAGCAGAAAGACCTGAAAAGCGAGTACAACTCCATTCACCGTTGTTATGCCATGATTGACAGCTCTCATGATTCGGTGTTATGGTTTGATTAAATGACCTGTAGTTGATTAATAAAGAAATAAACTAAGAGTTTTTGCCTTACATGATATGGAGCATAAACTCAAGAAAATTGAAGCTGTTGTTAATACTTTTGGACAATATAACAAGGAGGATTACTGTTATCACTGACACTTTCACTCCTCCTCTGGATCTCCCACTTCTTTCAGCTCTCTATCACCATCCCTCCTATCTCTATTATTCCAGATTTTTTCCTCTCAGTCTCTGCAGCGTCTGCAGACAGCAGAGGAATACTGAGTGTTTCTGAAATTGTTCCAAGCAGACGGTGTACCAGAGATTTATCGCAGCGTGGCAGCACCTCTGAAATAAAATGCTGGATTCGGTCTGGAAATAAAACCTGCAATGCTTCTTTGGTAGAAAATATTCCACCTCTCTGAATCTCCGACCATTAAAGCACACGCCGTGTTGTGTTTTTGTATCAGAATCAGAGTAATGTTGTTGGCGCGGACGCTCTGTGATCATGCCAAACAGTACGGTCAGGTGGAAGTCAAAGCAAATACTTAAAGCGAGGGACCCAAAAAGTTGTTTCAGCTGCATTTTAGCAAAAAACGTCATCTCACATGTACGCACAGACACACACACACATGCTGCACAATAATGATTTATACTTGTAAAAACAAAGACAGGACCAGCTGCCAACTCCTTTCAATAAATGAGTTTTTCTTTTCCATTAAATCAAACATATTTAAAATTGTTATTCAATCAAAACAAAGATTTTTGTGTTTTATTTACAACCAAACAATCCTGTCTGAGTCTGCAGAGCGCTGATAAGAGTCAGAGAGAGCGGTGCCAGTTGTCTGATCACAATCAGCCTCTCAATGCTTTAATTGTTGTGCTCAGAAAGTGTTTCCTTCTCTATAGAGATTAGCAGAATCTGACACTTCAGACTGAGGAAACGCTTGCAGGCTCTGTAGTGCGTTTCCACATTTCATCCTATTTTCTCATTTGCATCTCACATGAAAAATGATCAGTGTACTGGTTTTAATTTGCCATCATCATGTTGTTTAAATCCTGCAAATCTGCGTTTATTCACCACGTACCAAGCTACAGAACAGACCCTAAACTGCAATGTTTGAGGAGAAGACAGGATTATATTTGGATTATAATTCTTCTCAGGCTTGGCGATAAAATGAAAATTTACTGATACCACAATTTACCACAATAACCGACGTCATTTTGCCCATATCGGTATGTTCTGTGTCAGAAATAAACAATTTAAAGTTGGTTTTGGATGTGTGTTGGTAGGCTATGGTCTCATGTCCCTTTGAGACGCTGTCTTGCGTCAGAGACGTGACTCCACCCCATCCAGTCTGCAACAAAGAAGGTAAGACAGGTGAGGATATGGAGGACGGTTCAAAAGTTGTAGTGGCTGGAGCAGCGGCTGAAGTAGACGAAGTTAATGTGGGAGGGGGTGAGCAGCTTGTGGAGTAGTTAGCGTCCATTTATCGTTATTGAGGTGGACTGCTCAACATATTGTGATATTGTTTTGAGGCCATATCGCCCAGCCCTAAATTCTCTCCTAACCTGAGTTTAATCTGATTGGTGAACATATTTCATTTAACCTGCTTTATGTGCATTTTCACACTAATCAGGTGATGCTTTCAGGTGTTATAAGCTGTACAAGTATATAAAGGAGGGCTTCATTTACACACAGACACCAGCTGAGCAGTGAGGCTGCACAGAGATGGATGAAAAGGGAGTAGAAGATCGTAAAAGAATTGATATTTCCTGTAACCTGATATCACTCGATAATCAACACAGATTAACCTGCAGTCAACGCAACTAATGATGATGAAAGTTATTCAAAAACTTGAATTCAGAGTTCCTGTAGTTACTTTTTTCACCAAAGAGTTGTCCCAGACTTGACTTCAGAATTAAAGCGTTGCATGAAAGCAAAGAGGACTGCATAAACATAGCAAGTACAACACAGATACACCCCCCAGTTCATCATTTTTCGAAGTCATGTTGCATGCAAGTCGGGCTGGCAGTCCAAACAATCTAATTTGTTGACATACACGTCAAAAATCGAGCTGCTTCAAGGTCGTCACACAGCCGTCGAGTGCCAGGGTACAGTACAGTTTGCTGTGGAAACGCGAGTAAGATCTGGTTATACTTAACCCAACCAAACTGTCCAGAGACAAACCAGAACGCTGAGTGGAAATGCACCATAAAATGACAACACAGGAAGCTTTGGTAAAAGTTAAACTTACTTCATGCTGCATTGCTCTGATTTGTTACAAGTCTTATTGTTCACAGACCTACTTCTGAAAAAAGGACTTGGACTGAGCTGATCCAGACCCATCCAACCATCCAGGTATACTTGTTAACTGGTCTTTAACTGTGGTTTTAATGTACCAGGGGTCTAAACTGTTACAACCAGGCTCTGAATTCTCAGCTTCAACAATCATGATACATGGGAAATCCTCTGTTTTGTGAATGTGTCTGCATTGTAAAAAATGAGTTCAATGGGGCAGGAAACACAGAGGCATGGATTGTAAATAAGTTGAGAGTTTTGTCAGACTTTCTAAAACACTTGATTTGGAGCTACAATGAGCTGAAATGTAAGGCCAAACAATAAGAGGGTCAGTTTTCTGATTGGAATCGTTTTGTTTAGGTCAGTTGGGGGAACTTTTTCTTTAAAAAAAGATGGCTGCATGACGATTTAACCAAGCTTCTATAGGTGAAACAGTCAGTGCTGCCAGCTAGACATTCAGTAAGTTTTCTAGCCTCAAATGTGGGTAATCTTTGTGTTTTTTTTTTCTTCCAAACAAAGGTCATATTCGATCTGCTTTTTGTCCTCTTTGACTGCTGTCATGTGTTAATAATTAATAATAAAAACAGTCCAAAACAAAAAGTCTTTCTGCTTCAGAGTGTGACTGAACTGCTCTCCTACCTTACACTCTCCGTTGATGCAGATGTCCAGAGAGTCAGCCTGACATCGGGTCCCGTCTATGACTGCAGGAGAGCGCTCTGTGTAGAAGTTATAGCCCTCTGCCAAGCAGTTCAGCGCACAAGGCTTAACACCACCTGGTTTACACGGAATACACACACACACACAGGCACTGTTATCAGCCTGCACACAGAAAACAGACAACATGACCTGCACGCAACTCTGACATAAACAACACTCAGAGGTCAAGAGGAGACACCAGCGTTACCAGGGCTGGGATCTGATTCTGAGTCACGTGGAGGGAATCTAGAAGCTTAAATCTGACATTGCTCTGACAAAGAATCGAGCTGTCAACAAAAATTACACTGACGCAGGTTATCTGCTGTTTTTACAAGCCTCTAGCTTGTAAGTAAGGAGGTGATGGATTTGACAAAACAGACCTCTGAGATAAAAGAGATCTAAGTTAAGCTTTTCCGTCTCTCAAGGAAAATCAAACCCGTGTTTACATGTTTCAAAATTCATTCGCCTTTTCTAAGTGGATATTTTCCGTGATCTGCAGACATCAAGGAAAAACTGAAGGGGGGAATGACACCGGGCAAGAGCTCCCAAATTCCTGCCAATAGCCATGATGCAGCGCCACAGCACTTCCACTAATTCTGGCTCAGTGAGGGAAGTGTGGAATCCAGAGGGTAGCCACAATCAGACCTTCATCGTGGACATTCTTGTGTCTGGAGGTCTGTCAAAAATGTAAAATACTCCAGGTAGGACAAGAAGAAGATCCGGAGAACCGGTGAGGGTGTTTGAATGCAACACAGAGTACAGGAATCTGAAGAATCCTCTGGCCGTCACTGAGACCTTCCCTCTGTTAGTGTGAACTCAGCTCACTAAACAGGCAGCCTGCAGGCTGTCATTGAAGAGTTTGTGACGCAAAGAAGGACGACAGAGGATTTTTACAGCTCAACGCTGATGCTCATCAGATCTTTGAACTGGCTACAGCAGCAATATACAAATCTCATTTTAAAACTTCAACACAAATAGATTAAAAAATTCTCCTTTTACTAAATGTTGAACCAGAGCGGCCTCCATGTGTAAAACGAGCGAGCGAACAGAGAGGATTCATGTTAGCTTTCCTGCTCCTACTCTTTGAAAGTTATTTTGGACATTAAAAGATAAGACCATAAAAGGTCAAATAAAATACAACAACTAAAAGACAAAAATATGTTTAAAATCTGAATATTTTCAAAAATACACAGATTTAATAAATAGTTTAAATAAATATTCTGCAGGCAGTAGTGCTGATATTTTAGCTCTTTGTTTACACAGTAACGTAGCTTACTGAGCTAGATAATAGGAATGGGAATCCCCAGTGGCCCCGTGATACGATATTATCACAATACTTGGGCTGCGATATGATATTATTGTGATTTTTAACATTTTTTCTACTATTTAGCTAATTTAGCATTTGTCTTTCCTTTATGTTTGTCAGTATTTTATTTTCATGTAGCACATCTTGCTAACCTTGTATATATATATATATATATATATATATATATATATATATATATATATATATATATAATTGTTGCACTAACATTCTCCTGCTCTCTGATGTCACCTCTGCCAACCTCACTGGACAAACAGTTGATTTTATTTTTCCATTATCATAGATTTGACTGAACATTGGCAATTGATTTGAAAAAATTAAGACGATACGATATATCACCACACAAATTATCACAATACTATGCTGTATCCATTTTTTTCTCCCACTCCAACTAGCTAAGTTAAAAAACTTGTTAACTTTTTAAAGTTAAAGACATCTTTTGAAAAAGGAAACAAGAGATATTATAAAGAATCAATTAAAATACAGAAGGTGTAGAAAACATAGCTTAAATAACAAAAGGCTTGCTGATAATGTAAGGTCACCAGGCTGCACTGCAGAACAGCTGCACCCTTTGAGTCGAGTGGTCCTCTTATCCAGGGCATTTCATTGCACTGTTGACCTTGTCTTACATGCACATGACAAATAAACTAATCTTGAAACTTGTGAGTGAGTAGCTCACCGGTTTAATAGATTATTTAGGACAGAATAACACAAACACTGATACATTCCACCCTTAAAATGATTTACACATACTTTAGATTACCACTCACCTCCAGTGTAAGGCTTCCAGTTGTAGTATTTTCCTCGAAAAGGCATGCTGTCAAAGTCTGCACACTGCTTCTCTCTGAAATCACGGGCTCCTGCAGGACAGGGCTGCAACAAAACAGAAAGACAGAATAAGAAAGGTCCTGAACGTTTGCCGTTTAAAAGACCACAGCAGAACCAGTTTGCCTTTTTGGCCATTCTGATCTAAAATGCACTTTAGTTTAAAAGCTCTTTAGTTATCCCCCTACTGCCAGTAAGTGGCTGGAAATCTTTACCCTCAACCGCTTTTTATTGAACACATCCTAATCTCTTTTGCGTTATGAAATCAAGATAACAGAAAAGGCAAACACTGATATGGAGCACGTTTGTGCTGTGAATGACGCAATATTACCTTTTGTATCTTCTGCTAACCTACATTTCTAAACCTTGACTATGTAATGTGAACAAAAGGAAAATAAGTCTGATGGATTTTACAACTTTTAGAAAATCTGCCATTTGATTTTCATGCCACAAAGAAATGAATGGAAGCAACTGGAAAGAAATCATTCATGAATCTGAAACTCTGTTTGCAGAGAGTCAGAGGAATTGTACATGATGTTGTCAGGTAGAGGTTGGCTTGTTGTAATCACCAGTAAAGCACTCAAATGATAACCAACTACAGGATAAAGTCTGTATAAGACATCACTCTTTATCGTCCGACTCTCTTCTCAGAGTTTCTAATCAAGGACGGGGGAGCTTTGCATTTGGAGGGATTGCTTTGTTTTCATGAGTGGATGTTGCTCCAGTAAGAGGAGGTAAAAAAAGTGGAAAGAAACACTTTATCGGTGTGAAAAGGTCCTTAGAAACCTCCAAACACTCTCCCATGGGACAAATAAAAGCTCTTAGGTCAAAGCTGTATTTCTCATGCTGAAAGTGTTCCACGTTTGGAGTGGACCGTTTGGGAGGCTGAGCCACTTTCATTACCGCTCAAGTGTTTTGGCAATATGGCAGCTTTAAAGTCGCACATCAAACATGCAGATCGAGTCAGAGGAGACAGAATAATATTATTACAAGTGTGTGTTGAAATGTGACACAGCGCCAAATGAGACGCTCGTGTGCCAACACGTGTTTGAAGGAGGTCAAATTATTTTAACTGTGCTAATGAATTACTTTTTTTAAGTGCTGTTGACCTGCTGATCTGTGGAGAAAAGAACAATAGTTAACCATGTCCACCAGAGAGTGTGTCTGCATTTTTATCTGCAGAAACACAGAAAAACCACTGATGCAATTTTGCTTAAACTTGGTAGAAGTTTGAAGTGATGGCCAAGGAATAACCCTATGAATTCAAGACCAAATTGGGTTCATGAACCTGCAAAAATATTGATCATTGATAGTTTGGGGAACATCCGACGGCACAGTTTTTTCCACGAGAATTATGAAAACACAAAAGAGAAAGTTTGGCTTGTTAAAGTTCGTTTGCAGAACTTCCTGTTTGTGTTCATTTTGGTGCCCCCTGTGGAAAAAGCAGTCATAACTTGTCCTCTACTTGCAAATGTAGTGTCACCTGAAAAAAAAAGTAATTTTGCTGACTTCTGTCAAATAAATTTCCATATTTGTCTATTTTTATTCATTTATTTATTTATACATATTTTTTCTATTTATAATTTGATTTTTATTATATTTTTTGTTTTTTTATGTATCCATATACAATTATAGGTTAGGGTACATTGAATATATATTTTATTATTCATTGCTGTAACAATGACTTGTACCTTTATACTTTCCACAGTTACTTTAAATAAAAAGTTGATCACAAAAAAAAATAATAATAAATTGTTCATAAATAAAATAAAGCTGTTAAATCAGAGACTTGACCAACATCTTCTCCCTTGCACCAGTTTCCAGCTTTAAGAATACAAAATAGAAGTTTTCAGTCTCGTCACTTTGTCCCACCCACAGCATGATCTGAGTGGCCAGATATCACAGGACCATGTGACGCCAATTAAAGTAAGTTCTGTTCAAGTTTTTCCATTGCCTCTGTCAATGCATACTGGTTCAAATATCTATTATTGAATTGGTTAATTCTCGCAGAATTTTAGATGTCCATTAAACTTGTTTTGGACAAAATAGCTCTTTTTTTTTTTGGGAGTCTCTTTTGATAACCCATCTGTTTTGATATTGAGGTAATGAGTCTGTTTCTCTGCTGACCAAAAACTTGGTTGATTCGTCTCTGCGCTTCCACAAATGAAACACCAGGATGTTAAAATGCTTCTCTAACCTCAACTTAGGGCTGGGCGATATGGCCTCAAATCAATATCACAATGTATTTAGCAGTTCACCTCAGTAACGATAAATGGACAATAACTACTCCACGAGCTGCTAACCCCCTCCCACATTAACTTCGTCTACTTCAGCCGCCGCTCCAGCTGCAACAACTTTTGAACTGTCCTCCATCTCCTCACCTGTCTTTCCCTCTTTGTTACGGACTGGATGGGATGGAGTCACATCTCTGATGTAGGACAGAGTCTTAAAGAACATGAGACCATAGCCTACCTACACACATCCAAAACCAACTTTTTATTTTTTTTATTTTTTTTCGACACCAAATATACCGACATGGGCAAAATGACATCGGTCATTTTCTTAAATTTCAGTATTGGTAAATTTTCGGTTTATCGCCCAGCTCTTCTCTGAGTTCCAAATGAAACACCAGCACCTCATACGTGCTCAGACATCCTGCGCCCTAACATTAAGAGTTGTGCAAACTGGAACAACCTCATAATACCAAGTAGACTCCGACGGGACAGACAGAGAAGCGGGATTAGCAAATAATATCTGACCGCTAATCAGAGTAAAAACAGCCCGGATATAAACATCAGTTTATGTGTGTGTGTGAATATTTGTCACTGAGCTCACACACACTTCCCCTGACAGTGTGGTCAGTGTGATGAAACAACGGGTAGAGATGGCATTTGTTTTCCAAAGAAAACACTCAGTGCTTGCTCTCCGCTGTTATTTTTAAGACTTGCGGTTTAAACGTCCACCAGGGGCCTAACTATTTCAATTTTCACCCGATGAAAAAAAAGTCCACCTAGAAATAGTTGAACAGAGATCTCACATCACCGCCACATTAAATATTTGTTTAAAGCTTCGCTCCAGACCCTAAAAAAGAAATCTGTGAATTGCTTTTCATGGCCTGAGCTCTGAAACAGCCATCATCCTCGGCTCAGGTGAAACGTCGCAAACAATACGTGAACTCTGAAGTGACAGTGAGGCGAATGAACCTGAAGTCACCGCTGGGAATATTGAATCACAGCCTGCTCATTTTTATCATCAACTGTGCAGCGCTCCAGGAAGAAAACACGTCAGAGGCCTGAACGGCAGCGTGATGCTGCGAGCTAACATGCTCCTTATAAAGCGCTCCCTAAGATAACACACGCAGCAGGAGAATAATAAGGCGTGAGGGTGCAAAGTGAGCTCCGGTGACAGGCCAGATCCATCTCAGGACTTCCACTGAAGCACCAAAAGTACAAAAAAATAAACGCTGGGACACTGTGTGCGATAAAAAGATGTCAGATACGAGAAATATCACAGGCGTTATATATAAGGTTCAAAATCTGTTTTTATAGACCTTTTTCACAACTTTTTTGAGATCAGGTTGTTGAATAAGAAGCCAAAAAAGAAAGAAACTCACATCAGTGTTACAAGATCTGTAGCGTTTCCTCTCCCCAAGACAGTACTTGCCTCCTCCAGACGGGCTGTGAGACAAAAGAGAAATCAGTGAGTGTGAGGACATCACTTAAAGCGACATATAATCACAAAAACACTTCATAAGTTTTATTGATAGAAGAGATACTCAGGAAGGCTTTGATGGATGCGGGTCATGAGAAACGTCTTTGCGAGGGGACAAAGTGCGCTTATGTGTTTGGAGGGGATTCATTCACAAAATATAAGCTGCTCTTGAAGCCTTCGAGTGTGACATGTCAGATCAGTTTTGTAGAGATGCTTAGCTTGGTAGCCTTGAATCATTCTCCACTTGCTCCTTTCCCTCTTATTTTTATCTTTCCCCCTCTCTTCACCTCCATCGGCCTCCCTATCCATGACTATTTGCACTTCATTGCACAAATTCTCGTCTGGCCATGTTTTCCCCTGATGCCTGAGCAGCAGCGATCACCTTACACAGGTGTTCCACATTATTTAGCTGCCTCCCCCCCTCCACCCCCTTTTTTCCTTCCCTCTGGTTCACCCTGGCTCTCCTCTCGTGTCTTCCCATGACGTGTCTGACGTAATATCTAGCTTCCACAGCTGAAGGAATGCAACGCTGGAAGCAGGATAAGGATCCAAAAACGTCTCCTTGGCAGACAAGAGATGCACCAGACGATGATTTGTCTGCTGAAGACGCACGAGAGTCCTTAAAACTAAACTAAACAGCGCTATAAACTACGATACAGAGGAGGGCTGTGTTTTAACTGATAGCACATGCTGTATCGGTTCATCTTAAACAACATGAGGAGATTCGTCTGTGTGTAGTTTATGAGTTTAATGCTTGTCGGAGAAACCTTACAGAACCGTCCTCTGCTGATTTTCACGCCTGCTTTGGCCTCATTTAGCCCGATGTAACTACCGTTTTGTGGTGGCTGTAGTTTGAAAAAGGACATCACGGGGTCATTTAAAGGGATATTCTGGCGTAAAATTAAGTTGGGGTCAAACACACCGTAACACCAAGTTAGACACTCCATCGAGAGGCTAATGTTGCCGACCACTTGCTTCTCTAGTTACACCAACCCTACTAACAACCACAGATAGCAATACAGAGAGCCACATACTCTGATATCAGGCAAAGCTAAAAATATGTTTGATGTCTAGTACTGTGGCTGGGACCCTATATGTACTGTTAATGAAGTTAGGTGCTGTTCTGAGCATTATTTGTGGCTATAGAGTGGCGTTTTGGTTGCCCGTGTGGCTCTCTGTGTTGCTTTCCTGCGGTCATTACTAAAGTTGGTATAACTAGAGAAGCAAGCGGTCGGCAACATTCATCTCTCAATGGGTTGTCTAACTCTGTGTTACAGTGTGTTTGACCCTAACTTAATTTTACGCCAGAATATCCCTTTAAATTACCTCTGACTCTTTTCTACTTATAGAAGAGTAAATACAAGCTAGGCTAGCTCATATGCTAGCTTCGCTGTTCCTCTAAAACTTCTGTAGTAGTTTTGTTCGATGCACAGCTTGGAGACGTTAGCTTCTATCTTCTATCTAAAATGCTTTATTTTAGCTACTGTCTCTTTAAGACATGAGCCATCTTCTTCTGATTAGCCAGGTCTCGGAAAGCCTCCTCCACTGTTGCCTTAAAGCTACCTGGTGTTTCTCTATTTAAAATGATACATTATGATAAGAGATATTTCAAAGAGTCATTTTAAGAGAATCCTTTTATCGTTAGTAAACGGTATGACCTTAAATTTGTGGGTGGAGCTTAGCTAGAGGTATTGAGAACCTCTCTGGATATCTCTCTGGATAAGTGAGGTAGTTTTTTGAACAGTTAACACTGACAAACAGGATCAAACTCATTGACCTGTGTGTCCTCCCACATGAGATTTGGAGAGACATTTATTCTTAGACCATTTTAAGAGCTAAACACAACAATATTTAGTTAAATCCAACAGCGTTTGTCTTCTGCCAGATATTGTTTTCTTGGTTGTCTTTCATGTTGACTGTCTCTTTTTGTTGTTTTGCAGGGAATGCAAAACTGAGCAGAGCTAAGTTTCCATCAATATGGAAACTATTAAAGCTTAAAGGCAAATGATGGTAATGGTTTGAACCAGTTCTGATCTAAAGCAGTTTTTCGATTTGTTTTTGATGAACAGGCACTAAAATTTCAACACAGAAATAGTCAATGTAGTTGCTGATGGTCTTCTTTGCTTTCATTGTCTGTTTCATGACCTGCTAAAACTCATGACCGGGGCTTTCACTGCCTGTATGTGCACAGTTATAGAAAGTTTGTGTTTTTGTAATTCTCACTCATTACGATCAAAAAATACGTCCCTTCCTACACTTTTGTACTCTCTGTTAAGCCTTTTTGAAAATGTAAAAATAGGTCCAGCGTTCAATCTCATTGCAAAAATATGACTGTTTGGGAAAAGTCTTGACAAGAGCTTTAGAAATAAAGCCACTAAGGTTGTTTTTCCCAAGCAAAGAGTCGTGTACTCTTGAAATATCTGACAACTTATTTACTTCAGAGAAAATCCAATTATCTCTACTCCCACTCAGACGTAACAAACATCCACACGGCACACACATGCACACGTAAACACAAACACACACCTGTAGGCAGGACCTGGATGTGTGTGTTCAGCTTGCTGTGGCTTACTTTGCCTACTTACGCTGGGCTGTCACAGTGCCTCATGGAGGAGGACACACCGCCCCCACAGGTCCTGCTGCACTCCCCCCACATGGACCAGGGCCCCCAGCCTCCATCCTCGCTCTGAGGCCAGGTACCGAACGCCACGCAATCCCCCTGGTAGCACCACTGACCGGGAGGAGCGGAGACACACACAGAGAGAAAAAGAGAAAGGGGGGAAACTTTGGTGTTATTGTGCAGCATTTCTTTACAACACAAACACAGAGACACATTAACGATTGTTTTAGAGAGTTCAGTTTAGACGACAATCTCTAAAACACACAACTTATTATTACAACCACAAATACTTCAGTGTCAGTTTTACAGTTTTACACCATTATTAGCCCCCTATAAATTCATAAGGATGTGTTTATGGTGAAAGGTAGACTATACAGAACCTGACTGATGAAGCGCCCTTTCAGTAACACAATCACTCTGCCTCTGTTTCACTTTAGAAACACTCACGCACGCACGCACGCACACACACACACACACACACACACACACACAGGCTTTACCACACTTGTGATTACACTATTACTCACCCTATAATTTCATTTCCGCATTAGTCCTGTTATTTTACCTCTCTCACCTGCCATTTTGTTGTTATTGCTGTCCTGGTTCCCTCCTCACTGAGGTCTACTGTTGTATTGTTTATGTGTCTGCTTCTTCATTAAAGGAATAGTTCAACATTTTTGGAAATGGCGCCTCAAGTGGACAAAGTGACACCGTTTATCTCTTAAACATAAGAAAATGAGAAACGTCTTATCCCGCTTAATTTTTTAAATGTCAAGTGTGACATTTATTGTAAATATTTGGTGCTAAAAATTGAAAGACAGGCTGTTTCTTGAGATTACTGTCAACCGTCTTATGCCTACCCCCTAACATTAGTATCATATCGTCTTGGTTTCAAAGTGCAACTCCCAAATGAAGTTCAACTAATGATGCAAAAATGCAAAGACGCCCCAAAGGTTCTGCAGCTAAGTGCAGTTTGCTCTCGTTTTATGTTAAGCTGTCCGCATCTCCTCTCTCTGTTGCATGAAGCTGACAGTACCAAACTCTAATAACACACATATGATGATGAGGTGAAGAGAGAAATACACAAGCTAAGAAACTACTAGCTTAACAAGTTCAGCTACAAATTAAAAAAGCTAAACTACAAAGTTGACTACAAATTAAACAAGATTAGCAAGTAAAACTGCAAATTAAATCAGTTAAACTACAAGTTAAACTACAAGTTAAAAAAGTTAAACTACAAGATTAATCACAAATTAAAAAAGTTAAACGACAAGTTAAAAAAGTTAAACTACAAATTAAATAAGTTAAACTTCAAGTTAAAATACAAATTAAACAAGTTAAACTACAAATTAAATAAGTTAAACTACAAATTGAACAAGTTAAACTACAAATTTAAAAATTTTAACTACAAATTGAACAAGTTAAACTACAAATTAAACAAGTTTAACTACTAATTAAACAAATTAAACAAATTAACCTACACATTAAACAAGTTAAACTACAAGTTAAACAATCCCAGAATGATGTTTTTCAGCCTTAAAATGCAAAACCTCATTATTTATCATCTCCAAAATATGATATTAAAAGGTTTGAAGAATCATGAGAAACCAATTCTGGAGAGCTGCACCTAAAACAGACATGACTCTGTAGTGGGAGCCTCCACATGGACTCAAAATCACTTCCAAAAAGCAAAGTTTGTGAACACAGTTTGTCAGTGCATCCACAAATGCACGTGACAAGACGGACTTAACTTTTTTGAAACGTTTTGACTGTTTTTAACCAAATATTGTAATAATCAAAATCTGTTTTGATGAATATTTTACATGCCTTGACTTTTTTGGAACTGGGTTTGTAATACTATAAAACAATAAGGATGTGGGGTCGTGCTATTTTAGGGGCAACATAAGCACAAGGTAATTAAAAGTACATTTTCCATTTTTTTTTTTTGGTTTGTTAGTCGATTAAAACAGTCCAGTTTAATTATCTGAACACATTTTTAAATTTCTTGTGTAATCTAAATTTTCATAAAAATATGAAACAGATTCAGTATTTTGGTTCGGTGCTTCCAGGGTACTGTGTAGTTTTTCAGGTGAGGGATGTGAGGCGCTGTGCGGCTTTTCAGGAGTGTTTTAATCCTCTCACTAAGCTGTTTGGAGCTGCAGAGTGAAGAGGGGATCAGAGACAGCTCTTTGTCTCTCCAACTGTGTCAGTAGGCTAAGAGCCAAGTGACACCAGGACAGTCAAGGTGAGGTTGGGCCGCTGTCCTCTTTCCCTTGACTTACTCATTCTTGTCCTGAGATGCTGTCTAAACAGGATTAGCAGAGAGCGAGGTGAGGCGAGAAGGAGAGATGAGAAGGTCAGAGGGATCAGGAGGACACAGAGGGGAACTCAGGAGGAGGGAGGCGAAGTCTGCTCTCCCAAACGATCCCAGAGTTTGTTTCTGCAGGTTCAAGTGAACGTAAAAACGACTCTTCTGCGCTGGTCAGTTTCTGTGTCTCTTACACCTCCCTCGGCCCCCTCCCCCCTTCTCTCTCCCCCCTTCTCTTGCTCCTGTTGGAAGGGCCTCTCTCCATTACATGCTGGGTGAGAAATGGCTGACATTCATATTCCTTTGAAGCTGTCCCAGGCAGGGGCAGACAGGGTATGCCGGTGGCTCTCCTAAAGCTGCTCCAAAGCCCCCCTGGCTCAACCTGGGGCCCCCTGTGTTGTCCAGGACCCTGTCCGTGGGCCCCGAACCTCAAAGGCTCCACTGAGCTAATGGTAATCGCGGGTGACAGCTCGTGACACTCTTCTATTCTTCCCTTTTAGAGCTCGGACCATCGGGCAACAATGGCTGCCGTAATCCGTGTTAAAACTGTCTCCACTAACCTGGCTGGCATCAACAGAGGGCCAATGACCTCAAGCCTGGCCTGGTTACATGTGTGTGAGAGAGTGTGTGTGTGTGTATGCATGTGTTTGTGTGTCATGGCCAGTGGGACGAGTTCAAACTCAAGATCAGGATAATTGCAAGTCCAAGCAATGAGGTAACGCAAGCCTGTGCACCCAGAGCAGCAGGTGCTGGACTCTCTTTGTATGGGATGGTTTAAGAGCAGGTTGTCCCAGTTTTTAAAAAGTAAATAAAAGCTGAATAAATCAAGCAGATTATTATAAGTTTGTTAAAGGAATTAAACTTTGAAAAAGAGGTGCATAAAGGAGGCCCCTCATTGGGTTCCTTCTTGGACCCTCATGAAGTACAGGTAACATCGTCCTCAAGTGTTTCAGTGGGCTGAAGCTACGACCGAGTGATTATATGATCGTGATGTTTGATCGTGATAAATTTCAGTTCGATCACGGTGATCAGCTGTTGGTATATTTACTGAATTTTTCGCACTATAGGGTGCACCTGATTATCGGCACACCATCAATGAATGCGTCTATTTGTGTCTATTTTCATACATAGGGCGCACCGGATTATAAAGCGCATTAAGCCAAACAAAACAGTCAGATAAGTCAAACCATGTTTAACTCATTCAATAACTCTGCGAGGCTACAGTAGCAGCAGTGCTCCTACAAGCTTAAGGCAGTGCGGCTTTTTAGCTTACCTAAGTTGTAATGAAACATTTTGACAGATTTTTGAGCGCTGTGTACCACATAAAATGGGTTCGAGGTCAGTAAGCACAACCAGAATTCATACATAAGGCGCACCTGATTATAAGGCGCACTGAGGATTATTGAGAAAATTAAAGGATTTTAAGTGCACCATATAGTGTGAAAAATACGGTACTCGATCAAACATAGCAAAGATGTGCGTCACAACAGCTAATCAGAGTTGGGCTTTTCCTGCTCACTTCTGTAAACTGACAGAGAAGTAAACAGGGTGAAGTAAACTGAATGACCAATGGTGGAATGAAACACAGAGCTGAGGGCAGCAAAAAGATGTCAGCCATGACTTGGAGTCATCCTCCGAAGATGTAATCGTTAAGAACAAAAGTTATTCAATGTCGGTTGTGTGGCAGTGCCGCGTTTTGGGTATCTCCAAAAGTTTACGCCATCTAATGTTTACATTCTAAGGCGTCCTCATTACCCCTGAGGGAGCGATTTCTTTATTTTGGGTCTTGCATACCTGCAAAAACGCTTAGGACTGTAATCTAGTTCAATGTATTAATTAATATTCATCTACATTTGTTGCACTGTTGAGTTAAAATGCTTTTTATACTTTTCTTGTTTATCTTGTTAAATTTGCTTTATTTTGTATGTTAATAAAATGCTGAACTAGTTTTTAGTACAGATGCTTTAAATCTGCTTTAAATCAATTTTAAATCTTAAAATCTTAAATTTTTTAAAACATACGTGATAATAATCAAGATCAGACGATATGACATAATATATTGAGATCATTTATTTTGCCAAATCGCCCGGTCCTAGCTGAGCCTGTCTGCAGGAAATAAGGGGAGCTAAAATAAGGAATGCAACCTCCTGTGAAGCAATCCTAGAATTTATGTGGGTTTCATCCTGCAAAGATTTACATTCAGTCGATGCCCATAAACATCTGCTATCTTAACTCTAGCTGCATTTTGATTCTCAATTTTCTAGTCAGGCTACAAGAAGAAGGTAGAGCCAGAAGTCCTATATTGCTAAACACCAGCTGTAATGGAAGTTGGTCGTCACTTTGAGAAGCTGCACTGTCTCTTATTGACAACCAAAAGGTAATAAGATTGTGTCAGTTGAAGTACTGTCATTGGATCTACCGCAAAGTTAATCTGCACAGAGCTCTCCAACGGCGTTGACTTTAAGACAACTGAATCAGGGTTGACCTTGAAGGTGAAGTCGTGCAAGCCGTGTCACACTACAGTGATTTAGTGTTATCCTTCAGCCACACAGAGCTACACCTGACCCTGCTCTCCTGTGCTGTGATTGGTTGGGCATATCTATCAATCAAATGTATGACTTTAATAATTGACATAAAAATACTCTCGATGATTACTCTATCTCTTGTTAAAGGTGGGATAGGTGGGAATCCGTTAAAGAAGCTTCTTTTTTTGTGTTGTATATATACAAAAAATCTTTTAATATCAGTCAATAGCTATTAGTCATTGATGACATTTGGTAATATAACGATATCGCTGTGTTATAACGATATTATGTCTGTGTAGTCAACATTTTAAAAATTTTTGAGCGGCCCGCTCATTCTTACTGTAAACAAACAGGACCAGCTGCGTGTTGTAGCGCCGCTAAACTGTTGACCTCGGGTCCTGGACTATGTCCCTTTATCCTAGTTGTAGAAGTCCTGCAAACATTGTGTTTGCTGGTAGTGTGTTGGCATCTACAGTAGCACTTCCTTAGATCCTGCCTACCCCACCTTTAGGCCAAATTTTAAAGTATTATGTCTTTTAGTCCTTCTCTGCAGAGCTGTGTCCATATAAATGTGAATCATGGGAACTTTTTGACCCCGCTCATCAAATCTAAGTGTTCTTGACAAGCTTGGCTGTCAGTTTGTAGCTCGTTGAGACATCATGACTCAAAAGTTTGCTTTTTTATGCCACTTTGCAAAAACTTGGTCGACATTTCCAAAGTACATGGCTGAGATCCCTCATCGTCCTCCTCCCGATCTTACAACACCAGTTAAGGGAGGTTTGGGTGGGTGCAGAAAACTCTGAGGGTATCTTAAAACCACAAGTTATCCCCAGATACCAGTTGGATTGAGTAAGTGAGAAGATGCGGTGTTTCTGGGGGGTAAAATTTTTCAAAACATGAGAAACATTTGATGACTTACCCCTTTCTCAATGCTGCCAGTCTGGCACAGAGTCCCCTCTGCAGCAGGGATACTGTTAGTTACACAGCGGTTGCTTTTGCTAAGGCACCAGAGCTCTCTACACACTTCCTAGGAAAGAAGGCAAAAGCAAGTTGGTCAGAATAAATCATTTCAGCAGTCTGAGGGGGGGTTTGTTTGTTAATGAATGAGGGGGAGAATGATTTATCAGTAGCCTTTTGTGGTTTTCCTCTTCATCTTTTGTTGTCTGGGAGAGAAGAGTCTGAACACAAACAGCATCATCTATAAATCTACATCATTCCAGATCAAATCAGAGGATGAGAGGAGCTGCAGAGACCACATCCAGACTGCTGACTTTAAGAGCCCATATGCTTTGGATCATGATGCATCTTGAGCAACACGCCAAGGGTCACTGGTTGCTGTTAATGTTCTCTTATGAGAAATGAAGAGTCAGCTGGATCAACACCACCATGACTAACGTTTATTCACGTTTGCCTCGGGACCTCACGGGACCGTGACATCAGTTCAAGAAATCCAATTTCTGCTTCTTAGGGGAAATCAAGAGTGAGCAACAGGCCCCCCAAGTCTTAGATAGAGACAACTTGAAGGCCGGACAAATATCTTTAGTATTACTGAGCGCTCTGTATAAACACTCCTCACTCCTCAGTCTGGAGCATAAGGAGAAACCATTTAGATTAGCAAAAGAGAGGAGTGTGTGAGAGAGAGAGAGAAAGAGAGAGGGAGAGTAGACAGCTCTGAGTTGCTCCCAAATAAATAAAACCACAAAGTGAACACATGTTACAAGAGCAGCTCTGCACAAGCTTGCATTAGATTCCCCATTAAACCAAACTGGGTCGACTCGCCTCCTAACTTCAAAGGCTTTTACAGGACAATTGTGTACGGCAGAAGAGCAGGCCCATGAAAAAGAGTTACGATCCCGCGCATAGATTCTGACCCCCGGGGTCAGTAAATATGCCACGGCCTCGCAGCTCCCTCAGCATATCCAGATTAAATAAAGCGGCAAACTGCCACTCTCTGGTTGCAGCGGCTCCCCTCGGCCAGCTGGTTTCAATAAGCTGCCCCGCTGCTCCATTCACTATCTCGGCCTCACGGAAAGGTCAGCAGCCCGGGCCTTAACAAACGAGGATGTGAGCCTGATGGATTTACGCTAAAGAGAGAACAAGCGGGCAATAAAAAGGGCAGGGGCACTCAGTAAGGGTCTCGCTAATATAGCCATCAAAGGTTGTTTGTTTTCCATACCTCCAGCTTCTTAAGTTGGTAGCTTCTTTGAGCACAGACTGGAGGCTTCGCTGAAACTAAATGATTGCCGTAAATTAGCCAAACTTCCTCTCTTGACATCTGAGTTACTTTTCCCACCTCTGACAGAGTCTCACGCTGTGATTTAACGGCTGCGATATCCCCTTGTTCTAAAAGTGTCGTCAGCCATAACTGCTGAGTTATTACATCAGCGGTTCACAGCCTCTTCTCGTAATGACCCCTGAGTACAAAGTCATTTATCCTCCGGTTGGATGTTTGCACTTTGATTAAAGAATGATGGGCTGTTTGTATTGGTTCGATTTCTTTCAGTGGGGCCAGGATTGTCTGATACTAAATAACCTCAGACTTTATGAAACATGTCCAGTCATCTCCACCAGGTCTTTAAATCTTTTCTTGTATTAACAGATGTAATTGTGATTAAAAGGCTTTTTATGACAGATGTTAGAAAAAAGGATAAATCCGGTGAGACACATAGAAAAAGCTAATTCTGCAGAGTCATCAGCAATAATAGTATTTCACTTTTTCTATTCTATCATACAGTATCAGAGTAATATATTGTCTCATATAGTATTCTATGGTGTTTTATGAGGTTAGGCTGTTTGATATTTTGTTTTTCCATATGTTATCAAACTGTAACCAATCACAAAGCAGATTGAAGCGCCATGTTTTTAAGCAACCATAATGTCACACTTCAAGCAGCCCAGAAACGGTGAGTTTGGGTGATTGAATCCTGTAAGTCTGTAGTCCGATACGCAGTTATAACATATCAATATTCATTCAGTCGTAGAATTAACCACCTAGCCTAGCATCAAACGCTTAGGTAGTCTGGGACTTAGGGCTGGGCGATATGGCCTCAAATCAATATCACGATATATTTAGAAGTTTACCTTGATAACAATAAATGGACGATAACTACTCCACAAGCTGCTCACCCCCTCCCACAGTAACTTTGTCTACTTCAGTCGCCGCCCCTGCCGTTACAACTTTGAACCGTCCTCCATCTCCTCACCTGTCTTTCCCTCTTTGTTACAGACTGGATGGGGTGGAGTCACGTCTCTGACGTAGCGACAGGGACATGAGACCATAGCCTACCTACACACATCCAAAACCAACTTTGATTTATTTATTATTTTAACACAGAATATACTGATATGGGCAAAATGATGTTGGTTATTATTGTAAATTTCGGTATAGTAATTTTTCGGTTTATTGCCCAGCCCTATAATATAGTATCCTACGGTGTTTTATGTGCTTATGGTGTTTTATATTGTGTTTTTTCATGTGTTATCAAATTGTAACCAATTACAAAGCAGGTTTGAGCGACATTTTCTAAACAACCATGATGTAGTACTTAAAGCAGCCCAGAAATGGTGAGTTTGGGAAACTAAATCCTGTAAGTCTGGAGTCCTAAACGCAAAGTTAAAAAAAAATAAGCCACCTAGCCCGGCATCAAATGCTTAGGTAGTCTGGGACTAACTCCAAAAAGACCTTTTTGAGCGATATGATTTTTCTTTCTTGCTTCCCACCCTGAAAACACTTCTTATTGACATGGTTAAACAGGACACACTTTGTCATGTGTGGTCCCAAAGATGAGCGAATAGAGTAAAGATTTGTGGCTTCCTGTGGCTGAATATTTAATAAATCATTTTGTCATCTCAAAACCAGCGAAATATTAAAAACCACGTCATGAGTGAGTGAGATTATTTATTGTTATGTTAGTGATAAACTTTGATACGCTCTGGCAGGACTTCCTAAAGTTTCCCATCACTGTTGTTATTAATATGTTACGGCTTTGGAAACCAGACTCTTCCACTCATTATTATTCGACTTTTTTATCCATTTCTGTGGTCACGTCTGTCCTGTAAAGAGTCACAGAGGGCATCTCTTTCACAGATGGTTTCACAGAACAGATCAGATGAAAAACTCACGTCGAGCTTTGCTGGAATCTAATCTGCTCGTAAATGTGCGTCTTTCATGCTGATCTAAAACCACAATTATGAGCTTATAGGCCAAAATAACAGGGCTTGATTTGAAGCCTGTTATAATCTGCTGTCAGATATTTCTTTCAATGAAATGAAATAACTCTATGATCTCAGCTGGTCTCTGCTCGCTTTTTCCATCGTTTGATCAAATATTTATGTAACGCAGAAGAATATCATGTTATTTTTGATTAAATCTTTGAGGATTTTCGAGGAGTCTTTCATTTGATGCTTGTCTTTCACTGCCTGTTTCCCCTCATGTGCTGAGGTTTTCCCATTACTTAGTCATAATCTTTACAGTGGAGGGAGGGAGTGATGTTGTTCATCTTCAGCCCTCTGTCTGGTGAGTTTATATGTGAAAGATGGAAAAGAAACAGTGTTGAAAGACACTCCAAAACCAGCTGACGTTGTCAGACAATTATCAAACAAGAAACTTTTTTCGCTGTAATCTAACCCGGGGAATATAAACTGTTATTACCAAAGTGAAGTCTGCACAAGATGGAACTTTACATCAGAGCTGCTTATGCAACATGTTGAAATAGTCCTTTAATAGTCATGGAGGTGACACTTTTTGGCTCACTTTGTCATTGGGACCTCAAAAATGTGTGCGAACAGGCGTGTGACGGGGGGAGGGGAGACAGCCATGTTGTTCTCAGACAAAATATAAAATGATGGGTTGGAAGTTTGACCACAGAAACCTTGAACTTTGACCCCTGACTTGTGTAAGATATTGCACTTCAAGGCATATAGGAGGAGTGTGGAGTTTGTAGGGCATTATATTGTCATGGTGGGGTTGACCTTTGTCTGTAGGGTGAGAAATGTCACAACCTCACAAGCAGATTTGTTACATTTGTTTGTATTTGTATTATAATCATATTCTTCTTTGATGGATGACCAAAATAGGAAAAATCCATTCATTCACAATTAATGCAGGAATGCTTGAGTTCGGGCCGTGGGAATGTTTTTTGACCTTTGACGTTTAAGGACCAAAGTTGAAATTTTTTCATCCTTAGATCAAAACGAATGGTTTTGCCAAATATGAGGACATTCCCTCCATGAGTTCCTGAGATATTGGATTCACAAGAATAGGAAAACCCAATAATAAGAAGTCCTGGTTTTTAAAAATCATTGCCAGTGGGTTAGTCTGTCTTTTTGTCAGTATTTTACTGTTAAATTTTGGAAGTAAAGTCCTGGCCTTTGTTGGTGTCTCCTCCATGAATTTATTGATCTATATCATCTCTTAGTCTGGGAACATATGAATGGAAAACACAGTTTTAGGGGTCAGTGGTAGAAGGACATGTGAGAAGGAGATGCTGGTGTCTTACCCCATACTTGCACTGGCGTGAAGAAGCCCCGTACTGGAAGCGACACTGCTCGTCTGCATCGTACACCTGCCCCGGGGCCACTGTTGGGTACAGGAAGTCTCGTTTCAGAGGTTCATTGTCCAGACACGTCCCCCGACCTGAGCTGTCAAAAAGACAAACCTACAATAGGATTGTTTCTTACACAGAGAAACCATTCTGCACTCGGCTAATAATGGAGGTACAAATGCAAAAGACTGGCGTGCACAGCCCAGCCATGAAAGGTTGTAAATGCTGGAATATTCCAGAAGCAGTCTTAACAGTGCGCTCTTTAAACCTACCAGACTTCATTGACAAAGCAGAAAGTTTACTCCACAGGACATAGGAGTTAGTTGTCTACGTTTCCCACAGCTGTTTATCTTTAGTGACTTTTTTCATCCCTTACTGTTAGCATAAATCCAACCCGACACAATAACACATACTGTTTGAAGCTAACCATTCAGTACAGCTGATCTGCAACTCCTGTGTTCAGCACGGTAAAATTACTGTTTTTTTATGATGGGGTCTGGTGGCGGAGAAGAGAGTACTGTGATTGCTCTTCAATATTTCTATGGTACATATTTCTATAATATATTCTAATATGTTCTTATAACTTTTCTAAAGCTGTGGGATTATCAGATCAAACATTTGTGAGTGTAAATGGCAAAAACAGGACCTATTAAAGGACACACTTCATCAGTGAACATTGTCCAAATACGTCATTTCTTCTTCTGTATTTCGACTCGAATCTAAATTTGACATTCTTTCTAGAGATCTTGGACGCCTTGTCTTCTGTGGGGTTGTTCGTACTGGAATCCCCCTTGAACACCTTGGCTGCTGTTGCTGTATTTATTTTTAGCACCAAACTACCACTGTAGGAAGCTTGTCAGGGGTCTCAGATGACATGTAGTTAATGCTGATATCACACATCAACACCTCCTCATCAAAGGGAGTGTTGAAGAACAAGCTGAGGCTTTTTACCACAGGCAATCTGCCTGTCTTCAGGACCCGGCCCCCTTTGATTATACAGCTCTTTCTACACTATCCTGTATGTCATTTCTGGTAGTGAATCAAGAGGATGCAATGAAATAATAGAGCCATGAGAGGGTGAGGACAAATCTGGAGATAAGTGCAGGTCATACATCCAAGTCTTGGATCCTGTTTAGTCTGTTTTGTCAGATAGAAATATTTGCACACTTTAAGCTCTGGTTTTGTAATCCAGGGTGAAAAATCATCTATTGTTTGTGTATGTTTAGATTAAAATTTAGGATTATTCATTTAAGCATTTACAAAAGTGTAAGACACTAAAATCATCCCAAAGTGCCAGTAAACAGCCACAGATGTGTTTCATTCTGATCCGGACCTCTCCTGCTCCTCCTGAGTCAGAGGTTCCTCTCAAGGCAAAATATCACCACGACCATTTACTATAACACTGTGTTCTTTCCAGCTGTGGCAGCTGCAGCGTGCAGGAGAATGCTTCCAGTCCCTCGAAAGGAAAAGTTGGCCGGGTGACAACAATAATGCAGACTGCAGCTCAGGCCCAGAACCCATTGAAAGTTGAATAGTTTTGACACATTTGTCTGCCTGCACCTAAATACAGAGAAAATGAATAGAAGTTTCCCCATTACTGATTCTCTGGGGGGTACTTATGAAGCTCCCAAGGTATGTGGAAAGACTGGAGTAGCTCAGCCGAATTGATAAAATATAATGAGCTGTTTTTAAATTTTAACTACAGTCTGGAGAAGAAAATACTCCCTAAAAACTTACGATTGAGCTCTGTGTATTTGCCAAAGAAGCAAGAATATTTCTTCTTCTGGGTTTTTTTTTCTTTTTTTGCTTAAAACGACCAACAAATAAACTTCAAATCAGTTACAAGAGCACAAACCTTTAATGACAGGTTACACTAAAGTTCCTATGGAGAACTCTCAGTTATTGTTAATTTTGGCGCCCCCCCTGGACAAAGCGATACCTCTCATTGCTTTGCTGATCTTGTCCTGCATTGTTTTAACACACGAATGCATCATTAAGCAAATATCTAACCCAAAAACTAGTACCTTTAGATATTACAAACAACTACCATATTTTTCGGGCAATAATGCGCACCAGACGGTACGGCGCACTGTGAATTAACGTGTCTTTGTTCACACATAAGGATTCTAAGGTGCATTAAGCATTGATTGGTTTATTGTTGCTAGCGCATACTCCGGGCCCGGGCTGCCTTTTTTTGAATGCATTTCTAGTTTAGACATTACAGTCAGGCAGTCTTGTAGACTGCTCAGGGGTCCTGTTACAGGGCTACGGGGTAGTGACACAGAGTACTGTAATGCTCCGAATATCCATTGAGCAGAGCGGCTTTATTGCTTACCAAAGTCGTACTTACACATTTCGACAGATTTTTGAGCGCATTATACCGCATAAAATTGGTCAGTAAGTACAAAAAGTAATCATACATAAGGCGCGCTCAATTATAAGGTGCACCGTTAATTTTTGAGAAGATTTAAGGATTTTAAGTGCGACTTCTAGTCCAAAAAATACGGTACATAGAGGTGGTCAGTCTTAATTCCTGGTCCTGTTTCTTTTTGTAGGTCACATAAAGACAATAATTTGGATTTCAATCTGTTACATAAACAACCAAAACTTCCCCACTGGAGCTTTAATGAATCACATGAAGTGAAGGAAAGTAATAAGGTTCAACAAATCTTGAAAAAGTTAATTCAAAAGGGAAAAACAACATCTTAAAGAAGGTAAGATAATCTAGTTTGGGTTTTTACCTGATTATGTCAGTCATCGGTCAAAGAGCTTCATGAAGGCTAAAGTTTTGTCAATAAACAACAAACCTCCAGAAAAGCAGCAGTTTGCAAAGAAGTCAGTTTTTTAATCCGAAAACGACAACAAAACACAGCTGATACAACAAGAGCAGCAAGACGCAACATGAGTACTTGAACTTAAGTCCAGTTTTCCTGAACTCCTGACTTCGCTTCAGGATGTTGGCATGGATTGCAACTTAGTCCACATGACTCAAGTCCAAGTCCAGTCCTTTTATTCATATGAGTCTTGATTAGCCCGAGGACGGTTATCCCTTTCCTAATTCTTCAATTTCTGAATCTGTGTGACATGTAGAAACACATTTCATACATAAACACCACACTCTGACTTAGATTGAAGTTATTAATTAAGTTACAACGCTGTGTGTGTTGTGCATAAAAGCAAGCAGGTTCATACAGTTGATAGTCTGAAGTGATGCTGCTAAAACAGAGTCCATCCTCAGGTTGAGGGGACTTGACTCAGCCTTGACTTGAACGCTGAGGCCTTGACACTCAACTTGAACTCAAGGTTTGGTGGCTTGACAACAACTTCCTCCTTCCATCCCCCATCCTCAGTGACTGAAAGGATTATTTCGACTTCTTTTTGAGGACCCTTATCATCATGAAGGGAGAGAGAGAGAGACGCTCTTCTCTGAGGTCCCAGACTCCCTGCTCACTTAGAGCAAGCTTCACTATTTATTGGTTTGGAGGGAGACAAAATAGTCAAAGTTTAAACACAGAGGCTATTATTTGACTTGTCGCAAAGGCTTCCTGTCCGGTGGATTCAGCCAAGTTCATTATGCCGAGCGGAAATATCGTCTAATAAGCGAGAACATCAGCTATCTCTGAACTCTGACTCCAGCTGCTCCTGGAGATTTTCAGAGACAGCAGCAAGATCGCTTCAAACTAACCCGACAATTATCTTGAGGAACACTCGTCTACTACTCGAAATATGGTCTGCGGCAGCTTAATAAACTCAAACAACTCTGCCTGTTAACATTTTTAACAGAGTAAACTGTGAGTGAACTGTGAGCGCATTCATAAACCATGCCTAAAAAACCCAAACAAAGGCCACATATTGCTTTAGCAAGACGGTGAATCTAGGCCAACACCACAGCCAAAGTTGTTTACTTGGCGAGGGGATGCATGAGCGATATCCAAAACTGTGATTCAGGGAGAGAATGGGAGGATAATTGGAGTTTACAGAACAGACAGATCCCTTTTGTGGCAAACATAAAGGCTAAAAGCAGTGAAATGGAAAGGAAAAAACAACAGACATCTACAGATAGAGATATATTAAAGCTGAAGTAATACTCGATTCTACTTTGAGAACAAGTTAAACAACTTTGTCTCCTTTTTTTAGCCTTGGATGTTCTCAGAGTCTCCAGCCAGAAAGAGGACGGGAACCCGGCGGAGCAACAGAGAAGCGGCTCTTTGTGCCCCGTTGGGAGCTGGCATATAATACTGTCATCTCTGTCACAAGTGCCGCTCACCAACCCTCCTCTAACAGCTTTCAGCCGGAAACATCATCTGACAACCACAGGCCGCTATTATCGGCTTTCTTGGAGGGCTTCGCTAAACTAAACATGAATACACAAACAGACACACACACACACACAAAGACACACCGCAGACTTGCAGCGCATCCAACTGAAGCTTCACCAAGAGGTCACGTATGAGGATTTAAACTCTAAGTGATGAGCCAGAAAGCTGAACTGCGGAGAGAGTAAAGACTCTGCAGGAAGGATGGAAAATCAAGTTTATTGTGTGCAGAGTCGGCGCTGTAAAAAAATCAGCCCTCTACAGTCTCCTCTGCTGCTTTTTGAGGGTAAAACTTCAACTATTTGGCTTTTTTATTGAATCACCAGAGTGCAATAAAGGCTAAGACTAATAAAAGAGGGTTAGAAACTCTTTATGTTCTCTAATCAGACCAATAAACATGAACTGATCAGCAAAAGTCATGCAAAGCTTGATGTATAAGCATGAACATTAGAGCAGACAATGTGGATAGAGGATGCAGAGCGGGTTATCATAGGGCTGGGCGATAAAGCAAAAGTCTACAGATACCAAAATTTTAACAATAACCAACATCATTTTGCCCGTGTCAATATATTCTGTGTCAAAAAAAAATAAAAGTTGGTTTTGGATGTGTGTAGGTAGGCTATGCTCTCCGTTTAAGATGCTGTCCTACGTTGGAGACGTGACTCCACCCCATCCAGTCCGGAACAAAGAAGGAAAGACAGGTGAGGAGATGGAGGACGGTTCAAAAGTTGTAGCAGCTGGAGCGGCAGCTAAAGTAGACAAAGTTTAAGTTGGTAGGGGGTGAGCAGCTTGCGGAGTAGTTATTGTCCATTTATCATTATCCAGGTGAACTGATCAATATATATGATATTGATTTGAGGCCATATCGCCCAACCCTAGGTCAAATGTGAGGGGAAAGAGATTGTCTACACTCACCGGCCACTTTATTAGGTACACCTGTCCAACTGCTCGTTAACACTTAATTTCTAATCAGCCAATCACATGGCGGCAACTTAGTGCATTTAGGCATGTAGACATGGTCAAGACAATCTCCTGCAGTTCAAACCGAGCATCAGTATGGGGAAGAAAGGTGATTTGAGTGACTTTGAACGTGGCATGGTTGTTGGTGCCAGAAGGGCTGGTCTGAGTATTTCAGAAACTGCTGATCTACTGGGATTTTCACGCACAACCATCTCTAGGGTTTACAGAGAATGGTCCGAAAAAGAAAAAATATCCAGTGAGCGGCAGTTCTGTGGGCGGAAATGCCTTGTTGATGCCAGAGGTCAGAGGAGAATGGCCAGACTGGTTCGAGCTGATAGAAAGGCAACAGTGACTCAAATAACCACCCGTTACAACCAAGGTAGGCAGAAGAGCATCTCTGAACGCACAGTACGTCGAACTTTGAGGCAGATGGGCTACAGCAGCAGAAGACCACACCGGGTGCCACTCCTTTCAGCTAAGAACAGGAAACTGAGGCTACAATTTGCACAAGCTCATCAAAATTGGACAATAGAAGATTGGAAAAAAGTTGCCTGGTCTGATGAGTCTCGATTTCTGCTGCGACATTCGGATGGTAGGGTCAGAATTTGGCGTCAACAACATGAAAGCATGGATCCATCCTGCCTTGTATCAACGGTTCAGGCTGGTGGTGGTGGTGTCATGGTGTGGGGAATATTTTCTTGGCACTCTTTGGGCCCCTTGGTACCAATTGAGCATCGTTGCAACGCCACAGCCTACCTGAGTATTGTTGCTGACCATGTCCATCCCTTTATGACCACAATGTACCCAACTTCTGATGGCTACTTTCAGCAGGATAATGCGCCATGTCATAAAGCTGGAATCATCTCAGACTGGTTTCTTGAACATGACAATGAGTTCACTGTACTCAAATGGCCTCCACAGTCACCAGATCTCAATCCAATAGAGCATCTTTGGGATGTGGTGGAACGGGAGATTCGCATCATGGATGTGCAGCCGACAAATCTGCGGCAACTGTGTGATGCCATCATGTCAATATGGACCAAGCTCTCTGAGGAATGCTTCCAGCACCTTGTTGAATCTATGCCACGAAGAATTGAGGCAGTTCTGAAGGCAAAAGGGGGTCCAACCCGTTACTAGCATGGTGTACCTAATAAAGTGGCCGGTGAGTGTAGATAACTTGGTGCTCTCTTCCTGCACAATAATAATAATAATAATAATTCATTTTATTTGTACAGCGCTTTTAAAAACACTCAAAGACGCTTTACATAGTACGTAAAATTCAAGATAATAAGACAAAGACATGAAAACAGTAAGATGGACAAAACAGTTAAATATTAAAAGCAATTTTAAATAAGTGGGTTTTTAAAAGGGATTTAAAAGTAGTGGGGTCAGGGCAGTGTCTGATGGAGGGAGGTAGGGAGTTCCAAAGGGTAGGGGCAGCTGAGGAGAATGCCCGATCCCCCCAAGTTCGGTGCTTGGGCCGTGACAGTGGGGTGAGAAGATGGGCAGAGGAGGAACGGAGGTTACGGGGGGGTACATGAGGCTGGAGTAGGTCGGTGAGATAAGAAGGGGCTTGATGATGAAGGGCTTTGTGGGTGAGAAGGAGGGTCTTGAACATGATGCGTTGCTTGATGGGGAGCCAGTGTAGACGGAGGAGGATGGGGGTGATGTGATCTCGTGAACGGGTGTGGGTAAGGAGGCGGGCGGCAGAATTCTGGACTATCTGTAGTTTGTTGAGGAGTTTAGAGGGTAGACCGTACAGGAGGCTGTTGCAGTAATCTAACCTTGAGGTGATGAAGGCGTGGACCAGGGTTTCTGCTGCGGGGAGGGAGAGAGATGGGCGAATACGGGCAATGTTTTTGAGGTGAAAAAAGGCTGATTTAGTGACCTGTTTGATGTGTTGTTCGAAAGTGAGGTGGGTATCAAAGATGAGTCCAAGGTTGCGGATGGAGGAGGAAGGAGACAGGGGTGAGTTATCAGCTGTGATGGAGAAGGGGGGGATGGATTGGGTGATGGATTTGGGGCCAATGATTATCATGTCGGATTTGTCACAGTTCAGTAGAAGGTAGTTGTTGGTCATCCAGGTCTTTATTTCGGAGAGGCAGGTTGAGAGGGTGGAGAGGGTGGATGGTGTGATGGATTCAGTGGAAATGTAAAGTTGGACATCGTCAGCGTAACAGTGAAATTGGAGGCCGTGACGACGGATGATATGTCCAAGAGGGAGGATGTAAATAATGAACAGGAGGGGGCCAAGCACCGAACCTTGGGGGACACCTTGGGTCAGGGGAGCAGTGGTGGAGGAGTTGCTGTTTATGTTAATGAATTGTTGGCGGTTTGTGAGGTATGACTTGAACCAGGAGAGGGCAGTGCCAGTTATGTAGATTGAGTCATGAAGACGGGAAAGGAGGATGGAGTGGTGGATGGTGTCAAAAGCAGCGGTGAGGTCCAGGAGAATCAGGAAGCTAATGTGGCCGGAATCAGCGCTGAGGAGGAGGTCATTGCAAATCTTGAGGAGGGCTGTTTCTGTACTATGTTTGGGACGGAAACCGGATTGGAAGACTTCAAAGAGGCTGTTGGAGTTGAGGTGGGTCTGAAGCTGAGAGGCGACGGCACGTTCTAATATTTTAGAAAGCAGGGGAAGGTTGGAAATTGGGCGGAAGTTAGAAATTATGTCAGGGTCGAGTCCGGGTTTTTTGAGGGTTGGGGTGATAGCAGCCAGTTTGAGGGAGTCGGGGACTGATCCGGTGTGGAGGGAGGAGTTGACTATGGAGAGGATTAGTGGAGAAAGGACTGGAAGGCAGGTCTTAACGAGTGCGGAGGGCATGGGGTCCAGGGTGCAGGTGGGAGTCTTCATGCTAGTTATTAACTGGGAGAGTTGGGCATGAGAGATGGGGGAAAACTGGGATAGGGGCTGAGCAGAGGTGTGGGGGGAGCACAAGGGGGGGGACTTGGGGTGGGGTGTGGGGGCGGAAGTTGCGGACTGGAGGCTGTTGTAGATGTTGTCTATTTTGGACTGGAAGAACTGAAGGAAAGTCTGGCATTTGTCTGGTGTGAAGGTTGAAGTGCTGTTGTCATGTGGTGCCAGAAGTGAGTTGATGGTGGAGAACAGGGTCCTGGGGTTGCTGGAGCCAGAGTGAATGATGTTGGAGTAGTATGCTGAGCGGGCGGAGTTGAGGGTGGCTTTGTACTGATGGAGGTGATCTCTATAGAGCTGGAGGTGAATTGTGAGTCCGGTTTTCCTGTAGAGTCTTTCAAGTTGGCGTTTTTTTTTGTTTCAGCTGGTGGAGTGCTGGGGTGTACCAAGGAGCAGAGCGGGCGAATGTGACGGATTTGCTTTTTACAGGGGCAAGTAGGTTCAGACAGGAGGAGAGGGTCTGGTTGTAGTAGGTGACAAGATCAGAGGGGATATCGGACGCTTGTGGGGGTGATGTGGTGAGGTTGAGAGAGAGAGCGGCGGTGAGGGCAGATGGGCTGATTGATTTGAGGTTCCGGAAGTTGATGGTTCGTTTGAGTCTGGTGGGTGGGTCGGGGAGGGTTATAACTGTTTTGATAAGTAAGTGATCAGAGATATGGAGATCGTGGCAGGAGGGGGGGGATGTTTCCAGGCCGGTTGAACAGATAAGGTCCAGGGTGTGGCCATGGTTATGGGTGGGGAAATGGCAGTGTTGGGTGAAGCTGAAGCATTCTAGGATGTCCAGAAATTCACGGGCTAGACTGCAACTGGGGTTGTCAATGTGGATGTTGAAGTCACCGAGGAGGAGAACGGATGGGGAGAGGGCACAGAGCTGTGTGAGGAGGTCAGAAAGGTCAGTCAGAAAATCTGGGCTTGGTTTAGGTGGGCGGTAGATAATAGCAATAATGAGAGGGGGGGAACCAGGGAGTTTGAGAGCAACATGTTCAAAGGAGGAGACGGTTGGCATGGAAAGTGAAATGATTTTGAGATCCTTATTGTGAATTGTTGCAATGCCGCCACCTCTGCCTTCTAGGCAGGGTTTATCAATATAGGTGTAGCCTGTGGGGGTGGCCTGATTGAGGGAAAAGTAGTCCAGGGGTTTGTGCCATGTTTCTGTTAAAAAGAGAAAGTCCAGTTTATTGTCCATGATGAAGTCTTGCAGGATGAGGCCTTTACTGGTGAGTGATCGGGTATTAAACAGGGCCAGGTTCAGGTGATGTGGGTGGGGCAGTTTCACTGATGATTCCTGTGAGGACCGGGGTAGTGTGCGAAGGTTGGCATGATGGCTACTCCTTAGAGCAGGGTGGTGGAGGGGCCTGTGGCTGATGATGGTGGGGATTTTAAAACTTGTTATTTCCTGTTGCAGTGGCTTGAGTGGTGGGTAGGGGGAGCCAGAGGGACGGGTAGGTCGGTGTGCAGGGAGCAGTTCCAGGGGGGTACGCTGGGGGTCGCTGTGATTGGTAACGGTGTCAGAGGCGGAGCATGAGGAACAGGTGGATGTAAACACTAGTCAGTCGATCTGCGCGCTTGTGTGGACACTGTACTGGATGTTGGAAACTAAGATGGATCTGCCAGACCTGTTCAGGTGGATGCCATCACTGTTAAAATAATCAGGCCGGTTCCAGAAACTGTTAAAATTGTCAATAAAATGAACATTTTGGGCATTGCAAAGCATGTTGGTCCAGCTGTTTAGGCTAAGGAGTCTGCTAAAACGCTCGCAGTTCTGCGTCATCGTCGGGAGCGGCCCACTAATAAAAACCGACTTGCCACAGTCTTTTAGGGAGTTAAGAAGCCTTTTAAAATCACATTTTGTCTGTTCAGACTGCCGACGCGCTGTGTCGTTACAGCCGATGTGCACAATAATGCGGCGAATGGAGGAGGGAAGAGAGCGGAGGAGAGAGGGGATCTTATTAGCGATATCGGCAGCTGTGGCACCGGGGAAGGATAGTGTGGTGACATTGAAGAAACGAATACCTCTGGTGATGGAGTCTCCGATGATGACTGTCGTGGGGGCGAAGAGAGGGGCAATCGGCGGTGCAGTGCCGCTTCCAGGAGATGTGGAGGTGGCACAACGTAGACGCGGCTCCAGCTCGCGCTGCGGGATGCTGTCATTTTGGGACGCAGCTCTGGGGACGGATCCGACGGAGCGGCGACGGACCGCTTCCCGCAACAATTTGCGTCGGGACGCTGCGCATGATGTCCGGGTTATGTTTTGCTGGACCTCGGGCTCACTGGTAAGGCTCCGTGTGCTGCCAGGCGCCACCGTGGGGATCTCTCCCTTGCTGGGCTGCGCCCGGGGGCCACCGTACGACAGCGCGGAGGTTTTCTTCACACGGGCGTCCAGCGGCATCCGGGAGTTGGCCAGCCCTGGTCCCGAGGCCGGGCGGTCAACTGCATTGGATGAGGCCAAGGCTTCGGCCGCAGGGCTGCCCATGGTTCCGGGAGATCCTCCGGTAGCCTGGGAAGGAGCTGCGGTGGTCCCGACGGCTGGCAGGTTGGAGGAGGAGGTCGCCTTGCTGCCGGTCGGCGTCTGGACTGGGCTGTCAGCTGCGTTGATGGCGGCCTGGACTGTGTTTGCGGGCCGGGGTATGGACAGCTGGAGAAGGGTCGTGGAGCTGCTGGGACAGGCCGGTCGGGGCGGGGAAACACCACGGGCATTTTTCTTATCGTTATTGCCACGGATTGCTACCTCGGACCACGTTGGACGTGCAGGAGTTGAGGTGGATGAAGGCCGGGGGCTGTCGGGGTCCCAGGGTAACGTATCGTGGAGGGAAGCCTGGAGAGAGGCAAGATGGCGGGTCTGCTTGAAGGCGACACCCATACAGGCGGTGAGTAGATCTGATTTGGCTTTCAGTTCAGCAGACAATCTGCAAATGTCCTCTTTGAGACGAGTGATTGTGGCGTTTGCCTTGTCCAGTTCAGATATATGGAGTGGGGACATGGAGGTGGAAGAAGCCATGATGGCGGTAGAGTTTAAACAACTCCAAACAATTTCAGATAACTCCAAACATAAGCTCCTCAGCGAGAACTGTTGAGTAGGAAGAGTGTAACTCCAGGAGAGTTTTAATCCGAATTATTCGAAGTTGACATCCATTCATGAATCCACACCACGAATTGTCCCAGAGCACTTGTTGTCCTGCTAGCTTGTTCAGTTCACAAAGCTTTGGTATTCCACAAACACACCTGGAAAGGCAGGTAGCTCTCAGAACAGAACCATACTGCCTGATATAAACTAAATGCACGCAAATACAAGTGGTCCAGACTGTAATTCATACACTTACACAACAACTGACACGCATTTAAGTTACTGATCTGGGGTGAAGTTTCTTGCCACCTGTCATATTTTTGACCTCTATTGGTAAACAGTCAACTGTTCCCATGGTTACCAGCCACCCCCTGTCTGTCTCCGTCAGGGTTTTCCTGCCTTTTCCAGTTTAGAATAGTTTCCTTCTGCCGCTGGAACAAAGGGGGATAAAGCTTTGAGGGATACCAAGAGTGGTAACCCGCAAAACATGAAACAAAGAGCTAATTTATGCTAAAAAACATTTTTAGATCTGGTTAGAGAAGCAGAGCAGGGTGTGGGTTTGACTCATTTGACATTATACATACTTACTTCATCCATTGTTATAATGGAGATATTGATTGAAGCAGCTTTAACAGCATCATCATTGACTCACAAGAGCTGTATCTGGTGTGTTATTTCTGTTTCTATTTTAAAATCTGGTTCTTCTGAGTGCCACGTTGGTCCACATGTTCTGCAGAGTTAACGCGTCTCTCAGCTGCCCCTCTGTGTGTTTTTATACATTTATTATAACAAGGAAAAGAAGAGAGAAGACGTGGTGTGTCTTTGTGGAAAGATCAGGAAACCTAAACTTCATCCTGTGATGGTTTAAGAGGTACAAAGAAAAAACTCTGACCTCCTTATGATTATTTTCTACACAATCAAACTGTTTCCCAACACTGGCAAAGCCCACCCAGGGGGCTCAGTCTGTGCACAAATGTCAGATTCTGTCTAAGACCACTGGGACTCCTCTGGCTATTGTTAAAAAAGGGGAATTCCACTAATTTTGCACATCAAAGTCTGTTTACAGGTCGGGGGAGGACCAGAACTCTGCAGGCCTGGTCCTCATCTCTCTTTGAGGCTAACACCTCGAGGGAACTTTGGCCACCACGAGCAAAACACCCAAATCTCTGACCAAGCTGTTTACAGTTGGTTTGCTTTGTGGGTAACGAAGGGGATTTTGACCAGGAAGATAAACTCATGGAGTACAAAAGCTTCAATCTTGTCTCATGCCACATGAGTTTATCGTTTTTCCAATCCAGGTTGAAAAGCAGAAAAAATGCAGCAAAAACATTTAGTTAGACTTCGGCGACTTTAGATGGAGTCACAAAAATCCTGATAAACTTCCTGAAATAGGGCTGGGTGATATGGCCTCAAATCAATATCACCTCAATAACGATAAATGGACAATAACTACTCCACAAGCTGCTCACCCCCTCACACATTAACTTTGTCTACTTCAGTCGCTACAACTTTTGAACCGTCCTCCATCTCCTCACCTGTCTTTCCCTCTTTGTTATGGACTGGATGGGGTGGAGTCACGTCTCTGACGTAGGACAGCGTCTTAAAGGGACATGAGACCATAGCCTACCAACACACATCCAAAACCAACTTTGATTTATTTGGTTTATTGAGACCAAATATACTGATATAGGCAAAATGTCGGTCATTGTCGTAAATTTCGGTATTTATCGCCCAGCCCTACAATTAAATGATCTGGAAGGATATAAACAAATAATACACCATACCATTACATTTAATACAATAGGGTATAACGCAATATGATACCTGACAATAACAAAAGTGATGGCCCAGTATTATACAACAAAATACATCACCACTAAATGTTTTGTGCAGCCTTGCATGTGTTTTTGTAATGTTTTGTAAAACACGAGACCCAAGCTTATGACTGGAAATACTCTAACAGGATACATCAAAACACTCAAGGTTAAAGAAGAATCAGTTTGGAGATGCCTGCATGCTCATGTGTAAAACTGGTATTAATGCAGGTTGTAGACATTATACAACTAAAAGTGTGTGTAACTTTAGTAATAAAGCACCAAAATAAAAGGGTTAAGAGAGGACCAACAGCTCCTGATGATTTTTTTTATCTGAGACTTGATTTGCCAGGCTGGCAGGTTTTGCTCAGTGATCCCGATCCCTCACTCTGCCACATGTCACCATTACCGTCCTCAGTTTGTTTGTGCTCTCCAGGTTTTTGTCTTCTCCAACCAAATTCCTCAAAGCAGCGGTGAGACGCTGGCTTACTCATCACCACAAAGCACCACAGGAGCTCTAACATCACCCGCCTTGTGGTGCGAGGATGCAAGAGTGGAAGGCACCCGGCTATCAAACGCAGCCACAAGGAGGTCTGGCAGGAGCCGCGGTGATGAAATGGAAGTGAATAAAAATGAAGAGGGACAACCAGACAAGTCATACGAGCGGGTCACCACAAGAGCCAGACAGAGGCTGTGTGAGGAGACTGTACGTAAGCTGGATCGCAGACACACACCTTTTCCTCTGCTGCACACACACAAACACACCGGCAGTCAAAGCCAAACGCAGTCAGACAGCCCCACTGGGAACAACCTTCATTCACTTACTCGAGGAAGCTGGTGATGTAGTCTTTGCTGCAGGCCGACCAGGAGAAAGGGTTGGTGTTGGCTGTTATGTGAGCGGCCATCAGTTTAGCCGTCTCGTGGCCTTTGGTACCGCAGGAATTCCCGATGCCGTCATGGTTCATCCCAAAACTGAAACACGAAGAATTCAAGTTACAACCCAACGCAAGGATTTTTGATTTTGAATATTATGAAATATAAGTTCAAGTAAAAGAGGAGAAGGTGTTTTTAATAAAGCTGTAATTTTTTGTAATTTAGGGTTGAAGAGCTGCTCCAGTAGATGTCTATAGGTAATCCCTGTCAGCGAGCACACCTAATCTGCTAAAAAAAAAAAAAAAAGAGTTTATTTCACCTCCTAGTGGCTCAGATTGTTTTTCTATATCTGAGAAAATTACCAAAAGGAGGTTACAGTTTTTGTTTGAGTGTATAATGTCATTTTTGGATGGAAACTGCTGATGTTTAGTTTTCTGCAGAGTCACCAGAGTCCATAAATGAAAACAGTAATTTTACCTTCCAGGACACCAGAGCTGCTCTGGTCCCCTGCTGCCTTTATTAGTGAGTTTGTTTTGTTATTGTGTCTATTTGGCTTTTTAGTTTCACAGCTGAAACAGATTCAACAGGATATTGGTGTAACACAATAACACAAAATGTCAAAAAAAGGACCAATCCAGGCTAAAAAGTCTTGTGCAATTGGAGGTAAAATCGCTGTTTTTGTCAATGGAGTTTGGTGGTTTTGTAAAGAAGGATATAACAACTGGTGGTGATAATTTACATGAGTTATACTTTTCTACTTTTCTAAAGGTTCGTTTCTACCACAGTGTTTTCTACAGCAGCAAGGTCCTGGTGCTGAGATTGGTTTAAGTGGCAGGATTTAACAAAAAGCTGCACACCTTCCTGGAGGGACTGGTCAGAAACACTGAGGAGGGATTTTCAGCGAGCTTTGAATTCTGATCCTCGGTAACCTCTGGTCTAAAAGCGACCCCCCATCTTTGGTGCTTAAACACACAGTTTAGACGGGCTCAGAGTGGACAGTCGGTCAGGTTGCTGGCTGGAGGATGTGTCTCTCGGTCGCCCTGGCTGTAAACATGCCGCTCTGTGGCTCTAAAACAGCTGTGTTAAGGAGAGCCTGGGGTCAGAGGTCAAACCCTGTCTGGGGCACGGCAGGAATGAAAAAAAAAGTCCTAATCACCACTCTGATGCCTGGCTGTCAATCACCTCCTGCAGGTCTGAGCAGGCCGGGAGGGAGAGTCTCTACAGACAGGAGCGAAGATACTTTACATCAAACGGAGACCCAAACCTTGACCTGGGGCTCTGAGAGCTTCTGAAGAATTTATTTCACACTGAGGGCTAAAATAAATCTTTTTAACAATTCATTTAGAGAAAAAATGCTTATCTGTCTGGGTATCTTTTGAGAGAAACTCTCACTTTACAGCAGGATGTCAAAGCTTACTTTCCCTTATGGTCCAGCAGCACAAATCAGGTCTAATGTATATAACAAACCCGACCACATTGCACAGACTCGACCTGTTTTTCTAAGGCTGGCGTTTATGACATTTTACCCCACTCTGGAAATAAATCAGCCCGCTCAAAACCCCACTGCTGAGTGTTTTTTTATACATCCTCGAGAAGCAGAGACTATTTTTACAACTGCCCCACAACAGAAGCAGACACGAGACATAATAAAGGAAATCACCATCTTACTGAACCCTCCTGAGAGGGATACGTAGACTAATACATCATCATTATTTTGCTTTATATTCGGGAGGAAAGAGCCAGAGGTATGTGGACACTGACATTTGCATGAGGAAATATGTGGAGATACAGTTCAAGAGCGTCTGCAGGGGGAGAGAGAGAGAGAGAGGGGCTGCACGCAGGTCTGCTGAAAACAAGCAAATGTCTGTTTCAAAGACATTATTGACGAATGAAGGATTAGAGGTGATCAGAAAGTTTAGACTCAACGACACGAAGGACATAACAATGATGGTGTAATGCTCTACTACCTGGATGTAAACAAGCACAGATGACAGATGAGACATTTTGCCAGTGGTTGGTAAATAATTGAAGATAATAGATGGATGATCAGAGTATTTGGACATTAACTTGTTCAAAGGACAGAGAGCTGGTGGTGCTAGCTCTGCTAATGGAAGCCAAGCAAATTTAACATTTTTTACCCACAGATTCTTCAATTCTGTGTTTAACTTTTTACGGTAGTTTCACTAAATTTTGACTGTTTTGCCGTTTTTTTTTTATTGATAGTACAGGGGAAATGTAGGGATATAGAGAGAGGGGGGAGGACTTGCAGCACATGATCAAGGCCGGACTCAAACCCGTGACCGCTGCAGAGACCGTAGTCCCCATACATATCTCCACATACAATCCACTCGGCCATCTGCACGCCCCTGAGATGAGTCATTTCTGAACTTCCCAAACTGGAATATTAAGAGGAAAATAATTCATTTTTTGACCCGTGCCCTTTCTTTCACATATTTGATTTTAAAAGTGTGGAAATGAAAAAACTTTGCATGATCCAGTGGTCAGATTCCAGATTGAAACGCTGATTACCCCTCCTGTTGACTTTCCAGGACAAGAATCAGAAACATTTAGTTTCTCCCAATCTGTGCAATGGCAGAAAGCTGGCAGTGCAAGGTAGCAGGGGGACTCGCACAGACTTGGCATTATAAATTACTCATAATTTTAAAGTCATGCAAGTCACCTCATAACTGTTGTTTCCATTTTTTACATCTTGCAGCAAAATGTCCAGATTTTCATGTTGTTAATGTGACGAGGACAAGAATACATGTAGAAAAGAATCATATATCCCTGACTACACCATTTGGATACGATTAAGTATTACAACATGTCTCAGTCGAAGCATCGCCTCCAGTTTCAGACCTCTCACAAGTAAAAACAAGACCTTAAAGATCCATGCGAAGGATTTGATGTCATCTAAGGGCAAATACTGAAAGTTTTCTTTCTTTTGTAAGTCTTTAAAAATGTCTAGAGGGCATCTTTAAGAATGAAATCTGTGGTTCTTGCAGGAGGAACTTAGACTTAATCCCACCGCTGCTACTTGCATCAGTGTGAAGTCACATTTTATGTTTTATATTAGGATCCTAAAAGTCTTAAAACTCACTTGTGGCCGATCTCGTGCGCAATGGTGAAAGCAGAACCGAGCCCGATGTCTTCATTGATGCTGCAGCTCCTCTCCGGCTCGCACATTCCAGCTACAGAGGCCAAGCCTGCACACACACACACACACACAGACACACACACACACCAGACAAATATACAAACACAGGGTCAACAGGAGGCAGTCTCAGGATTCATGGTCATAAAATCAGGATTCCTTATGGATGATCTCCTGGTCACCACAGGGAGTTGAATTAAGGACCCCTGGCTAGACGTCTTTTTTCACTCTTTGAACACAACAGAGTCTGCTGCTGGAAAAAGTCTAGACGGGGTTAGATTTATACATCTCAATTCATGTAACAAGGGATCGCCCAAAACCCCAGCCAAGAAAGGGAATATAAGGACCCCTTCACCAACACCGTACCCCAGCAGAAACCTGTCAGAGAATATAGATGTTTTCCTCATTTCAGAGCTCAAGTCTCAGGACGAGGGGAAAAAGGAGAGGAGGGTGTTTAAAGTTAAAACCTCTCCACAATCCAGGTGTCACAGGTCCTTTTTCCCCGAGCCTGACAGGTCAGATAGGGAGACAGGAGGCAATTCTTCACAGATTACATCTACAGGTGACTGCAGAGTGGATCGTATGACAGCACAAAGCAGGTGTGTGTGTAAATCTGTGTGTGTGTTGGGGGGATGTGCATTAATTTGTAAAGAGAGGGCACTTTGATTCTGTTTTTTCTCAAAGAGTTGAATTTTTAACTTCTGTTCATCAGATGTTTGGCTGTTTTATGCTCTTAAAGTCTGCAGCTTCTGTCTGGTATAATCTGCAGACAGGTTTTAAAATGAACGACTTAGCCTAAATCTTTTAAAACATCTGTGAAAGTGCTTGAATTTTATGCAAATGTTGATCTTTTTTTTTGTGCTGTTTGAGTCTGATTGGTATCCTTGGACAAGACACTGAGCCCCAAGAACCACACCAGGTATTCAGACATAGTCAGCAGTGACAAGCTGATTTGGTTGACTAACTGATAAACTCTGTTATCCTTACAAGTAGGGTTGGGCAATATGGCCTCAAACCAATATTACAATATATTGAGCAGTTCACCTCAATAACGATAAATGGACGATAACTGATCCACAAGCTGCTCACCCCCTCCCACATTAACTTTGTCTACTTCAGCCGCCACTCCAGACGCTAGAACTTTTGAACCGTCCTCCATCTCCTCACCTGTCTTTCCTCTTTGAGACGAACTGGATGGGGTGGAGTCAGATCTCAGACGTAGGACAGCGTCTTAAAACCTTCTGACTACCAGTAGTTCAAATTTGTCCTCTTCAGTACCTTTCTCTTCCTCACTCAAAAAAAATGGCTGCCATCAGTGCATGCACATTTTATGGGAAGAGGAAAAGTACTGAAGCCCCACCCCTTCACATTTGGTATCATTGAAAAGCTCTAAATGTCCTCTGTAGAAACCAAAAGGAGTCAATTCAGTAGTATGCAGTGGGTGGGAGATTTTGAGGTCTACAATGGTCCTCAACAGAGGACAAACTTGAACTACTGGTAGTCAGGAGGTTTCAAATGGACATGAGACCATAGCCTACCTACACACATCCAAAACCAACTTTAATAATTTATTTTTTTTAACTGATATGGGCAAAATGACGTTGGTTATTGTCGCAAATTTCGGTATTGGTAAATTTTCAATTTATTGCCCAGCCCTCCTTACAAGTCTGCACTAAAATGAATTGTCTGTCAAACAAATAAATATTATTTTTATCACTGTGGACCCAAAATGTTTTATAGTTTGTGTCTTCACTGTAGTTCAGCCACCTGCCACAAGGAGAAGCTATTACCGTAATGTTATAATGTAGACAAACACAGACGACTGATGGGTAATATATTCTGGTCAGGAAAATGAAGATAAAGTTGTATAAAGGGTGTGTCATCGTCATCGACCTCCACCTGGACCAAAGGCCGGGTGTGCTAGCTCTGCTAGTGTTAGCCCTACTTAGAGGACCAGTTGGCACGTTTACCAGCAGACTCAGCGATCCTGTGTTTTTCCTTGTGAGCCGAATCATGCACAGTTTTGATTTTATTCTACGTGTTTTATTACCTGTAAAACAGTCAGTTAGCCGTAATTAGGATTTAAACAAACTACTATTTTCAGTTCAGAGGATGAAGAGCACAGACAGCGATTTCCTTTTAAGCACCAGTTTGCTCGGACAACGTTAAGACAGATATGTATTTCCGTGGTTGGGGTTAAAATGTGGAACTCCCTATACAATATTTTAAAAGGCTGCACAAACATATTTTAGTTTAAAACAAAGTATAAAGAAAGTATAATAACAATGATGAAGCTGACAAGTAGCGTTTTGTAATATGCATACATTCTGATGCAGACGCTGACTTTGCTTTTGTTTGATTGTTTCCTGTAATGTGGTTATAATTTTGTTTGTAAAGTTTAGGAAAATAACCTGAAGTGGACAGACCATCTTATGTAATGTTTATTTCTGTTTTGAGTGAGGGGCAGGTAAAATAAGCCTTGTCTTCTACCTGTTCCGTTCCGGTCATGTGTTGTGCTACATTTGTTAAATGCCTTTTGTATGTATGAAAATACTTAAAAATGGCCATGAGCAGAACAAATAAAAACGAACGAACAACCTTCAGAAGATTTCTAGTTAACACTCCTGTTCACTAATATAGCATCCATTGATAACAGCATTATCAGTGTTTGAACGTGGTGTAATTTTCACTTATTTCGGCTTTTTATTTATACTTCTGGCATCTTTGTAGAGGTCTTGTTTTTATGCAAGGTAATACTTTGGATGAACACATAAGATTACTTATTTCTAGATCCTGCACGAAAAAATGCAACACAAACTATGTGAGTGGATGCAACAAGTACTGATTCCTTATAATTTAATTAAAAAGACCCTTTAAATCATTATCTAGACATTCATTCTGTAACTAAAACACGTGCATAAACACAGTTTACCTGCTCGAGGTCAACAAACATGTATGCCTTGGTATTTTCTGCAGCACACCTGCATTTGCACGTGCAGGCAGCCTGCATAAATCTTTGTATTTTGGTGGTCAGTGCTGCCTCACATCCTTCTGCACGAACTCTCAGCTAAGTGGCAGCAAGGCTTTTGTATCCTCTTTACTAAGAGGCTAAACAAGAATAGACTCGCAAATCAGGAGGCCGCTGAAGCCATGACTGCAGGGAAAGAGGGAGCCTGAAGGTGAAGAAAGAAGGAGGAGAGGGAGGGAAAGGAAGGAGGGTGGCTACTCTACGATTAGTTTAAGAATGTGTGTGTGAAAGAGGGAGAGGAAAGTGTGTGTGTGTGTGTGTGTGTGTGTGTGTGTGTGTGTGTGTGTGTGTGTGTGTGTGTGTGTGTGTGTGTGTGTGTGTGCGAGTTGTTTTCTCAACACCAGGCTGGACTGTATTATCTCCAGCCCCGTGATTACTCAGCGACCCTAAAGGCCAGCGATCTGACCTGGGAGCATGAGAGGGGGGAGAGAAGAGGAGGAGGGGGGAGGAGGAAGAGGGGGTTGAGACAACGAGGAAGCCAAGCAGATGCCAGGGCAATTAAAGCGACCGGGGAATGTGACGAATGCGGTCAATCTGTCAAACCACCCCTGAAGTCACAATATTACCTCCAAGATATACTGTGGTGCCTGCAGGGCTTTGACACAGATAAGATGGGAAGAGGAGGACTGGGTAGGCAGGAGGTTTGGGTGGGTCGAGAGGGAGGAGGGATGCGGGTCTCTGCCACTGCTTGCTGTCCTTCATCCACCCCCAATACCGCCACAACCAGCCTATCAGCCACTCTATCTCTCTCCTGCATACTCAAACACTCCCTCTAATTGTCCTTTTCCACTTCCATTTTCCTTTCAACTCCTCCTCTTCTTCTCCATCTTCTCCTCTTTTCTCCCCCCTCTCTGTATCCCACCAACACATACCTCTATCCTTTCTCTCTCTCAAACCCTGAAGGGAAGTGTAAACACCTTAAACAAACTGAGGTCAGAGCCCACAGAGAGGGACATTTTTACGAACTGGAGGTGAGCGCCGCTGTCCTGTCCAGGTTCAGGGCTCGTGGCTTCCACCAGCAGAGGGGGAGAGAGGGGGAGTCAATGAGGAGCTATAATAATCACACAAGTGAAAACATCCTTCTCATTATGTCTCACAGGAGCCGTCTGGTGAGACTTGCAAAGGTTGCTAAATAAAGTTTGTCTGAGGACACGTTGGAGGCCAAACGTGGAAATGAAAACCCTCCAAAGGGAGGAGAAAAAGGAGTGACCTCCCAAAACCGGAGAAAAGTGTACTGTTGTCAATATCAGTTAATATTTCCAATCAAGACAGCATATAATGACATACATCTGAGTCTGCTTGTGACCAACTCACCTAAGGTACCACAGGGTTTGTTCTTGTAGGTGCAGATGTCGTACCTGAAAAGGAAACCATACAATTTAATTAACACAAAAATACAAGACATAGCAATCAATTTAAACAGCAGTTCGCTAGCTAACAGTACTGTTGGCAAAAAATTTACACTTTTCCTGTATAACACCAGTGAACAATAATGTTAGCTATGTAAGCCAATGAATGCTAACAATAACAACAATGTTGTCAAACAGAAGTATTGGCGGTCTGTTAAAGCTCCTGTAAGGAACTTTTGCTTGGTGTCAAATTTGGTGCCCCCTGTGGACAAAGGAGTCATTACTTGTTTTGTCCTCTACATGCTAACACTCTTTAATGATGGTGTGAACTGGAAGGTAGATTAGTTACTACTTTAGTTAAATTACGGCCTTCTTTCTTACCACATTTTCACTTCCAATCATCTGTTTAGTTATAAGTTGATGAATAGATTGGAAAATGAAGGTATTTTTCTCCTAAGCACCAAAATTTTAGACTTAAAGATTGTAACTAATATTATTTTATTCCCATTTTCGACATTTGAGAGCACTGGCGAATAGGGGTGGGAGAAAAAGACAGTTAGGAGAGAAGTTACAACTACATCTGTGCATTCAGGATCTTAACAGATGTTGGGATATCATAGAATCGCAATTTAAATCGAGTCAGCCAATATCGTCCCAGCCCTACTGACAACCACATAATTTGTATGAAGTCAAATAAGCATCCATGAACCACTTTTCTTTTCTCAATGTAAAGCGTGAGCCTGTTGCTAAGTGTCGCTCAGTGGACACAGCACTCAGACATGAATGGGAGGTAAGTACAAGGCTAAGCATGCTGTGTCCCTACTGCTAACCCCAGTAACTCACATACAGGTAATCCAATAGAGCGAGGGGTCAGAACACTGTGAGCTCCAGTGCTGTAAAGAACACATCATACATTTCAAATAAATGATCCAATCATTCCTAGAGCTTTTAATCTATTAAAACCAAGGGCACAGCAAATTTAATTTCATTCTCCTTTCCTCCCTCCTTCACTCTCTCTCTCTCTCTCTCTCTCTCTCTCTCTCTCTCTCTCTCTCTCTCTCTCTCTCTCTCTCTCTCTCTCTCTCTCTCTCTCTCTCTCTCTCTCTCTCTCTCTCTCTCTCTCTCTCTCTCTCTCTCTTTCTCTCTCTCTCTCTCTCTCTCTCTTTCTCCCTTCCTCCCTCCTCCACAGTGGAGCAGCTCCAAACCAGAGAGGCACAATTTTGACCTTGTTTAGGGTCAAAACGTCTGTTTGTTTGGATTTATTTTCCTAATTTCCCTCGGTGTCTTTTTTGGAACGTGACAGGCCACATTCAAAACACAGCAGCCTTAAAAATACTGCTATAGGATGTGGAGGCCGACAAAGAGGCAACAGTGCTGCTGAGCTCACTTAAACATGAAATGAAAACGGTGAATCATGTCAATTAAACAGCCTTTCATGTCCTGCTGATGCATCGCTGCAGGAGACAAATGCTGATCTCTAATGACGAAGAAGCAGTAATGCTTTAACTACGTGAACAATGTCTGCTTCCAGTAAGCATTTCGGCCTGAATCCAAAGGAAAACATTCATTTATTGCCAAAGTGTAATTGTATTTGCGTGCTGAGATAAATTACCTAGTTTGGATTAACTAAAATCAAACAACAAATAACCTCTGGTTAAGAATGTATTTGTTTTAGTTGTTTTACAAATAAATTTATATTTTTCTCAAGTGGATAAATTTATTACAATAGCTAATTATGCTTTTCTCTCAAATTCAGAGTTTCATCCAAACATTTCTATTTCATGATCGTCTGAAAATAGAGGCGACAGGCAGTTAAAGAAATGTGCGTTTTTCTGTTTGGAAACCATTTCTCTGATTGCTCCTATGAGAAGCTGTCTCTCGTTTGTGTTAAATTTAGCGCCCCCTGTGGACAAAGTAGTTCTTATTCTTCGCTCTATACATGCATCAGCTGTATTATTCAACAGGAAATCTCATGCTACCTACTCATTTCACACACATTTTCAAAATTATGTCAGTCAAACTATCTACTATTTACTCTGTAGTTTAGTCTAATCTTACCCACAAATCCTGGGGGTAGAAAAGGCACTGATCAACCTCTAACACTCAAAAGTCTGAGTTAGCTGCTTATGTTAAGAAATGTAAAGTTTTCTGTGCTCTGTTTGCCCTTCTTAGTCCTCTTGGTGGCCAAAATGGGATTAACTTGCCTTCCTATTCAGAGATCTGAGAGATTTGAGTGCTGTTGCCTTTCCATGTCAGTGTGAACTCATCATTTACAAGTTTCATAAAGAAATTCAGCATTTCCTGTCATAGAAACAACAGAGATGAACCCAAAGACCATCAGATCGAGGCAGAGCAGGCTTTGGTGCTGGCGTTTCTTGAAGCTAAAACCAACAATCAAACCAGAAGCCACGAGAGCGGGAGAACATCAACTGACTGACAACCAGAAAGAGCAACTAATGATAGAAAAGCTGTTTTGTAAAGACTCCAGGCAGTAAGTTTTTCTTTAGTCCATCTCAATCACAGAGCACCATCCTCTTTCTAGAGAGAGCCAGAGGGAGAATAAATAATTAAGTTTCTGGCTGTGTGGCCAAAACAGTTCTGGCAACAATAAAGCCTATTCCAGGTAATGACAGAGTTTTGCTATTTTATGGAAACACCCCCGACATAAATTGCAGACTGACAGGTACAGTACGTCCGAAACTGCATGTTTTCCTTTTTAGAAGAGAGGTCTTTATTCCCATCGGCTCTCACAGCAGCAGGTCCAGTCTGTGCAACGACATGGACGTTTTTCGGCTTCAGTCTTAAAGCTGCTGGCCAACTTTGTAAGCAAACAAAGACCTACAATACTCATCATTGCTTTAATTCACCAGCAGCAACAAAAGAGAACCTAAAACCTGCTTGTTTAAACCTGTGGATCTGGGTCTTCGCTTACCGAGTGATCAGGACAGCGTTGTCATGGTGAGCCATCCCGTTTTCAGGAATGCTGTTTCCATCGCTGTGATGAGACAGGATGGACTTCTGCCACTTACAGAAACTGTCCAGAGACTTGTCAGCATGATGGTTTATCTCCAAATTAGGCTGTAAAAAAAAAACACAGCAAAACAGTGAAGCATGAAAAAACAAAGGCTGCACAAAACATGTTGCATCTTCTGTATCATATCCAGTGGTGATGTATTTTGTTGTATAATACTGGGCCATCATTTTGTTATTGTCAGGTATCATATTGTGTTATCTCCTATTGTAATGTGTCGCCCTATTGTATTCAATGTCATTGTATGGTGTTGTATTATTTGTTTACATTAGGGCTGGGTGATAAACCGAAAATTTACCAATACCAAAATTTACGACAATAACAGACGTCATTTTACCCATATCAGTATATCTGATGTCTAAAAAAATGAATAAATCAAAGTTGGTTTGGATGTGTGTAGGTAGGCGATGGTCTCATGTCCCTTTAAGACGCTGCCCTACATCAGAGACGTGACTCCACCCCATCCAGTCCGTAACAAAGAGGGAAATACAGGTGAGGAGATGGAGGACGGTTCAAAAGTTGTAGTGGCTGGCGCAGCGGCTGAAGTAGATGAAGTTAATGTAGGAGGGGGTGAGCAGCTTGTGGAGTAGTTATCATCCATTTATCATTATGGAGGTAAACTGCTCACTATATCATGAAATTGATTTAAGGCCATATAGCCCAGCCCTAGTTTGAGTATTGTCCTCTGCTCTGTACTCTGGGAGTCTTTGCTGCTGCTCTCCCTGCCTCTTTATTCGTCGATCATCATGTACCAAAAAAAAAAGATATATATATATATATATATATATATATACAGTATATATATTGGCTCACAAATTGATTCATAAGTACTCTAAAAGTTTCACATTTTGTCATTTTCTAAGAATGTGAAAAATTTAGTGAAGCATTAGTTCAGGTAACACCATGAAGTCAAGCTCAAACAACAGCACATCAGCTGATCCATGCTAGTGGGAAAATGATTGCATGAGTGTGTTTTCGGCAGTATGGATGTTGTCTTCATCAGTGGATATCTAGCTGCTAACAGTTCCTGAAGGTAAAAGTATATATAAGATAAAACTATAACCGGGGAGAATAAAAGTTTTTAGTTTTTACTGTGAAGCTGAAAATGACCCTTTTGAAATACCTCGCACGTACTATTGCAGTATTTTGTATCCTCTTCTGTCCCATGCTTTCATATTCTTTCCTTTCTTATTGAACCATTTGTTTTGTACTGTAGCTCATATTGTATCACATCTGAGTGTATTATATTGTAGTATATTTTGATATGAGACAACATAACAAAATACAATATTTTAGAATACATTACAGTATGCAATGAGAGTATATGAAAGCTGGTCTCAGCCATTTAAAACTGTCTTTAAATGCTCTTAAAAAATCTGTGACATGTTCTCCTGATATCATGTGCTGACAGTGCTAACCGGTGAGCTGCCAGAGTGGAAAGATTATCCGGATGAATTATTTGTAGGAGGCCTGTACTGGGATGAGTGGGAGATTTCAGTACACGTTTTTGGAGAAGGGGAAAGTTTCGATTAATTTTACGAGAGTCTGCAGTGGCAGTGAAGGTAAACCCATTGATAGCAGGAGAAAAAGAGCGAGGGGGCAGGGGGATGTGCAAGGCGCCTGTGATACAGTGTTGATTTCAGTCTGTACTATGATGAAGTACAAGACAACACTGAACAAATAAACAGCCCATCAGTGACTCACTTTCACCATGAAATGTGTGTGTTCTGTAACTTTATTTTATGTCCGGTGTATCCACAACAAGAGGCGATAAACGACTTTCCTACTGGATCAAAGTGCAGCCCCTCTTTACATGAAAACTTGTTCTTTGGACCTCATGCTGAATGAAGAGCCGCTATGAGCCCTTTGGAAAAAAAAACAGATGCTAGCGAGGCACTCTGTTTCTCCCATCACACATACATACACATGTAGTGTGCATGTAAAAATTCTCAATTGAGGCTCCCTGAGGGAAGATGCCTGAGCACATCTTTCATCTGAAGTGGTGGACATATGGTGAAGAGTCTCTCTTTTCTCCCCCCGTCAAGTACGGTAATCGTATAAAATACTGCAGAGTACTCACGCCAAGCGTATCGGCTATACACTGACAGCAGGTGAGGGCGCCGCAGACATGATAAAACGCACTCATGAAAATCGGAGGGATAATAACACTGCGTGGATATGAAAAAAATAGGATAAAAGAGAAGAGAACGAGAGGTTTTTTTCTTACCTGATCTTCGGTTAGGACAATCAAACGGGTCACAATAATGTTCACAACATTTCCTAGACTGGCATCACGGTAAAGTTTGGCAACCTGACCTCCAGAAAAGAAGAAAAGACACAAAGTCAGACAAATTGGGTCCACAAGTCACATCCTCTTCTCTAAAACTGTTAGACGCTGCAGCATAAAATCGAAAAAGGACAAAAAGTAGGATCAAACTTACAATATTCATTACAGACAAGATGTAGTGCTCAATGTCTTTTCGTCCGTGGTAACCGACCATCATTTTATCAGCGACCACGAGCGTCTCCACAAAGCGCTCACTGCTGACGGAGCGCCTCTGCCTGTGAGTGCTGTTCGACTGCTCGCTGACGTTTTGGGATACAGGAGACGAGAGGACAGGAGAGGGTGTGTTGGACAGGCAAGGTGCACTGGTTTTTATGAGGTCTGTTAAAGAAAGAAAGGCAGAGTCAGAGTCAGAGTGAATTATTAAGCAGTCAGAATGATAATCCATTTGAGAGAGAGCCAGGACATGTCGTAGATGCGCATGCAAAGGGGATCTGGCCCTTTGAACCTTGCAGCTAAAGCCTTTTGCTTTATGACCCAGATGCTCTGGGAAAAAGCTATAAGGTGGTACATGTTAGGGCTTGCTAGCTTCCTGGGGATGACAGCCTTTTCTGTTTCTTATAAGACCTTGGCCCAAATACCTAAATATCCACCTGGTTCTTTTTTCCAATCCGTCATATCTCAGCAGACGTTCGGTGTGGTTGTTTGAGTTCTTAAATCTGAACACGATTGTTGGATCTATTAATAGGATTGGTGCTTCAGTCAAAGTCTGAGACCAAAACTCTTGATGCTCTGAAAGGCCTTTTATAAAAGCTGGAGCGGGGCTTCTTCTTACAGGTTGAAAGGTGTCCAGACCAGGAGCAGCTTGAGCGCACAAGAGGCCCGGTCATGCCTACCAGAACCTGGGCCTAGAACCAAACCAGCACTTCCTCCAACCTGCTATGTATAGTTATTCCTTTACGTCAGTCCCACCCACACAGAGTCCAACCCAGATGGAGGTTCACCAACCTGAAATGCCACAGCTGAACTCCTGGCTATGCTCTTGTGGTGAGGGAATGGCAGACATTTTATAAATAACATGTTGCTGTGCTTCTTCCAGGTTCCATTCGCTAGAGGTGGTGGAGGTTATGTTCTTTAATGGCTCTATCAAATACTGCTCGTCCTCTGTCGTTATTACACCGTGCTTGATGGAAAGGAAAAAAAAAACAGGTTAGAGACGCAAGCAAACATCACTTCTGATTACATGAATGAAACACAGGAGCGTGAACTAATGTATATTTTCTTTTTTTCCAGCGTTTTTTCCTTCAATTCTTCTGTTTTCAAAAGAGTTCTCCAGTCAGAACTCCTCCCCCTTCCTATAATGTAGACAGATGACAAGCCAAGGCTGGACGAGCAGCAGCAAAGACCCACAGAGCACAGAACAGAGCAAGCATTCATACGACACTGGTAAGTTCAGACACAGCATAAAAATGGGAGGCTGATGTGTAGGTTGGATGCAAAGCCAGGATGAAGCAGTTTAAATGAAACATCCATTTTGCTAATTAGATGCTTGGTAAGAAATCATCTGAGCAGTCAGCTGATTTGAGCTGGAGTTTGGATCAGCTGATGTGCTTTAAAAACTCAGAGCTGTGCACACATCTTTTCATTCTTAACTTATCTTAGTCTTTACAAACTTTTAATGCGGAGTATCATTTAAAAATCCATCATTTTAACTTTGGTTAATTCAGTTCTCTTCTTGGATTAACTGATTCCCAAGTTAACTTCTTTGCTGACAGATTAACAGTTAACAGGGTTAAACTCTTGATCAGCTGTGCCCACTCCCTGTCATTCATGGAAACATGTATTATTTTTTTAATTCCATATTAGGTTAATTTTTCAGCCTCTGTGGTGATGGTGCGCAGCTTCAAACAAAAAACTGTGTTAAAAATTGAAAAAGTAAGAAACAGTGCAAAAGAGGTGCATCAGGGGAAATGTAGGATCAATTATCTATGGCTCATTAGGACCAAATATGCTTTGATTTCCAGTTTATTTTAACGACTGTTTCTTCTGCAATGCTTTACATCCCTTCATGTAATCCTCCCCCTAATGAAATCTTGCTGTCTGCAGTTAAATCTAAGAACCCTTTATGATCAAGAACATCAGGACCTTCATTAAACTGTTTTCTGCTCTTCATCACCCCCTACAGGCCATAAATTAAGTAGAATTAAGAGACTGTGGAAAGCCCTGACTTGGCTCTGTGAACCTACAATGAAAGCGATTAAAACAGTCAATATTTTAATAGTGTGTGATGTCAAGGTCTCAAACCATCCAGACGGCTGATTACATTAAAGCGCAGACACAGCTTTTGTCCATTTTTGGTACTGTTAGAAAAAAGGGCAAACACTAATTCAATTTATGATACTCCGTGTAGGTCTTGCCAACACATTTGGCTAAATGTTTTCTCTGCATGATTACATTTGCCAATAAGAAGCAGGGCTTGTTTTTCCCTTCTTTAGAGTTATTCTGAACGGAGAAAGGATATTAAAACTTCTTCCAATTTCTTGATTAGCAAAGAGAAGCTGGACAGTCACACAGTCCGTGGATAACAAGCCTGAGGTCTAAATGCTTCGACAGGATAATTAGATGCCTTGTTAGTGCTGTTTGGTTTGTTTCTTCACAAAGCACATGGAGTAATTTAGACAGGTTTCACTAAAGATCACAAAAAAAGATCGGCTAAAGAAATGTGACCTCCGCTAACGTGAGGATGAAGTGTGAGATTAAACGCAGAAATGGAAAGTAAAAGCTTATCACTAACAGATCACAGAGATGATGTGATTTCTCTCCTTGAGCATCACCTCACTCCAAGCTGCCTGCAGGCTCAGCGTGCCAAGTGGAACCATGCCAAGACTCTGTTAAGCACACTACAATTGGTCTAATCCTTTGGCTCTGCAGCTGAAAGGTTGGCTGACATGAGAGCAGCACCAGCTCGGCATATATAAGTTATCTGACATTAGTGTCCAGGTTTGTTTGAGGTGAGCTGTGTGGACTCTTTGTAGCTAAAGGTCAGAAAAAGAGTGGGAACTCGCCACTTGGAAGAAAAAATAGAGCCTGACCGATTTATGGTCAGCCAATAGGGGGTGTATAAGATATATCTGTATCAGCGTGTTCTCCAGTATCTGCCATGAACAAGAGTTATCTGACAAGATAAATGATAGGGAAAACATTGCTTTGGATCAGTGCTGATTTTGTCAACGTGGACAATTTGATGACGTACTTATTTTTCACAACTACACGGCGTAAATGGATGACTGTTAAGGTGGATGAGCAGGTACATCATTGTTTGCCTTTTTAAACCATCACTTATCAGCAACAATTGTTCATCTTTTTCCTGGTCAGTGGATGAGTTTGTGCCATGCATGTTGGGAAGGAGTCTGTTTTCTAGCCAGCCTCTAGCTATCTTATCAAATGCCTGATGAAAATGCAACTGCTGGAAGCTGGCATCATGAAAAATGAGAGCCTCAGTACAACCTGCAGCCTGATTAAAAGAGACAACCTGTGGACACATTTTTTGAAGTGGTCCCTGAAGAGAGAGGAGTGTCTTATGGAAACAAGATGGAGGAAAAACACACAAATTTGAAAAGACACCTTAAAAAAAGCACTCCCATCGTGTTTGTTCAGGGGAATTACAAAGATGTATGATGATTGGATGACAGGAATACACCATAACACCCTCACTTTTGCATCTCTACGTCCCATTCTTGCATGGGTATATGTATCTCCAGCCTGTGAATGTTTCAAGTTCTTCATCATCCTCTTCATCTCATAAACTTCAGGTGCTTTCAACCACAAACGGGCAGGTTATCAGGATAATATGCAGTAGCTAAAGTGGTTGGTGAGCATTCCACAAAAAAGCAACATGGGGTGCTCTGAAGAAAACTTGGGTCTGCACCTCAGTTATAGTATAATTAAGTTAAATATAACTTATCTGATTATAATAACTCTTTTTTGATTTTGAGACCCTCTGTAAGTCATGTTTTCAGACATAAAATCTCATCTTTTTTCTGTTCACAGTCAAATGCATCACTCACCCAGTATGTACAAGGTTCAAGTTACAAGTTGAGCCAATGTTACAGTTCATTAAGGCAATTTGGCCAGACCTATGTCCTTACCAGACTACTTAGTGAAATTTCTAATTTGTTTGCATGTATTTTAGTCAAACTAATGTAACAAATTGAGTTTTTGTAACTTAATGTAAACGCACTGACTGTGAGCAACCCCTGTGGAGATGTTACATAAGGCCTAACAGCAGCGTGCTCTCAATCAGCTGGTCTGACACCCACTCCTCACACTGGTTTTAAGCTTTAATATTACAATATAGAAGTTTTCAATGTTGTCATTGATGGTCTTGTTTGCTTTCGTGGGTCATAAATGGGCATCTCTATACATTTCAAGCTGTCTTATAACAAGTTGAAGGACCCCTGATAGTGGCTTTAAGTCTTTTCCATGAGGAAATTCATTGTACTGGCTAACAAAATAGTTATCTATGACTATTACCGCTCCCAAAAAATCTCAAAATAACCACCCCTGTACTCACCAGCCCTTTGCAGTTGCTGAGCGCCACTCTAGTCGTGCTGTGCTGGTTTTGCAAGAATCCCACATAGTGACAGTTATCTACCACATTATGGCGCCACTCCAGCCCTTCTTTGCCCCAGTACTCCACTGTGAAATGTTTTGACACCAGGTGTGGGTTGAGAGTCAGGTTTAAGTGAAAGTGCTTTCCGTAAGCTGACAGTCTGTAGAAGAGCCGGGACTCCGGGGGATCTGGGTCCAACACTGGCGACTGTCCAATCATGGGGTCCACCACGCCCCTTCTCCGCCGGCCCGGCCGGTGGTGCTTCACAGTGTAGCTCAGGAACTCTCCATTCTGGTCCACCCGCACCGGGACAGTCAACTGGTAGTGCTGCAGGTAGGACAGGAACTCCTCTTTTACAGGAGAAAGAACAGAAGAAGAGATGCTTCAATTATTGTTATTTTGAAGTTTTAGTCTAGTTCTTCCAAAGGTTTCAGCCTATCTAAAGGAGTTTTGCCTTGCCACTGTTGCAAAGTGCATTCTTATTGGTGGATTAGGGCCTGTGTCCACTGAAGCCATTCAGCAGTGGCAGCATCCACAACCTTAATTTCAGAGCACCTCTCACTGTTCTTTGGTTAGAGTTGCCCTGTGCACTTCCCATTCCTTTTTCAGTGACCACTTAAAGTGCTGTGTGTAGTTTCATTTTTGGCAGTATTTGCAGAACAGAATCCGCAAAAACAGAATATCCAATTGTTGAAATAATTTTGATTGAGGGTGCTGTGAGCGCATCGACATTGAGGACATTTATGCACTCAGGTTACAGCTGAAATGAGGTAACTGCATTGGCTTTGTACAGACAATAGGTGCTGCCACATGCAAAAAAAAAAGGCATCAGTGGACTCTGACCCTTTAAGTTGGATCTCTTTCAAAAATGTAAAAAATAAATAAATAAATAAAGGTGAAGATCTACTCTTTATGTTAAGTGTCACAAGATTTTTGTTGAGATCTGGCAGTATTCAAATAAAAATTTAGTCAATAAGTCATCAGTCAGTTTTGAATTTCATAGCACTAAGTCAAAAGTTAGAGCACTTTGCAACAAAGAACAGCTCCAGCTCATCTATCTCTACATTTTTAACAGACCTGACTATATTCCCATGAGCAAACACTCAACAAAAGCGGTGAGGAAAAACTTCCTCTTCACTGGCAGAAAGCTTAATCAGAACAAAAGACACTGGTAGACGGCCATCTGCCGCAACTGGTTGAATTGGAGGATATCTTTGTCCTCTTTTCATACCTTGAGAGTTATGTGAAAGTCTGTTGACGCTTTGAAATTCAGAAGCAGCCATCACCACAAGGCTCAGCGTCCAAGTCAGCGTCTTCCACAAAATTTCCATAATTCAGAGGAAGCTGTGACATGGGGTGAGGGGCAGAGGGTGCTACAAATGGGCTAAAAGCACACGTTGAATCCGACGCCACACCATAACAAGTCCATGGCTCGTCTCCTTCTCTTGATAGTTCTTGTGATGCTCTGAGGCTCATTCAGGTCTCAGATCTCTCCTGAGGGCGAGTGCTTCCACATCTCACTACTGGCCTTTGGATTCATGTCAGCAGTTCGGAAAAACAGCGTAATCCATCAGACACGGTCGCTCTCAGGTGTAACTCCAAACAGGAAACTCTATATTGGAAACTTGCCTTGACCGATCCATCTGCATTCCTGTGGGAGGAAATCAATCAAAGGTTAAATGGCCTCTTATCTCTGAATACTAATTAGATAGATGTCTGAGATGAAAATCAATTTATTGGCACACTGACAGGCAAAAACATAAAACTACCATTAGTTAAATAACTGATTTATCACTTAAGTGTATCATGTACAATTAAGAAATATCTGTTGATATAGATAGCGATGCACTTGTTAGTTTGGACATCTTTGGACTCTGGAATGCCAGATGGACCAAGATACTTGAGTAAAATCTGAATTTTCTACCATTCATACCAACAATCAATCCAACCGATTTTTATAACTTAAATGATTAAATACAATTAAAGAGGGTTGAACATCGTTGATTAACAATATAAGACCAAAATAAGCTCAATTTACAATGGAGGACACCAAACGCATGTAGCAAATCTTCCTATTCGTTAGAGCAACCAAAAAAAATTGATGTTAGATTAAAAGTATGACTGCAGTGATGGACGATAGTAGAAAAAGCCGGTTAATTTACTGTCAAACAACCGATTAACTTACTAGTCTTTTCCCTTTCAGAGAGGGTAATGCTATTTGAAACCCAACTCCACTACAAATTAATGAAAGACCTACCAAAATGAATTATGGATTAGCCATTGGTTTAATGACCGTTACTTCATCACCTAGCTTAACTATGTTGCCGCCAAAAACGTTAACTTTGAAACCACATTGGTGTCAGAAGCAACTGACTCATTATTTCAATATATATTGGACAAATTGACTGACACTTGGGTATCTGAAACGTTATTGTAAGAAAACGGGGATTTACAGCGTTACTGGGGTGTAATAACCACATCAGACCGATGTTAACGTGATGTGCCGTAGAATGCCCCCCTGACGGGAGGGCGGTTGAAAGTACACAACAAGGCGAAATAACCCAAGTTTTCCTTACCGTATGATGGATTCAAAAGCGTGTGCTTTTAATGATTTCATTCAAGCTATTTTGATACACCGAAAACAATAGCCCTCTAATTCGGAATATTTGCTGTCCCGAAAATAGAATGTTCTCTACCTTGACAGTTCACTGTACAGTTTATATACCCAAGTACACCTCTATGTGTGCATTTTAAGACACATAAAAACAGAACGAAAGTATGCTGCTCCATTTGCCATGTTGTCATGATTCAATACTCCTGTTTTGTTTTGTTTTTAAATATGAGATAATTTTCTCTCACTTTAAGAAGGTAATGAGCGGATGGGACGCATGGGATGCATTCTACGGCACAACACCGGACGCATAAAACATGATATTATTCGTGCAGTCGTGGATTTTTTCGTTCACTGACGCGCTTCACGGCTGCATGTGCAAACCAGACTGAATACAAACAAACGTCAGCGGACCCAGTTGATAGACGGGGGCTGTGTGACACAAATGACAGCTCTTGGAAGGGAGTTTTTTCTGTATTACTTGTGTCTAGTTCTCCGGTCTTACCTCCAGCTCTCAAGCAGGCAGGCAGACAGACAGACAGCGCGCTACTTACTTGGCCACTATGACCCAGACAGTTGGCAGCCGGCCCGCCTGCATTATTACACCGGTACCTTTAAACACAAGCAAACTACGGCACTCTGACATCGTCTTGATGCGTTTTTTTACAACAGTTGCAAAAGCCTTGGAGCTGTCAGGACGTTTTAAAGTCAGTTTGCAGAGCTGTTACGCTGCAATCCGGTGCGTAAATGTTTCCAAAAGTAGCAAACTTTCCACGCAAATGCCCCCTAAACACTCTGACTACACTCGCTGTGCCAAAATGAGCTGCACTTCCAGCTAAATACTGGTCTACAAACAGTCCTGAGAGTTTGAGCTCTCACAAACTGCTCCGGTAAAACTACCTGAGACAGATCGCCCTACATTCAGAGTAAACAGATAGTTACCACGCTCATCTTCATTGTCAGATCCGGTCCCAGTGCGCAGAGAGAGCCCAGGACAAAAGGTTTCTGCAGCTCTGAAGTTCCGCACACAAACCTCTGCTGCTCCTCTCCTCTTTTCATCTCCTTTTGGACTCTGCCATCCTCCTAAAAAACTGCAACGTGAGTCTCCTCTCCCAAACCAGACAGCCGGAGCAGGAGCTCAGTTCCAGACACTGTCACACACACTCAGGGAAAAGAAGAAAAAAAAGAAGAAGAAGAAGCAGTTATTCAGCTTTTCAAAGTGTTGGATTTGCTCCAGCTGAAGGGTCTATTTTCAGCCTATCTGTCGTCTTTATAATCTAGACTTTGTGTTGTGGCTCAGAGGGGCTTAAAAAGTTAGTTGAGGTTGCAGGAGGTTGTTCTGCCCCCTCAGGAAGCCGCCACAGCTCTCTGCTTTTTTAAGAAAAGTGCATGCAAACAGCAGCTAAAGTTGGCCTGAAGCTGCTCCTCCTCACTTCACTGCAGAGAGAGAGAGAGGGAGAGAGAGAGAGAGAGAGAGATAGAGAGAGACCGGGTATGTCCCCGTCGTCCGGACAGCTTCAAATTGGCAGCTTTTTTCACTGAGGCTGACGTCAGTGCAGATGTGCCTCTTCATCAGCTGTGCGCATGTCCATCTGCCCTGAAATAACACCAACTCTATCTGACTTCTACTCTGTTACCCCCTGATAGAGAACCTAAGGGGTCAAAAGCTCCTCAGGATTGATATAAAGTAGAAATACCACATCATATAACAATTTTAAAGGAATAAAAGTCAAGTTTGTGCAGCAATGTGGCGAAGTATTACGTTCAACATTTAGTTTCAGTAAAAGTTCTGAAGCTACAGACAGAGCCGACCCAAGCCTCAGTAGGGCCCTAAGCAAAATTTGATTTTGGGGCCCTCTATTTCTGCCAATAATATTGATTGCTGATCATTCACACACCTACTACATTATAACTTTAATGCGCCTGACATGTCTTTACCATAGACTGTATATAGAATAGACGCCATCTGCCTCCTCGCTTGGTGAAGCCACTCCGAGAACAGCACCCTCTGTTGACGGGCTGTGGTATAGGTCATAAATCCTGCCTCCGCCAGCAAAGCTTATGGAGCTGTGGACAAACTTTAGAAATTTATTACACAGAACATACATTTTTCTCCCCCTGCTTGTGGTGTTGACATGTAGTTACAGTAAAGGCCCTTCACATCGAGACCGTTTTTATCGTGCGATTATTTCAGATGTCAATATTTTCTTTCGAACCCGTATCCTGGTCAATACAAGCGTTCACATCAACAACATTTTCCCGTCCTGCAATATTGCAGCATTTATTTTTTCAGATCACGGTCGGTTTTTCTAAAGTTTCGCATACTGTGTGTCCACTTCTGACCAATCAGATTTTGTGTAGTTGCGACATCTGATTCACTGGTATATCCTATATGGCCGACCGGCTGATTGTTTATGTGTCGGAGAACAGAGTGCCTTTTGATAAAAGACACAAACATTACAAAGATAACGACCTGAAGGATAACTTGTAGAGAGTCATAGCGTCCGATTTCTCATATGACGATGGTTTGTGTGCTTTAATAGTTTGCTTAACGTCTTTGTTTTAACTTTCATCTGGGCTAAGTAACTTGAGCTTGTAAGCTAACCTATTCAGATACAACATATCATATGTATTTTCACTGTCACAAACTCAATCGGGTTGCTGTCACAGCACCATTAGGTCTCGGTTGTTACCTTACGTTTATGGATTATAGTTTAATGTGCTTATCTAGTACTCGCCGCGACTCAGTACATGCTATCATGACAGACAGACATCTCAACACAAGTGTCTAATCAGAACCGAAAAACAATCAGTCTGGTGTTGTGTCAGTCTACTTGCTTCCAGAAAGTTGCAAAATGTCATCGGCCTTGATGTGTATAGTCAGGTGCATCAAAATTCGTCCCCGAATATTTCGTAATTTCGCATCAGATATTAGCGTCAGTCCCAGTGTGTAAGGACCTTAAGACTGGTTTGTGCTCAAGTCCTCTTTTTTTCTGTGAAGATCCATTTTTAAAAGTTATTAGGGGGTTCATGTTTTCTATGATTGACATCTGATACAGCCTATTGGCATTCAGGGATTGCGTAGCTCACCTGGGGGATATGCTGTTTGAGCAGAGCGTCATTACAGCGACTCTCGGCGACTCTCCTGCCAAATGCGTACAACGCTACTGCGCAATGCCGGTTTCAGGAATTGAATAAAAATAGCGGAAATACCGAGAGCTTTTTGGCTTCAAATCCGTATACAGGTGGAGGTGGAACCAAGTTGTCCATAGTAGTCCATAGTCCATAGTAGTAGTCCATAGTAGTCCATAGTACAGTCTAGGGTCTTTACAGATTTAAGGGGGTGGCCTAGGTGAATAAAACCAATAAAACCATACAAATAATACCAATAAATGACGGATGAATTATGTTCAGGGTGCCATATATGTTTTTTAATCTCAAAATGTAACACATTCAGCTACAAGAGAGGCCTGGGGTTGATTTTCACAACATTCCAAGTGATAAAGCATTGTGTTTACTGTAAAAGGGCCATCCGCAGTAAGAATCATAGGCCTACATCAGCAGCAGCACTAAAATGTTTTTACTTTATTTTTACAAAAATATATATTGGATCATACAGAAAGCATCACCCATACATGCAAAAAATAAAAATATTTAAGTTTTTTGTGATTGCTCATGGGGGCCCCCTACTGGCCACGGGGCCCTAAGCAGGCGCCTAGTTCGCTTATGCCTTGGGCCGGCTCTGGCTACACAGTTAAGCTTGAAAAAGAAAGAATGAAAAACATAGAGGAAGTTTTTATACCTTAAAAGGATTTGAAATATTTAAAAAGTCAGAATTCAGAACTAAACTAAAAGAGCGCTGTGTTACAGTGAGAGGAATACGTTTGAGGAACAATCTGAACAAAGAAACTAAAGAAACTAAATCAAATGTTATCTTCAAAAAAAGTGTCAAAGCTATATGTTGAGTAAATACAGGGAAATATGTTCATCTAAGTCTTGGTATGTTTGTTTTGTGAAAAAATGTGAATTAACCTGGTCTTTTCTGTTCATTCTGTGGGTTTTTTTTGAAAATAAGAAAAATTGAACTGTAAAAAGGCATGTTGGCCTGCAGCTCTTGTTTACTTTTATTATGTGTTTAGTTGATTAATACCAACTACACACATAAGTTTGGACCAAGTTTGGACCAAGCACCGAACTTGGGGGGACAGAGCCTTGTCTGCTGCTGCCCCCATCCTCTGAAATTTACTACCCAAACCCATCCGAGACTGTAAAGACCCCCACACTTTTAAATCACTCCTAAAAACACACTTTTTTAAAACTGGCTTTTAACCTGTGAACTGTTTTTTATTGTCTTCTCATATTGTGTCTTTTTTATCCTTTTACATCATTGGTTTTATTTCTCAAAATTTTCTGTATTTTAAATTGTGTGTTTTTAAAAAAAAAATCTTCTTTCTAAGGCATCCGTAAAAGCACCTTATAAATAACATTTATTATTATCATTATAATATCTTATGAAAGAGGGGCAGACTCTACAAGAGTTTTCTTCTTTCTGCTCCTTTTTATTCACATGTTTGAGATTTTTCCTTGTTTGTATTGAATGTTTTAAATATTAACTGAATGAAATAAAGTATGAAAATTAAATGAAAATGAATTATAAGATAATGACATTGTGCATAGTAGGTAGTGCAAAGGAGTAATTATCTTGTTCCTAAAAGATACTTGTAGTTAATGCACAAGATGTGTTCGGAAAGCAGTAACTTGTTCCCATAACATATGATTATTTTGTGCATAATGGCACATCCAATGCAATAATTAATTTCTGGGCCCAAGATATTTACTGGTATGAAAAAGATCCTGCAAGATCCTGCAAAATTGTGTTCATAAGATATCAAGTGCAAAAGATGAAAAATTTTACTCTTAAGACTAATGTAATAAACTTTGATAAACTGTCTTCTGTGAGGGTTTTTCATGTTAAAGCATCACTCACCATTACTCACAAGAAGTGAACCTTAAATAGTGTGAAGTATATAATATCAAGAGTAAAACTGAGATGTTGCTTCAGTACAATACTGAACAAGCTGTTCTACCTTACCCTCAGTATTGTTTATGGATTTGCTAAACTGTATTTTCCTTTTTTCTTTTCCCATTAGTCATACATGACCCCTCAGATTTATCTTGCTGTCGGTCCCTGACCCCTTGGTTGGGAACCTCTTGCCTAATCTGTGAATAAAGTACTTCAAAGTAGATCCACATGAAGCAGAAACAACAGCAGTACTGTTCTGTCATACTGAGTAGCACCAGTATAAATGATCGAATAATGAGGGTTTGCATTTTTCTGCAGAATCAGTAAACTCATTTTTGCAAACAAGACTTTAACTTGTGACTGAGTGTTTCTATATATTATTGTATTGATGCTATTAATCAGTAAGGGATCAGTGAATGATATCAGCTAAACCATCAGAGTATAGGAGCTCATCATGCAGAGGACTTCAGGAATATATCACTGAATTTTCAATGCATTGTCATGTACAGTGAGTGTGACATTTAGTATGTTATGGTAAGTCAATAAATGACTATCTGCAACTACTTTTAGGTAGTTTATTTACACAATGTGTAATATTTTTTATTAAGTTTATCATATGTTTTAGGTTAAAATCCTAAACATAAAGGCAACTATGGCTTTATAAAGAAGGAAGTACATCTCCATCCAGGATATTGTAGAAGAGTAGCTCAAACTGTAGTGTTCAAGATACTTTAATCTAAGTTAAGAGTCTTAGGAGTTATGAATTGGCCCAGTATAAACAATGGTTGACTGATATACTGTTGCTATAATTCCATATAAAAGACCTTTATGTGTCTAATATTAGACCATCACTAAGCAACCATAAATATAAACAGGCATCAATAGCAGAAAAGAAAGAACATACTCTGACATTTGTTTGGCACTAACTTGAATTAAACTAATGAAAAGTGCTGTGGGGCTCAAATGAAACATGTTTAAATTTGTCTGATTTTTTCACTTTAACCCTTTAACATCCTGCAAACACAGCTGAGACATCTCATCACAGACTTCTTTATGATTTTAGTTACAAGTCCCACTTTAAAGTTTGATGTCTTAATGTTTGAATCTGCTCAAAGTCTCTGGTGAAAGTCTCTCAGGGGTCCTGCTCTACTGTAGATGGCCTGTTAATGGTAACCTTGTGTGTTTTGGTGTAATTTAGCCCACGTCTATCTTTAGTCTGTAGGAAATTGAAAATCATACCTATTCCTCGAGTTCCAGTTACAGCTGCTCATTATGTCGCAGCCCATATCATTACAGTCAGCTCCTCATTGCATGCTCTCCTTCACAGCCTGAGTGGGTCACGAACTGTTTTTTTCCTTTTGGTAGCAGCGCCATCTTGTGCCTGAAAGTAGACTAGCAAGGATTTTAAACACATGGACACTGGTGTCATTTATTTTCTCAACTTTAAACAACTCCAGCAGAAAATAACCTGTACTCAGGATCTCAGGCACAAACACAGGTACATTTTAGGTTACGTTTGGTTTAAAGGTTAAGGAGTCTAATTTAGCAAAGAATACAATTTCTACCTGTAAATGATATTTTTGAAGACTAATGAGGTCTTTAACAATCAATATGATACAACGTGATAGATATGGTTAAGTACTGCAGAATACTACACAGTATGGTAAGGTATAATACATGGTATAATATGATACAGTATTGTATGACATGACAGGATACATGTAAAAGAATGGGATAAGATACAATGCGATTGTACGATACTATACAATATGATTTGTTATGATATGATAGGATTAAGAGACTCAGGCGCAGACAACAGAAAGACACAGCAGACAAACAGATCCGCAAAAAAGGATTTATTGAGAATACTAAATTACCAAAACAGATGATCCTCTCAATCCTCCCACCTCGACTATTGTAATGCATTATATTTTGGTATCACTCAGTCTTGTTTATCTCGTCTCCAACTAATTCAAAATGCAGCAGCCAGAGCCAGCCACAATGAGAGAACTAAGATTGTCTGACCAAAGACTACTGTCAGTCTCACGATCCAGGACTAAGTGTTATGGGGATAGGGCTTTCTCTATCGCGGCCCCAAAACTGTGGAATTCTCTTCCTCCCACAATCAGATTCTCCCCCACCATTGAGACTTTTAAGACTCAACTTAAAACCCACTTTTACTCCCTAGCTTTGAACTGTCCCTAACTTTATAGTTCAGACATTTCCCATGTAGGCTCTGTGAGCTCTGTAGGTCGGTAGATCTGTGTTGTCTTTATCATTGTTATTATTATTGCTGCTGCTTTTGTTATTATTATTACTGTTATTTATTTTAACTATTATGAATGATGATGATAAAGTGATGGTATTGAAAATATATTTCTATTGCTATCGTTATTATTATAACTGTCACTCAGTCTGCTCTTCGTCTTCATCGTCTGCTTGTTCTCTTGTTTTGTTTTGTTTTTTCCTCTGTGTTGTTGTAAAGCACTTTGGATCAACTCTGTTGTGTGTAAAGTGCTATATAAATAAAGTTGCGTTGAGTTGAGATGATCTGTCCGATAAAGTGGGACAAATAAAAAAACTAAACACCTCTAAAAGAAAAACTTCTGCCTGGAGGGAAAAACTATAACTAAAAGGAACTTCTACAAACAAAAACATTTAAACCAACTGAACTAAGAGAAGCTTAAGTGTCCAATTAAACTCAGAAAACTAACTAACCAGGCAACAAACTGAAAAGAAAAGAAAAAACACACTACAAAACTAATAAACTACCCTGGCTTGAACAAATCGACGCAGAGAGCAAGCAGAGAGCCTTAGTGCAGGGTCAGTCGAGATAAGGCAGACTGAGGAGGTGTGGGGCGTGTTGTCCAGCAGGTGAGCAGACTGAAGCAGGCAGATCAGGCTGGAAACTGTAATAAAAAAAACAACAAAGGATTAGCATTGAGGGTGCAAAATAGGCAGCAACATTGATCAAAATTCAGTTCACAAACTGTGTCTATACAACAGTCCGGATCAGAGTTGTGGCTGCAGTCTAGTTTTATGGCAGAGGTTGGAGAGTCTGGTGATTACCAATTGCCTGCACTTGTTTGCGCTTCACACATCTCACTCACGCCCACCTGGGGAAAAGGAAAAGAGAGAAGGGAGGGGGAAGAGGGAAGGGAGAGGCTGCTGCCACTAAGCAGAGCTGGAGGGCATGACAATTACAGCTGGTCACAATACTATACAAGACAAGACTATACCATACAATGTAAATATAAATATGAATATAAAGCAAAAAATTTAACAGACCCCTAAGAGTCCTGTCATAGACTTAACTGATGCACATGTATTACTTTCCCAGCTTATTATCCATACATTGCAAAGTCAGTGCTGCACAATAAAAAAAAAAAAAAAAATGCATCAGATTTCATAAAGCGCTTTATCAGAGACCCTCAAAGCGCTTTACATTGGATACATCATTCATTCGCTCACACAGTCACACTTTGGTGGTGGTGGAAACGTGGCTGCCATTCTGCGCCTACGGCCTCTCCGACCACCACCACACAACACTCACAATCATACACCAGTGGAGGACACACACTGGGAGCAAGGTGGGTTAAGTGTCTTGCCCAAGAGTCCAAGAGTTAAATCTATTATTAACTATCAAGCTGGAGTATTTCCCAACTATCAAGGGATGAAGCACAAAGGTAAAGTCAAAGGTTCAAACTCAGCCACGTGCACTGTTAAAATTTAACTCATAACTTTGTAGTCTATATTATATCTTCTATATAATCTCATTCTTCAATGTGTAACAATGTGTGCATATGACCCAAGAATTTATATTGGTCAGCCAAAGCAGTGTCACCACCATAAATTACATCTTTCAAGGCTATAATATGCTGGAACCAATAAAGTAAAGATCAACTAAGGCTACCAAATAATTGTTTTTGAGTAGAGAGTACAGTCCTTGCCTCAGACATTGTATTTACAGCACTCATTCATACTTCATAGATAAAGTCTAACTGATTAAATGACTTTTTTATGATGAAAACTGAAGAATAATGTTAGACTATGTGTAAAATAGCTGCCAAAATAAACACTGGTGCAGAAGTGATCTGTTTGTTTCCTGTTTTTATTTGTAGTTGTTAATTCCTTGTGTTTGTAGTCTGGTTTTACTTCCCTAGTTTTCCCTCTTTAGTTAATCACCCATGAGTTTCACCTGTGTCTTGTCTGCCTCACCTGTTTCCTGGTGTGTACAGTATATAGTCCCTGCCTTTATTGGTTCATTGTGTGTGTGTATGTCTGTCAGTTCACTGTGTTCCTCGTTGTGTAAAACACTAGTCTCCTTGTATTTTTTTCCCTAGTAACTTTTATGGATTTTGCTTTTGGGTTTTTTAGTTGGGCATTTTGAAGAAAGTTTTTGTTGTTTTTTTGTCATTGAATTCTTTTTAATAAATCATTTTTGGTCTGCATTTTTGGGTCCTTTTTCTGTTGCTCAGCCCTGCACTATGACATGTCTCTGTACGTTTGTCTGAATTCTGTATCTACATCTATTAGTATCGGAATTAATCTCTTTCTGACCTTGCTTGCCAGGAAAAAGCAGAGCAGCTCATAGATGGACTTCTATTGGGTAATAAATTTAGTTATAAAACCACTCCATTAATATTGGTCAAGATAAATAAAATACATATACAGGATTTCTTAAAGATCATGTTTGATATCAAATGTGTGTGTGCGTGTGTGTGTGTGTCTTGTGACAACACATGAGAAGTATAAAAGAGAAGTGTAGAAATACAGCTGAGGTTTGTTACTGTAGCGTGGGCTTGGTGTGGGCGTGATGAGTTATCTCTCTCCAGTAACATTTTCAGTAATGTGATAAAGTCAGTGACCATACCTGCTTTGATTGGTCCTATAAAAAAGATTAACATTGCCGCTGCAGCCCTCAGTCTGTCCATAGAATTCTTTCAGCATCAAGTTCAACTCAGGTAAGATTTTTCTCCTTCAACCAATTTTTACTTCATGTTGTTTGATGCATAGAGCAGATGTAAATGACATCTATATCTGTTTGGAAACACAAAAGTAAAGAGCAGAAAATACTAAATAAGCTTGAGAGAGACAAGTGTTAAGACTGAGAAGAGATAAGTACAAAGAAAAATCTCATCCCGCAGATCTACTGTGATCATGGCAGTGAGAAACCAACCAGGACGATTTGAGCCGTCTGAATTTCAGACCGGTCTGTGCGATTGCTGCAGCGACTGTGGAACTTGTGAGCTCTCCCTTTTACTGGAAAAATCTGATAATACAAAGTCATTTGCACAAAAAATATAGTATATTGTATTGTTTGTTCCAACTTCCCCTTTTTATCCAACAGTATTCTACGGTTGGTGCTGCTACTGCTGCCTCGGCTGCTCCATCGCCAGTGCCATGGACGAGTGCTGCCTGTGTGGTCTGGGCATGCCCATCCGCAGTGTTTACAGGACCAAATACAACATCAATGTAAGTCTATAAAAAGACATAATAAAGTGGATGACTGTGGGTCAAAAGAGGCAACCTGCAACTCTACAGGTGGTGATTTATAGGCCTATGGAAGAGCAGCAGGCTAAGAAAAGTAGATCTAAAACTCAAAGTTAGAGTTTAAGTGTTATAAACTCTCAGCCAAAGTTCAAGAATTAGAAAAATTAAATGACACAGAGAAGTTCTCTTGCTCTCTTGGCATTTACAGAGTGAATTTGTAATGTTGAAAACAAAGTCTGAACAACACGAAAACAGGGAAATAATTATATCATAGCATGCCCGTACTGGAAGCTTTCAATTGTTATGTTATTACAGTGCAGGATGAGATAACTTGAAGGATGAGGAAAGCAGGAGATTTTATCAGCTGTTTTGGGTTTGTAACATTAACACCACAATAGTTTAGTTCAATCAAAGGTGTCTGATGGATTTGATCTCAATGAGTGGGGGTAGTTTCTAAGAGAGCTGCTAAGTTAACATAGCTTTTTAAATGGACAATTTAAATAATAACACAAGTAGAAAAAAAATAACAAAGCAGAATTTTTAAGCAAAATTAGAGAGCAAAAAACGATGTTAAAATCTTGAGAGACAGTTGAGAACCTAGAAATGTTGTGACAAAAAAAATCAATCTGAGCAAGGTAGAGTATGATTTAAAATGTCAAAATTAAGTCAAAATGGGGGAAAAAAGTGGCTGCAAGGTGCAAAAGAGGAATTTTTACTTTGTGATTCTGAGATTGAATATAAAATGAGAAAATCCGGAACGGTCCTGAATACAGTCACATATAAAATGTTGAGTAAAACTCAACTTTCATTGTTGGTGAAACCAGGGGGAGGAAGTCAGCTGAACCAAAGAGGGTTTGGCGGCCGCAGGTTGTAAAACCAATGTGACTTTATGATTTTAGGGCTCCATGTGTCAAGACTTCCTGGCGACGGCCTTCTGTCCGCTCTGCGCCACCTGCCAGCTGAAGAGAGATATCGACCGCAGGAAGGAGCAAGGCATTTTCTGAACAGGTAGAAACTTTCAAAACACACTTCGTCTTGGAGTGTTGTGTAATTTTTTTAGCTGTTGAATTTTTGAAAAGTCATATTTAAGCCTTCTTGTCCCTCTAGGTGCTGCTACATCACCTGATGAGTCCACCTGGCGCTGATTATCTCTTCAATAATGTGTAAATCATGTTTTTTATAAAATGGCTTACGGCTGTACAGCCTTGTTTTTTCACCTGTCACCTGAGGACAAGGAGACCTATTTTGTTTGATGAGACATTAGTTTGATAAGACTCACCCTGATGGTCAAAGAGAGAGTGAGATTAACAGTAACTGTAATAAATCATGTTTTATGAGCTGATGGGATGTGGACAAAGTGCTGTTGGCTTTCATTGCGTAACATCATCCAGTTCTCGTTTCCATGAATAAAAACGTGTCATAGAGCATGGACACAGCATTTCCCAGTTCCTCAAGGGGTTTCTAACAGTTACTGTTTCCTTTGGTAACATCAGAAAGTTGAACTATTGAACTTTATCACAAGGAACCTGATGAACTCCTTAGAGTTAGAATGGTTTGAAGAAATTAAAATATTTAAATCAGAAATCGAGTCATATTTTCTTTTAATTCATTGTGGAAATGTTTGTTCATTGTTTAATATTTAAATCCAAAAAGACATTGTCATTGAACTCTTAATTATTATAATTTATTTATTTTTTGCCAAATTTTTGAATTAATTTATTTATTTATTTTTTGCAGGCTCTAGTGTTTGGCAATGTTCTGGTATAGCAAGAATACCCATAAGTGTATTTTTTTGGAGTTGGAAAAGCTGCAGGAGATTGCCTACAAACCTTTCTCTGGCAACACAGTTTAATTAAAGGACTCTAACATAAGTCCCATCCTTCATAAAGACATGAACCAATCATAACTTGAGATTTTGGATTGGAAACCTTGGGGTGGCCAATGACATTTCAAGCGGGGCTTGTGCCCCCCCAGCTACCACTCTAGACATGCCCCTGTTTACAGCTCGATAATAAAGGCAAAATTTAAATTTCTACATATAAATCCATTTTTACCTTAGCTCATTACAAAAGGTTATTACTCAGGTGTGTTTAAGTGCCTGATTCTGATCAAACATCCAGAATAACTGTTATTCTCAATAGCAAAATTGACATAAGATAAGATAAGAACTGTATTGATCCCTGAAGAGAAATTCAGAGACAATTCAATTACATCAGGGATTACTTAATAACACAGGTTGTATTGAATCAATCCACGGCAAGAGGATATTGTGAGGCAAAAATGTTCATGTAAAAGCTTTGAGAAAAAGTAGACTGAATGAGGACAGAAATATCAAAACAAATGTTCACTTTTTTTTATATCACGCTCAGAGGAAACTAATACGAAGCCCAATGTCAGAGCTTGACTTATAGATTCACTGTCTTGGGGGTTTTAGGGACCAAGGTTTTAGCTATATGAGTAAATCCTCTTTTAAAAAATAACATTAATTTTTGAGGTTCCTGTGAGGAACTTTTGGTTTAGGGTTGCCGCAGTTCCAAGCATTTAAAATTACAGTAGCTATAAGAGTTATCAATCTTGTCACTGTTAGTCTTGTTTGCTATCATAAATATACATCAGTTTTAATTTCAGTCTGTTTCGTGAATCAAAAAACTCTAACAGGAGCTATGAATTCATATTTTGTGTCAATTACATTTAGTAATCCTGGTTGTTTTGGTGTTATTATTCTCTGAATTTGTACATTTAATTCATATTTCTCCTAAAACTTTCACTAGAGTTCAAAGTTAAACGATATTAATCTGCATTCGTGTATGAGCAGCGACGGTGAGAAACTTCTCGAGTACTGAATTTGCGGCCGTTAACCTCTCCTTTGGTACACCCGCTCATTCCTCAGTGTTTAAAATCCATACGTTCTTTGTTCCGCTTTTTAACTTCTGAGTTGAATTTGATGGAAATAAATTCTTGTGAAAACTACAAAACCCAGCAACTTTAGCTTGTTGTCTCTGAATATACGACCAACGCCAACCTGACACCGATTTGCTTGATTTCACGATCTCATGCTAATGTATCCGAAGCATTCGCGTAGCCGGACACATATAGACGAGACACCATTTAAACAACTGAAACTCAACGATAAAGTTAGAGCAGATAAAATATATTTTTGTACCACTGGAGTAAAATACCAGTATTTTTATGTTTCTAGAAAAAAACTAAACTAAAAACAGATTTTTGAAATATGACTTACCTTGACCTTAGGGTGTATCGTAACCGTAACGACGAACATACAGCACTAATGAACGAATATTCAACTATCTCATAGGCTACAGTTAAAAAATATACTATTTGGACATTAATAATAACAGGAAATTCATTTGTAATGAAAACAAGCGAAAAATTAAGAAAAGAAATTCTATAATTTCACAGTAGCCTATTTGTTGTATGATTCCTGAAAATACCTAGAACTGGATTGTCAGTAGCAGTCATGTCTCTTTCTACAATTATACAATTTCTGTTAGTCAATGCTTTTGCATGAGCCACCTACTTACAAGGAAGACAAAAGCAAAGCCTTTGGATAGGACTAGGTGCTCCTAAAAGAGCTGTAATTTTAGCTCCTTCTTTAAGATAGAAATTGACTCTGCAGAGGAAAAGTGTTGCATAATTTATTTTACCAAAGTCACCTGAGGACCCAAAGATAATGTCCATCCACTACTGGTTTTAGGCTTTGTGCTTTTTTGTCCTCTTTGAATCATTCCATGGTATTGTGTACTGTAGATAACGAAACCCTCAAGTTCTTCAAAGTTTCATAATGAATATTACTTGAGGTGTTGTAAGTATTTACTCACGCGGACTCTCACAGAGTGGTAAACTTCAGCCCATCCCTTCTCAAAGAGATTCTGCATTTCTGGAATGCCTTTTTATACACCCCGGCATGTTACTCACCTGTTATGAACTTTTGGTCCAAACTTTTTGGGGATCAATCAATTTGTCAGAGTTATTTTGAGGATTACTAACAAACAGATTTAAATGACACAACCAGGATGCCGAACACTTTCCCTTCACTTTGAATTTAATTCTTTTTGCCAAAATTTCATAACTGTGGACTGAGAGGGTTTACATGACGCCATAACTCAAAAACCATTGAAACAGATATTGCTGAGTTATTATAAACACCAGAATGTGCCAAACTGAAAGGCTTAAACAGACGAGTTGTTTGCTTCATTCATTATTTTTTGACTGTACTGCACGTCAGCTATCTGAATCATCATATTCAAATTCATAACATGCCAAGTAAATATTATAAAGTCACACCTAAATGTTACACAACGCCCCTCCTTTGTTTGCATCTACGTCAGACACAGAAACACTGATAAATTTTTCCTTTGGGCAAAGTACTAAAAGTGTTCTCTGAAGTTTAACCAGTGGCGGTGATGCCGAGAGCTTCCTGGTGGGCATTTCCATCAGTGGTGATGTTTCTGACCAAGAAGACGGCAACGTGGGACAGGCTGGGGGAGCGGGATAATTTTCAGAGGGGTTTAAATGTTTACTGGGTCATCTGGGTTTCCATAGCCTGGGCGGCCCACTCTGGAGCTGCCTGACGGATCTTTTCTAACAGGTTGTTGACTTGGAAACACAGAGACTGGATCTGTTTGTCCCAAGTAGGAAGAGGTTCACGAGCTGCCACAGAAAAAAAATATATTAGAGGCCAAGAGATGAAGCAGATTATGATTTTATGATATAAATAAATACACAATATATTTACATGTTCAAACTCAGAGCGGGACTTTTAATGGCTGCAATACCTTCACTGTCAAAACGCTTCCTCTTTCCATGGGAAAATAAATGACCCTCTGTTCTATTTGGGTCATTTTTTGTTTGTTTGTACTGCCCTCTACTGGCCACAAATGGTTAGATGACTGACTTATCGTCACAATATAGCAAATGCAAAATGTTTGGATGAAAAATTTCAGAACTTTGACAAAAAATAAACAGTTCTGTAAATAAAATAAGAGCACGGAAGAGGGTTTCATAGTACATCTAAAGTTAAAAGGTCAATATGTTATGATGGTACTTGGGTCAGATTCAGGAACAGCTAAACGAAAATAAAAAAGCGAGATGTTGCATTTGTGTTGGATTTGAATAAAATTTGAATTGTACCGTTAATCTACAAAACAGCTCAAAATTTGCCTAAATGAAGCTAAAACCACATCAGCTGACGTAACTCACTCTCAAAGTGAACAATGCCGTCTATCTGGTCAATAAAGCCGTTCATACGACCCTCTGTGATCATCTGGGAAGCTATTTTCTCAGCCTGGGGACAAAAAATGGAGGCAGACATGTCACAGATATCACAGGGAAATAAAAAAGTTACACTAATGACACTAGGAAAAGAAAATGTGCTCTAGGGTCAAACAAACTTAATCAGATTCAATTTATATCCAAACAAGTGACATAAATACAAACAGGAACAAGACTCCACAGGAGCATTCAGACATCAACCTGTCAGTGATGACATGTGAACCAGAGAAATATCACAGGTTCAATGTCCGTGCTGTGAGGATCCAGGTTATTGAAATAGTTAAAAAATAAAACTTGTTTTTATTTATATTTATCACAGAGTGTCTATGACTTCACTCAGCTGTTGAAACCACAGGATTTAAAATACAGTGTGTAGAAATAGAAAACCAGCTCTGTATGAACAAGCAAGCAAGTTTCACGATTTACAGCTTATGTTTTTTTAGGTTGATCCTGAGCTCAATGGGCACAATTTAAAGCTCTTGTGTGGGACTTTCGGTTTGTGTTGACTTTGGCGCCCCTCCCAGACAAAGTGTTAACCATACTATTAATGATTTTGTCATTAATGAATTGTGGGAGGGGTTCTAATTGACCAAAGAAAATCTCCTCTTTGAAGAACAAAATTTGTCACTTTTCATGAGTATTTGCTGTGGGAGAGCTAACAGTTACAGGCATTAGAAATACACCATAGAAAATAACAGTTTTGTTATTATTGGAGTTATTGCTTTGCTACATCAGAGACACTTTTGTTCATTTCAGTGTGTTTGCAGCATCGTTGTATTTACTATTCTATTTTGTACATAAAAACATAAATCATAAACAATCTGGAAAAAGTCTCACCTTGGCTGGAGGGATTTCCAAAAGTGCTCCTAGTTCTTCAAAAGTGATGTTGTTGTAGAGTTTGCTCGCTGACAGGAGGTTGTGTTCAATCACAGCTCTGTCGAGGATGCTGGACCCTGAAAAACAACAACAAAGAACATCCAACTTTAGTCACACTCACACACATTCTGCAGATTTTGTGTGATTTATACACAGACAAGCAGACTGGAAACTCAAAATTATGTTTAGTGCAAAATGATCTGAGCTGACCGTCTGCTGTGGTGGCTTTCTGATGAGGCATCAACATGGCCGCAAACTCCTGCAGCTGGTTTCCTCTGATGATCCGGTCCAGGTACATCTTCTCCAGAATACCGTAAGCAGCCAGCTGCTGACAGCGCTCATCTTTAAAGAGAGTCGCCAACATACGGGAACGCTGCTGACCTACAATATATGACGATAATTATTTAAGTTACTATCAGAGTGGGATGATCTACTTACATGTTAATCCTGGTCACAAATCACAAGGAAAACTTTCCAGCAATTACTTTTAAACAGCTGAAATGCCTTTATTTTAATCAATCAAATCTTATTTATATAGCGCCATTTCACAACAGTCGTCATCCCAAGATGCTTTCCAAAGAAAAAGAGCAGGTCTAGACCACGCTCGTTGTTTGATGAATTATAAATACCCAACCTTAAGATGGAGAAGATTTAACCCATCTCATTTAACATGAGTAACAGTGGCAAGGAAAAACTTCCTTTTAACGGGCAGAAACCTTGGGAAAGATCAGACTCATGCTAGACAGCCACCAAGCCGCTGCTGGGTTGGGGAGAAATACAGAGAGATAGGGAGGGAGATTTCAGGCCCTCTATGAAAATGATAGCTCGCTCTGGGTTTACTGTAGAGCCTGTGGGATGGAGGTATATTTGGTTGTGGCGCTCCTAAATTTTCACTGTAGTGCTTTTGAGTTTCTAACGTTAGGAGGCCTTTTTTTAAAACCGACAAAGCTAACATGTTTCAGTATTTCATGTAGTAGTCTTAGTTTTTACCTGCAGAGGCGAGTATGGTGCAGTTTAAAGCATGTTTCAAAGCCTCCAGACGTTCAGTCTCATGGACAATTGACTTATAGGACAGCTCGTTGTATCTTTGCGCAGCTTCGATAAACTTCCTCCTGAAATCTAAGACTCTGGCGTAGCACACCTGAGAAAGAAAACAGCAAGAAATACTGAAAAAGGGATATATAAACATACGGACAAACAGTTTGTACTTAAGAAACTCAAAAGTTATTGGTAAAACCTGAAATGATTTTGGTTCATGTACCTTATAGTGTATCTGCAGCTGTTCATTGGAGGACTCATTCTGAAGCAATGATGCTCTGTTGATGTAGGCTTCTGCCTGCACTGGATCATCATCCTCTAAATAGAGCCGTGCAATTTTCAGGTACGTATCCAACTTATAGTCAACATTGTATTGCCTACAAGAGGAAGTAAAATGTATTCATATATGTGGAAATATTTACCACAAACATTAAAGGTCAGGGAATGACTCTGTGAGCAGCTCACTTACTTCTGTCCTGTTTCCAAAGGAATACCGACTAAAACTTGGGCAGCATTTCTCCAGTCTCCCTCTTTTTCATAAATAGTTGCTAAGTGCTGTCTGATTGAGGCTACCTGAGAACACATGATAACATATTAGTCCTTCTTGCAGAAGACCCTGCAGATGAATCAGAAACATCTACCAAATGCAGACATTAGAAAACTGTGAGGGTATTTACTTGTTCCTCAAAGGAGATGACCCTCGGCTGAATCTTTTCCAAGGTGAAGTGGTACACCGCTTTAGCTGTGGCATCAGGCAGGTTGGGCAGGTGTGTGCAAAAGTCAGTGAGCAGTTGTCTCGAGATGACAAGACTGACATTTTCATTGACCACTGAAACAGACAGAACAGTTATTGATGATGGGATAACCAGCTGACATGCAGATGTACTCAGACCATGTAAAAAATATGGATCAACAGGTAAGACATACTTGCTTCTACGAAAGCCTTCAAGGATTCCAGTTGGTCTGCATCTGTAAACTGTATGGCCTTGTCCAAAATTTGTCGATATCTGACGAACATTGTACAGGTTAGAAAACACACAGCTTTTTTAAATGGCTGATTCATAAACTTTGTCCAAAAAGAAAACTGTAAAGCATATAAAGCCCTGTGACATGCAGATGTTGCCCCTCCTCCCTTGTTTTTATCAACTCTGTCCTCCTTTGGAATTTGACAGCTGTGTGTGAATGTTTTATGGATACTGCTGTATCCACTGGAGTGTGTGCATGGATCAGCCATTACATATAACCCCCTGTCTGATATTGTGTGGCCCCTTTTGTCTAGTCAGGGGTGTTTTGGCCCTGACCTAAGGAGACATGCACTTTGAAGGACCTCCAAAGATACGCAGTAGTATCCAGCACCAAGCTGTTAGCAGCAGATCTTGAAGGTTGTGAGGTGGGGCCTCTGTTGTTTGGACTAGGTTGCCCATCCTACGGACCCTCAATTGGACTAAGTGGGTAATTTGGAGACCACAACACCTTGTCGTAGTTCTACTTTCTACTGCTGCTCTTGATGCTCACGTGTCCAATGTAAACCCTGTCAGTGGTGGACAGGGGGACCAATCTGCAGCTAAACATCCCTGTATACAACAAGCTGTGAGCGACTGTGTGTTTGACATCTTTCTGTCAAAACAAGCATGAACAATTTCAGCAATTCAAGCTCCTGCCGCTTCTGGATCAGGCCATGAGCCCGCAAATATCAGCCCCAACAATCGTCCAACCAGCAGACGCCTCTCCTCATTGGCATTGGTCACAAGTGGCCTTGTCTCTGGTTGACCTGTTTATCTCTCTTGGAGACATTAAAAGGATATTCCAGCATAAAATTAATTTAGGGTAACACTGAGTTAGACACCCCCTTGGGAGATAAATGTCGCCGACCGCTTGCTCCTCTAGTTATACTAACTTTAGTAACGACCGCACGATAGCAATACACAGCGGTCTGAGGAGCCATAAACAAATCTCAACCAAAGCACCACTCTATAGCCACAAATAATGCTCAGAACAGCACCTCACTTCATCAACAGTACAAATAGGGTCCCAGCCATAATACTAGCCACCAAACATCTTTTGAACTTTGACTAATTACTGTAGCGAAGAGACTAAACACAACTCACCTACTCTCATCCAGCAGCCGCTTGTTTGTAGCCAGACCTCTGCCCAGTCCATTATGGACTACAGCGGGGTGACGCAGCTCAAGGAAGAACATTTATGATCGTTTATTCATGGAAATACAATCAGACAGAGACACTAAGGCAGAAGAACTACCGCGTCTGCAGTGCAAAATGATTCATATGGTGATTATTACTTCAAAAAAATTATATAGTAATGATCATAAATGTTCTTCCTTGAGCTGTGTCACCCCGCTGTAGTCTGTAATGGACTGGCCCGAGGTTTCGCCACAAACAAGCAGCTGCTGGAAGAGAGTAGGTAAGTTGTGTTTAGTCTCTTTGCTAAAGCAATTAGGCAAAGCTAAAAAGATGTTTGGTGGCCAGTCCCACCTGCAGTTTTGGAGCTGTTGGACCTGTCATGTTGTTAGTCCTGGTCCTTATGCTCATCTAGATTTTTCTGCTGCAAGCACATCACTTCGATGACATATTATTTATATGCAGTATTCCTCTTTAGTGACTGAGCTTTACATAAGATGCATCAGCTGTTTAATTTGGTCTCCCTGCAGATCATGTCTGCTCCATGGCTGCTACATGCTAACCATTATACTAAGACATGAAAGTAAAACACATGCGAGCCTCAACACGTTCATATCGCTTATATTTGCACTTGAAATAACATTCTGTGCATTAAGGTTCACCTGCACACGCCAGACTTTGATATAAACACATAACGTGGACTGAGCTAAATGTATGGCTAACATAGCTAAGTAGCTAACTCTCGTTAGCTTAGCTTTCTATCTCGCTGCTAACTCTCCCGTTAACTGTCTGAATCTGGAAAAGTAGACTGAAACTAGAAGAGTGTTTTGTATGTTAAAGGGTCATTGTTACATACTTGGCAGCGAGATCTTTGTGAGATCCACTGGAGTTCATCAGCTGAGCCAGCTCCTGCCGCACTTCGGTCGCCATTGTTGCTGCTCCAAGTGTCAACAACAGCGGCTTCCGCTGCCAAGAGGGGCGCGCGCCGCTCCATCGGTCCTCCGAGTGACTTCTCCTTCAATGGAGTTTATTGGCGGTTTGCAAACCTACTTGAAGGCGCATTACCGCCACCTACTGGACAAGAGTGTGGGACAGTAAATTGGCAGACAAAATAAATAAATAAAAAACCTAAATGAGGAATTTAGATCCTCTCCATTAACCCTGTATCTTTCAGATATGCCATTAAATGCGTGAGCATAACTCCTGACTCTGCTCCTCGCAGGTTCCCCATGTTAAGTGCCATCTTAGCTTCTTCTTCTGCTGCTGCCAGTGTCCTTCTTTCCTCCTCATATCCTCCACAATCCAACAACACATGCTGGACAGTTTCATCCTGCCTACATTGATCATATTTGCCATCAGGGTGTTATCCTATCTTATATAGTGTATTGTTCAGTCCTGTGTGCCCTATCCTAAGTCGTGTGATGGCTGCTTCTTCCCTCCAGCTCCTGCCCCTCCTTCTTCCCAACCCAATCTTTTCCTGTATATTGTAAAGGTGTCTTCCCGTGTCTTGGATGTCCCAGTACTCTTGCCACACTTTCTCCACATGTTTCTTGGTTATTGATTTACCCTCTGCCTTACATAATGGAATTTCTGTATCTACAGTGTGTGATTTAAGTGTTTGTTTGGCCAGAAAATCAACTCCTTCATTTCCTTTTTATTCCTACATGGACAGGAACCCAATTGAAGCAAACTGTCAAACCCCTCTTGTGCATTCTGTGAAGTAGATTATGTATTTTATATATGAGTTCTTGCCTATATGACTTCATGGTTTTGATACTTGTAAGAGCTGCCCAACTGTCTGATGCAATTAGTGTATTGTTATGATTGTTTCCTTCTAAATGATAGCTACAAGCTCAACTGTATGTACTGATAAATGGTCTGTGGTTCTTTTCTTGAGATGTATTTTGTAGTGTGGAATGCAAACAGCAGCTCCTGTTCTTCCAGTATCAGAGTCTTTTGACCCATCAGGGAAAATCAACGTTTTGTCTGAAAAATGTTGTTCCAGATGACTTTCAGCTACCCTTTCCGCAGAGACCTGCTTATTCCTTTTCTTCAATTGTTGCTGTATTTCAAACTTTACTGACGGTTCAATGAATAACCAGGGAGGAGTACATGAATATGGGACTGTCGAACTGAATTGTACATGACCTAAACCTGCTTGTACTGTTTTTATGTTTCCTATCCACCGCAAACTCATAATATTAGATTCATTATGTTCCCAACAGTCCTCCAGGATTGGTCCACTGAGTGACTTCTTCTTTTTCTTCAATCGACTGGTAGCAGACAGCATTCAGGCTCACAGCCTCCACTCAGTATGTTGGCGTGTGGGCTAAATAACTAATACACTACCACTACTACAGCTACTACAACTAGTCCTGGTTTTCTAATTTCCCTTTCAAGTGTTTTTTGTTTTCCAGTATGTATCTGGCAACGTAAAATAACATTTCTACAATGTGTACTTAAAGATAACATACTTTAATTTATATATACACTACAGGACAAAAGTTTGGAAGCAAGATTAGATTTGTACAAAAAAAAGACCAGTTTCATATATATAATTTGCAACACAATAAACATGACTATTGTGTAAAGACTAACTTATCAGAAGACATTTTGACTATAATTATTAGGTATTTGAGTTATTGATGCTTAGACTTTGCTTTCTTTAAAGTAACCTCCTCTGGCTTTAACAACAGCTTGGCATATACCAGGCATTCGTTCCACAAGTTTTTCAAGGTATGTTCTAGTGATTGCATTTCAAGCTGTCTTAAGTTCATTAAAAGGAGACTGCTGATTTGTGGAACGCGTTTTTCTGACCGATTGATCCAATTCATCCCGCACAAGCTCAATTGGAGAGAGGTCTGGCGACTGAGGGGGCCAAACCATCTTTTGAAGAACACCTTCCTCTTCTTTTTTGTCTAGGTAAACCTGACAGAGCTTGGCAGAGTGCTTAGGATCATTGTCCTGCTGCAAAACAAACTTATGAGCCACAAGTCTGAGTCCAGATGGAAAAGCATGGTGCTGGAGGACGGAGTGGTACTGTTCCTTCTTCATGATACCCTTTACTTCAAACAAATCTACTACTCCATCACCTGAAAAATATCCCCATACCATGGAACTACCACCTCCATGCTGAATTGTGGGTGTAACACATGGTGCTTTCAGAAGTTCACCAGATTGTCTGTGGACGTAGACTCTGTGTTTTGAACCAAACACTGCAAACTTGTTTCTAGTCATCATAAGTCAAATTTTTGTGAGCTTTTGCCCACTCATATCTCTTTTTCTTGTTCTGTGGATGAAGTAGTGTTTTTTTGCAGATACACAACCCTTCAGACCAGCCTTTCTCAAACGTCATTTCACAGTTGTCAGAGATATGGGTTTCGACCTTGTCATATTGACTTCCTCCCTTATTTTTGGTGCTGTCTTTTCGCCGATCTCTCTTACTGATGACAATGCTATGTTTATCCTCTGCTTTTTTAGTAACTCTCTTTCGTCCAGGTCTTTTTCTATCATCACAACATCCAGGTTCCTCTAGTCTCTTCAGAGTGTAGTGGACTCCTTTGTTAAACACCTTTAGGCATTTTGCAATTTCTCTTTCTGTGTATCCTTCTTTCCTTAATGTACAAATATGTACTTTTGTTTCTTTACTCAGTTGCTTCTTTCTAGCCATTTTTGCGGTAGTTTGAACGCAGTTGAGATTTATTAGGATTTTTGTATGCAGACTCTCAAAAGCCAAAAAGATTAAGTGAATAATCCAACTGTAAGCATTGTGAACAAAAACTTTTTTTTTCTTATGACTATTTTTGTACATTTAATTCGTTCTCTGTTTTCTTTTTTTGTATCTATTGCACTGAAAACGGAGAAGCTCTGCAATCTCGTACCTTCTGTATAATGACAACAAAGGGCATTCTGATTCTGATTCACTTTCAGTGCTGTATATTTTTATTAATTTTTTTGCTTGATTCTTTTTCTTTTAACCAAAAATATTTTTTTATTTTGTACTGATATTTCTATCGGCATGACTTTGTTATAGTATTGTATTTGTAACTGTTTTGTACTTTCCTGGGGGTTTCCTTTCTTTTTCTTATCTCGAAACAAAAGCCTTCCCTTGGCAGGTTTTAAACATAAGTTAATTGTTTAAGCGTCAGTGTTACTGTATGTTCATGTTAAACAAACAGACAAATAAATAAATGATCAATCAGTCAATCAGTCAGTCAATCAATCAATCAAGTTTTTAAGTTTTCACTCAATAAAATACTCCAAGTATTAATGAATTCATAGCACTAAGTCGTACTATGTATGGGGGGCTTTTGAACAACCTTGTTTTCTGATCATGTCAAAGTGTTTTGAATCAGAATCAGAATGCTCTTTATTGTCATTATACAGAAGGTACAACGAGATTAGAGAGCTTCTCCATTTTTAGTGCAAAAAAGGAAAACAGAGACCGAATTACAAATACAAAACATACAACATAAAATGCGACCATGAGGACCAAAATAAAAACATAAAATAGGTAAGAAAAAGAAATGTAATAAAAAAGGGGGGTAGAAAGCAGGAACCAGGATAGTAAATATAAACGAGGATATTAATAATGATAATAAATAAAAGTAATAATAATACTAGGTACAGACTATATTTTGCCATTAAAATGAACAATAAACCTCAACAAAACTGCACTTTCACCGTTGAAAAACTTTATTTTCTTTATACTTGGATGAAAACAATGAAACTGCTGTCAGGGATGTACTGCGGCTTTAAGAAACACGTAGCAGTGACGTAGCTCGCGGAGGGCGTGGTCGACTTGTGAAATGTCAGGGAGGAATGGCGCTCGGCGCGGTATTTTGAACAATCGCCTTTTCCTTTCCTCGTATTATCTGGAAACGTAAGCGGGCGTGAAAACAACAGGTAAGAACGACTTTGTGTTAGCTGACTCTAAGATTCGACACCGTTTATTTGGAAGGAAGCTTTACAGTAACAAAATATGATCAATGTGGAGGTATAATGTTGTGCTAGCTAGCCAGGGTTAGCGAGCTCAGCAAGTTTGCTAGTACAGTTGTCCTGCCCGCTGGGCTGGTTTAGGAGCCTGAGGATGAGGATGATGATGACAACAATGGACATAGTAAGATGAGGATGATGAGCTCAGAGGTCAGGATACTCACTGGGTCTGGCAGTAGGGGTTTATAGTTAAATGTGGATTAAGACGAAAGTTAAACGTGCACTTATAGAGAAAAATAAACGGTAAAAACACGTTAAAATCGGGATTTTACATGCATGTTGGCTGGTCTGGAAAAGACGCCAGGGTAACATCATTAGGCCGAGCTAACTTGTCTGGTAGCGTAAAACACAGGCTAATACTGCGTTTGTGATGATCGGCGTTATCATGTCGCCTCATTTTGTTCCATTTCTTTACTGGAATCGTCAAATTTAGAACAATAAACACGCAGTATAAGTAAGATGGAGAGATCGAACTAAGTTCAAGCAAGTCGTTGTGTCAACAAATTAACAATTAAGTCCTTGAAGATGTCAAAATAGGGGACCTAAAATACAAATAAAGCGTTTATTAATCGATTGTACGCTTGTACCAACGTATACTTTGGAGCACTGCATGACATAAGTCAGAATCAGAAATACTTAAATAATCCCCAGGGACGAAATTGCTTTTGTCACGGTAACTCCAGTTCAAATAAAGTAGAAAGAGAAGATAAATGATAGATAAAATAAGTTAAAAAAAAGAGATAAACGGCTAAAGTAAGTGAAAATAAAAAGATAATACACAAGTATGTACACTATATACAACTCTAAATAGTTAAATAGTGAAATAGTATGCATGTACTATTACTATTACAATTTTTACCTGTAAAGTCAAATTTTCAACCAAGTTAACTGAAGGATAACCTTTTTTTCTGACTTTACCTGTAAGTACATGAAGAGTGAGCTGTAGTATTTACTTAGAAATATTGTTTTCTGATTATTCCCACACTACAGGGGCGCAGGATACATATATATATATATATTTATATATTTATATACATATGCTGCTAGGTTTATGAAACGAGGGATGGGTAACAGAAAGGTGGTTAACAGAGAGAGTAAGCCAGAAATGATAAAGAAATGCATAAAATAAATTAAATCTATTTCAAAATTATCTCTATGAGATACAGCATGTTTGATTTGTATGCACAATTGCTATAACTAGATGCTAAATCTTTATTTTTGTGTCATTGAATCAGTCCATTATTCTGACAATATGTGCACTTAAAGGGATGTTCCAGCGTAAAATTAGATTAGGGTCAAACACTCTGTAACACTGAGTTAGACACCCCCTCAAGAGATAAATGTCGCAGACCGCTTGCTTTTCTAGTTATACCAACTTTAGTAATGACTGCATGATAGCAATACACAATGGTCTGAGGAGCCACACACAAACCTCAACCAAAACGCCACTCTATAGCTACAAATAATGCTCAGAACAGCACCTAACTTCATCAACAGTACATATAGGGTCCCAGATATAGCACTAGCCACCAAACATCTTTTTAACTTTGACTAATTTCTTTAGCAAAGAGACTAAACACAACTTGCCTACTCTCTTCCAGCAGCCTCTTGTGTGTGGTTCCATAGACCGCTGTGTATTGCTATTGTGTGGTCGTTACTTAAGTTGGTATAACTAGAGAAGCAAGCAGTTGGCAACATTCATCTCTCGAGGGTGTGTCTAACTCAGTGTTCTGGTGTGTTTGACCCTAAATTAATTTTACGTCGGAATATCCCTTTAATCTTGTGGTCTAAAAACCGCCACGAGTCAAATCAGTGAGACCTCCCTTACAAACAAAAGGATTTTTACATCAGTGGTTTTTAACCCTAACCCATGGCCCCAAAACAATGTTACCAGACATGTATGACCTTCGCTGTTAAAAATCATTCACAGCTATCAGAATGCTCTGATGATCTGACCCAGAACCAGACATGAGGACAACACAGAAAAACACAACATGAACTGTAACATTGTTTATTGTAATGTTTGAACGGCAGAATACAGGAGATCTTTGTTTTGACTGTAATAGTGATGGGACTGTTTAAAAAAAAACATACACAGGTGAGGTGGTTTCATATCAGCTTTAAGTCCAGGAAACTGGATTTAGACAATCTTTTTGCACTTCATAGTAATCCTTGTGCTTTCGTTAGTTAACCTATTATCTTAAATGCTTTTGTTTGTGTCTCATTATCATCAACATGTTCCAAAAAAGGTCTCGTTTTCATTTTTACTGACGATGGAGCCTTCTGGTTCCAGGTCAAGAAAATAAAAAGGGCATGCACCAAACTATGTGCAGAAATTGTAAATCCATACACATGTTTCATAATTTGTGAGTACAGATGTGTAAACCCCTAATATAGACTTCATTATGCAGTTAAAAAAACATGGAAATCTCTGAGACAAACACACCATTACATCATCAAACTTTAATTATGGATAAATTTGACTTTGCAGTTTTGATTCATGATCAATTCCATTCCTTGTTACTTGTAATCTGCGACATGCTTACAAAACAGTGGATGCAGATAAAAAATCCAAGTGTACAGTTTGCAAAAGATCTCTGAGCGCTGACTATAAGTCCAGTACCGAACCACAAGTTACAGATCTGTGTGCATGGTTTGCTCAAACTTTACATTTTTATCAATATCATGAGCTGGCACATGGGAGGTTATGTCCACGACCCCCACATCTGGTCTGGTGAACCTAAGTGGGGTCCTGACCCCTGCTTTGCTTACACAAACAGAAAATCAATACTTATTGACAATATGAGCTCCCTACACTACAACTCATGCACAAAACTATATGCTTTATATACTGCATAGATAGGATAACTTTCTGTATATAAACAGTATGTACCCTGTATGCTCACAGTATATTTGCATATAGCTAATAATGTAGTAAATAGTTAATAAACACACATTGCATACTGTAAATATACAATATGGTTGGACTTAGTATACACACACAGTGTAGCTTACTCTTTACAGCTTATACCATACATATATAAATAGTTTACCTCTATTGAGTAAAAAGGAAAGTTAAAAGTTAATATTCACATATACACACAGTACAGACTATACATTACTTACAGTATATCCTCATAAATTTGATGAAGGATTTGATTAAACTGACAAAATTGATAAAGCTTATAGCATACATATTTACACAGTTTACCAATATTAAGTTAAAAGTAAAGGTAAAAGTTAATATTTACATATACAAACAGAATAGACTATACATTACTTACAGTATATCTTTACAAATGTGATAAAGGATTTGATCAAACTGATAAACTCCTAATGAATTGGTACAGTAAAATGTTAAAATTAAATAAACATTAATAAAACAGAGAGAATAATACAATTAATAACATTTTAGAGCAAATGTGTAACAGAAAAAGATGATTAAAGGTAAATATACGGAGAAACCACAATGAAAGAGAGATTTTGACCAAAATTAGACTATATTAAAGTATATTTAAGGGGCTTCTGTGTGTCCTAGACATCAAACTTTACTCTCTTACATTTTTACTTTTGCTGTTTTCGCGATAGAGTCGTGTTAGCAGAACGGTTTCTGTCTAAATTCTGCGTTTTTGTGGTTGTAGTCGTTCACGGTTTCTTCTGTTAATCAGTGTGTTTAAATAAAGTTCGAGGAGAAAAAAATGACAGGAGGAATTACTGAAAGCTAGCATTGTTTACGTTGTCAGAGTGAGCTAAAAGAGTTTGTTTCTCGCTTGTCGCACACACCAACCATCAGATATCACTTTCAGACTGGTTTAATGTGCACTTCTGTGCTGGGAATTATTGCCGGTAAGTGTGTCAGCTTTATGTTGATCACATTAAATCCAAACCCTCATTCTTTGTCGCTACGTGTTAGCCGGGAGGCTAACAGAGTTGATGACGAGGTAAAAATGGCGGATCTTTCGAAATCCAACCCCGGCCTGAAATAGAAACGTAGCCAGCGAGTAGCCTGTCGCCTTTTTCACCCTCACAACCTCAGCCACGACGACTTAAGTGCAGGTTTCACTTGAATTAGTCTGTTTGTTGGTTTATTCAGGGGACGTGGGAACAACACAGCAGTCTGTCTGTGTGTGTGTGTGTGTGTGTATGTTGTGGGAAGAGTTCATATGTGTGTTTCTGTTTCGGTGGATTAATGTTAAGCAGCAGGACAAAGACACCCCTGAAATGATCGGTGAGGCCTCACGTGACTCTCAGTTCACCTTTCTAGTTGTTTAAAGCTCACCTGATCCCCTGAAAACTGACTTAAACTATGATGTCAATGAAGAGCTGGCTAACTCCTCAGCTTTAACTGCATGGTTTGTTTATTCTGTAGGCATGTTGAGTTATTGTTCTGCAATAAAGTGGAGCAATAAAGCAGGTTATTCAGCCTTATGTGGCAGAGAGGCTTCCTCAAATTGAGTGTTAAAGTGTGATAAGACTACATACAGAAGTAATAACATAAGCCACATTGTGAGAAGAGGTTAGGAATCTTTAAATTAACCAGCTGTATTCATAAAGCACCTTTAACTTTCTTCCTCTGTAGGAGGAAGCACTCTACAGGCTCAAAATAAATTAAATGCAAATTTAGAGGAGATACGGACAAGTTTTCTCCAAAATAGCAAAGTTATGTGCTGTAGTTTGCAGACATGCAAGGATAGCTGGATTCAGAGCTTTATTTCCTTCTGCCACGCGGCAGAGCGCGCACAATGCAAAAGGTTACAAACCTGGAGCAGAGCAAGGAGCCCATGGCGCCTGTACAGCCGTCCATTCAGTCCGCTTTCTCTAGTGCAACGCCTTACGACAAAACGTCAAAGAGACACAAAGAAGTCATAGATGCAGTAGCTTACTGTATTGCAAAGACATGCTACCAATAAGCACTGTTAAATTTCATTTTTTATTTTGTGATATATATCGATATCGACTGATATGAAAAAAATATATTGTGATTAACTTTTTCCCATACCACTCAGCCCTAATTGTAGTGCCACTACTCTATCATATGCACTTCTTTTTTATAATATAGTTAAAGCAAAACAGACTGAAATGAACAAATGAACCATCTCTCTGATGGTTTCATTCAGGGTAGGTAAACTAAAGAACAGCCTAACATGCTTTTCCCACAAGTTTTTAAGGTAAGTGATTCGAGTAAGAGTATTCTCTTATTGCAAACGCTCATTTCAATCAAAGTTCTCAATGTGTCTTTTATGTCATTTTATTAATTATCTCTGTTCTTAGTCTTTTTCTTTATTCCCGTCATAGAGGTTTTTTTTAACTTCTTTTATCCCTTTTACACGGTAAAGAGCTCTGACTTATCTGTTCATTTCATATTATTTTCTTGTTTTAGTCCATCAGGTTTTAGTCTTTCTTTTTATCTTTTTTATCTTTATCTCCAGTGTTTCCCAAAGGTAGCTCTTTCCTCACGCAATATCTTGGTGTCAGGCCATGTCTCTTTAACAGTATATCTTAAATTGTCACTCTGCGCGCGTGTGTGTGTGCGTGTGTGTGTGTGTGTGTGTGTGTGTTCGTGTTCGTGTGTGTGTGTGTGTGTGTGTGTGTGTGTAGGTGAGTAAGGGTGGGTGTGTGTCTTTGTGTGTGTGTGAGTGGGAGGGTCAGGTTTTATTGTCATTAAATTGTTGTTTTTAGCCTCTGTGCGGCACTTTTAACTACATTTTTTGTCTGAAAAGTGTCCCACAAATGAAGTTGAATTTGAATTTAGGGTGAACAAAGACAGAAACTGCTTGTGTTTTAAACTGTTGGTAAAAACTCAGCATGTGTTGTTATTTTCTAGTGAGCTGAGACATTGCATCATGGATGTGGTGTCGCCAGAGCTCAACAGCCTCCTTCCTGATGAAATCATGGACACTGAGGCCATCGAGGAGATCCCTCAGTCCCAACCCGACGGCACCACGGCCAAACCAGAGTCCAGTGGTGACACGTCAGTCCCGATGGAGACGGATACACCTGCGGCATCAGAAAACCTGAGCCTGTCTTCAGATCCCTCTTCAACAGATCACACACAGGCTTTGACCACGTCCATCAGCACAGACTCTACTTTCAGCATCAGCTCTGGCAGTCAGCTTGCTGTCTCCATATCCAGCACATCTTCACCCCTCCTCACCCTCAAACCAGTCATGGCCACGTCCACAGCCACCACAAAAACTACAGACAGTGTCACGGGGACCAGTGTGACCACAAGTGGGTTACAGAAGCTCACGGCTCCGTTTACCATCTCTGCCGCAAACCACCAGATCATCCTCAACAAGGTGGCATCAGCTCAGGCCTCAGAGGCAGCGAAAGCTGCAGGAACGCAGCCTCAGATCATCAAGCAGGAGGGACAGAAACTTTTGGTGACAGCGATAGGAAAGTCGGGGCAGCCTATTGTGCTGCAGTTACCGCACACAGGTAGCAAACCGGGCGTCTCACAGGCTGCAGGTGACGCCAAATCTGCTGCTCCGCAGTTTAAAGTGGTGACCATTGGCGGGAGGTCGGAGCTGAAGCCGGTGGTGGGCGGGGGAGGAAACCAGGTGACAACGTTACAGGCCCAGCAGCTCAAGACTGTGCAGGTAATATCAGCCTTTATATTGTTATGTTTTATTAATTCAACAAAAGACAAAGAAACAAACCAAACCCTCTGCAGAATCAAACAGAAATGTTTTAGTTCATTTAAACTTTGGCAGAGGAAACTCAGTCAGCACACTGTGAACAAACTTTCCTCTGGAATAACAGAGGGCTTTGTTTGACTTGGTTTCTTTGTTTTTCCTGTGTAGATATGTGTTTAATAATCCATCCAACAGGTCAATATTACATAAGGAAGTGATGGTTTTGGAGGGGCGATAATAAACCTGATAAATGATCCAAAAGTTACTGTGAGAGTTACTGTTCACAAGAACAGGGTGGAGTTAGTGAGATATGACTGACCGTAGTGCTGGGCGATGGGACGATAGATATCGTGGGCACGATAGAAAATGTCTATCGTGCCATTTTTATTTTTATCGTTTCGGGCGAAAGGCTGTATTTTATCCATAGGGCTTGTGCCATCAGATGATTCATAGTAACAACAACAATAATTGCACATTCAGTAAATGTATTTGGTGTCGAACGGGAAAGAAAACAATATTTTCTTGCAAAGAAAAGGATGCGTTGACATGTAGGCTCGCATTTCTCTTTCGATTTTGCGACATGACGCCGCTTTACGTGCCCTCTTCGTGTCCAGCGTCTCCCGCCGTTGCGGGTTACCTGGGTTACACACGTGAGGGGATCATTGTAAGCAGTGCTTAATTTGTGCCGGAGCAAGTCGGAGCGCGATCCGGGACCTCTTTTGATCGGATCCGGGACCTATTTCAGCCGCTCCGGCACCTGTTTCATCTGCTCCGGGACCTTCCCTGTGGAGGATGACATTTTTCGGGAATTCCTGTGGGTCACGTGATTCCCGCGGGAATCCCACGGGATGGGAGTCATTTTTTAATTAATCCCTTGATCGGGACGGGACGGGAAAAAAAGCAACGGGAGTGGGCAGGAGCGGGGACAACATTAAAAGATGATCATTTTCAGCCGTGTTTAACAACCAGATGAACAGGTGCATCCATTTTTGTAGTCATCTCTCAGTGACAGCCAACACTCTTGACCGCGCTAGCAACACAAAAGAACTACAACAGTGGTTTGACTTCCTGTCAGCTGGGAGCGCGGCTGCGCATTTGTACTCTTCAAGCCAGCAGCGAGGAAACGTAATTTTGTGACATTCTGTAGTTTTTCAATCATTTCTGGAGTCGTGGCGAATCAAATCACCTTACCTGTCTGCCCCTGATAGGCGAATAAAGCGCTCGGATTCATGCTCGGGTCTTGCTACGTGCTTCAAGAGTAAAGTAAACAATGATGGAGGCAGAGAGCAGCGTTGGAGGAGAAACATCTAGCAGTGTGAACAACCTCTTCAAAAGAGCCCTAAAGACCTACCTTTTTAATAAAGCCTTTGGTTAGTTTTCCTCTATGCTTTATGCTTTTACTACCTTGCCTCTTACATTGCAACGATATTTTTTATTTTTTTTTAATTCTTTTTTTATGCCAATCTGTGACTGTCATTCTATTGCTTTTTTTATTGTTGCTGCCCTTTTTTTACTGTGTACTGTAGCACTTTGAGATTTTTTGTAAATGTAAAGTGCATTACAAATTAAATTTTTTATTATTATTATTACTATTATTATTATTATCATGGAGTGCTTTGGCTCACACTATCTGCGTTTTCTGTGAGTGTTGCATAACTTTGGGTGAGCACAGACATGAACGCACTTAAGCCACGTATTTATTTATTCATTTTTCTAGTTTTAAGTGCTGGTCTTGTACTGGTACTGTACTAGTGCAGCTGTATACACTTACATTTTTCATAGAACTGAAAGCATACCATAGCTATATCGTGATATATATCGTTATCGTGATGTAAAATGATCCATATCGTGATATACATTTTTTTCCATATCGCCCAGCACTACCCGAGCATGAATCCGAGCGCTTTATTCGCCTATCAGGGGCAGACAGGTAAGGTGATATGATTCGCCACGACTCCAGAAATGATTGAAAAACTACAGAATGTCACAAAATTACGTTTCCTCGCTGCTGGCTTGAAGGGTAGAAATGCGCAGCCGCGCTCCCAGCTGACAGGAAGTCAAACCACTGTTGTAGTTCTTTTGTGTTGCTAGCGCGGTCAAGACTGTTGGCTCTCACTGAGAGATGACTACAAAAATGGACGCACCTGTTCATCTGGTTGTTAAACACGGCTGAAAATGATCATCTTTTAATGTTGTTCCCACTCCTGCCCACTCCCGATGCTTTTTTCCCGTCCCGTCCCGATCAAGGGATTAATTAAAAAATGACTCTCATCCCGTGGGATTCCCGCGGGAATCACGTGACCCACGGGAATTCCCGAAAAATGTCATCCTCTACAGGGAAGGTCCCGGAGCAGATGAAACAGGTGCCGGAGCGGCTGAAATAGGTCCCGGATCCGATAAAAAGAGGTCCCGGAGCGCGCTCCGACTTGCTCCGGCACAAATTAAGCACTGCTTACAATGATCCCCTCACGTGTGTAACCCAGGTAACCCGCAACGGCGGGAGACGCTGGACACGAAGAGGGCACGTAAAGCGGCGTCATGTCGCAAAATCGAAAGAGAAATGCGAGCCTACATGTCAACGCATCCTTTTCTTTTTAAGAAAATATTGTTTTCTTTCCCGTTCGACACCAAATACACTTACTGAATGTGTAATTATTGTTGTTGCTACTATGAATCATCTGATGGCACAAGCCCTATGGATTAAATACAGCCTATCGCCCGAAACGATAAAAATAAAAATGGCACGATAGACATTTTCTATCGTGTCCACGATATCTATCGTCCTATCGCCCAGCACTAGTACAAGCCACCAAACATCTTTTTATCTTTGTCTGATTTCTTTAGCAAAGAGACTAAACACAACTCACCTACTCTCTTCCAGCAGCCGCTTGTTTGTAGAGAGACCTCAGGCCAGTCCATTATGGAATACAGCGGGGTGACGCAGCTCAAGGAAGAACATTTATGATCATTATTTTTATGATTATTATTATTATTATGATTGTGATCATTTTATTATCATTAAAAAGAAAAGAGTCCTTTGCTAATCCATGATCACTTGGGTGTTAAAATTCTGTATACTGGATTATCTTGGCCAGTAACATCTTTCAGATGGATTTTTGATTCATTGATAAAAGAAAAATGTTTCGGGTTACGCCATAAATTTCCACTCTATGCCTGATATTTGTAAAAGACCTGCGTAGTGCTAAATAAATAAATCAATCAAGATGTTTCTGTGTTTGAAACTGTGCCGAGGACCTTAATCTTTGTCCAGAGAGATCGATCCGTTCATGTGAGTGTCTCCTGTGGTCATAGATGGGCGTCGGAGCCTGCTGATAGGTCGATCTAATGAGAAGTGGTATCTGAGGAATATAAACCTGCTGAGGCATCATAAATCCTTGCTGACCTTCAGCTTGTTTTCCCTGTTTCCTGATAAACTATTGCAGCTGCCTCCAGCCTCTGAATACGGATGAATCTTCTCTGAATTAAAGTCCACGCCGTGCAGCTTGAATAAATCAGTTTGCGTTAGCTTAAAGATTTCTGAATGAATATGTCCACTTGAATTTAGAGTTTTATACAAGAGTACAAAAAAATATACAAGACCATGTGTGTGTATGAAACTGTTAAACTTTAAATAAAACTTGAACCTGTTTTGTTTTTATTTTGATCAGTATGAACACAAAGTCTGATCTCGTATCGCCGCAGATTGCTAAGAAAACTCCGACATCCTCGGCTGCACCAATCAAGTTTATCATCACAAAAACAGTCAACAGCAAAGGTCTGAGTCCGCAGACGTCGGTGTCTCCTGTTATCGCAGGTTTGTTGACTTTCATTATTGCCATCTCATTACTGTAAATGTGTGTCCTCCACGGCTCACCCCAAACTGCTGAGATAGCCATAAACTGAAGCTCTAAGTCTGCACGGAAACTTTTATTATTATTGTATTGAAGTGTTGCCTCTCTTTTTCTTTCTTCAGGCCGGGTCCTGACTCAGACGTCTGCAGTTATGCCCACCAGGACCATTACTCTCTCAGAGTCCCACAACACCAGTATACAAAGTATCGCTGGGAAAAAGATCGCCATTTCACCCCTGAAGACCCCGAGCAAGGTAGATCCTGAACCTTTAAACCCTGATTCTTTATGCTTTGCAACATCCACGCTGATGAAGGTTGTTTTTAAGTGTTTTATCAGGTTTGTATGTGAACTCATCACGCTACTCTTTTGTACCCCCACAAGGTGACCGTGGTGTCTGTGGCTTCCCCGACCTCCAACGCCTCCCAGAAGTCGGTGGCCCTTCCTGTCAATGTAGCGCTCGGTCAGCAGATCCTCACGGTCCAACAGTCCACATCTGCGTCTCCGGTGAAGGTGGCCACCAGTCAGACCACGGCACAGGTACAAACACAGCACAACGTGTTTGTGTTAGCTGTAAATCTGGGAAATCTCTCTGCATGTCTGGTTTTTGTCTTTCATGTCTGTTTTGTTAGGAACGATCTGAGTGTCTCTGTTGTGTGCAAAACCTTCAGCCAAGTTGTTCAAACTGAAATATGCTCTAGGAATCCGTCAAAGAAGCATCTTTTTTTGTGGTGTTTATACAAAAAAGCTTTTAATATCAGTCAACAGCTATTAGTTATTGATGACATTTGAGAATATCATGATATTGCTGTGTTCTGTAATGTCTGTGTAGACAACATTATAGATTTTTTGAGCGGTCCGCTCATTCTGACTGTAAACAAAGCCGTTCTCCACCTCCCTGACCTGATTTTTTGTGAGGCAGACGCTGCTCCTTCGTATCGCAAGGCACGCTCCATGTCCTCGAATAATGTTCACAAGCCCAAACAAAGTTAGCGTGCTACAATATCGGACAGTAGAAACCAACCAGAAAGTATGGAAAATTGTCTGAATCCTCCTTTGGCCACAACTGCCGACACAAGCAAGAAAACAAAGTAAATACCAGAGACTCTGGCAGAATAACTGGCGCTTAAAACTGAGGTAGACCAGACAAGAGCTAAAAAGCCGGGTCAATATCAGCATTAACGATGGGGGACGCTTCAGGATCATACGGACCCTGTAACCTTTCTGCTGGACAGGTAAACTGCTTTAACAAAGTAAGCCAAGTGTCTGTAACAGAAGTGTTTCTTGTCAAACGGGACCTGCTGCTGTTTACCTCGGATCCTGGAATACGTCACTTTGTCCTAGTCGTAGAAGTCCTGCAAACATTGTGTTTGCTGGTAGTCTGTTGGCATCTACAGTAGCACCAGTGCTTTTTGCTTTCACATTGACTGGGCCCCATTTGTAATTATCTTAAGTTTTTATCTGCATTATATCTGAATTTAACTGAAACAATATGAGTGAGCAGGAGTGTTTGTTTGTGGGCGGGGCTTGCTGGAGCAGAGAGGGAGGGGAGGGGAGAGGAGGAGCTGAGGGGAAAACTGGTTGGGAGGGGTAGAGTTTACATTCAAGATTTTTTCCCAAAACTGGCACTTCCTCAGATCCTGCCTACCCCACCTTTGAGTGAAAACACTCAAACCTCTTGTCCCTCTTTGTACCTCTTTAATCCAGAGCATTAAACCGGTCCAGTCCGTGGCGGTGGGAGGAGTCGGCAGCTCCCAGTTCAAGACCATCATCCCCCTGGCCACCCAGCCCAACGTGCAGCAGATCCAGGTCCCAGGCAGCAGATTTCACTACGTCCGCCTCGTCACAGCCACCACAGCCAGCAGCACGGGGCAGCCCAGCTGCCCCGGCCCCAGCACCAGCTCCATTCAGACAGGTAAGCTCACCTGTTAGAGACCTCTTATTTAGTCCTATGATGACTCTGCTGTCGTAACTCACAAGGTTTATCGTCCCTCAGCTAAACCGATGGTGGTCGGCGCAGGAGCAGTCAGGATGTCAGTCCCCATCGTCCCCGCTCAGACCATCAAACAGGTAACTTTTTAAAAACTCTTACTGTCTTCTACTTAAGCGCTTTGGGAAATATCTCATTGATGGATCGTGTCCTCGTGTAGGTGGCCCCTAAGCCCCTGTCGTCAGCAGCAGTCGTCACCACCACTCAGACCCAGCAGCGCCTCATCATGCCTGCCACGCCCCTGCCCCAAATTCAGCCCAACTTCGCCAACCTCCCCCCGGGCACTGTTCTGCCTCTGGCCCCAGGAGGTGGGAACATGGGCTACGCAGTTGTGCCAGCGCAGTATGTCACACAAGTAAGTGAGGTTTAATTCATTATTACAGCGAGCGCTTTCTGATAATTCGGCGTCCGTTCATTTGTTAATTTATCTGCTTCTCCTGCAGATCCAGCAGTCTCCATTTGTGACCCTCGCCAGCAGCTCTGGTTTCGCTGCAAGCACAGGAGTTCAGACTCAGGCCAAGCTGCCTCTTAACGGGTATGAAAAACATAAAGTCTAAGTTTTCATGATACTGAAAGTGGACAAGGGAACCGTACTGTTTATATCCTGTCAAAACAAACAAAATACTGGATTTGAAATGAGGTTTTTGTTTTGTTTTGAGTCAGGATATAAATCTCCTGCAAATCCTCAAATAAAACCTTTTACTGGCTCTTGGTGCTGGTGTTTTATGGCTGTTTCCACGCTTGATTTTGTCAGTTTTGCAGCCTTGCTTTAGTCCACCCATGGGCCTCTGTTGTCGAGCGTTCCCCCTGCTAAAACCACTCACTGAAGCTTTATGCACAGAAGTCCAAAGAACAAGCGTCAGTTTTTAAGAGGCTGCAGGTTTTTACCTTTTACTGAGTGATTTGTTTGACTCAATCGTATCTCCTGTTTACAGCTTGTCATCAGCAGAAACAACTTCAAGACCGAGGAAACCGTGTAACTGCACCAAGTCTCAGTGTCTCAAACTGTAAGTCATGTTGCATGTATAATATCATGAAAAATCTAATATTGGACTCATGTGGTCCTCTTGTGTTAGTGTTTGGGTTTTATAGGGATCAAGACTGCTGACCAGTCTTGTTAAGGCGGTTTAATTAAGCAGCACTCTGTTTTTCTTTCTTAGATACTGCGACTGTTTTGCAAACGGAGAGTTCTGCAATAATTGCAACTGCAATAACTGCTTCAACAACCTGGAGCACGAAACGGAGCGGCTCAAAGCAATCAAGGTAAGGATAAGGTTGTTGAGTTGTTGTTAGACTGAGCTGCTAATCGGATGTGAAAATGTTTGTGTTTATTCTTTTAAATTGAACAGACATGTCTGGATCGGAACCCAGAGGCCTTCAAACCTAAAATCGGGAAAGGTAAAGAGGGAGAGTCAGACCGCCGACACAGCAAAGGCTGCAACTGCAAACGATCCGGCTGTCTGAAGAATTACTGCGAGTGTTACGAGGTGAGGTTTTCTCTCTGCTTCTTATTTAGAGGCTGTTTTCTTCTCACTCTGATTATTCACACTCTTAAACTTCCTTCCTTTAAACTGAAAGGCGAAGATCATGTGCTCGTCTATATGTAAGTGCATCGGCTGTAAGAATTTTGAGGAGAGCCCAGAGAGGAAGACGCTGATGCACCTGGCTGACGCAGCAGAAGTGAGAGTCCAGCAGCAGACTGCAGCCAAGACCAAACTGTCCTCACAGATCTCAGACCTGCTCATGAGGACGACACCGGTCATCTCAAGTGGAGGCGGGAGGTACGATACTACTTATTCTCTTGAAGGCATCAAAAGCATTATTATATATTTTTATATATACATATTTGATTCTACTTTCAAGAAGTAAGTCAATCATGTTTAATGTCCAGTCAAAATAAATGTGACGGATACTTTTTCCTTTTATACTCAACAGTGTCAGTGTTTTTTTCCTTTTCTGATGGAAGCCTTACATACACAGTCAGCAGTTTCGTTTGCATGTGTGGCTGTCATGTTGTTGTGTCGGTCACTGTATCTGTGAGCTGAACTTTGCTGTTCATGTGTGCAAATCTACGGTAGCCCCTGAAGGTCAACTGCATGAATGTTTCAGTGAAGGTATAAAACATTTCAGTGAAACCAAAAGCATTCCTCTACATTTTTGTGGGTTTTTTTTTTTTTGCACATTATTAAAAAGCTTTTATTTTCATTTTTTAATAAAAAATTTTTACAAATTTTTTTGCTTCCCATCTTTTTTCCTGTTTTTTGTCTTTTTTTTGTTTTCTTTGCACATTATTAAGTAGCTTTTCATTTTCATTTTTTTTAAACAAAATTGTTTAACAATTTTTTTTGCTTCCCATTATTTATTTTTGCACATTATTAAACAGCTTTTCAGTTTTGTTTTTTTAAATAAAATTGTTTTTACAAATTTTTGTTGCTTCCCATCTTTTTCCTTTTTTTTTTTTTTTTTTTTTTGCACATTATTAAATAGCTTTTCATTTTCATTTTTTTCATCTCATACAATATTTTTACATTTGGGATTTTTTTTCATTCACTTTTGTATCAAGTTTTTCACATTTCATGAAACATTTTACTTTTTTGTGTTCTTCACCGGTTATCATAATATTTTGTAATTTTTTTGTATTTTTGCATTCACTAAAATGGGTTACCTTTAGTAAAATACTTTAAACACTCGCTGAAATGTTTTTGCTCTTATGAAATGTTTGTGTACAGATGACCCTCCGGGCCCACTTGTAAATCTGAGATTGGTACAGAATCAGTTTAATTTTTCAAGGACCTAAAAACCACAGAGAGGCTGAAAATCATTCAGTTTCAGTCAGCAGCAGGATGTTCGGTGCACCTCTAAAGGACTTGGTGTCATTTAACTGAACTCCTGCAGATTTCTGAGAAATCCTACATGTGTATGATTGTAACTCACCACCCCTAACAGAACCAGTGCTAGCTGATGTCAGGATTTGGTGTTTTTCTGACTCACAGATCTTTTTCCTCTGTTCCTTACAGGTTGCCGTACACATTTGTAACAAAGGAGGTGCTTGAAGCGACGTGCGAGTGTCTCCTAGAACAGGCTAAGAAGGCCGAACAGACTCATCAGCCTCAGGTGGAGGCGGAGCGGATGATCCTGGAGGAGTTCGGACACTGCCTCATGAGGATCATCAGCTCGGCGGGGAAAGCCAAAGCAGACTGTGCCTCCATTAACTGTTAGACAGATTGGCACTGCGCCCCCCCCCTCCACCCTCACACCTTAACCCCCCTCGGCTCTGGGGGACTCTGAGAGACTCGGATTTCTCTGCTCCCTCTTTTCTCTGAGCCCTGAGGTTTTTCTCCTGCAGGGTAACAGGTTGTGTCTCTCGTCAAAGGCAGAACTTTTGAACTGACAGATTTTCTGCCTTCGACAGCTGGAATAACAAACATGGAGCAGCTGTTTGCTCCGTTCCTCTTTAACTGAAGGACAAACGGACAGAGAAAGTGACTCTGAGACCTTCAAATTAATGGACGAATGTGACTCAACATTTCTTCCTTTGATTTTCCCTCCAAGGCTCTGTTTCTCCTCCTTCAGTTCTTCCATTTTTCTCTTTTCTTTTAATTCTTTCTATTATTTGAGCTTTTTAAAAAGAAACCCCTGTAAGTTTTTATGTAATCGGTATATTTGTGCTTACAGTAGACAAACAGAACATGTTATCTTTTGATATTTATTTTGACAGGTATTTGTAATCATTGTGAGCGCTAATATTGTTATATTGGCTTATAGTGTTGCAAATTGTTTATTAATTATTAATTAACTGAGCCTAGGCTATGAATTGAAGAAGCAAAAATGAGTAGGAGTGAGTGACCTTTAGGCTTGACCCTCAAATCAATTTGTAATTTGAAAACATATATTGTATTATGCACACACAGCGCTGCTGTTTCTGGTGCTGTTTTCTGTCTATTACTCACATGCTTCCTGTACATTAAAAACACCATGAATGGGAAAATATGTCAGACTTATTTGGTGATAGTCTTGACCAGAGATGAGCGGGAAGTTGCCTGATTTGTCTGGGACTAGGACTGATGGAAAGCATTTGATGTAATTTACTTGCAGAACAGTGATTATGAGCGTAAGACTTTTACTGAAGCCTATTGAATGCCAGAATGACTGTGAAAGTGCTCATCATGGGATCCTGTGATAACCTGAAATCACTTTTTTTCCCAAAAGAATAATTAGATACTGAAAGGCTATTCCTTTGTTACCTAAAATGATGAAGAAAGTTATGACATACTCTTCTTTTAGGCGCTAAAGTGAACAAATTAACAATTAATCTGGAAAATAACAAGAAACTACAGTCCCTGCTGCGAAAAAGATGAGGAACTAAATACAAATCTCAATAGATAATTTGATGGTTTGCACTACTTTCATGAGTAGGGAGAGGAAAATGTATCAAATAGTGAGACTGACGGTGTTAAAATTTCCTACCTCTTTAAACTCAGTCTGGAATTGCGCATGTCCAGGCTGTATTTGATAAATAATAATAAGAATTATAACTTTATTTGTATAGCACTTTTAAAAACAGAATTGTACAAAGTGCTTTGACATATAGTCATAAAGCCCATAGAAAAAGACAGATAATAACAAAAAGCTCAGTTAAAACGGAATTGGAGGCCATTTTCGTATCATAAGGAACCCAGAAAATACAAGAACCATGCAACACGAAATAAGACCATGAGGACCAAAATAAAACATAAAATAGTTCAGAAAAAAAGAAAATGCAGTTAAAAGGGGGGACGAGAGCAGAAACAGGATAGTAAATATAAAAAGCAATATCAACAATGATAATAGAATAATAACAGGTAATACTGATTGTTGGGTCTAAAACCTGCAACATTTACCTGATAACATATAAAGAAGAGAAAGACAATGGTATATACTCGAGGAGAATGGACAGAGATAGCATCAGGTACCATCTCGAAACCACTCTGAAAGGTATTTCCGCCCAGTCTCTTTTATTTAGGGTTGTCCCTAGTTACACAATGTTTCTAAAGGGTGGGGGAAAAATATGTGCAGCAACGTAAGCATTCTCAAAAAACATAATAATGAACAACTGTGAATATGTGAAGGTCAAGGCGACTTGTTTCATCTAACGAGCTCCTTCTGATAAGAGCGTATCCTCCTCAATTACTTTCCACGATTCACATCATCCACACACCCACACCTGCTGATAGGAGAAACGAGTTCACAGAGAAGTTAAGAAACATTCATGTACTGTGTAATTAAGCTATTGGAGAGAGAAGTTAGAAAACACTCTTATATGTGTAACAAGAGGTCAAAACAGTTCATACTTGTAGTGAACTCTTACATAAGAATATGAGAAATAATGATAACTTCTATATACATTTACGCACATTATTCTAACACTAATATTAATAGTAATGATAAAATAGAGCAACAGAATTGAGCAAGAGATAAAACAATAAAAGGCCTAAAGGGTTAATTAAGATAAGAGTATAAGTATGACAAAAGCTATAAATACAGTAAGCCGAAATATTAAAGGAGATACATCCCGTACAGTAGGTGGCGGTGTGGCGCACTAATCAACAACTAGCGCTTAAATGATGGAAAGTTAGCATTTGGGCGGAGGTGCACACAGTCTATAGGGCTCGGCAGCACGCGGATCTCTGCCATGTATTTAGCATGACTTAGTTTGGACGTCAGGAAGGATTTTAATATTATACCGAAGAGTTTTTAAAAAAATGCACGATTTGAGAAAAGCAGAGGCCTCCCGTTTTGCTACATAGTGCTATTCTTCAGTTTTGAGCATGATTTGAAACGAGGTTTCGTACAGCACGGTCGCCTAAAAAAATCCCTACACGTGGAGGTGTCTGATCAGTGAAGGTAAGTATGTTATTGTTAATTAGTCTGTAACACGTTATATTTTATTCGTGATGTGTCGTTGAAGGCAAATTGGGAGCTCTCGACTCCTCACAACCGCCATAATCTGAGCACGTGGTCGTACAGTCAGCTTGTTGTAGTGTAAAAGGTTTGCGTCAGACCAAACTCTAGTCAAAATGAAGTTATTGTATAAAGTCGCCTTTTAACTTAAGTGTGTTTGATAACTGAACGCAATGTAATACTTTATTTGTGTACAGGAAGCAGCTCTTTAATTCGGCTGTAATTCCGCGCAAAATAATCTCTTTACGAATGTTATGTTGTTTGTATTATTAAAGCTCATCTACAGAAATTCACTCCTGTCCAACTAACGAGTAAATCTTCATCCAACAGGTCAACTGAAGGAAACTGACCCCCAGTGATCGTGGGTGTGGACTTGACATGCATGTGGGTATTTGAAACATTTTATGAGTGTTAATGAATTAAAATGGCCATCCCAATGATTATACCAATCACTACCCATCTGACCCATTCATAAGTCTGGGGGAGATTATAAATAAGAATCTATATGAGGGTCTGGCATTCATTCTCTATTTGAATTGAAGACTGCTGTTTAATTTTAACCTCTGTTTGTAATTAAGATTTTCCTCCTTTTCTTTCAGGGTTGACTCGCTGAGCTGAAAGAAGAGTTTCAGTGTCTGCAGGTGCATTTACAAAGATTAGAGCATTGTGGGAAAGTTCTTTGTTTTCTATTTCTTAATCAAGAAATTGATATATTTAATTTTAATGTCGGGGAAATTACTGTTTATATAGTATCAGTGTTGTGTATCTTTTCTGATAGTTAAGTACACACAGCCGCAATCATGGGAAAGACTGCTGACTTGACAGTTGTCCAGAAGGCCATTATCCACATCCTCCATGGTGAGGGAAAACCACAGAAGGTCATTGCTGAAAAGGCTGGCTGTTCACAGAGTGCTGTATCTAAGTGTATTAATGGAAAGCTGACTGGGAACAGAGAAAACTGTGGGAGGAAAAGGTGCACAAGCAAAAGAGATGACCGCAGGCTTGAGAGTATCGTCAGGAAAAGTCAATTTAAGAACTTAAGGGAGCTTCACCAGGAATGGATGGCGGCTGGTGCCAGTGCATCAAGAGCCACTACACACAGGCGGCTTCAGGAAAAGGGCTACGAGTGTCACTTTATTAAAACCGTGCCACCCCAGGAACAAAAAGAGCAGCAGAAGCGTCCTACAGTTGCAAAGAAGAAAAAGAAGTGAGCAGTTCATGGCTGAAGGTTTTCTTTTCACATAAAAGTTCAGTTTTGCATTTCATTTGGAAATCAAAGTCCTGTTCAGTGGAGATAATTTGGGGTGCCATGTTATCTGCTGGTATTGGTCAGTCCAAAGTCAATACAGCTGTCTTCTAAAACATTTTAGAGCAGTTCATGCTTCCATCTGTTGATGAGATATGCGAATATCCTTTTCCAGCAGGTTTTAGCACCTGCCCACAGCACCAAAACAACCACCAAATGGTTTGCAGACTGATATATTTTGGTGTCAAATTGCACAGCCAACTAGCCTGAGCTGACCCCTTATACGGACTGTGAGGTGTTGTAAAGGGAAGTTGAGAAGTTATGAGCCTAAAAATGCTGATTTCTTCCTCTGGCAGGATTTGGTTCTTGCCCACAGTGCCAAAATTACCACACACTGCTTTACTTAACTGTGATGTCACTGTTACTGATTGGCCAGCCCTCTCAAAAATGCAGACAGGCTGATGGCTTTAACCAAAACCTCAGCAGTGTTTCAGGTTGCCTCCATGCAGTGCCCCACTGCTGTGGTAATTCATGGTTGAGAGCTCCAACCATGTACTGAGTGTAAAAGTAAACACATTTTAAAGAAGATAGTCAGTCCTGTATTACTATGTATCCTAATTACCTGATACTGTATTTGCATGAACTGTCAAAAGAGCTGAAAATATCTCGGTTCACATATTATGAATGTAGCAAATATGAAGTTGCACCAGTTCAGTAAGCACTTTGTCATTCTGACCAAATAAATACTGTATGAAGCAAAGATGGTTTGTCTGTGGTATTTGCATGGTGTGTGTTCGCATATGTGCATGTCTGTATGTGTAAGATTTCTGTGGGATGTATCAAGAAGCTGTCCTAGAAACAGTTCACTACTTGGATTGACTCCTACCCCTTGGAAGTTGTATGAAACATGAAAAATAACGAAATGTAAAAAGTCACTTGTCTTGCTATTGATCTTGTTTTTTTAGGTATTAAATAAGCAACAATAACTATTTAATGCGCGTGAGAAACTTTCTGCCTGTGTTGATTTTGGTGCCATCCAGTGGACAAAGTTGCTGTTTCAAATCTTGTCCTATTGGAACTTTTCTTTCTGTTGTCTTTTTACAGTTAAATGTATCTCTAACTGTCCATAACTAGCATGGGAATAATGCTGCGTTTGAGTTACCGAGCTGAAAATGACATCATACCTGAGTTACTAGTGTTTCGGTTACCAAATCGGAAAAAAGCAAAATTGGAGGCTGAGACAAGAAGGCTATATCTACGAAAGTTATTTTCACGCTTTCCTTGTCTGAATATAAGGCAAGCGCTAAAATAACTTTCTTAGATGTAGCCATCTTCAGGCCTCCAATTTTGCTTTTTTCTGACTTGGTAACTGAAACACTGGTAACTCAGGTGTGACATCAATTTCAACTCTGATTTCACTTTTTTCCGACTTCGTAACTGAAACGCTGGGAACTCGAGTGTGACGTCATTTTCAGCTCAGATATCTGACTTCTGACGTAACTCAAATGCAGCATAATACATGGCTGTTTCGGCCGGTTTCCTGGCCAATCAGAAACATTCAACAGGAGCTTTAAGTTTGTTTCACACTCAGGTAAAAACTTCCCACTGAAGCTTTAACACTTCCATGACCAAAAAAATACTACATAATATTCAACTTTTACTTTAATATTATGCATTTGAGACTAACGATAGTTTATCAAGAGCTTTTGTACACAATGAGTATTTTTTTCCATAGAAATTTTAATTTTCAAAATACAAAGGCCTTTACTATATTTATAGAAGAAAACTTTAATACATCACACAATTTTCACTGCCCTTGTTTTTATACTTTTTTAAGTGTTTCAAAGTTAAAATACGTTTCACTCTTTCAGTCAAGTCGTTTTAGTTTAGTAGTTAGCATTATTAGCATGTCTAGCTAACTGAGGTAGACGAGCGACGTCTCCCCGGAAGTTGTTGTTCTTCTTCGTGGGAGGAGGGGACTGTTGCTTAGTGCCACGTTGATGGAGACCAGTGGGGACGTGGAAATCTGTCTTGAGTCCGCAACCGGGACCCGGTAGCCTGTTCTTCTGTTTGTACAACCGTTAATCGCCGACTAGAAGCAGAAGGGGAACTCAAACGGGAGGAGGCTGTTTGTGTCGGTCTTTTTTTATGTGTGCGTTTAGAGAAGTGAAGGTAAGCAGCTTCAGCGGAGGACTAAGATCTCTGTCTGTGTGTGTATGTGAGTAACTGTTCTTCTTCTGCTGCTGCTTTATTTTCCTGCACAGGCTGCTAGCAGGCAGCTACTAACGTCCCCCTGCAGCTTCAGGACATGCTGTACCAAAGCAAAGTCAACATACAGGAACAGTGGCATTAACCTGCAGACTTTACTCTTAGTTTACACTTGTGTATCTCTTCATATTATTAAAACTGTTCTCACTGCTGTTTGAGGCTTTTACTTTAACTGGCCCATCAGCTGTTAGCTCTCTGCTAGCCTGGTTTGTACTTTTTGTTTGCCTGTGTCAACCTCAAAACGATTAAAGTATATATTTGCCTCCTTTAATATAATACAGAGCTTAAGTGATCATTAGTCTTATTTAAAGCATACTGTTATCTGTAACTTCTATATTTATTAAGCCTAAATGGAGAAATGCACTTTATTAAAGTGGGAGTAATGTGTTTATTACTACATTTTTACCCCCTTTCTTATTAAGGGGACCTAGTTTTAGTATTTAAGAACTGGTTTAGTGGTGCGAAAGCCTGCCTTCACAAAACACTTATACCCTACAGCCTGTTTAAGCCACACGCCTCCTTTAAAATAATTCAACAGGACAAAAAAAATACGATTTCATGTCATTGTGTGTGTGCAAAATGCAGATATTTGTCACACACAAGCATTTACAGTTAAATGCATTTAAAAACAACACCTTTATATGACATGAAACCCGCTGCCAAGGTTCAGAAACTGTAACAATTACCAGTACAATTCATGGCTTTTGTTGCCATCAGTTTCAACAACTTTTAAAGGTTAAAAAAAGAGAAATATATCCGGAAGAAACTGACAATGGTGTTTTTATTGCAAATGCACACAGAATTCTGTTAACAAAAACTATGGGTAAGCAGAGTATTAGTTGTTTTTGTTTTAGTTGTTGTTTTTATATGCATTTGAAAACAACATGTTTATTTGGCAAGAAACCCTCTAAAACACTCAATTTATACAGTATTTTAAAGAAGATGCAGTAGAGTTACATTAAAGGGTGAATATAAGGCAAGTTTATTCATGCAGCACATTTCAGCAGCAAGGCAATTCAAAGAGGTCAGAAAATTGTATGGGAGTAAAGCACTAATAAAGACTTGAAGAGGGCAAACCTGCTCCAGACCACTTCAGAGATCATGATTATGCAGAAAAGGACAAAATGATAACAGTTTTTCACCTTTTCTCACTTGAAATGCTGTGTGATTAGAATTTTCTGCTTACCCATAATTTAAAAGCAGATTTCTGTATGCATTTGCATCAAAAACATAATTTTCTTTCTGATATATTTCTCTCTTTTGTAGCCTTTAAGTTTGTAGTAACTATCGGCAACAAAAGTCTTGAATTGTTCTGGTAATTGTTACAGTTTCTGAACCTTGGCAGCCTCAAAATAAGAGTGCAGTTGATTTAAACCTCTCTTCAACACAAGGGGCTGATTTTCTGCAGAGCTTACACTCTATTTAATATAAAAACACGGTGCTATAAAACTGTCAAACTCAGCGTTCATGCGCATGAGTGCATTAAAAGACTTGCTAATCACTTGGACTGCTTCTCCTGTCCATACTTGCAGTAAAATATCCATGGGGTGAAAAATCTGCATGTTAAATCGGTTTGGTGGATTGTAGTTGGTCTGGATTTGAAGCACAGAAATGTTCCCATCCTGCAGCTTTAGCTCAGGGAGGAAACGCTGTTTTAAAAAGAGGCTAAACACCAAACCTGCTGCATTCTCACGTCTCACAAAGCTGGACTACAAATGAGTATGAGGATGTTGTGGACCTGTCCTTTTTAGCAGAAACATGTTTTTCTTCATGCCAGATGATTGTAATCCCTCAGCAATAATTGTTGCAAGAATAATACATTTGTGAACTTATTTTTCCAGGATGAAACTCAAAGAGATCAAGCGCACAGCTATCCAGAGCTGGAGTCCTGCACAGCATCACCCCATCTACCTTGCTACAGGTATGAGCCTGCTGCAAACAGACTCCGTGATGCAGACGCAGCTGCAGCTAGCTGTATCTTGACCTGACGTCATATCATTTCAGTCAAATGTTCCAAACACTTAAGCTAATGAGTCACAGAGTGTGCACCACATAATGACAGGGAGCTGCTTGAGTTTTCTGTACTGAAAAAACTCTCGAAGAGGTCTACCACTCACTCTGAATTTGGACATTAAATAGAAGGTTTCTGCTTCTGTGTGAGGAATGAAAACATCACAGTCAGAGATGGCGGGCGTCAATATGCTGCTAAAGTCTCGTACTTTTTTTCCTGATTTCAGCTGGCAGCAAAACTTCTGCTTGTGTTTCTGATCAAGCTAATATCAGATCTGTTTCTCTCTCTGCAGGAACTTCAGCTCAGCAGCTGGACGCCTCCTTCAGCACAAATGCCTCCTTGGAGTTTTTCGAGCTGGACTTGACTGATCCGAATCTGGATATGAAGTCATGTGGCAGCTTTGCCTCTTCTCACAGGTATATGAAACTGCTGCAGACTCAGATCTCACCTTTGATGGCCATGACGTAATCTCCAAACCAGCTTTCAATCAGCTGAAACTATATTTGACAAGCTCAGAGACTACCAAACAGCTGATGAGATTTAAAAAGGCCCACCTCTGCCTCTCATCACACCGCGTCTCCTTTCCTTCCACAGATATCACAAACTGGTCTGGAGTCCATATGGGATGGACTCTGACGCTCACCAAGCAGGGGTCCTGATCGCAGGAGGGGAGAACGGTAACGTGATCCTGTACGATCCTGCAAAGATCATGAGCGGAGCGAGCGACGTGATCATCGCTGAGAGCGCTCTGCACACAGGTCCGGTGAGGGCGCTCGACATCAACCCGTTTCAGGTGAGATCTTTTTGCCCCCTCAATAATCAGCTGTAAATTAAAGCAGAAGCAGTGATTGATTTTGTGTGACATGGCCGTATGTTGTGTTATTTTCTCTGCTGCAGACAAACCTGGTGGCTTCAGGTGGGAATGAGTCCGAGATCTACATCTGGGACATGAATAACTTCGGCTCTCCAATGACTCCAGGACCAAAATCTCAGGTATTTTAGTTTTGGTTATTATTTCAACAACCTGTGTGGATGTTTTATTAAATTCATATCAGTCTGAAAATGGTTTCAAGTAATAGAAACCATGTTGTGTTTTGTCTTGAAGCCTGTAGAGGACATCAGCTGTGTGGCGTGGAACAGACAGGTCCAGCACATCCTCGCCTCTGCCAGCCCGGGCGGCCGAGCTGCAGTGTGGGACCTCCGCAAGAACGACCTCATCATCAAAGTCAGCGACCACAGCAACAGGGTACGTCGCGTCACACGTGCTGTCAGGTTCAGCTTTCCCACAGTCCTCTGCTGCTGCTGCTGACTCACCTGAATCCTTCACCTACATGTTTATTTGTTTTTAGATGCATTGCTCTGGACTCGCCTGGAACCCCGAAGTGGCCACTCAGCTGGTCGTGGCCTCAGAGGACGATCGGATGCCGGTCATCCAGATGTGGGATTTACGTTTCGCTACCTCTCCTCTCAAGATTTTAGAGAATCACACACGGTAAACACACCTGTCACATCAAGCACAAAAAAACTCACTTTCAGGATGTGATTAGTGATTTGTAAAGCGTTGCCTTTCTTCACAGAGGTGTTCTCGCCATCGCCTGGAGTTTGGCAGATCCTGAGCTTCTGCTGAGCTGTGGGAAAGACAGCAGGATCCTCTGCTGGAATCCAAACACAGCGGAGGTCAGAGTTTCCCGCAAATGTCAGTGACATGCAGTTAATCGACAGCTTTAATGTCGTCCCTGTGATTAAATCATCTGCTCCACTCTTCAGGTTTTGTATGAGCTCCCCACCAGCAGTCAGTGGTGCTTCGACATCCAGTGGTGTCCGAGGAACCCGGCTTTGCTATCAGCCGCGGGATTCGACGGACATATCGACATTTACTCCATCATGGGTGGAAGTAACCAGGCACAGAGTCAGAGACACGCTGACCAGGTTAGATTTATCAGTTATCTCAGTGAAGCTGTAGCTGTAACGTGTATTTAAGCGCCTCTTAAGTCTGGCTAACTTCTCTCTAACAGATCAGCACCTCTTTCGGGAACATGGATCCTTTTGGGACGGGACAAACTCTGCCCCCGCTGCAGCTGCCTCAAACAGCCGTCACTACAGCGACGGTCACCCCCCTGAAGAAACCTCCGAAGTGGATTCGCAGACCTGTCGGGGCCTCATTTGCTGTGAGTCCTCGTTCTTCACGTCACGTCAGTTTGACCAACTTTGATTTTAAACTCTTGACTCTCTTCGTGTTTCCTCTTCTCTGTAGTTTGGTGGAAAATTGGTGTCTCTGGAGAACTCGAGGCCAAACCCTCAGCAGCTCCAGCATCCCACCGCTCATGTGGTCCACGTCAGTCAGGTTGTGACAGAAACGGACTTTCTGACGCGCTCCGATCAGCTGCAGGCCACGCTGAGTTCAGGGAGCTTCGTGGACTTCTGCCAGGGGAAGATCGACGCTGCTGAGAATGAGTTTGAGAGGACAGTTTGGTCGTTTCTGAAGGTGAAATACAAACAAAAACCTTTCCCAAAAACAACGCAATTAACTTCTTATCAATAAATAATGGTTTTTATTTTCTTTTAAGTTTGCATCTTTTGTGTTTTCAGGCTAATTTTGAAAGTGATATCCGCAGCAGATACCTGGAACTTCTGGGATACAACAAAGAGGAGCTCGCCTTGAAGGTCAGTCGAATCTCTTGAAGTGTTTTTATGACCCTTTTTAAAACGTTTCTTGTCATAATTTTTTTTTTTTTTTCACCAGATTTCTGCAGCACTAGAAGAAAAACCTGCTGATCCTCCACAGGTGAGACTATTAAGAGCTCTTACAGTTAAAGTGAATTTAAAGGAGCAGTACAACATTAAGTTAAAGCGTCGGAGTCTTTCAGCAGGTGTTTTTGGGATGATTTTGTCTTTGTTGACAGATATTAGCTGCACCAGAGGAAATACCTGCTGACCCTCCACAGGTGAGCTTTTATTTATTCATGTTAAAGTCAAACTAAAAATAAGAAATATACAGTGATGGAAGAAGCAGAAAACTAAGAGAGCCTATCTAAAGCCTCCTCTGAAATAATGTTTGAATATCATAAATCAGGGGTGTCAAAGTCAAATGGACGGAGGGCCAAATAAAAAATTTAGCCACAAGCCGAGGGCCGGACTGATGGAATGTTCATTGAAAATTTTTTAAATGACGCATATAGTCTACTGAACCTAATTGAACCTACTGAAAACCTAACAAATATATTCCAATATGATCAGATAAATAAAGCAATATTTTCTTCTGGCTCTGTCAGTAATCTTTAATTTTCAACAGACACAAAAGACAAATTTCCTTTATATAAAAATCCCCATAGCATGAACATTAAATGAAAGAAACCGGTATTATTCAAGGCACCATCAGTAGCCTATATTTTCTATTTTAGCAAAAGTGGGCTAAATTTACTTCAAAGAAAAAAATAATAACAGCAATTTTCTATCATCCACTCAACTGAAATATTTTTAAAATATAATTTTGTTTTTGTCCGCGTGTTTCGTTTCATAATGTCGTCTCAGATTATACTCTTTCAGTACCGCCACACTTTCTCCACACAGAAGACACACAGGTTTTCCAGCTACCTCCGTGAACATATACTCAGACTCCCACCTTGTTTGAAACCCCCGGTTCTCAGTGTCCACCTTCCGTTTTGCCATTTTTGATGGGTATCTGAAAGTTAATTTTACTGTTATGCTGACGACTGCTGTGCTAATAAATATTGAAATGAAGCAGCCTACTGCTCGGTGCATCACCGTTGCATTGTGGGAAATGTAGTATTGGTGCGTGTAAAAGATCTGCGGGCTGCCGGCTTGCTGCGGTCTGCGGGCCGGTTCTAATAATAAATCAAGATCATCCCAGGGGCCGTAAAAAACCTTCTCTTGACTCTGACATATGTGTCATAAATAAAAAAACACCAAATTGACTAGCAAAAAAGTAGATCAATAGTGCATTTTAAAGGGACAGCATAACATTTTCTGAAATGCATTATTTGCAGTTCTTCAAAGAGTAAATCCTCTTAAGTGGCACTCACACCTAACGTGAGTAAAATCATCTACCCGCTTAATTCACACGAATCTAAATGCGTAAATGAATAGTATTTCCTCGCTTCATTTGCACGTCAACGACAATTTTAACTGTAATCCCTGCCAATTCAACTGGCGGGATCAAGTGATAGACAAAGGTTTTTTACAATTTACCAGGTAATCCGACCTCCTCACTCACTTGAGCAGGCTCCTTTTTATTCTGGTTTCGGTAATTAAAAGAAAAGGTATCATATAATTCGGGGCACCCACACGCCAACACAACCGTTTCAGTGCTGTGTTTAAGTTACTTCAGAACTCAGATGTCAGAGCTAAAAATTAGACCATGCCCGGGTTCCCAGCATTTCAGTTACAAAGTCAGAAAAAAGCAAAATCGGAGGCCTGAAACAAAATGGCTACATCAATGAAAGTTATTTTAGCGCTTGCCTCGAACGCAGCATAATACGTCACCTGGCAACCCTCGTGCTAATTAGTTATCGTGACGCGAATATCCGCTCAAGTTGAGACATTTTCCGCTCCCGCCCGATTCGCGTCCTTCATGATAGTAGAAGTGTCCAATCATGTCGTTGCATTGACTTAACGTAATTCATTCGCGCGAATGATTTTACTCATGCTTGACGTATGGAGACAGTTAGAGAGATTTAGAAAAAACTTCCATTATGTTCGTCAATTTTGAACTTAGATTCAGGAAGCTGTTTGCTTTTGTTAGCTTAGCACAAAGACTGTAAAGAGGAGCAAACACCGAGCTTGAATGTGTTCAAACAAAGAAAGTCCATCTCCTCTCACCTCCTACCTTCACTCATGGTAGCTTTGTCCGGGGGCAGAATTTTGTTATCAGGATAACTGTGGAGTATTATTGTAAAAATAATGTCTGTGTCAGTCTTTTATCAAATGTCTTTCAATGTATTATGTGATAAATGTTTCCTCTTTGTTTCAGATTTTAGCAGAACCAGAAGAAACTCTTGCTGACGCTCCACAGGTGAGTTTAAGAGCAGACACTCGAGACTTATGCAAAGCTCCTTTTTGTAGCATGAACTCTTGGACATAAAACAGCACAATAAAAATGAACTATAATGACTGAAACAACATTTGAGAAACTTATTTAAAGTTTCATAGATGAAATTAAAGCCGCTCTTCCTCAAACCCTCAGGAGGACGTTCCTCCTCCTCCAGCTGCCTTGCAGCCTTTCATGGACCTCAGCCTGGTGCCTCCCATCGACACTCCTGAAGCAGCGTTCGACATGATCGCTGCAGCCAACCTCCAGCCTGCTGCAGCCACTCTAGATCTACAACCCACTCCTGACCCGGAACCTGAAGAACCTGCAGAGACTGAAAAAGCTGCAGAGCCAGAAACAGCTGCAGTAGAACCAGAACCAGAAGCAGGAGATGATCTGCTGGCGGAACTAGAGGAAAACATGGACCAGGTTCTTCTAGAAGAAGAGGAGGAGATCCCCCTGGAGGAGGTAGCTCTTCACTCCACAACTTTAAAATAAAAAAGACAGTTGATGTTCATACTTATGCATGGTGATTCTAGACTGTACCCAGTCTGAACTGGATCTGGAGCTTTGATTTATTGAACTCCTGATGTTCAGTATCTGCAGAAGGTTTTTCACAGTTAGTATAAAAGTCCTGTAGAAGGACTAAACCAAATACCTGATGGGATGTTTCTCTGGTGTTTCAGAAGGTGGAAGCTCTGGTACAAGAGGAAACCAGTCCTGCTGAGGTCTTAGCTCCAGTCGAGGAACCCGCAGAAGCACCAGCTCCAGAACCTGTTCTCTTTGACGAACTTATCCAGGCTCCTGCTCCAGAACCAGTTCTCTTTGATGAACTTATCCAGGCTCCTGCTCCAGAACCAGTTCCCTTTGACGAACTTATTCAGGCTCCTGCTCCAGAACCGGTTCTCTTTGACGAACTCATCCAGGTTCCAGCTTCATCTTCAGAACCAGATCCCTTTGAGGAGCTCATCCAGGCTCCTGCTCCAGTTGCAGAGCCAGATCCAGTTCTTATCGAGGAACCTGCCGAGGTTCTCGCTCCAGTTTTAGCCCCGTCTCCTGTTCCTGCTCCGGCTCCTGCTCCCACTCCGGCCCATGAAGGAGGAGTCACCCTCAGCATCAGTCAAGGTAGGAACTCCTAAACCAGCTGAGATCCCCTTCAGGTCCTGGATGTGTTGGTTTTTGTCTAAATCCTGGACTCGATGGTTTTTCTGCAGATGTGGACGGTCTGATCACCCAGGCCCTGCTAACCGGAGACTTCGAGGGAGCGGTCGAGCTCTGTCTCCATGACAACCGCATGGCAGACAGCATCATTCTCGCCATCGCTGGAGGACCAGAGCTGTTAGAGAAAACCCAGAAGAAATACTTTTCCAACACACACAGCAAAATCACAAAGGTAAGAGCGAGTTTAAAACCAGTTTTAGGTTTTGATCGAGTCCGTCTCAGATGGTCTAACAGAGTCTTCTCCTCCAGCTGATCAGCGCGGTGGTGCTGAAGGACTGGCACGACATCCTGAAGACCTGCGAGCTGCAGAACTGGAAGGAGGCTCTGGCTGCCGTCATGACCTACGCCAAGCCAGAGGAGTTCTCCTCACTCTGTGGTCAGGACCAGTATTTAGATAATCCTGCTCTGAAATGAGTTTTGCTGACATTTATTTTGGATCCTTTTCTACCTTTTTTTTTCTTTTAAATCAAACTGAACATCTGTGTTTGTCAGATCTCCTCGGGGGCAGACTGGAGACAGCAGAAGATTCCCAGCTGCAGGTTCAGGCCTGTCTGTGCTACATCTGTGCTGGAAACGTGGAAAAACTCGTGTCTTGTTGGACCAGAGCGCAGAACGGACACAGTCCGCTCTCTCTGCAGGTGGGACGAAAATTAAACTGCAGCTCTGTTTCTGATTTGTTTTGGTGTGTGAAAGTGACACAGGTCTCTTTCTGGTGACTTTAGAGCTTTTTAACCCAGTCAGGGATTTTATTTTGGCGTTTTCAGACACCAGAAAGCTTTAGGAACTTTTGCCCGCTCTTTTATCAGTTTCAGAGACGGATACTTAGTTAGTGAAGACTAGGGTTGCAAAGGGGCGGTAAATTTCCAGAAACCGTCCATGGGAAGTTGAACTGGGGAATTTTGGAAATATTCCAAATTGGAAACTGTAGAATAAAATAACTAAAAAGCTGGTAAAAACACTGTTACGTCCTGATAGGCTAGGGGTACTCAGGACTAACAAAAATAGCAATTGAAAAACCAGGCAAGGATGGAAATGGCAAGAATATACAATAACTCAAGTATTTTAATAACGAAACTCAGGTCAGCACTACCACAAACGTAAAACAATCCTCACAAAACCAAGGACGATAATAATTATAACACAAAGCGATCCTCACAATAACAGGACAACTACCAATAACAGGTGACAGCTACAAAAACTCACTAAAAGGAAATAAAAGAGACACCACTCTGTCTAAACAAAGATAAATCACTTTTCCAATCACTATTGACTCACTTTTACATGCAGACACATTCACACAGGTACTCACACACATATATTCGTAACAAACACTGATGCAGTGGCATGAACAGAAATATAGTTGGCTAAACAACTGGGATGGTCTTCAAAATATTTAACTATCGATGTATGAATTATTGTTCGGTTACAGAAAAACCGTCTTGCAGGAGTCAGAAGAAACAGCATCACATTCGAGGAAGCTACCACCACCATAATAAGCTAGCCCCTTAAATGGTCAAATCAAATAGTTTCTAAATGTAAGCTATTTTTCATTTCATTAATTTTTTCAAGTTAAATAAAAATACTTTTACAGATCAAATATATTTACCCTAAAGTATTATCAAAACTCACTTGACTTTCTAAGGTCCGTGGCCTCAAATGTCTTGTGCTTTGGGCCTCCAGGGTTCAAGAAATTATCTGTGCATGTCATTGAGGAGTGAACTTGCAATAAATCTGGTTGTTTTAGCCAAGATTATGCTACAATATATTTTCACCAACTATATTTAAGTTCCCTGTTGATGGCCAACCTTCAATTTTGTAAAGTTTAGATATATTCCCGTAAATTCCCATGGAAAGTTTCCAACTTTGAAAATTTCCAGAATATTGCAACCCCAGTGAAGACTAAAAATCATCGAGCTGACCGAGTGTAATTTTGAATAAACCCTCCGTTTGTAGCTGATACAGACTGTGTTCTCCCCTCAGGACCTGGTGGAAAAGGTGACGGTTCTAAGGCGTGCAGTTGAGCTGACGCAGCAATCCGGCGCCTCCGCCATCGGCATCCTGATGGCTGAGAAGATGAGTCAGTACGCCAACCTGCTGGCCTCCCAAGGGAGTCTGTCCACCGCCATCACCTATCTGCCCGACAACACCAACCAGGTGAGGACTCAGGTCCACAATAACAGATCTAGACAGTGTGATCGACTCAACATGATGGCGTTTGTACATTCTTGTCCAGATTAGAGGAATACCTCAAACACTATAACGTCTATTTACACATATTTAGAGTCGACAAACAGGTTTCAAATGTTTTCTAAACGCTTCATTAGTTTGTTTCAGCCTGCAGATGCAAAACAGGCACTAAGTGCTGCAAAGTGACATTTCATTTTAACTGTGTGTTTACTAGAAGTGTGTGTTTTTGCAGTTTGTCAGCTCAAGTTATAAAAATGATTTTTTTCAGAGTAAACCCAGCAGAAACACTTATGTCACTTTTTTTAGGAGTGAGTCTCATAAAAAAAAAAAAAACAGGTTAATAATATTTCTTGAAAGGCAAAATCACTCTTCCTGTTATGGCCTCAATGCAGCAGGTATTCATTATATTTCTAAAGAGATTAAGAGTCTTGAAACCAACAGTGATGTGATTTGAGTTAATCAGAGTGTGAACTTCTGAGACTCAAACACCCACCTGAGTTCACGTTTCACCCTCCAGGTTGCCGTTCAGCAGCTTCGGGATCGTCTCAGTCGGGCTCTGGGACAGGCGGCGGTGCCGGCGCCGGCTCCAGTAACTCCAGCAGCTCCAGCAGGTCCTGCAGCTCCAGCACAAACCCCGAGAGTTCAGCCTCAGCAGCCTGTACCTTACCGGCACGGCTCAGCTCTGCCCCCGCAGCCCTTCAACCCGGCGCAGCCCCCCATGGTGCCTCAGCCCTCTGCAGCTGCTCCAGTCCCCGCACCTACACCTGCTGCCCCCGCCCCGTCACAGCAGCAGTATTACCAGCCTGTACGTACCTCTGACTTTACAGTTCACGTCCTCACACGGTTTACTTTTCTATAAGCCTGAATCAGAGCAAAACTTCATGGTCATTAAATTTTCACATATTAAGATTGAAACAGTTTTAAGTGAGAGTGTTTTTACCTCCTCCAAAGACAGGAAACATGTTCAAGTCAGACACTTGAGGACGGATTTTTATAAAAAGTTCGTAGTCTTCAAAATTCCTGATAAAGCTTCAACACTTTACAAATCTTTCTACCAGACTTTAAAATAAAAAACCCAAGTTTTTAGATGATCTCAGTTAAAGCAGGTTAATAGATAAAGGGGAAACTTGTGCTGTCATCACATCAGACTCACTTTAAGTTGCTGCATTTCATCAGATTTATTTGTCCAGAAACATTCACTCTGATTTCTTTGATACAGAAACTAGTTCCTGTTACTACACATGCTATTGGAACAGTTCCTTGTTGCAGAATCATAAGAAAAAGAGAAATTTGCACTTTAAGTTGAAGTCACTACATCGGGGATTGAATGCATCTTTTGAGTTTTAGGCTTAATTCCTGCAAAAACTTTTAATTTGAATCTGGAAATGCAAAAAAAAAAAAAAACTTCAATCAGAATCTTTAATCAGACAAAGATTGTTTATGAGAGGAAGATGCTCCTCTCTGTAACACTAAATAATATAATTTGTTGTAGTTAGGACCTGACTTGAGAGATCATAGCAAACAGGGAGATAAACACCATGTACTGTGTGCAAATAATACTTTGATAAACCGAATTAAACCAAACTAGAATATCAAGTTCAATATTTACCAACTAAGATGAGTAAAACTTAAGAATTAATCTGATTAAGTTAAACAAAATAGCTGTAAAGTATGTGTACATTGCGTTAAAATACTGTAAGTTAACATAACTAATATTTGCAGCTGACAGTTGTGATATAAAAAAAACATATTAATAAGGAGTTTAAAACATGTCTTGTGCAGTAAATAACTTTATCATCAGCATATAATCAAAACATGTTCTGGGGACGTTAAGACAAATACTGTTGATGTTAATTGTAAATGTCAGTGGTCCCAAAACAGAGCCCTGGGGCACACCGGTTATAATTGTTAAAATGGGTCAGAGGTCAAGCCTTCAGTCTGCTCACTCTGTGATCAGTTTTATAACTCATTTTCAATCCAACAGATTGATATGACAGTCCCGTGGTCTCCATTTCATATTTGCAAACAGTAAATTTCAGCTTGATAAACTTTCAGCTCATGGATACCGGTTTGAGAGAATCATTATGTTGCTGCTAAAATATGAAGTTTTTCAGTTTTTGTATTTAGCCCCTCATAAATATTCACAAAAACTCCGAAAATCAGAAAAGATGAACATCAGATCATTGAATTTAGTTCAAGTTTTAAGTTGGTTTAGTAAAAGCTCCATCCCCGTCACAGTCCAGCTGTCCTCCTAGTGACGTCTTCATCGCTCTCTTTGTGTTGGAGTCATCTCATTAATTTGGTTTCCATGGTAGCCAGGGTTTAAATCACATACTGGTTTATAAATGTGTAGTTGGATTATAAATGGTAATCTGTTCACTGTTGGGGGGTCTGGATCTGTATGCTTGTTGTATCTTTTAACTGTGGGGCATTTGTGATTCTGTCATTTGAACCCTGGCTCTGCTCCTGTGGTGTTTGGTCCCCCCTCCTCCCCTCCCCCCTCATTCCGCGGCCGTCACTCGTGTGTGCGGTGCATGTGTGTGTGTGCGTCTGTGTGTGTGTCTCTATGTGCTTCAGGTGAGGGCTGCCTCCACTGTTACCTCCTGGAGTAACCAAACTCCAACAGCCCTCCCCAATGTCCCTCCTCCTCCTCTTCAGGCAGAGCAGCAGGTACAAACTAACCTAAACACACACACCTGACCTCAACACACACCTCTTTACTTCTCTGCTGATGTTTTTGTACAGGCTGACTTCAGTTCTTTAAAAGTATTGATACTCACACTCATACCTGATACCTCCATAAACCCCACCAGGAGTCTGTAGTTATTCTGGTGACATCTGTTACCTGCTTTTCTTCATCACGTCCCCATCAACTGCTCTGTTTATTGTCATCTGTGATCATTCACTGCGTTTACTCAGTAGTACATAAATACCAGTTATTAAAGAAAAAAATTTGTGGGCAAAAGTCTGGATTCCAACATCATAATTTTAATTCTGAGGTCAAAGACAGACTTCTAATATCAGGTTTAGAGTTTAGCATCAGTATTTTGAGGGAAAATGTCTGAATTTTATTAATGTTCCAGATTTCAAAGTCGAAAGTCAAATTTCCAGTTTTAATCACAGAGCTCAATCACAGAGTTTTAATCACAGAGCTCAAAAGTGAATTCTGAATTCTGGGGTTAAAGTCGAAGTTCTGATTTCCAACTTTAATCGCAGAGTTTCAGAATAAAGTAGAATTCTAGAAATAAAGACAGAGTTATCTAATCAAATCAAACTTTATTTATAGAGCACTTTTCAGGCAAAAAGAAATGCAGCACAAAATCCTTTACAATTTTACAATGAAATCAAAGTCAAAATTCAGAAAAATTATGAATGAAAACTTAAATCAACGGCAACATGTTTTAGACTGCAGGTTATGATGCACAATTCGGATTTTTTGTTAAATCCGATCTTTTTGTGCGGTCGTTCACATTACAACAATGAATGCGGCATCTAATGTTAACGGAATATGTCCGTGAAGTGACCTGCATGCTCACAAAGCACAAATTGCTTTCTGCGCCTGTTTGTGTTGTCAAACAATGGTGACGTTTGTCGCATATTGATGACGTATAGGTCGGATGAACGCGACCTGAGCATCCACACTGCAGTCACATCGGATACATATCTGATTCATATCCACATACAAAAGAGGCCTGGGTCAGATTTGAAAAAATCAGAATTGCACTGTTCACACTTCCATGAAAAAATCAGATATGTGTCACATATGGTTAAAAAAATCAGAATTGACCTGCAGTGTGAACATAGTCTAAGACAACTTTATTAACCACACCAGGGGCAGTTGATTTGTTCAGCTTGCATACTGTCACCCTACAAAAACCCAAGTACACAGAACACACATAAAGTATATACAGAATGGATAAAAGTAAAATACTGTCGAGTGCAGTGGAATCAAGGACCAATAAAAAATTGGTTAATACATGGATTACTAAGAATACTGGCAAATAAAATGTACATGGTAAAAGAAATTAAATCATAAAGAATTTAAAAGACGAATGGGGACGAACTGGGAATAAAAGACTTAAGAAAACATTTAGTCTTACAGACAGATGAGACATAGCGCTGACGACGACCTGAGGGCAACAAAGAGGACGTGAGATAAAATTCAGAAAATTTGAAATCAAATTTTCGAGTTCACAGAATTGAATTTGGAAAACCGGAGTCAGAGTGTCGATTGTGTAAATGTTCTTAGCTCAGCTTCTCTGTCCCTCTGCCTGCACTGACTTCACACTGACGCAATAAAAACTCGAGGTCAGCAACATTTTTAAGAACATTTCACTCAGAACTACTTCCCCTCTGTTTGCAGCACACAGTTATTTCCACTTCAGACATCTGTGTGGTGCACAGATTTGTTTAATGCTGAAGCTTTATCTCCGAGTGTGGTTATATCATTTACAGTAACACATAAAAACATAATTTGATTTTTTTTCAAATGTCTAGAGACGACTGGAGGAGAAATCTATTAGTTTACAGACAGTCATGAGTGAATTTTCTTTTTTATTTTGATGCAGTTTTGATAAAGATCGTTGTTCCTCCTGCAGGTGGAGCCTCCTAACCCGATGTACGGGATGCCTCCCTCTGGCTCCGCTGCTGCTCCTCCTCCCTCCTCCACTCCTGCGTACATGTTCTCCCATCAGTACCAGCGTGAGTCCTCTGCTCTATATACTCATTTTACTCTCAAAACATCCTACTTCTCCTCTTTAAATCCATTTACTGTATGTAAAGAAAGATGGTGCATCTCTAACTCCAACCACAGGGGGGAGCTCTAAACATTTTGGCTTCACTTTAGTGGAGCTGTGATGTCTCTTATCTTTCATACAGCCTTTGTTTAAAATGATGGCAAACATTTTATTTTGAAATGTTTGATCCTTTAACTAACTCTGATGAGAATGTCCTGATGAGTGACCTGTTTGAATATTGACATTTCTTTGCTTGTTTATCACCTAAAAGCCGAACGAAGAGCATGTCTGTGTGTTTCTGTTTGATCTGCTGCATGATTCACTCGTTTCTTCACTAACAGCATCTTGTTTGTATCCTGTGTGAATCCCAGGATACCCTCAGGTCAGCCAGTACCCTCCTGGACCTGGAGGTGCTCCTATCTATCACCCTCTTCAGTACTCCTCCTCCTCCTCTTCCTCTGCTGCTGCTCCTCCTGCTGAACCTCCTGGTTTCCTCTCCCAGTACACTCAGCAGCCCGTCCCCTCTCAGCCCGCTCCTCCACTCTATCCGGGTCAACCTTACAGCAGCCAGTGCCTCTCCTCCTCTCCTCCATCACATCCTCCTTTCTTTCCAAACGCTGCACCTTCCTCCTCCTCCTCCTCTTCTTCTTCTTTTTCTGCTCCTGCGCCCCACGGAGCGTCTTTCCAGCATGGTGGGCCAGGATCACCTGTGTCGTACATGCCTCCTCCTCCTCCACCGTGCGGAGTCTCAGGTACACACCCGGACCCCGAGCCGGTCCCGGCCTCTCGGAGAACAGGTCTGCATGGCTCTGATCACTGAAAGTCCTCCTCCTCCAAACTCACTCAGCCTGATTTTAATATGACTCCTGATATTTTTCCTCTCTTAGGTCTTTAACATTGAGCTTTGATAGTGTGTCATGATTCAGTAAAGAGGAAAAACGAGCTGCTGGAGTTATTTGAACATTTTAAATCACTCGTATAAAGCTGTGATTTTGCTGCTTTTTTATTTGCTGAAGTCATTGATTGGTTGAAAACTTGAATTTTACCGGATTGTTTCAAATTTGTCTTGACGCTGCAGAAAAAAAACTGATTTGATGTTTCTAAAATGACCTCAGTTCAATCAGAAAAAGGTTCAATCAACCCCAGATTTAAGAAAAAAAAAAAAAACGAATTAAGCGATGAGCCTACACTTGAAAAAAATAGGGTTTCTAAAAGAGAGTTGGATGCAGCTCTGGTGTCTGAATATTTAGTATGAGGCTGAAAATGTGAGTGTCACAGCAAAAATAGCAAAAAATTACATCATGCTCAAATTACAATTTTTCAAGACCAAACTTGTGAGAGACAAATATATTCAAAGGAAGAGATATGTCATAATTGAATAAAAATTACACTGGAAAATAACCTGAAGACCAAAGTTGTAACTTGATCAAAATGAACTTTTAAAATTATAACTGGAAATATGAATTAAGGAGGATAAAGTTGTGAACTTAAGGGACTTAAAAAGTCTCAATTTATAAGAATAAAACTGTCAATTTAAAAGAATAGCAATGTTTCGACAATACATTTTAAGTTTGCAAGAATGAAGAAGGAAATTTACGACAACCGAGCAGGAAACCAACGGGAAGGAAGTCCTAAAATATTGATAAAAATGTGTAAATTACAGGAGTGAAATTAAAAAATTATAAGAATAAAGCAGTAAATTCACAAGAAAAAACACTTAAATTATAAACTTGCGAATAATCAAGAAACATTTTGTAAAATGTAAGAATTCAAGTTGGTAATTTACAAAACTACAGCTGTAAATATACATGAAAATAAAGTAATAAATTCATGAGAATAAAGTTATACATATAAAAAATGAAAGTGTAAATAAACAATAATGAAACTCTTAATTAATTACTGGGAGGAAATTTGGAAAAGTCTGCAAAAAATAATAGGATATCAGAAAACTCAAAACATTTAAATTATTGTATTTGGGAAACCTATCAAATGATATAATAAAAAGAAAAGATGAGTACTTGGTTAAAATATTATTATCTGCAAGTAAAAAGGTAATCACCAGATTGTGGTATAAAGCAGAACCACCAACTAGGGTGCAGTGGGTGTGCACTGTTGAAGAGATATGTGTAATGGAGAAACTCACACACAAATTAAGATTACAAGAAACACAATTTACAGAAAAGTTGGAAAAATAGACCGATTTCTGGAGGCCAGAAGAAGACACCACCACTATCAGTGGATAATAAGGACATTGATATAAGGAGGATTTATGAATGTGATCAATCGTTGTGCCCTGTCACTGTAACTGTTAAAAAAAAAAGAAACTCTTATTTTTTCAGGACTTAGTTGTAAATTTACAAGAATAAAGTTGCAAATTTAAAAGACTTATTTCTTCATACTTTCAGAAAGGTTTTGTTCATTTATGCACAAAAATTAGTCACATTAGTCACAGGAGGACAGATTTGTTATGATTTATTCATTCATTTTTATATATGAAACCTTTTTTTGCCCATATCACCAGAAACTAAATTTCCCCCCAAAATTTTCCCTAAAATTTCAAATTTTGTGATCAAAGCTGTGGATAACAAACTGATGATTTTCACTCACTCAGATTTAAATCTCAATTTAATTTTTGTTTATTTTTGTACACTGGCAGCGTCAGATTGAGTGAATGATCTGGATTTTGTTTTCTGTAGGACCTCAGAACGGCTGGAATGACCCCCCGGCTCTGAGCAGAGCACCAAAGAAGAAGGTAACCCTCTCCATGAAAAGGTTTTAGATTGATCCAGGACTCGTTAGAGATGAGGGTGTGCTTAAACCTGTTTTCCGTCATGCAGCAGGCTCCACAGAACTTCACCCCTCCTCCTCCCATCACCGCTCCTATCATGGCTCCTTTGGGCGCGGACCCTCAGGCCCAGCCCGTCCCCCCTGGTCCCCCACAGGCCATGGTGCAGGGCGGTCCACAAGGAGCCCAGGTCCCTTACTCAGGCATGCAGCAGCAGCCGCCGCCTCCAACCATGAACGCTACGATGCCCAAAACCAGTATGGAGGGACCACCAGGAGCCCCGACTGGAGATTTCATTCAGGTGACACAGACTGACTCTGAAAATAACCTGCTGTGATGATTATAGATTATTTTTACATTTTTATTGGGATTATGATCAATATCTGCTCTCCCTTTCAGCCTCTGCAGTCGATCCCCGCTGAGAAGATCCAGAAGAAACCGATCCCTGATGAGCACCTAGTCCTGAAGACCACGTTTGAGGGTCTGATCCAGAAGTGCTTGGCTGTAGCTTTGGATCCTGTGAGTCCGTCAAACCAGGATGAGTTTATACTGAGTGTAAAATCATCAGTTATCAGACGTGTTAACATACTTTTTATCTCCTCACAGCAAACTAAGAGGAAGCTCGATGACGCCACCAAACGTCTGGAAGCGCTTTACGACAAACTCCGAGAGCAGACGGTGGGTTCAGTTTGGGGTGAATTATGGCGCCCCCCTGTGGACAAAATCTCTATTATATGATGTATTCAGAGCAGTGGTAATCTTTAACAGTATGTGTCAGGTTCAGGCCGCTTTAGTCGAGTTGGTCTTCGAAAAATGTGGATGTCGATTAAGGATGTCAAGGTTTGGGTTCCTCTGTTTGTCCCTCCAGCTCTCTCCAGCCATCGTAGGAGGACTTCACAACATCGCCAGGAGTATAGAGTCCAGATCTTACACCGAGGGCCTCAACATCCACACACACATCGTCAGCAGCAGCAACTTCAGCGAGATCTCAGCGTTCATGCCTGTCCTCAAAGTGGTGCTGACACAAGCCAACAAATTGGGAGTCTGAACAGACGGAGAAACCTCCAAACTCCTCAGAGGAGCCGTCGGGCGACGGACGGGTCAGAGGTCGAGCTCATGTCACAGGGAACTCAGTTTGACTGGCTGATAGAACGATGAAGAACTCAGAGATGTGCGGAAATCTAGTTTTGAATCTTTTCTGTGCCATTCATGTTTTTTTGTTTTTTTTTATTCAGGAGCATCTCCAAACGTAAGCCATGCTATTAGTCGACTCAGTGGTGAAAGTAAATTCTGAGCCTGCCGTGAGGAAAGAGCTGGAGGCCGATTCATCGCAGAACCACCGTCATGCTAACATTAAAAACAGGAAACGGTTTTTGATTTTTAATTCAAACATGTTGTCAAAGGAATTCAACGTAATCGTAAACCTCTAAAACAGCAACTAAATAAACACTAAAAGTCCTTAGATATAAAAAATGAATATATGTGAATTTATAAAATCTAATTTTCTGGGACTAGGATTCATCAGGAACAGAAACAAAAAGCAACTTTACAGGCATTTTAGTCAAAATGTGTTGAGACGATCAAAACAAATGAAGTCGCCTTCAGAATAAAATTAATGTAAAATAATTATTAGTCAAAAAACTTGGATGAATAGAATCAATAGCAGCAACTCCAAACTGTGTGATCATGCACGCAAGCAATCATTTCATAACTATAAGCTTCTTCAGTCTTTATAATCATTTAATATTCTTGCACTACAGCATTAATCATACATGGAAATATGTCACTAATGAGTCTGCAGCTAAAAATACTGAGTGAGATTTTCAAAATGATGTCAGTGCCCAAGAACAATCAACATATTTGTCAGTTTCTCTGATTAAAGAGATTTTGTTTTTAAATTTGTGAGTTCAAACCCCAAATATTTAGTTAATTTTATTTCAGCATCATGAGACAATATCTCAAAAAGAAGAGATAGTATTCAAAAATAATGGATTTGCTTCTGATTTAAAGGGTCCAAATAATGAGGTATTACATTAGTAATAATGAGTTAGTTTTTTTAAGTTAGTTTCAAATGATGACAAAACTATCTGATCCTATAAAGGTTTGTTAAACTTTCTCAAACTCAGGACTTTTTATCTTTAAATTACAAATAAATGGACATTTTCTTGACAAGAAATCTCAGTTTGATGATATGAAATAACATCTCAAACTAAATCTAAGTAACTAAAAAGTCCTTCTATCTCTCAGCATGTTTCAGTAACTCATCAGTAAAAATATTCTATAATTGTCTTTATGATGATTTTCAGGATCTGTTTTTTCCCCATTAAATTGGCAATAAAAGGCTCCTGTATTTGTATTTACTCTCTGTCCCGTCTTACTCTCACCACTGGAGTCACTGCATACAACACATAGGACCAAGATAAAGTCAGTTTGTGGGACAAGTCAGTGCAGTCCCATCTGTCTACAAAGTTTCATGTTTTATTTTTTGTTTTAGTTTATTTTTCACTGTAATCATGCGGCTCAGGAGAGTGCAATGGACTTTTAAAAGACGAGGCTGTGCTTTTATGAAATTTTACAGTATGCATGCTTAAACAAACGCTACCAGTCTTCTGTAAACGGCATTGGCGGTAATTATGTACTAATTAATCCGACCTCAGAGAGAAACTGGAAGGAGACTTGTACTCGATTTTCATTCCAACTATGATGAGGGCTGCAGTCTGAGTGGTCAACCTCAGATTATGTTGTTAATAAAGGAAAACAAGTCTTTGTTTCAAGATTGACCACATGCAATATTTTCAATAAATAGTATTTATTTACATTTTGATTCTGCCTGTTTGTTCTCTTTTTCTTTTGCTTTCATGAAATAAAAGAGTGAAGACGACCGCAGCACAAGTGTACATGCAGGTAACACACTGAATCCATTTAAACTGATACTGAGCCAAACACATTTACCAAAACTAAACTGAACACAATGATTTGGACGTAAATAAAAATGTATTTTGATTATAGCCTGTTACGCACAGTAAATACATTATGACATGGATACAGTTAGTCTGCTGAGGATGTGACTACAACTGTATCCATAACAACAGTGCACTGCCAATAAATAACAGAATGTTGCTATGAAGTGTTGACCAATCAGAATCAATCACATCCAGACTCTGAGACTGCTCCACAGACACTTTTATCTGTGTTCAGGAGTCATCTATTTATTGAGTCATCTATTTATTGATTTTTACCAAAGTTAGCATTTGAAGCACTGCCAAAGAGTCTGAGAAAGACAGTAAGCAAGCTAACCAGAAATTTTCTGCTCCATAAACACCAATTTTATTAATTTTTGGTTGCTCATGTCCCTGCATCTCTGTCCCGATACATATAGACCCCTTCCAAAAAATTTGAATATCATGGAAAAGTTTATTTATTTCCATAATTCCATTAAAAAAGTTAAACTTTCATAGATTATAGCCCACAATTAAAACAATTTAAAGTATTTATTTGTTTATTTTTACATAATTTGGGCTTCCAGCTCATAAAACACCAGGAAAACAGGAATTCAAAAAATTAGAAAACTGTGAAGAAACTGGTATCTGGAATACAGCACCAACATGCAATGCCTTGAGGTATTTCCCAGGGATAGCCTGAGATAACCAAAGTGTGGAATGTGGGCATTGTGTCTCTTTTATGGTACCTGGTCCAAACATCCTGGCTGTTGAGGGTTTGCAGGTCACAGGTCAGATAGGTGTACACTGTGTGCAAAATTATTAGGCAAGTGAGTATTTTGATCATATCATCATTTTTATGCATATTTTCCAACTCCAAGCTGTATAAACTTGAATGTTTATTGGATAAAAGCATATCAGGTAATATGTATTGGTGTAATGAGGGAGGCTGGGGCCTAAGGAGATCAAAACCCTATATCAAGGTGTGCATAATTATTAGGCAGCTTCTTTTCCTCAGGTAAAATGGGCCAAAAAAGAGATTTAAATGACTCTGAAAAGTCAAAAAATGTAAAAAGTCTTTCAGAGGGATGCAGCACTCTTGAAATTGCTTAGATATTTGGGCGTGATCACAGAGCCAGCAAACATTTTGATGCAAATAGTCAACAGGGTCGCAAGAAACGTGTTAAGAAAAAAAGACGCAAATTAACTGCCAAAGATTTGAGAGGACTTAAACGTAAAGCTACCAGGAATCGCTTCTCCTCCGGTGCTGTCATATTCCAGAACTGCAACCTACCTGGAGTGCCCAGAAGTACAAGGTGTTCAGTGCTCAGAGACATGGCCAAGGTAAGGAAGGCTGAAACCTGACCACCACTGAACAAGACACAAGTTGAAACGTCAAGACCGGGCCAAGAAATATATGAAGAGAGATTTTTCAAAGGTTTTATGGACTGATGGGATGAGAGTGACTCTTGACGGACCAGATGGATGGACCCGTGGCTGGATCAGTAATGGGCACAGAGCTCCACTTCGACTCAGACGCCAGCAAGGTGGAGGCGGGGTACTGGTATGGGCTGGTATTATTAAAGATGAGCTAGCTGGACCTTTTCGGGTTAAAGATGGACTTAAAATCAACTCACAAATCCAATGCAAGTTTTTAGAAGCTTCAAGAATCTTGCAGAGATCCAGAAAGAGTGGAATGAGGCGGGAGTCACAGCTTCAAAAACCTCCACATTAAGGATCTGTATGGAGATGCAGATTTCATCTTCCAGCAGGACCTGGCTTCTGACCATACTGCCAGAAGCATCAAAACCTGGTTTGATGCCCATGTCATCACAGTGATTGACTGGCCAGCCTAATTTCTTTTTTTTCTGCAACAGCTGAGAAGTAAATGGTGATTTATTTACAGTTTTCAAATTTTTTGAATTCTTGTTTTCGTGGGTTTTATGAGCTGGAAGCCAAAAACTATGTCTCCACTCAACTCAACTTTATTTGTAAAGCACTTTAAAACAACCACAGCTGACACACAAATAGACAAAACAACATCATAATGTAATTATATAATTAATAATACAGGGATTCTTGAGAGTCGGGACAAAACACTTCCTAAAAAACTTTTTTTGAGAATGCACACTATATTGATTAGAGTTATTTATTACTGTAGAGAAAGGTCTTCGCTATTTAACCCCGTAAAGGAACAGGCTGTAAATAAAAACATTTTTCTATAAATTAACATGTTTCCCTTAGACAGTGAATTTGTGTCAACTCCATCAGACACACAAAAAAGAATATAATTTTAATAATTCTAGTCCAACAAGAATCTAAAGTTCTGATGTATGTTGTAATAGTGTTTAGTTACTCTGATATGCCATGAAATATAATATATAAACCTAATGTGTGATTTCACACTATTTTGAAAACCAAGATTTCTAAATAGTTGTATTTTCAAACTTTGTTTTTAATTTTTATATTATAAAAACAATTTCTGTAAGTAAATAAGAGACAAGAGGATGTAGAGCCAATGCTCCTTTATTACTTAAACAATATAAACTGAAGAAACAAATTTTTTTTTCTCCAAAATTGAAGAAAAACATACATCTGACGGTGTTGACGAACACCTGACGGAGTTGACGAGAAACTGACGGAGTTAATGACATTGCATATGTTATTGAACAAATGTGTTTTTAAACCGATTGACAATAGGTCAATAGGTGAAAATAGATTAAGAACTAATAACTCCTTGTTTTCATACTGAACATAACGTTAATGCAATTAACCACCGCGCCGACAAGGCGTTTCCAAGCACATTTTCGTATTTTGGTGAGTTGTGCAGCCCGGCATAAGTATCCCCCCTCCCCTAACTCAGCTCCTTCCAGCGGCGTAGGTCATAGGGAGGGAGGAGAGAGGGCATGGAGTGGGTTAAACACAGCCGAGACCTGTATTGACCAATAACATCAGCTCTTCTCGCCTTTGAATCCGCCACTAGCGAGGCGTATTACCATTTTCGTGAAGTAGTCAAAGAGATCAAGAGATGTCTGAAGACAGCAATGCCACAAGATGGCGACAGAAGGCAGCTCCTTAACAAGTGTCACTGTAAGCGCTGCATTGGGCGTCCTTCACACTGTCTCATATAAGCACAGATGGATTTGGTGTGTGTAAGGTTGTACCCACTGGTAAGACAAACACCCTTTTCCACAAATAAAGACAATCACATTAAATTGCATATATTTAAACCTCACGTGACAAAGGTGGGTTGTGCGCAAAGGTCACAACATAAATTCCAATAATGGCATTAAAATCGGAACCAATCTGTGTGTAAATCGCGCTCCGTGGCCTGGCTCTTTCTTTCATAGATGTTGGCATATAAAATAAATTTGGCTCACAAAACTGAATATTATAATATTTGTATGTAGGCTTAAAGTAAAAAACTCATCTGATCACTGGAACAAATCATCTGTTCAGCTGCCGCAGCAGCAGCTGCAGCAGGACGGGTAGAGGACACGGAGACATGTCCAGGTTGAGCTGCGCGAGAAATAAGAGGAAGAGGAAGCTAGAAATGGGGGCAGACAAATTAAATATCTTGTTAACTTCATCATGCGTGTCTATTTACTAGATATTTGATTCAATTTCATGCGGATTCAGCAGCTGTGTTAATTTGGTCAGGTTGAGTGTCCAAACGCGTGCCAAATGCGCTCATCAGATCAGATATAGATCAGAATACATCGATATAAATCTAAATGTATGTGCTGACACAGATTATTAGTTGTTATTGATTATTTATTGCACGGAAATGTTCCTGACACTGTGGAAACCTGTTGGTGAGGCCGATATGCCGCCGGTCTCCCAAAATACCACTAGCCCATCCGGATCCACCTGTGCTGAAAGCTGACCAGATTTGAATCTGCAAGCTTTCAGCGCACTTTACACGCCGGCAACAAGTACGAAAATGTCGCTGCACCAGCTGATTCTGTGGACACCTCACCCTGCCACACATCCACGCCCAGCCTGGCGGACCTCGGTGCACCTCAGTCCACGAAAATACCAAACTGGCTGTACGCTGAGCTCCGCCAGACGAAAATGCCACTGCGCGGGGTTCACCACCCTCCGCCATGTCGCCGGTGGACACAAAAATAGAGCCCAAGGTCTGAGGGTCCAAGTTAACAATGTAAAAATAATAACCTTTTTCTTCTATCTGGTATCCCACCTACACTGGGGTTTAAAAGAGCAACATAGAACTTCTTGTGTGTGTGTGTGTGTGTGTGTGTGTGTGTGTGTGTGTGTGTGTGTGTGTGTGTGTTGGGAAAGTTTGACAGTTATAATTAAGCAGACAGCCTGCCCATGGTCTACTCTACAAAACAGAAGTATATGGTAAAATAACGTAATATATGCTATATATGTACTTTTATGTGCAGATAAGACCCTGGAATAACATTGTTATCCTTAACCATGTTCAAAAATAGCATAATGTCAGCACATTAAGAGGTTATAGGTGGATTTGTCAACTCCATCAGCTTACATGTCAACTCCGTCAGACACAAAATCTGACGGAGTTGACGCCTGACGGAGTTGACGTAAGGGCGTGTATTTTCCCTCCAAAACATTTATTGTACAGTGCAGGTAGCTACTTTTTTGGCAGTTGCTAGCTGTCCTGATAATCTCACTAAAATACTTTAATTGAACTCACTATGGTTTAAAAAAAAGTATAATAATGGAGAGACGGTGTTGACATGGTCCAGCTGTGACCATAAAAATATTGACATTGTTTCTCTAAAATATCAAAAACTGTAAAACCTACCAGACCATGTGTGGTGGTGTTGCATTCACCAGAAGCAGGAAATGAAAAGGGGTCCCCAGGGATATAGCTGACCATGATATTGCATGATTTAATGAGGTTTATAGAATAATCTGATGGAGTTGACAGAAACTGAGGACACAACTTTGATAGGCAGATTTTTAGGCAAAAAGTTATTTGATGTTCAGGCCATTCATTGTTTATATATTTATAGCCCTGAATTTTTATTTGATGTATATGTTTTCACAATTATAGAATTTTTTAAAGTTTTTTGGGGCTGGTCAATATTGTGACCTCTTGCTGAGGACACAAGCAATAACATGGACCTTCTAACCACAGACGTTTCATTTAAACAAATATCCCCCAAAAAAGTAAATATCTGTGCTAAAAAATAGGATTGGTATACACAAATCCATTAGATTTAACTTTTTGAGTATGTCAAACATTTAGAATTTCTTAAATGTTTTGAATAAATTAGACTTTTTTATGTAGGACATGTTTTGTCCCGACTCTCAAGAATGGGTGAATAAATAACATGGAATTATGTAATATTAAACAAATAAATACTTGAAATTGTTTAAATTGTGGGCCCTGAATCTATAATCTATGAAAGTTTAATTCTTTGAATGGAATTATGGAAATAAATAAATAAATAAACTTTTCCATGATATTCTAAATTTTTGGAAAGGGTCTGTAAAGCAGGTAAAGCTGGTATCTTAACGGATCTTGTGGGTTCGTTTTTGCGTCTTTTTTCTACCTAAAAACATTAAAATTTACACATTTATTGATTCAGTGTAGAATGATTTAATAGATTTGTATGCATTTTTTTTTGTTCTGTATATCACGAAGTTGTGTTAGTGTTTTCTTCCCGGTAATTGCCGCTATAACGCCTTTCATGTCACGTTGACGTGTAGATTATTTCCAGTGCTTTTATTTTGAAGGATCAACCACCGGAAGTTCTGCTAATCTCCGTGTTATGGTCGGGAACACCGACCGACGCAGCCGCCCTCCTCCTCGACCTGGACACAGAAGCGGGACGAATGGCCGCGGGACGTTTACTGCAGTTTAATTTCTATTAACTTAACATTATGAAAAAGTGTGTAGATGATAAAATTATATTAAGATTTAACGGCTCTCTGTCTGACGTTGGCCGTTGAAGGACCGGAACTTAGTGCAGCCGTTTGGATTCGTTTTATTTGCAAACCAACGAGAATTTCCTGTTTCCTACTTTTAGTGTTTACATGTGGCCCAGCTGTTTCGTCGTCTGTCATCTTCGGTACATTAATTTATTTCAAAAACGTAAAAAAAAAATACGACTAAAGACGGAATAAAATAATATGAATTAAGCTTATTAATGTGATAGCAGCTTTTCTTACATAAGAAAAAATACATAAAGCCAAATATCCAGACAATATCTAATTTAATTTGTTTTTATGGTTTCAGATGAGACAAGATGTTGAATTGTAATCCCTGGGCTCTCCTCCCTCCGGTCTACTCTGCCCTCACGGCTGCTGGACTCTGGGTGGTGTAAGTGCAAACTATCAGTCTGACCTCTTATTATAACTCCTTTAAAAACAATCTACAGATTTATTTTGCAGAGTGGAAACAACCACAAAAAAGACTGAGTATTGTTGACAGATTCAGAGCTAAAAAACAAAACAAAAAAACAAATAGATGCAAAAAATGTGTTAGACTTATTGTTAAATAAGTGAAGCAGACATGACAAGAAAAAATCCTACACAACATGCATTTGCTACTGTGAAATTTGAAGAACTGGAGTACAAACAGGGTGAAATCTCCTGAAAAAGGATGCAGAGTAACTTCTAAGGGTTGCACAACATCTTCAGGGTGATACAACTTGACAACAAAAGGATGCAAACTGACAAATGACAATACAAAACCACAAAAAAGACACAAAACTATAACAGAGAGACACATAAAAGTCAGTGGAATTGAATAAAACTGATAAATACATGCAAACGATCACCATTAACGACTTAATGAAGGTAAAAGAAAACTACAAAGACAACACCAGCTTTAAAAAATGCTGCAGATCCCATGTTTATTTTAAAGATGTGTGTTTTAGACAAAAACCTGCAAAAGTGAGATAAAAGAGAATACTACAATGATCCAAAACCCCTCACCAAATGATAATAAAAGAGACTTAATGAAAGCAAAGTTACAATAAATTTAAAGCTTTTGCTTTCAGTTTGAGTTTAGCGCCCCCCGGGGACAAGCTTGCATGTCTAAATAATCTCCTTCCTGCCTCTTTAAATATTTAACTTCTCTTACAGGAAAAAGCAGCTATATCAACAGCCTTACTTCCCCTGACAGTGGTTTTAAACATTATAAATAACTGTAAAGAAATAGTCCCTGTTCTTGTACAATGTTCTGTTTTCTTTTTTAGGTCATAAAAACACAGTTATTTATTTTATCTGTGAATTTCCTCTCTGGTTGTCTCTTTTTACACAGATATTTTGTAGCGCTCTTTGATCATAGGATTATACCTCTGGGAACCAAATACAGGTATTTACTATTATCAAATTATTGAATATGTTGCACAATAAATAACTTGATTTTTTTGCAATAACTGTTTTATATTACTTGTAGGAAGAATGGATCAAGGTATCCTCCCTACATCAGGTACATATTGGTCATCTCCTTTAAAGAATTTATGCAGTGATTAATGTGGTTTGTATTAACAGGAACAGAAGACACAAATACCTTCTCTTTGCTTTGACAGTATTGCAGGAAATTTTGCACCAGCCAGCTGCATCTTTAGCGAGGTCATGAACTTGGCTGCATTTGTGGGTAAGAGCAAAGATTTCCCTAAAACACTGCAGTTAATTTGCTTTAAACAGAGGATTTAGTTTGTTTGAGACTTTTTTAAGCCCTGGATGAATTTAACTTTAATGTTCAAATGAGTATTTGGTGCAGCCGAATGATGTATGTGGAGTTCAGTCAAAATAAGGGAACTTTTCATAGTGATGAAAGTATTTGGAGGAAACCACTTTTATCTGGAGTTAAACCTGTAAAAACTGTTGACAAAACAGTGTGCCTTGTCTTGTTATTGAATGACTGGCCTCTTGTGTTTTTCTTTGTTATTCTTCATTGCAGGCTTCACCATCGCTGTTCTCAGATACCTCCAGGTGAAACGCAAAATGAACAAACAGTGGCTGAACATCATCAGCCTTGTAGCCTTTTCCATCGGCTGCTTTGGGATGACACTCTTAGGAAACTTTCAGGTAAAATCTCACAGTAGCATGGATGTGTGAGTTTTATAGACAGACCTGAGATTAGTTCCAGAGATCTGATTGAGTGATTCTACTTTCAGGTCTTTGCCGATGAGTTGGTCCACAACCTCGGCACCTTCATGACGTTTGGCTTGGGGACGGTGTTCTGCTGGATCCAGTCTTACATCACTCTGATAGTAAACATAAAGAATGAGGGGAGGAAGACTGGGATCATGCGCTTCATTTTGTCTGGATGCGTCACAGTCTCCATGGTTCTCTGTATCCTTTACCTCTGAATGAGTTTAATACTGTTTCAAACCTATAATTTACAATTTTTAATGGGTATTTTTCACTTACTGAAACAGATTTCTAAATTGAAGATTACATACAAAGTGCATATAGAATCATGAATAACTTATACAATATGTTTTACATTGTAAATCTGGTCCTTAACTCACCTGCTGCAGACTTCATCCTCATCTCCCAGCATTTCCACACGCAGGCAGCGCAGTGCCAGTGGGCGCTGGTCATGTTCTTCCTCATTTACCTCAGCACTTTTGCCGTCGAGTTTCGTCACCACAGCTTCGAAATAGAATGCACAGAAAACTGTGGACGTCCAGAGAGCCAATCAGAAATCTTGTCTGAATTGTCCACAAACCATCCCAACCAGCTGTAAGGAGAAGGAGGAGGCCATGCTGTTTCTCCTGAAATCTCCTCAGTTTTTTACCTTATGGATGTTAATGTTGTTTCAGCTCCTACTTTTACCACTGATGACATACAATCAAATCTACACATACTGTATTTATGTTTCATTTCTTGAATTTCTATTTTTATCTACAAGATTTTTAAAAGTTATATTATTCATGTTACATGTGCTGTCATTGATTTGGTGTACTCTTTGTGTTCAATAATATGTTTACTTCTTTTCTTGAATTGTTGTTCTTTTTTTGAACACTTAAAGGCATATTCTGGCATAAAATTAATTTAGGGTCAAACACACCGTAACACTGAATTAATGTTGCTGACCGCTTGCTTCTCTAGTTATACCAACTTTAGTAACGACCGTAGGATAGCAATACACAGTGGCCCGAGGAGCCATAAACAAACCTCAACCAAAACACCACTCTATAGACACAAATAATGCTCAGAACAGCACCTAACTTCATCAACAGGACATATAGGGTCCCAGCCATAGTACTAGCCACCAAACATCTTTTTAACTGTGCCTAATTTTTTTAGCAGACACTAAACACACCTCACCTACTCTCTTCCAGCAGCCGTTTGTTTGTACGGAGACCTCAGGCAAGTCTACTATGGACTGCTGCGGGATGATGCAGCTCAAGGAAGAACATTTATGATCATTTCTTCATGGAAATGCAATCAGACTGAGACACTAAGGCAAAAGAACAACCGGAAATGATAAAGAAATGATCATAAATGTTCTGTGTGCTGTTCTGGTTGGCAATACTAATTTCTCGAGGAGGAGTCTCACTCGGTATTATGATGTGTTTGACCCTGAATTATTTTTACGCTGGAATATCCCTTTAAAAGGGACTTCTTGATTATTTTTTATAATTTTAAAAATGCAAGTTTTGCGCAGTATGCAATCACAATCAAAGTAGGATAAGTTATTCATTGGGGTATTGTTCAAATGAAGAAAATATTTTAAGGAAAAGATACAGTCCATTGTTGCTCACCATAAAGCCAATAAAAGAAGCATTGAAATACTCTGCAATTGAAATATTAATAAAACCGTGACACCTGCTAAACAAAGGGGTTCTCCGCTTAAAAGTTGAGCGCTGCTCAGTCTTAATAAGCAACGAGTTTGAGAAATACTCCCATTCCTTTGCTATTAACACGGTAGCATATCAATACTGATTAAACGGAAAACTAACCGTCGGTAAATGGCTAGTACCTAGCTTGTTTCAGAGCTAACAAAGTCTGGGAGTTAGCACACCTTTAGCATGGCTGTTAGCTGATATACCGTTAAAACCATCGACTGTATATACTATATTCCATACAGTCTATGGTTAAAACCAAAGGTCATTACTGGGTTTTTATAAATGCCAGTGTTTTAACGCTATATATTAACCTAGTGTCTGGGTCTTTCTGCCACCAGTGATGTCTGTATATGTGGATTTTCCCTTAAAACATTCAAGATTGTTATCAAAACAGTTAACAGTATTATCAAACACCAAAAATATTTTAAAAAATACATATAAATAACTTCAATAAAGGAAAAATACCAATCTCAGTGTGAGACAAGGCATTTATTGGAAGTTTTTTAGATCATTTCCTGAATAACACCAATTATGCTTCACACATAAATTATCAATTTGGCAACGTTTGGGGTAACTTTCCAACACCAACAATACATTATGATTAACAGGGATGGCACATTGAAACAGACACCATTCGAGAGGATTTATTAAGACATTCAAAGAAAAATGAGAACTCTGTCAGTAGCACCAATGCTTTCAGTACATCTCTACTGAGCTTCTACTTCCTAAACATTAACAGGGTCTTCTCACAGGATAGTTAGCATATGTGGAGAGGAGGGAAACAGCACATCGATGGAGAAGGTTTTACAACATACATACAGCCGGAAAGTTTGATTTAAGTTAAATAGTTGAAAACTGACAACCAAATACAGTCTTCCTGAAAAGGTAAAAAGGTAACATCAAATGTCACGTGCTGAATTTTTGTTCTCTTTTGGATCAACGAAATGGTCCATGAGAGAGAGAGGTTCCTCAAACGCTCCGTAGATCTGTGACCAACATCTGGAAGGCATTCAGAAATATGGGGGAAGTACATTTCTTACAATCTGGGACTCCAGGAGCCTCACTGATGGCTGACTGCAGTCCCAGCAGCACCTCAGACGCCTCCTGAACAGTCAAAGTGGAACAAATAAAATATCAGAAAAGGTATGGGGAGGTGGTGAGAGTGGGAACGGGGTCAAAAGAGTAGGAACAGATCAGCAAACAGAGCCATGCTCTCCATGTTAAGCACCCGACAGTTCAAGTTGGCTAAAGGACGTGATGAGGTTATAGTGGGCTCTTTCATCGTCTGTCAGCTCCATGTTTCCAGGTCGGACCACCACCACCACGTTAGCACCGGCTTCTTCAGCTGCTTTGGCCTCTGTGACCACATATACAAGAGTATGAATACACAGACCAGAAACATTAACACAACTTTAACATGCCATCTGTTCTCCTCAGCTTGTTACATCTGGCTAGTAGAGCGTTATAGTGTCAGCTGGAGTTATCTCAACGTGTAAAGTCCTTGCAGAAACAGGAACAGCTTTAAGCTACAGCTGCACATGTGTTTATTGATGTTTATCATATGTACTAACTCAGCCACAAGCAAAGCACCCCCCCCCCCCCATTTAAACTTTCACCAAACACCCAAATGAACCACCACTGTTTGTCTCACAATACTGCAGCAACAACTGTGTCACATTCAAACCCCTTTATGTTCATTATACTATAAGTTTGCAGCTGAAAAAAAACAGGCACACATTTGCCAAAGCAAAGACAAATAAAGCACATTTGATTTACCATGTTTTGATTTTTAATCTGAACAAACTTGCATGAAAAAAAATCAGTCCTGAGGAAGGAAGTGCTCATAACCTGTTTGTTAGACCCCTGGGATACACAGTGTGTGTTTATTGTCAAATACTGTATGTAGACCTTTTTTTAACATAAAGAATCCCCCAAGGTAGTTTTTTAACAAGACTAACGGCTTTTCTCTGAAAGTGCTTCAAGCTAAATACTAATGTAAACACGCAACCAAACACTAAAGGTGTGTAACAGGTGTGAAGTTTGTCGTCTTGGTTGTCAGTAACAGAAACTGTAATCTAATGAACGGTGACTTTCTACAATCCACCCCTCAGAAACCCCTCATTAATAACAGGAGAAATAAAAATGTAGCTCATGTTTGTGGGAGCATGAGCTAGCTGATTCTTTTCACAGGACATGACTGAAGAAGAGAACGGCCTTTAAATAGGTGTGCACACTTTAGGGGGCCCTGAGTATTGATTACAGGCTGAAATGGACTGAATCGGCTCGTGTTTCTTGGAAATAATCATCATTGTATTGACTCACAATGGAAGTAGAACATCCTCTTTTTTACAAAGCATGCTGTTAAGACTTAAACGCAACATCTGCAAAGCTGTAATAAAATTACTATCGCTACGCTAATACACTGACCTCGAGTGACATCTGTCAAGAATGTGATCTCCTCAGGTGGACAGCCGATCCTCTCAGCAATCCTCTGGTAGCTTTTACTCTCCACTTTAGCTCCTATAGTGGTGTCAAAGTGACCATCTAATAACTGAAATGATTAAAAAAGACCTCATCAGCAAGTTTGAAAAGCAAGAGTGTGCTATTTTGATTAAGAATAAAAATAATAAAACCAAAAATATCCACTACCAAGTCAAAGAAGCATGAAAACTCGTGGGCTAAGATGTCAGTGCGTCTATTTGTCTTCAATACTTTCTGATAATGATTCACTCTGAGGGGTCACTTACATCTAAAACATCTCCTTCCACAGAGTATCCAAACAGAAGTTTCTGTGCCTCCACACTTCCAGAGGAGTAAATGAACACTTTGAGTCCTTTTTCTCTCCATCGCTTGATGGACGGAATCACATCCTGGTAGACCCTGTGAGGAAAGACAGCACGTTTCCAGGATCAATCCCTGATTGCATTATAAAGTGGCGATCAGGTAAACCGTAACAGTACTCATTTCCTGGTGCATCATTTTAAAACATTCTCTATGAGTGGAAATTCTTGCTGCATTAAATATTCATGTTGATGATGTTTTTGGAAACCTTGACAAGTCATCGGAGCGTCTGCATAAGATTTAAAGTGAGAAAAAAAAGATCATTTTACTTACTCGCCTTTGATTCTCCCTGAAGAATACGCCGCTCTCCACATGTGACCCTGGAGCTGTTTGAGAGCTGTGGATTTCCTGTCTGCCGCCATCTGCCACAGCACGTTATCCACCACCTCCCTGATGGCCTTCTCCTCGTCCGTGTGAACTGTCTGATCCACGGTGTGGACGGGACACGAACGATTCTGTCTCATGTCCTCTTCGATCTGAAATACATAAGGTCTACATTTTTTGTTGCCCAATTTTTTTTCTTTTTTTTTTTTTGACACATTTTAACTACAAACCTCATAATATACTTTCATACCATTCCTTACCACAACACTTGAGCAGTGTACACTACACTACAAACCCTCTTTCAGCCATTACTGTTTCATTTTTACCTGTTTCTTTAGGAGATGAACGTCTTGCTTGCACTCGTCTTCCTCCCAGTGAGAGGACAAATAATCTTCAAGATGCTCTTTAATGTATGGGAATAAAACATCCTGAAAATGACAAAGATGAGTCAGCAAGTGCACTGGGAGAGGCTCCTCAGAAAGTAGATATACTAGAGAATACTGGTTTGTACTTGTTTACAAAATTATGATTTTTTTTTTTAAACTTTAAATTTATACTTCTTTCATTGCTATGTACTTTTTCTATTTTCCATTTTAAATATTTTATGTATGTAGCCCGGATTTGTTATTGTGTGTGGTCATGGTGCGTTTACACGATATGGGATATTTGGATAAACTGAGTAGTGTGTCCTCCGATAATCCATAACAGCTGTGTGCTATCAGGGTATGTTATAACGAGATTCAAGTTAGGCTCACTGACATTATAAAGTTATTAAAAAGAGGAATATACATTTGAATTGGGCTTTATTACTGTGTACTGAAGGACGGAGTTTATTTACATTGGTTGTCCATATTTGCTGATAGGTACTTTTTCATGGGATAACTTCGTATTATATAAACGAGCTTTTATAAAACTGAAAACTTCTATAGGTTATTATGGGTTTATTACATGACTGTTACTGATAATTAGGACATTAGTAATGACCAATATTTCGATGCGACTTGAACGCAACATACGTTCTATTTTTCTATGAAGTGTCAACATTTCATCGATGACATTTTGGGTGAAGTAACCTCATAATTTTAGATGAATTGCATATAATGTAAGGCAGAATTTCAGTATGACTTTGCTAAAACGGTTGAAAGTCTAATTCTGCCGGTCAAACTGGCTGCTCCCAATGACAGGTGTTTCGATTATATTTGTGTCCGTATTACCTAACGACTTTCGACATAAGTGGTTGACGTGGTTCTAATAGCTACTTAAAACGGAAAAGCGATGTAGCTGTCCATGCCAGAAATATATGTTTAATTTTAATTGTCTTGTGAAAATATTACAATCTTGCCTGGCAAATTGAGCGAGGAAAACGACTAAATCTGTTTTCAGTAAACGCTGCAACAGCCACGATAACCACAAAAGCATCCCGCCGACAGTTGCCAGTTATCACGGTAACCATTACGACCGAAACACCGGCATCTGTTAGCGTGACCATAGAGAGGCGTTGTAGAGCGCTACATATTAGATAACAATGCTTTTGAACTAAAAGGCGAAGCACTGCAAAGACAGCATTTTTGTGTAAAAGCACCCACCTTAACAAACGTGATTGGTGTGGTTGTTCCTTCAATATCCAGTAAGAGTGCGCTGGTACATGCAGGGATTGAAACAGTGGCCATTTTTAAGGAGAGTCTGCTCAGCTAGCCGACGTTGGCTTACTTAGCCAACAGTGTTAAAAAGAGGCGAAGCGACTCCTCCTGTGGTCTGCCACGGGTCAGGTGGATCAGAGTCAAGTAATCCAAGCGCAAAGAAACACACCACCTGAGTACCTGTGAGCTACTAGCTGACTTCTATCGCCATCACCTCACAGCTAACTGACTGGACAGAAAGAGAGGTGTGCACACATGTTCACTGCTACGGAAGCCCTGAGCGGACAAACATCCCAGTGCACTATCACTATATTTAATATTCTCACAGTAACAAAAGGCTAACTAACCTATCACATGGACCAGCCTAATTTTACTTATTGAGGGAAAAAATCAAGACTTAGACATATATCAGCATAATAAGAATTGGATATAATGACAGAAATTATGTTTCAGAAAAATGAATTTTTCCTTTATTGAAGTTATTTATATGTATTTTTAAAAATATTTTTGGTGTTTGATAATACTGTTAACTGTTTTGATAACAATTTTGAATGTTTTAAGGGAAAATCCACATATACAGACATCACTGGTGGCAGAAAGACCCAGACACTAGGTTAATATATAGCGTTAAAACACTGGCATTTATAAAAACCCAGTAATGACCTTTGGTTTTAACCATAGACTGCATAGAATATAGTATATACAGTCTATGGTTTTACAGGTATATCAGCTAATGGCCGTGTTAAAGGTGTGCTAACTCCCGGACTTTGTTAGCTTTGAAACAAGCTAGGTACTAGCCGTTTACCAACGGTTAGTTGCTCAACTTTTAAGCAGAGAACCCCTTTGTTTATCAGGTGTCACGGTTTTATTAATATTTCAATTGCAGAGTATTTCAATGCTTCTTTTATTGGCTTTATGGTGAGCAACAATGGACTGTATCTTTTCCTTAAAATATTTTCTTCATTTGAACAATACCCCAATAAATAACGTATCCTACTTTGATTGTGATTGCATACTGCGCAAAACATGCATTTTTAAAATTATAAAAATAATCAAGAAGTCCCTTTTAAAGGGATATTCCGGCGTAAAATTAAGTCAGGGACAAACACACCATAATACCGAGTGAGACTCCTCCTCGAGAGATTAGTGTTGCTAACTGCTTGCTTTTTTAGTTATACTAATTTTAGTAACGACCGCACACAGAACATTCATGATCATTTCTTTATCATTTCCGGTAGTTCTTCTGCCTTAGCATCTTGGTCTGATTGCATTTCCATGAAGAAATGATCATAAATGTTCTTCCTTGAGCTGCATCATCCCGCAGCAGTCCGTAGTGGACTGGCCCGAGGTCTCCGTACAAACAAACGGCTGCTGGAAGAGAGTAGGTGAGTTGTGTTTAGTGTCTTTGCTAAAAAAAATTAGGCAAAGTTAAAAAGATGTTTGGTGGCTAGTGCTGTGGCTGGAACCCTATATATACTGTTGATGAAGTTAGGTGGTGTTCTGAGCATTATTTGTGGCTATAGAGTGGCGTTTTTTGGTTGAGCGCGTGGCTCTCTGTTTTGCTATCCTGTGGTTGTTTCTAAAGTTGGTATAACTAGAGAAACAAGCGGTCGGCAACATTCATCTCTCGAGGGGGTGTCTAACTCAGTGATACGGTGTTTTTGACCCTAAATTAATTTTACGCCGGAATATCCCTTTACGTGATTGTTTAAGTCATGTTCTGGGTAGACCGTGGTGTCAGTTCAGCCTGCAGATCGATAGGTGGCGCTAAGTCGCCTTATTGCGTCATTTTTAAAATCCGTAGAAGAAGAAGTAAAAGGAAAAGAGGCTGCGGTGAAAACAAACCGATGCGCACAAATCACCTTTTTATCGTAGCTACTTAGACTATTTTTGCCTTACTGTGTTACAGTTTTGCCTGTATTTAGCATTTAGTTTGATTTATTTTTACTTACTTTGCTCTAACTAACCTTAAGATTTATAAATTAGAGATATAAGTCAGAATCTGAGCTGTTAGCTGACAGTAAGCTAATCAGAGCTAGCTCGGCTTTGACAGGAGATTCAGTTTGAGTTTCGGAGCGAGTCGTTAAAAACTTAATTCAGCTTTAAAGAGGTGAAATCATGGCGGATGATTATGAATTCACCGATGACACAAGCATGATGAGAATGGAGGAGGATGGAGAGGCGACCTGTGATGACCCGATGTCTGCGGCTGGGGACGGTGGCCTGATGGGGGGCGAGGCCGAGGGATCGAGGATCGACGCCAGTAAAAACGAGGAAGATGAGGGGTACGGGGACACCATCAGACACCCAAACTTTGTGACCTCTATGTATTAGTATATTAAGATACTCAAAGCTGTGGTTAAACTCTAAAAAAAGCTGTTTTTTTAAATGTGTATTTGCAGGAAGATGTTTGTTGGAGGACTCAGCTGGGACACCACCAAGAAGGACCTGAAAGACTACTTCTCCAAGTTTGGAGAGGTTGTAGACTGCACATTAAAACTAGACCCCATGACCGGCCGTTCACGGGGATTTGGCTTTGTGCTTTTTAAAGAGCCTGAGAGTGTGGAGAAGGTAAACTGAGTGAATACTTAATTACTGTGTGATACAGTCTGTTAAATATTGACCTTTGAGCTCGAATCAGATTTCCTGTCCTGATGATGATGAATGTCTCAGTTAGGGCGATATAACAATATATAGGGGAGAGTGGGGTAAGATGAGCCATTTTTCATATTTCGGATCACTACATCAAGACAATCATAGTTTTGTCTCTAACTAGTGTATCTGCATATATTGATGTTGTTCAAGATGTTGTGCATCCCTGCAAACCAACAGAATGAGTGTAAACATAACTGTCTTGATAATATAGCATGACAAAAAAAGTGGTCTCCTAAGGTCAACTTACCCTGTGTATGGGGTAAGTTGACCATAGAAGCGGGGTAAGTTCTGCTGTATCCCTACTACCCCCCACTCTCCACCCCAGCCCTTCCTCACCTTCTCTCTCCCTAAATAACAGTCACTTCTTCACATTCATGTGTATTTTTATCTATTATACGCTTTTCAACTGGTACAATGATTATTTTTATTATTATTGCATATAACTGTTAAAAAGCTGTTTAAAAAAAACCCATTTTGACATGAGAATGTCTTTAAGTGATTCAGAACATTCACTGCTGTATTTTTGGAAAGAAAAAGTCAAACATTTCAACAATCTGAACGGAAACTCTGATCCTCTCATCAGACTCCTTTACTTTCTCAGTTACCCCAGAACTACTATGATGACTTTATTAGTCCTTTAAGCTAAAATGGTGGACTTTTATGCTAGTTTCTGACCTCATGTTGTAGCTCATAGATACCACAATTGATATAAAAAACAAATTTAAAATGATCTTTTTTTGGTCTGAATACAATTCTAATAAAACTTAAGACAGACTAAATTCACTTTCAAGAGTAAAAAATGTTTTTTTTGGAAATAAATGTCGAACCCCTTCACTCATGTGCTTCTAACCTTCACAGACTCCATGAATTGATGCCCATCTGCTAAATATTTGGTGACATGATCAATTTCTTTGACCATTTCTAAGCAACGGGGGGTGGCTCAACTAACCCTGTGGCTGAACTTACCCCACTCTTCCCTATCAAAACTTAATTTCCCCCGATATCAGTATAAAACATGGTCAATATCCTTTTCAATAGTCGGCATTCTGCCATGTTTTGGTGGACTATACAAATAGCCAATGAAAAGGGGAGTTTCTCCAGGTCCGCTTTGTGCGAGCCAATCATGTGCTGAATCAGAACTAAGTAGCAAACAACTGCGTTGCAGCAGACAGCAGCTACACGCAACCATAGCACTTTAACACGTGTGGCCGACAGCACTGTTTGTGAGAAAAAAAGAAAATGAGTGCTCCCCCCAACAGAAATGCAGATGAAGGCTCAACAGATGACGATATTGTCGACAAGACTGGCACAAAAAACATCAGTGGTGTGGAGGTATTTTGTTTTTTTGAGGTCAGACATGAAGAAGGGTAATGCGCACTGCAAATTATGTCGAGTACAGTCGGGGAATACCTAAAATCTTTTTCACCACCTGAAGCAGCGGCACGCAGCAGAGCATGCACAATGCAAAAGGTTACAAACCTGGAGCAGAGCAAGGAGCCCATGGCGCCTGTACAGCCGACCATTGAGTCCGTTTTCTTTAGTGCAACGCCTTACGAAAAAACGTCGAAGAGACACAAAGACCTCACAGATGCAGTAGCTTACTGTATTGCAAAAGACATGCTACCAATAAGCACTGTTAAATTTCAATTTTTACATCGTGATATATATCGATATCGACTGATATGAAAAAAATATATTGTGATAAACTTTTTTCCCATATCGCCCAGCCCTAGTCTCAGTAGGCACTGGCATCCTGTCATGTTTACCTGGAAACTGTTCACGCTGAGCATTATTGTCAGATATTGATCAGGTGATTGTTTTCTGTCATCTAGGTCGCCACACAGAAGGAGCACAAACTGAATGGAAAGGTCATCGACCCCAAAAAAGCCAAGGCCATGAAGAGCAAGGAGCCGGTGAAGAAGATCTTTGTTGGCGGTCTCTCTCCTGACACTCCTGAGGAGAAAGTCAGAGAATACTTTGGTGCCTTCGGAGAGGTACATGTCTCCAGATTTCTTTAGATTTGACTGTGAATGGCTGCAAAAAGTCTCATAGAAACTTCTCCAAAGACTAGAAATGATCATGTGTGACATTTCTGATCATCTAAACTAGGTGGAGTCCATCGAACTTCCCATGGAGAACAAGACGAACAAACGGAGAGGCTTCTGCTTCATCACATTCAAAGAGGAGGATCCAGTGAAGGTGATCATGGAGAAGAAGTACCACAACATTGGACTCAGCAAGGTACAGATTTATTCATTTTTACCTCACTTAAACTTTTTTGTTCCTGACATTGTGAGTGTGTAAATAAATCATTCTGATTGGTGTCTCCTCAGTGTGAAATCAAAGTGGCCATGTCCAAGGAGCAGTACCAGCAGCAGCAGTACTGGGGAGGAAGAGGCGGATATTCATCCAGGTCTCGAGGAAGAGGTGGTGGTGAGTGTCTTTGACTGTTCAGAAAAACTCTGAGGTAGTCTCTTTGCTAACTTTTTTGTCCTCTAATGCTAACTAAATACACACTAAGTAATGACACAAACACTTAAATATGTTAGAGGATAATTATGTTGTATTCATTTCTTTGAAGCAAAACTGAAACCAAATTTTGACGTCAGCTCAGGTCGTCATCTGAAATTCTTTCTGAGTGAAGCAGGATAAGCGAGTTTGACGTGTCATTGAGGGAAGTTGGATTTGAATGTTAAAAAATGTTAGGAGAGAGCAGAAGAGACACCGTTTGAACGGAGTTCAGAAGGTTCAGCTTAGTGGTCAACTGCATCAGAGTCAGCAGTATGTGTACATGTACAGTATGAGGAATTTGACTACGGTAAACTTTGCGCCTTTATGTGCAAACATTAAACATGAAATGATACAGAAATGACACAATTTAGAAGTATGTACAAGTTTGAACTAGATATTCAACTTATATATACAAGACAGTAGTGTAAGGGTCAGGGCCCAACGATGCAACCGTTTCACTCGCATTTGCGAAAAAAAAATAAGATGTGTGCGAATTGTAAAATGTATTTAGGGGCACATGTACGCATAAAAAAATAAGCCGAGGCAACAAATGTTTTTTTCATGTAAATACTGCGGTGAAGTTAGTTTTAGGTTGGATATTGGACGGACATTCACTGCAGATCTACCGGTGTCTTCTCACTCTCCATAACCGGGAATAGCAACAGCAGAGTGGTTAAATCTACTCAGCACCCTCGCTTTCAACATCAGGTGTTGAATAAGGGACCATCAATAAATTACCTGTTGATGTTTTTTAAAAAGGCTGTTTTCCTTCAATAGCTTCCATGTCATGTGACATTGACCTAAAACTGATTTGAAATAATAATACTTATGTCGACCAATAACACACAAAATTATTTGATCAATTTTCATTGTGCCCCTAAAGTTCTTTGTGTGGTCCTTACTTTTTCAACGTTGGAGCACATGTGCTCCTTGTGAAAAAAGTTAGTGTCAAGCCCTGATGGTGCAATGATGAAGAGTGCAGTGGAGTGAAGAGTGAGTGAGAAAAATATGTACATGTGCCAAATTTCCATTTTGTTTTACAGTATTAACATCAAATTAAATATTAAATTACGGTGTGCAGACATATGTGTCTGATGAGAGGACAGTTTATAGATATGCTGAAGGTTATATAAAAAAAGTTAAGGCCACAAAACCTGTATGAAATTCAGGCCAGACAGACACACTACTCAGATATTGAGCTGGATTTGAGGTTTCATTGTCTCCACACAGAGTTTCTCCTTCTATTGCAGCATGCAGCTCAGTCCCCTGTCTCCCCTTCTCTCAGATTTGATACTAATTAAGTTGTCAGGTTTTAGCTGCTAATACCATCCAGTGAAGAAGTGAGAATATTCTCCCCAAATGGTTTCGCCAAGTTCTGCAGACAAGTCTATGAGTTCCTGTGTTTGTCTACCCAGTTTATTTTCTGGTGGGTTCTGTTATCTAAATATGAAGATAGAGACGTTAAGCCGTAGACAATCTTGTTGTGAAATCATGATGACTGACACACATCTTCAGTGTTGGTTTGGTGCTCATCTTCAAGAATTAATGCCACACGGGGGGACGAGGTGTTTGATGAGCATGAACAGTAGTGGTAGTGAAGAGGAAGAGGGACTGTGACAGCCAACGCAGCCTCTGGGACAACAGTGGCAGGAAGTTCTAATAACAGACTGACTGGACTGGACCACATTTATAGTAATCAGCTGGAAAAACGGAGCAGTGGTGATAGTGTATCCTGTCCACATGTCATTATTAGCTGCCTTAGCTGGCTAAAGGATTTATCGTTCACCTGGCCACAGGAACACGAAAATGAACAAAACAGTAACTAGAGCTGCACGATATATTGTTTGAACATCGTCATGGCGATGTACGTGTGCGCGATAGTCACATTGCAGAGCCTGTAGGAGGCGAATGAACTCAGCCAATTTCAAGGGTTGCTGACTGAGATACACTGCATGTGACCATGCATGTGCTGTGCAGCGATCCACCAATCACATTCATTCTTTACTCAGTTTCCAATCAGACTGTCAGCTGTCAATCAAAATCAGAGGTGGAAACCACGCCCCTGTACATGGAGTGAGTCGCTTGCGCTGCCGGTGTTGTGCTGAGAAACGCATACCCGCTGGGAATTACTTTCAGACCATTACTCATCACTGTTTAGCCCCACAAATAAGAATTGAGTGGGTTTTAAATTGTACATTTCCATGGACCACTCTACTATAAGCAGTGCGCATTTTGTGAGGTGCATGCAATTCTCGACGGACATGCGTTTCTCGCCGCAACACCAGTACCAACAACAACGATTGCAAAATGAGCAACGAACAAGAGAAAACCACCAAAAATGAAGACTTGTTGCTTAAAAGAAAAGCAACATCAGTTATCTGGAATTATTTCGGTTAAAAGAAGGATGATGTGACCAAAACACGTGTTCTGTGTTCATCTGTTTCCACAATAACGTCCCAGCACAATAAAAGCTCAAAATATCTCTGAGACAGACAGAAGCCAATCTACTAACATTCACAAAAAGAGGTAAGATCAGTGCAGGTTAACTGTCCTCAAGATTTCAGCAGAAAGTGCTATTCAGGTCATCTGGTGAAAATTCCTGTATTTTTTAATATCGCAATACATATCGCAGGGTTGAAAAATTTGCAGTGTTAGTCTTCTCCAATATCTTGCAGCCTTAACAGTAACCGTGGAGAGTTCAGTCATTTCTGTGATTTACGTCCCTTAAATCCAGCCAGTGGTTTCACAGGTACGATCCTTATCCCCTGGTTTATCTCCAGCCTGAGGAGAAGTGAAGATAAAGCCTGACATAGAAAGATTAGACCAGCTAAGGTAGACTTAGACTTAGACTAAGTCTGAGTCTAAGGTACTGTGAACTGCTCCACTCTACTCCAAACTGTTTTTACATAACAACAAATAATTCTTTGAGTTGTGCTTCAAAAAGTTTAAATTTGATGGATGGTTGTTTGTCGAGATGTCAAAGGTCAAACTTGGTCCAAACCTGTAAAATCACACACACGCCTAAAGGGGGAGGAAAAAAGTTAAAACTACATCAGCTGATGTGACTCACTCTCAAAGTGAACAATGCCGTCTATCTGGTCGATAAAGCCGTTCATACGACCTTCTGTGATCATATGGGAAGCTATTTTCTCAGCCTGGGGACAAACAAAGGAGGCAGACATGTCAGATATCACAGGGAAATAAAAAAGTTACACTACTTACACTAGGAAAAGAAAATGTGCTCTAGGGTCAAACAAACTTAATCAGATTCAATTCATATCCAAACAAGTGACATAAATAAAAACTTAAGTATAAAACTAAGTGTGTACGAGATATTCTGTACTTCTGGGGACATGTATCTGTTCAGTGATCCAGCTGTTGTATCAAAATGGGTCAAAGGTCTTTACTCGCAGCTTCTCTGGTGTTAAATAATCTGGTTCATGACCTTCGTAAAAACTCTGCTTTTACTCTCCTGTTTCACTGTTACAACCACACACTGTCAAAACAAGTAAGGATGCCTCCTCTGGGGTGAAGTGGGTTTAATCTGCATTACCTTTAGTGGCCAGCAGGGGGCAAGTCCTCTGCCGTAAAACGAGGTCTGACTGCACAACAGTGTGAGAGAAAATGAGCCAAAGTCTTGTTGGATTTATGACCCTAACAATCATTTGACTTGGGCGTTCCTGATCCTGATCTGGACTCTGAGAGCACAGTACTTATGAAGAAATAAAAGGTCCTTTTAAAGGGGAAAAAACTCCAAACAGTGAGGGTTTAAAACTATCTGCAAACCAGTGGGAGCTGTTAAAGGCGTAGTCCACTGTTCTTGTACAACGTTTTAAATCTTAATCAGTATTTCAGTATTAGAGTCCACTAATCTATTAAAGAGTGATTTAATTTAAATCCTGTGTTTTATTTTCAGGTCCGAATCAGAATTGGAACCAGGGTTACGGCAACTACTGGAATCAAGGCTACGGAAATTATGGCAATTATGGTTACAGTAATCAAGGATATGGAGGCTATGGTGGCTATGACTACCCTGGTTACAACAACTATTATGGATATGGTGACTACAACAGTAAGAAACCCTTCAATAAAACCCCCTGATGAGCTTCAGTTTCATGTCAGTTATTTCATCTCTCTTCCTCTCTCAGAAAAAAGTCTGAAACTAAATCTTGTGCCACACCTGTAGATCAATCTGGTGGATATGGCAAGTCGCCACGGCGTGGTGGTCACACCAACAGTTACAAGCCGTATTAAAGGGGATGATAAACCTCCTCTTCAAGTAGGTATGTAAAGATAGAAATACTCCACTTACTGTAAACTTAAAGTAGTTTTATTTACTTTGCTGTTTTGGTAACTTAATGTGTAATTCTTGTAAATTTCTTTACAGTAGTGGTAACATAGAGGCTACACTCTTTGTGGCGATTTATTTTAACAGCCGGCCTTCTGCTGCCTCTTTTGCACCTTCTTTTCTTTTTTTTTTTTTTAAGTGTAAAGTTAACAGGTAAAGTACTGCTACTACCAAAGTTAAGGATGTGCAAGGAAACAGAAAAGGAAGTATGTTGTCTCCTAACTCTGACATACCTTGTTTGTACCTGCCAGCGGAGCTTCCTTGCAGGCCATGAGCTGACTCCCAGATACTCTCAGGGCCCGCTCAATGCGGACCGGGTACGAGAAGCATACGCTCTCGAATGCTGCCATTTGGTATGGTCTTACAACATCCTGTATCAGCATTTCTAATCTAAAAACAATATGGGACACGTCCAGCTTTGTCATCTTTCTTTCCATTTTAAGTTGTTTGCAACTGTTTGTAATGTAAACGTAAACTATACACATGTAATTGTCATTTTTTACAGGCCCTTACTCCCCCACAAGTAATCTGTAAATACAATGAATAAAATTAACTATTTGCTTTTCAAAGGATACGTACAGCTTTCTCTGGACTTTCCAGTTGTTAATCTTATGCACTCCTAATCTTAATCTTAAATGCTTGTTTCTTTATTTAGCTCTTGTAGCCAGTAGTCCATGAGCTAAAACCTGGATGCTACTGTGTTGGGGGATAAAGTGCTTTTACGTTGTGTACTTGTATTGCTCTTGTTTGTGTTACTGACAGCGATGGAAGAGACTCCTCTTTTGTTAATTTTCTTGTAACAAATTTTCTTCTCATAACCTTTTTTATGTAAAACAAAGCAGAATCAAAGTGTGGCTACATTTGCAGAACCGTACATGTAATGCTTTCTTTAATGTGTATTTTTTGACCGATCGAAGGTTTCTTCCATTTAGTATTTTGACTTCTTCCATTTGTTGCACCTCAGGATTTCTAGCTTATGGACTAACTAATTTTTTTAACTGTAAAATAATTGTTCTCAGTTGCTTTTTCTTTGACATTGGACATAATAAACACGGGGGATTCCTTTATTTTTTATTTTATGAACTCTTTCTCTCTCTGTCCTCTTGGATTGATTAGTCTCTGTTTGTTTTCCACAGGTGTCAGAGTGATGAAAGGCGGCGTTGGCCCCAGAGATGATGCTATCCAGCAAAAGCTGATTGTAAGAAAAAAAACCAGGAGCACTTTGACCTACAAAACATTGTCCTCTAAACTTACCGGAGTATTTGTTGTATCTTTAAACCTTTGGGGATTTTTTGGTGTTTTTTGCCTTTCTTTAGATCCCAGCTGTTTGCGTTCTTCTCACCCCTCCCTGTTTTTGTATTTATTGTTCTCTTCTGCTTCTTGTGAATCGCTTCGTTTATTTCATGACGGAAAAACAGTAGATTGGTTTGAAAAAAAAAAATCACACATATATACAGTCATGTGGTAGAAAAAAATGCTCTGTTGCAGTTTATCCTCCTTATTATAACCATCAGTCTTATAATACATGTGTTATTACAGAGGTTGACGACATTCAGTATATACACAGGTAATTAAAATCTATGAAATGCAACAATAAAAACAATGAAACACTTTCTGAGTTTGTGATATTTTGTTAAATGTTAAAGAGTGGTCACGTTATAATGACTGTTGGAGTGTTTAAAGAAGCATTTCAGTCACGTTTGACAATTTTAGATCTCTTCAGAGACAAAAAAAAAAAAACATCAATTAATAACCAGCATCAGTTATAAAATCATGTGTATCAAAATTTACACATTTCTGTCTAGAAATGTGACACATCTGTTGAAATTATGAGGTAAATGAAACCTGTTTGAAGATTATCACTTTTAGTCCTGAGTCGGGAGAAGATTAAGTATTGATAATTTAAATAACGTTTGTGGCAGCGAGGATGATCAGGATGATGATGATCAGAACAACCACGCCGATGATTATCATCATTTTGATGTTTTTCCACCAGTATTTCCGAGCGACTCGCTGGGATGTTCTCTGAAACGAATCAGCCTGGAGAAATGACGAAAAAGAAAATCAAAAACCTCCAACGACTGCACATCTATTTCTGGAGGAACAAAGCATTATTTTAAACCCATCAACCATAACGTCACAAATTCAGCCTCTGAAGGTGCTGCAGCCTCTCAGTTCCTAACCTCATCATCGCTGCAGATGCTGTAATAATGAGCCCTGTTCTGATCGACTGACTGTGTCCGAATGGATAAGGCTGCAGAGGTGGAACCAAACCTAACCAAAGATGGCAAGCTCACCAGGAGAACCTCTGCTCTAACTTGTTAGATCAGCTCAGACCTGAAGAAAACTGGACTCCACTAGATCTCTAAGATGTGCTGTAGTCGCCAGTTACCAAAAAATTAGCAGCAGATCTTATTAAGGTTCCATATAATGATATTTTTAGCTGTTTCAACATGTTTAATTTAATGTTATGGCGTTGACAACAACAGAGTTTCATCTCATGATCACTGTGGAAAATTTGGAAATGTAACAACACAGTCAAACTGATGAAAGGCAAGGCAGGAGTGAAGCAACACATTACTTCATTCATTTTTAATGATGTTGAAATTTTGGCTAATTCACATTGCCTGCACTGTGACCAAACCCTCAAAGGAAAAGATTATAAAGAAGACTGTTTGTCATGCTTTTATTTTAATATTTGTCTGTCTTTGTCCAGTGTGCTTTTATTCTCAAGTGTACTAGTGCTTTTTGATCAGCAGCAAAGAAACTGAATGGAAATCAGTAAATGTACATGCATAGATAGGAATGAAATTCTGAGTTTTCAGTCATTACAGGAAAAATGTGGCCTGGGGAGGACTGATTTTTTCAGATGCCTTCAAGTGAGGCACTTTATTAATCAAAAGTGTAACTAAAGAGACTTGACAGTAGCCGAATCTGAGTTTTATCGAAGATTTAAATCAGCCCAAACTTCAACACCAAGAAAATCTATTTCAGCATTGTACAATGCTCTTTTTTTAGGCTGGGAATGGATCAACACTATTCATTAAGGAAAGATGGGAAAGGGATGCTGGGATAGTGATTTCGGAAGAGATGTGGAAGGGGATCTGGGAATTCCAGTCGACCTCTACAGGCTCCATGGACTGGAGAGAACATTGGTGGAAGAATATTATCAGATACTTTAAAACTCTGTACCAGGAACGATATAGAGGGGATAATAGGCCATGTTTGAGACAATGTGGTTTGGAAAGAGCTGGTCACTTTCATATTTTCTGGGAATGCCCTAAATTAACAGTTTTCTGGGGAAGTATCCACAGATCACTATGCTCAGTGTTCAATACTCAAATACCCTCTGATTTCGCTACCTTGTTTCTAGGAGGGGTCGAATGCCTGAGCCAGTCGAGAGATACAAAACTGATACAGGTATTATTGGTAGCCACCAAAAAATCGATCACTAGAAGATGGTTAAACTGATCCCGCCCAAGCTGGGAGACTGGCATGGGATAGTCTTGGAGATCTTTAGAATGAAAAAGCTCACTTACCAGATAAGAACACAGGAGGATAAATTTTATCAAATTTGGAACAAATGGATAACACATATCACCCCATTAAGAGCAGATTTTGTATGATCCAGCTGGCTCCCCTGCTCTAACGTAGAGCGCTTTTACAGAAATTCTGAGTTAGGCACTCCTCTCTCCATCGGTTATATTTTCCTTTTTTTTTTTTGTTACCCTCAGCACATTTGTAAATATTTTCGTTTGGTGGTTTCCTAGTTTTTTTTATTTTTTATTTCTGGTTCTTGGTTGAACAGTGGAGGTTAGGATGTTGATCTTCCTCTCTGCCCTCGATGAGGAAAGGTAAAGGATATTGACTACAATGGACACGGGGACAGACGCAATCTACCAACGATGTCGATAAAAAAAAAAGGGGGGGGGGGGGGGGTGACATGAAGGTGTCAGGAAATCAGGAAATGTATCTTCTGTGGAGGATCTGCAGCCTCTCACTTTATGACTTTATCATCACTGCAGTAAGCTCTGATAGGCTGCCTGCTGTTCATGGGAGGGGTGAGCAGACAGATGCAGAGGTGGAAAAACACTGAAGCAAATATGGCAAGCATCCTAAGAGAACCTGTACCGGTACACTACCTGTATGATTTACAATCTGACCCTGATAAGAAGAAGTCAACTATAGTAAATACATGGTACTCTAATTTAAGTACACTCATTATGGTATAATAACAGCTTTGAATATGAATGTAAATCTGACTGTAAATGAAGTCCTGATACTCACTGAAGCCTGCAGGTCATCTGTCTTGCCGATCAGGTCATCTAGTCGGTCTCCTCTCTCCAGAACTTTAGTGATGTTGTCTTTCAGGATGACTTTCACCTCATTCACCTGACTTTGGACTTGGTCCATTTTATTCGCCGAGCCAGAGGCCGGCGTCTGAGGGTATGGGTCAGCCTGAGGAGACGAGGTGAAGACAGAAAGAAGTCAGAGATGAATGAAGATGAGGAGATGAGGTTTATTTTTTTACTGTTTTTCTTTTTGTGATGATTACATAAAATTTATTAACAATTGAATTCAAGAATATCAATATATATATATCAATCGCATATCTAGAAGGTCACAGTAAAGTTAGTCAAATTAGGGTAAAATGCTGTACTTATTAACGCCAACAAATATGAGGAGAAGATCCAGATAAAAGAAAAATGCCATAAAAAAAGTGGAGTTGTCAAATGAAGGTAGCAACATTCAGCTATTTAAAAATGCTTTAAAAACATTTTTTTTGTTAAAAATTCCTCACAAAAATAATAAATATATTGCAACATACAATAATGTTTCACAGAAGGCCTTGTAAAATACACACACACACACACACACACATATATGTATATATATGTGTGTGTGTGTATAAAACCAGCATCACATAATTTTTACAAAAATATAAAACTCATTTGCAAAAAAATTTCCCATACACACACACACAAGCCAAGAAATCCCCCCCAGATTTTAGGAAACACAAGATATCTCACAAAAGCAAAAACCTTTTACAAGGAAGGGCGAAGATTTCCCCAAAACACAAAAACATGTTCAAAAAAATAATAGCTAGATAGATAGATAGATAGATAGATAGATAGATAGATAGATAGATAGATAGATAGATAGATAGATAGATAGATAGATAGATAGATAGATAGATAGATAGATAGATAGATAGATACATACATACATACATACATACATACATACATACATACATACATACATACATACATACATAGATAGATAGATAGATAGATAGATAGATAGATAGATAGATAGATAGATAGATAGATAGTAAAAGAAAAAAACACTGTACATATGTGACCTTATTCACTGTTACATACACCACATTGTGGTACATGGTGGACATGGTTAACTTTAAAAAGTGAAATTCAGGCACGGTAACTTCTCTATCTACTGTCACAGCCTTCAGTGTCGACCTCACTTCCTGTAAAGTTAACAGGAAAAGCAACGCTTTATCAGCAGTCAGACCAGGCCGGAGTGAGAGTCACATGAAAGCCTCTCTAAACAAAGTTCACAGAGTAAACCTGATAAAAACACACGGACACACCTGAACAGAGTCACTATAGATGATAAAACAGGCAGATTATCAATCATATCTTTATGAATAATAACATTATTACAGGTAAAAGCTGGTTTAAATGTGAAACAAGAACAACACTCACCATTACAGCGCTGTCACAGTCACAGCTGATCAATAAACCTCATAAAAGTGACTTAAAACATCCACAAACTCCAGTTACCCTGTCCTGACAGTTTAATAAACAAACTCCTGAGCTCCTGGTTACTCTATCAGTCCCACAGTCAGAGCTGAACAAACGTCTGCTGAAGGTTGCACCTTTCCTGAGTTACATATTAACCAACCTGTGGCCTCAATCAAAGTCTCACTGGCTTAACTGGAGCGAGCAACAACCACTACAGAGAAGTGGATCAGCTCTGAACACGAGCAGAAGCTTTCATTTCCTGACTTTCATGAATCACACTGAAGCACAGAAACAGCAGCAACACCACCTGTGGACTGTTGTTCTTTAAATAGAAGAATAGACATTAAAGTTGACAGAGTGATTAACTCACCATCAGCTGATACGGATGCAGGCCAGGCCACGCTGATATGTCTGGGCAAAGGGCTCTGCCTTCAACACACTGATATTTGCAAAAGCAATAAAGGAGTGAAGTCACTCCTCTTGCTTCATTTCCTCATCCTGTGTGTGTGTGTGTGTGTGTGTGTGTGTGTGTGTGTGTGTGTGTGTGTGTGTGTGTGTGTGTGTGTGTGTGTGTGTGTGTGTGTGTGTGTGTGTGTGTGTGTGTACAGCTTGTTGCTTCAGCAGGGCGATGGCAGATCTACTATGCAAATATGGTCGATTCAAACCGTGCTGGAGGGTGAGAGGGCAGGTACGCAGGAGAAACAGCCTCAGTTGTTTTCCCCACAACAAATGAGAACAATAAATGATCAAGGTAGGAAGACAATTTTTGTCAACAAAGACCCTTTCACCTTTTGTCCACAAGGGGGCACCATAATCAAAACAGAAAGTTCCTTACTGAAGCTTTATTGAATGTTGGAAAACTTTGTAAAAGACATTCAAACCCACCAGATTCTCAAACTTTAATGTTTTATGTTTTATTGATTTCCACTTATTGACAACATGATGAACAGATCAAACATAAGCATAAATGGATATACTGTCGTGGTTTTTTTAATAGTGTAATTGCTTGGCTGTTTTTCTTGTGGCGCAGCATATATTTACATCTAAGCATTTGATTTGCATAAAATTTGCAAAGCATTAAAGCTCCTGTAAGGGACTCTCAGTCTGTGTTGATTCTGACACCCCCCCTGTGGACAAAGCGGCACTTTTATACCTCCACTGAGAATCTCTGCAGTGACAAATGCAGGGCTGCCAAGTTTCAGAAAATGACCAGAGTGAGATTTTAGCATTATGTGTCATAAAAAATTCTAACGTCGATTTATACCTTAAGACTGATGTCCTCACCTCGATGCCAGCTGCTCTCCCTGCTCTGTGGCCTCTTAATGCTAGTCTTAACCTACTGTCCGTCTTCAGGAGAATGTCGAGTGGGTTTTGAATGTCGGCGCTGTTGTGTGTGAAAGATAGTTAGAGACGCCAAGACCCGTGTTACGTTACTTCTGATTGGTTTATATTGCATGGTGCCTTCCGTGGTTGGTTAGTTTAGGCACAAAGGACTGATGGATTGGTCTGGGATTGGTTATCTCGATCAGTCAAACAGAGTTACTCGAACTACGGCAAGCAAAGATTATTATAATGAAAAAATAAACACAGAATATTGAATGGGGAAATATAAGCATGAGAAATGTCAGGTGTGGCGTGTGGTGTGAGAATGGGTCAAAAAGCGTGACGCTTGGCAGCTCTGCAAATGAGAGAAATGTCTGTTTTATTTTCATCTTTTCTGACACCTACCCTGTGGCAGGAGTTTCAAGCATTGATATGAACAACATAGAATTGATCATTCTTGTCACCTACATTGTTTGTTTTTGCTTTTGAAGGTCCTAAAGGCACATTTGCATTAATTCAAGTCTTTTTATTAGCCTACTATTTAAATTTCTCCTCACTTGAGCTTTAATGCACCCCATATGCTGGATGTAGAGACTTTGACAAACACTGACACAGACATATGCAGCTGTAAATTAATTCTTGTTTATTCCTGTTGTAATGTTGTGTCAAATAATTTTGTGAAAGACACGTGCTTCAACAGAGTCAAGAGACCTCTCTGATAAAAAACGGGACAAATAAAAAAAAAACAGTGCTTGATTGCTGTGACCTCAGGGCCTGTAAATGAACCTGCAATAAAAACAGGTATGACTTTGAAATGGAAGTCACCGCATGGGCTAAAATTGCTCCTAAAACATGTCTGTAAACACAGTTTGTCACTGCATCCACAAATAGAGATTTAAAGGGATATCCCGGCATAAAATTAAATTAGGGTCAAACACACCGTAACACTGGGTTAGACACCCCCGACCACTTGCTTCTCTAGTTTTACCAACTTTAGTCACGACCACACGATAGCAATACACAGCGGTCTGAGGAGCCATAAACAGACCTCAACCAAAACGCCACTCTATAGCCACAAATAATGCTCAGAACAGCACCTAACTTTGTCAGCAGTACATATAGGGTCCCAGCCACAGCACTAGCCACCAAACATCTTTTTAACTTTGACTAATTTCTAAAGCAAAGAGACTAAACACAACTCACCTACTCTCTTCAAGCAGCTGCTTATTTGTAGCGAGACCTCAGGCCAGTACATTACGGACTGCAGTGGGGTTACGCAGCTCAAGGAAGAACATTTATGATCATTTCTTTATCATTTTCTTGAAGTAATAATCACCATATTAATCATTTTGTACTGCAGATGCGGTGGTTCTTCTACCTTAGTGTCTCGGTCTGATTGCATTTCCATGAAGAAATGATCATAAATGTTCTTCCTTGAGCTGTGTCACCCCGCTGTAGTCTGTAATGGACTGGCCTGAGGTCTCGCTACAAACAAGCGGCTGCTGCTTGAAGAGAGTAGGTGAGTTGTGTTTAGTCTCTTTGCGAAAGAAATCAGGCAAAGTTAAAAAGATGTTTGATGACTAGTGCTATGGCTGGGACCCTATATGTACTGTTGATGAAGTTAGGTGCTGTTCTGAGCATTATTTGTGGCTTTAGAGTGGCGTTTTTGTTGAGCGCCTGGCACTCTATATTGCAATCGTGCGGTCATTACTAAAGTTGGTATAACTAGAGAAGCAAGCAGTTGGCAACATTCATCTCTCGAGGGGGTGTCTAACTCGGTGTTACAGTGTTTAAAATTAATTTTACGCCGGAATATCCCTTTAAACTGGACTATGCAAAGTGGAAACTAAATATGATCGACTAAGGCAAGACATCATGGTTACTGCAACATAGAGTGGGGAACCACCTGGCTTGTCATTGGCGCACAGGTGAAAAGTAAGTGCTGAATTTCAAACTGTATTATTTGTATGACAGGACGACTTTTTTAGTCTTAGTATTTATGAAATTGCTTTTGCTCTTCCTATTCTCATTTACTACCGAGTTTATTTTAATAGCAGTGCTTATTTAGGTGATCTTTTCTCTCCACACTTGTTATTATACAACTTCAAATAAAAATAAGGACTGTCCATAATGGTTCCTGACTGCCGGCTAACTCGTGCTTATTACGTTGTAGCAGCGCCACCTTGAGGCTGTCCGGGCTGCTGCCTGAAGGACTCTCATTTGTAAACGTTCCTCCTTTAGCACACACACATTCATGGCAGAAATCCCACTGAGACGGGATCCAGTCCTCGGCTCAGGGTTTTAGTGAGGATGTCTTCTTCGGGTCTGCTTTTGTAAAGTTGCATCAGCTGGAAGATTTCCGTTGAATCCGCGTGTCCTGAATCAAACTCTCCCCCCCGCGCAGCCGCGTCTCAGCTCAGCCTACAGAGTCAATGATTGCTTAACAGATCCAGTATCAGGGTTATCGGAGACCACTTCGTTCACAGCTGCAAGGCGTTGGACCAACACATTTGTCTGATTTTTACCTCCGTTTATTTCCATTTTTCTGCACCGAACAGCCTGAAGAAGATGAACACCGGCGGAACCAGCAGCGGGAAGACTTTTCTGTTCACGTCGGAGTCTGTTGGAGAGGGACACTCCGGTAACTGAATTTAACGGTTATTTTCATTTAACGTCGAGTTTTCTCTCAGGTACATGTTCAGACATGTCGAGACACAATAAGAGGTGTTTATAAGGGTGTAAAATGACTTATATCAATATAAACTCATGTTTAATTTAACGTACAGTGTTAACATAATACATTAACAATGAACGACGGAGTACACATCCAAAAACAAGTAAAGTTTTATCACGATAAAGCAAATTAAAGTTATGGTTCAGATTTGAACTTGACTGAGATTTAAAGCAGAAAGACTAAAGCTTTAAAGTGGTGAAAACAAAGCGAAATTCGAAATATTTATGGCTTTTTAAGGCCAATTTTTCACAACTTTAGAGGTAAATTTGACAGTAAACATTAGAAAGGCATCCATGAAACTGTTTTCTCCAACAGGAACAACACTCCAGCATAAATCCATTATTGTGGGGAACTCATTTAATTACTATTTCTTTTTGACAAACTGAAACTTTTAAATGAGATTTTAAACTTTTGCATGTGGCCTGCTCAGTTATATATTGTATTTTCTCCAACTGTTACCCCTTAAAGATGAAACTTCTTTCCCAAAATTCCTTTTAATTTACTTTGATTGATACTGGCTTTTTGCATTTCATATTTTTACTCTCGTCTGCCCTGTTTCTATACTAGCGAACAGTTTATATTGTTATCTTTATTTTGTAAATTCAGAGTATTTAAGGTAGTCTTTGGTTTAGCTTAGTTGTTTATTTTTATATTTATACTTTTCCAGTTTTATTCTTATAGTTTATTCTTGTGCACCATGGGTCTGAGAGGACTGAAATTTCATCTGTGCTGTATGTTTAACATGTATGGCATATTTGACAATAAAGTTGACTTTGACAGTTCTGTTAAAGTTTTCTCCAATATAAGGACATTTTAGAAGGCACCTCCAAATGTTTTAACAGCTGCAAAGGTATCTTTGAGGAGAACCTTATCACTGTGTTATATTTTCTTGTGTAACTTTAGGACAGCTTTTGGTGCATTCAATCACATTTTCTTCACTAGAGGACACATTTTCCTGACCAAGTTATGATATTGCGTCATGTTTTCTCCACTGGTGCTCATCATCATTTTTTCGCACTAGTATTTATATTACATTTTCTCCTCCATAGGGGATTCTTAAAGGGGATTGCATTGTGTTTTATTGATTTCCAGGGCACCAAATCAGATTAACCTCACTGGATAAATAGCCTATGTATGTGTTCTCAATTTGAAAGGTGCCATTCATTATGCTGCACCATATTTTCCCCACTAAAAGAGAATCCCAGAGTGCAATTTATCATATTTTACTGCACATATGGGGGCATCATAGCATGTACCTTTATCCCAGTTTTTACACATGGAGTCTTCACAGACTTTTTTAGACTAATGCGGCAGCGGCGTATCCACCTGTTGCTTCTTCATTGGTCGTTTCTGTTTGTCTGTTCACAGATAAAATGTGTGATCAGATCAGTGATGCTGTGCTGGATGCCTACCTGAGCCAAGACCCGGACTCAAAAGTGGCCTGTGGTAAGTCTTACTCTGTCTAAGCATTCTTAGCGTCTAAAACACCTCATAATATACCCGTAATAAGTTTACACCTACTATATGATATGGACTGACAGTAATGCTAGCAGTTAAATAAGATAAAGTGCATCTAAATAAAGACTTGAAACTCTCAAGGTAGTTTATTTTCTTAAACTATGAGGTTATGTTGTGAAAAAGAAAAAGAAATTACAGAAAAATCATACGAGTAACAAATGATCATTCAGTGTAGGATAGTTTGACATCCAGATCTCTTTGCTCAGGCCGGTTTTATCTCCCTCTTTATTGCTACCTGGGTTTAATAGTATTAAACATGAAGCAAGGGTAGGCATCAGCACTTGTTTGATCTTGCTTTAAAGATTTATTGATAACATAATTAAACAGTCCCGTAAATCAAAGTTCACTGCAGCATTATGTCAGCGGTTCACTGGTAGTTTACTGACTGGATTTCACACCCTCTTGCTTTTTTTGGGTGCAGAATGTGTTGCGAAGACCGGCATGATTCTCCTAGTTGGAGAAGTGACCTCCAAGGCCATCGTGGATCTCCAGTCTGTGGTCCGAAACACCATCAAGTCAATCGGCTATGACAGCTCTGCAAAAGGTAAATTATGGAGGAGGTTATGATTATTCTTTTTCAGTATTTTGAAGTGAATTTAGTGATTAAAAACTTTTTTCTGCAGGTTTTGACTACAAGACATGCAACGTGCTGTTAGCCCTGGAGCCTCAGTGTGTGGAGATCTCAGACTGCGTGTTCGAAGGCCGGGATCAGGAGGATATCGGAGCAGGAGACCAGGTTCATTATTTTGACCTTTAATCCAGAACTTTGATCAAACTACATCAAAGGGTTTAAAGTAGTTTCTTATGCATCGTGATGGCGGTCATAAAAGTCGTCTTGATAAGGATCCTTTGTTCCTTTACAGTGCAGTTCTGTACAGTTTCATTGTCATGTATTCTTGTGGGTTCTGGTCAACTTCTCCTGCTTAGTGTCAGATATTGACAGTGTAAACACGCTGATGTGAAGCAGGAATAACGTTTATGATGTTTATGGTCTTTGTTTAGCACATTATATGGCTTTCATTAATGAAAGTACAGTTGAGAAGAACAGTCCATAAGAAGTGTTTGTATCTGCTCTAAAAAACATGCATGAAGGAGTTAAAGAGATCATTTCCAGCATCAGGGGCTGAACAGGATAAAACTGTCATTCTGCTTTGTTCATAACCCAAAGGATTGAAGGCAGCTGTTTTTGTGAAGCATATTTCGTACACTCTGGCAATTCAAAGTGCTTTGCAGATCAATGTCAAATCTAAAGAAAAGGCCTTTTTATTGTTTTTTTAGTATTTAAACAATAAACAACAAACTCTTTCTGCTCTTTCTGTTAATTAAATGTGAACAAAGTAAACATAAAAACGTACTCAGAATTCCCACTTATTGCTCTTATAGTATTTGAAATGATAACAAAATGCCCTCTCATGGCTCTTTTAACGTGTAAAATGTAAATAGAGGGCCTTTTCGGGTTTTTTTAGTATATTTGATGTTTTATGCAAGGTTTTTGTGTTAAAGAACTATCCTGTCAAAGTTTATCCTGAGTATGGGACTGGCTGCTAAAACATCTTCATTTGTCTCTCCAGGGTTTGATGTTCGGCTATGCCACTGATGAGACAGAGGAGTGTATGCCTCTCACCATCCTCTTAGCTCATAAGATCAACTACAGGATGAAGGAGCTATCCAGAACCGGAGAGTGTCCGTGGATACTTCCAGACTCCAAATCACAGGTGAGTCACATCACAGAATGAATCTGTCTTTGTCTTCCTCTCTTTTAATTTTCTGTCACTGAAAAAGCACAAAAGTGACTCAAAAGAACGGTCTCATCTTCACTTTTTTTTGAGGTTGAAAGCTCTGAAATAAAGACTTCACAAGCCCTTTGCCCTCTCTCTTGCAGGTCACAGTAGAGTACAAAGACAACATGGGCGCCATGGAGCCTCTGCGAGTTCACACTGTGGTTATTTCAGTCCAGCACACTCCAGACATCAGCCTGCAGGAGATCAGACACCACCTGATGGAGAAAGTGGTGAAGGTTGTCATTCCTGCTAAGTACCTGGATGACAGGACCATCTACCACCTCCTGCCCAGTGGGAAATTCCTCATAGGGGGTCCACAAGTGAGTCAAGACGAAACCAAAGAGTGACTAGAAAATAAAACTGTGATAGTCTGATGTTTGGGTCAACGCAGGTGTTCACTTGTTGCTTATTTTGTCCTCAGGGTGACGCTGGGCTCACAGGGCGTAAAATCATAGTAGACACGTACGGAGGATGGGGTGGACATGGAGGAGGGGCTTTCTCTGGAAAAGATTACTCCAAGGTGGATCGATCTGGAGCTTATGCAGCACGCTGGGTTGCCAAGTCGTTAGTGAAAGCCGGACTGTGCAGGAGAGCCCTCGTTCAGGTGAGGAAGTCTTTTTGTCAAAGCCGCATGCGGCTCACCTTTTAGGTAAAAAATCTTTCTCTTGCTGTTTGTTAGTAGCCTGGCTGGGCCATCCTGTTGCGTGAATCACTTGCCGTTCCTTCCCACAACAGTCTGGACTTCGGCCCATTGGGAGCGTGTATTCCCGATCAGAAAATAACCGGGCTAATCAGTGACTGTGTTTCCACTGTTCCCCAGACAACAGGGAAAAGCAGCCCCTGATTGGTCCATGTGTAGATGGAGACGTCTAACACATGCTGCGGGACTTTTCAAAGCGCCGTTCATTCAGTACGCCGTTAATTCTGCATTTGACTTTGCAAAGTCAACTGCAGGATTAACGGCGCTCTGAATGAACGGCGCTTTGAAAAGTCCCGTAGCATGTGTTAGACATCACCATCTCCCTGTTGTCTGGGTAACAGTGGAAACACGGTCTCTGATTGGCCCGGTTATTTTCTGATCGCTAATACATGCCCCCGATGGGCCGAAGTCCAGACTGTTGTGGGAAGGAACGGCAAGTGATTCACGCAACAGGATGGCCCAGCCAGGCTAGTTTGTTAGGCCAGGGGCAGGATGATAACCCCAAGCAAAATATTATCAGGCTGCAAGAGGAGAAAAGTTGGGAACTTGCTCTGTATGAGTGATGCTTTATAAATGAACTTTTGTGTTTTGCTCTCAGATCTCGTATGCTATCAGCGTGAGCCACCCACTCTCCATCTCTGTGTTCCACTACGGCACGTCCAACAGGGATGAAGACGAACTGCTGCAGATAGTGCAGAAGAACTTTGACTTGAGGCCTGGAGTTATTGTCAAGTATGTATCACTGAACAAAGCTCTTGTCACTGATTATTTATTAATGCAACAGTTTAATACGAAGTGCTTTTCTCCAACAGGGATCTGGGTTTGAAGCGGCCGATCTACCAGGCCACAGCCTGCTATGGTCACTTTGGCAGGGAGGAGTTCCCTTGGGAAAAACCGAAGTCTCTGGTGTTTTAAGTCTAATCACATTCCACTAATACAACAATCATGAGTCCAGTTTAACTGAGCACGGCTGTATCACTGTAACAATCATCATCTTTTCTCTGTCTTTTGATTTCTGACCTATACTGTAAAGGCAGCGGTCAGTGCCTTTGTTAATTAGTGAATGAATTTGATTCAGTCACATTTTCCTGTACGAAAACTGTAGAGTTTGTTTAAAAAAAAAGAATTATGCAATAAATGTGACATTTTTGAGGGACTGTCAAGTCTATAAAATCATGTATTTTGATAACACAATAAAGAGTATTTGTTGATTATAGACTTGCTTAGTTTTTCTTTATTCCATTGTTTTTTCACTTGTTAAACTTTAATTTAACGGTTTCCATTATATTTAAATTTTATGCTACAACTTGATATCTCTGCCCCACTGCAGAAAAAAAAACTGTGACTTAGAAATATTTATTTTTGCTCAAGTATTTAAGAGTCTCTCTATTATGAGATCATGAACTTTTACATAAGGTACAGAAATGCAAATATATATATGTCCTGTTGATGAAGTTAGGTGCTGTTCTGAGCATTATTTGTGGCTATAGAGTGGTGTTTTGGTTGAGGTTTGTTTATGGCTCCTTATACCGCTGTGTATTGCTATCGTGCAGTGGTGACTAAATTTGGTATACCTAGAGAAGCAAGCAGTCTGCAACATTCATCTCTCGAGGGGTGTCCTCGAGCCCTTTAATAGCTTAAATAACGTAAGATATAAATCTTGTTAAAAAAAAATGCAGGAACATAAGATACAAAGTACACAATACTAAAGTAACATAGGGTAATACCATAGACTGTATATAGAATGGACAGAGTCTGCCTCCTTGTTGAGTGAAGCCACTCTGAAAACAGCACCCTCTGTTGATGGGGTGCAGTATAGGTCATAAATACCGCCTCTGCCAGCAAAGCTTATGGAGCTGTGGACAAACTTTGGAAATTTATTACACAGAACATAAATTTTTCTCCCCCCTGCTTGTGATGTTGACATGTAGATATTGTAAGACTGGTTTGTGCTCAAGTCCTCTTTTTTTCTGTGAAGCTCCGTTTTTAAAAGTTATTAGGGGAGGGGGGGTCATGTTTCCTATGATTGACACCTGATACAGCCTATGGGCATTCAGGGATTGCGTAGTTCACCTGGGGCATACGCTGTTTGAGCCGAGCGTCATCACAGCGACTCACGGCGACTGCGCGGCCGAATGCGCGCATCGCTACTGTGCAGCACTGGTTTCAGGAAATGAAGAAAATCCCGGAAATATCGAGAGCTTTTTGGCTTCAAATCCGTATACAGGCGGTAGGTGGAACCAAGCTGTCCACAGTCTATGGGTAAATACCCTTGTAGATCAAGGCAACTCAAAATCATGCTGTTTTTGACCTACTTACCCCCTAAAACCTTAATAACATTAATTAAGATGAACTATTTCAAATTAATATTTAAAGATTAGTTCCATTAAATATTTGTACGGTTACGGTACTTTTTGAAATGCTTTTACTTATTATTATACGTTTGTGCACTTGACCTTCGAGGCCACCGTAATTGAATCTGCTATAGCTGCCACCGCCGCAAGATGGCGTCAAAGCTTGGCTAATATTTTCCACAGAGGAGAAAAAACTGGCAGTCAGAAACGGTGAGAAAAAGCCCATATATTCAAACTTTTACAGCCTAAAAAGAAGTAGAAAATGTAAGCTGAAGAATTTTTTTAGCCTCCTTGTTTGCCTTAAATGAAGCTGATTCCGATAATATGTACAGTTTGTGTGTTTTACAGTTAAGGACAAGGAAGATAAACAAAGGTGAGTGTTTCCACCAATCAGAAGCGGCGACACGGAAACTTGAGAGGCAAGAAGATGCTAGAGCGGCTGTGATTGGCTAAGACAAGAAAAGCCACACAGAGTGGGGACTGGCTGTGGTGTGTACTCCTGTCTGTACTTCCCCTGCAAACTTAGTTTTTAAATTTAGTCTTTGACCGAGAGGCTCGCTGCAAAACCAAGCTAGACTCCTCAGATCTGGATTATGTCTGTGTACCAGTCGGATTTTACTGATTTATAGTGAAATAACTCGTATCTTCTGCAGGTTAACTGTAGAATAACATCCAGGGTGTGTCCGTGGATTCAAGAAACCAAACTTTTTTTTAATGTAAACTTGGACTTTTTTTCTTTGAGTGAAACCAAAGACATAGTTGGGGGAAACCTCGAAGCCACCATGCCAGGGAATGGCGGAGTATACGCGGTGAAGAGGAGGAAGAAGCCCGTCCAGAAGATGTAAGTTTTACAGTCTAAAAAGGTCATATTTGGACTTCTTTATATGTCTCCGCAGGGTATGCCACAACATTAACCCACAGGCCTTTGCCGCGTGGGCGGGGTTAAAGCTGGTCACTGTCGGTGGATCACTCACTCATCACGAACCTTATTTTTATTACCGTGTAATTACTACTGTTACTCATCCCAACAATCCGTCCACACTCACCTCGTGTTTCTTCAAAAACAAAGTCGGGCAGCTTGTTGTTTCAGCTCCTCTTGTGTGATTCAGGACTTGCGGAAGTTTACCTGCAGCGAATGTCACGCAAAGGTGGTGACGTCAGGGAGGTAAGGTCAGGTAGGTCGTGCAGGTGATGGTAAGAGTGTGGGGTACTTGGAAATATAGGTTTAGTTTAAGCTGCAAGAGTTGTGACAAAAATACTCTTCCACCGTACATGTCACATGTCAGATAATTCACAGTAATGGTGGAGTGCAGCATGTCATAAAAGATAATTAAATAATTTTATTAATCTTTACTGGGACAGATAGTTCTTTGGGCAGCCAGTATACTTAAGACAATCAAACACAGCAAACCACAACCTTAAAGGGATATTCCGGCGTAAAATTGATTTAGGGTCAAACACTCTGTAATATCGAGTTAGACACCCCGTCGAGAGATAAATGTTGACGACCGCTTGCTTCTCTAGTCATACCAACTTAAGTAACAACCGCAGGAACGCAATACACAGCGGTCTGAGGAGCCATAAACAAACCTCAACCACAACGCCACTCTATAGCCACAAATAATGCTCAAAACAGCACCTAACTTCATCAACAGTACATATAGGGTCCCAGCCTTAGTACTAGCCACCAAACATCTTTTTAACTTTGCCTAATTTCTTTAGCAAAGAAACTAAACACAACTCACCCTTTCTCTTCCAGCAGCTGCTTGTTTGTAGCGAGACCTCAGGCCAGTCCATTACGGACTACAGCGGGGTGACGCAGCTCAAGGAAGAACATTTATGATCATTTCTTCATGGAAATTCAATCAGACCGAGACACTAAGGCAGAAGAACTACCGCGTCTACGGTGCAAAATGATTAACATGGTGTTTATTACTTCAAGGAAATGATAAAGAAATGATCATAAATTTTCTTCCTTGAGCTCCGTAATGGACTGGCCTGAGGTCTCCTACAAACAATCGGCTGCTGGAAGAGAAAGGGTGAGTTGTCTTTAGTCTCTTTGCTTAAGAAATTAGGCAAAGTTAAAAAGATGTTTGGTGGCTAGTACTATGGCTGGGACCCTATATGTACTGTTGATGAAGTTAGGTGCTGTTCTGAGCATTATTTGTGGCTATAGAGTGGCGTTTTGGTTGAGGTTTGTTTATGGCTCCTCAGACCGCTGTGTATTGCTATCCTGCGGTTGTTACTAAAGTTGGTATAACTAGAGAAGCAAGCAGTTGATGACATTCATCTCTCGAGGGGTTTTCTAACTCGATGTTACAGTGTGTTTGACCCTAAAAAAATGCACAGTATGCCTGAATATTGTTCCGTTTCTGTGTCTTTGCACTTCTGAGGCCAATACAGCACTTAATATTGCTTATTATTGCAGCTGTTACTGTGAAAACAGATTTAAAATCTATAAGAACCCAAAAATGACAGGTTAGCAGATTTTTCCCTTGTGAAAACATTTCAGAGGTGCTTTTTCTTCTTGCAAACTTCAAGCTCCTGTGAGAAAATTTTACCTTTACTGAAACGGTCTAAAATTGACAGTCAGGACTCTATATAAATTGAGATATGGCAAATCAGTGCTGAGATAGCTTATCTTATGAAGTTGTTTTTATTGGCTGTAATCATTAGGGACGCGTGCTGGACAGAGAGATTATTAGCAAGCCTCAGATTTTCCATCTTGAAGATTTTCCCTGAGTGATGCATTTTACTGTAAAAGAAAGCAAGAAGAGATCTTTGACAGAAAACACAACTGCAAAATAAAGTATAATAATATCGTTGAAGCAATAAAAGGCAGTGTCTTATCTGAATGTTTTGCCAAAATTGAACCAAAGTCCCTGTATATTTTTGATAATTCAGAGTTAGGGTTAGGGTCATCAAAGTACAGTATGCAGAAATTTAGTCAGGTTTTAGATTGAAATGCCCCCTTGCTCACCCCCGTTAGTGACACAATGGTAGCCCCCCCAAGGACTAAAAACTCCTGTGATGCATGATCCTCTATCAGCAAAGTTTTTATCATCAAAAACATCTATTAACAGAAACTCAACAACCACTTTCTCTTTCTTCTTCTTCTTTAAACCCATGCACTTGTGGCTGCCCATGACATCCAACAATGCTGATTTATCCGCTATGTGCCTCAGTAGAAACATTAGAGTGCAAGATAGTGGCAACCTGATCCTACATAAATATAAAAGGCTTGTTTTAAGTTGAAAAAAACAAAACAAAATGATGTTGACTTAAACACACAAATATTACCGTCAATTTCTACCAAGTCTGTTCTTCTGAAAGCTGCTAAATAGTGCACACTGCTCCATTAACGCAGGGCTGTACTTGTAAAGGTATTTAATACCAGCATTTATTCATTAACATTTATATGTTTTTATAGAAGAATTGTTGTAATATTCTGATTATGCAGTTAAATGCCGTACTAGTAAAAATCTAACAATATCGGGACCTGTTATAATATCACAGCAGTAAACATTTAGTGGGTCCCTGAACACATCCCAGCTTTTGGCGCACATTAAGAGGCAAAAGGCGAAATAAAAGACACTTTCCTGAACTTATTGTAAACTCAGATTGAAATGTTTTATTTTGGACACTTAATGGGCGTCAGCCAAAGCCTGCAGCCAACAGTCTGTGAGTCAGGACTAAGTGAAACCTTACAGGGCGACATCACTGTCTCCTGCTCTCAGTCTGTCTGAAACAGTCACTAACTTCATATGTGCATCTTCAGACACTTTAATGACCCCATAAACAGTCAGTACTTGCAAACTTGTGAGTGAGAGCAGTTAGCAAGATAGAGGGTGGAGCAGAGACACACACACTGGCAGACAAACAAATCCTGGCACCTTTTTGTGGAGGTGTGCAAGTGTTTACATGTTATTTAGAGTGTTACAGCCGCGGTCAGTTAGAAAAACACTTATTTCTGTGTTTTCATTAACACTCACTCCTTCACTACCTCTCTATGTGATCTGACCCGTGATGCTCCCTCTCTCTCTCTCCTGTCATGAATTGTTTTGTGTTGATGATCAGTCAAGTGGTTTCTCAGATTTCTTGTGATCCCAGTAGTATCTATATATAATCTTTCATTAGTCTGCCATCTTTTCTTCTTTCTAATTTCTTGACAGAGGGAAACCAAAGTTATTTTCACTTGTCAAATTCACCATAGAAGCCAACTCCTCAATCCAAACTTCACCTAGAGCTACCTAGAGCCTTTACGTTGTTGTTGACGAGTAAGACAGCTTCTTCGTACAAAGTCGACATACACCCCTCTCTTTGCCTTTTATTTTTCCATCTACGGTGTACATTCCAAAAGACTTCCACATTATGATTCTAAGATGCTTTGCTCCATTTTTGTAGAATAACATTATTGCATTAGTTTACCATGGTCAAGAGTGCATTCAATGGTCTGGTTACGATGATGAACTTCGTCTTTGTGTTGTAGCTGGTGAAGATGTGATTAATTTTATCAATTTTGCAACATCTTAATTCATTTATTTTTATTTTGTAACTTAAATCTGCAAAGTAAAAGAGGTTATGAGACAAAAATGTGTAAAAGTAAAAAATATATAGACGTCCCCAAGTCAGGAAAGGCTCCCCCTAAAATTGTGACTTTTCAAATCTGAAAACAAGCAGCTTCGTAATCCCTGTCCACTTTTAATCATCTCTGACTCATGTGATGTTTAAAGGATATCCAATATTTCCTTGTTAGATCCTCGTACTCACTCACTCACTCACTCACAGGAGTCAAATTTCCTCCAATTACCGCTTCATCGTCCATCTTCTGGCTCTAAAGTTTTGCTCCCTCTCCGCCGTGTTTGCGCTCCTCATTCCTGCCCTCCTTTGTTCGCTCTCCTCTCCCCTCCATCTCTGCTCTTAGATCTCTGTGTGTTTAGTCAGGGAGGGATGGCACACAGAGCTGCTGCGTGTCCCGACTTGTCAGAGAGGAATTATGTTGTGGTAAATTTGTAGTAACAATGGCACAGGCCAAGTGGAAGATCAACAGAAACACGCTGTCACTAAAATATGATGTAACCGTGTTTGGAGGCACTTTGCTTCTCCGACTCCAAATATCGTTCTTGTTTAGCCACGTTAGCAGACAGTCAGTCGGAAAAAATGTAATGTTGTTATAATTTCAAACCAAAACTAAATCATACACAGATGGAAGAAACTCATCGCCTGAAATATTGACTGTGAGCTGGTGCCGCTGTTAGCACGACTAGCTGCCATTTCTCCTCAGAGTTAAAAACTGCCAGTGGTGGCAAGCTAATGCCGTGCCAAGGACATTTTTGCATTTATTCATGAAACCCACAGAAGTTGAAGGGAATGGCCTACCCTTTTCGAAAGACTGTGTGCTTATTAGAGCTGTGCGAGAAACCGGATTTCAATTTGGATTACGACTATTGCTCCCCAGAGCGTGGGCGAGGACCCTCTCCTTGAACAGCTCTCAATTTTACTTGATCAGAGGCAGCTCAGATCAACGAGAAAAGGAAGTTTGGGAGTTTGAGGAAGTTGCTGCTTCTGCTGAGATTAATGGTGGACCGATGTAGCTCAAAGAAGGGAAAGGAGCAGGACTGTGTATCCATGTGTGTGCCTGAAAAGCAAAGGGACAGAATGAGCCAGCTTTAACAAATAATTTTAAAGAGGTTTTAAAGGGATATTCCAGCGTAAAATTAATTTAGGGTCAAACACACCATAGCACTAAGTTAGGCAAAGCTAAAAAGATGTTTGGTGGCTATGGCTGGGACCCTATATGTTCGGTTGATGAAGTTAGCTGCTTTTTCTGAGCATTATTTGTGGCTATAGAGTGGCATTTTGGTTGAGGTTTGTTCATGGCTCCTCAGACCGCTGTGTATTGCTATCCTGTGGTCGTTACTAAAGTTGATGTAACTAGAGAAGCAAGCGGTCGGCGATATTCATCTCTCGAGGGGTTGTCTAACTCAATGTTACGGTGTGTTTGACCCTAAATTAATTTTACGCCGGAATATCCCTTTAAAGAAGGAAGAGGGGTAGGAGAGAGGAGAGCAGGGAGAGGAGTCAGGTGTGTGTATCCATGTGTGTGCCTGAAAAGCAAAGGGACAGGATAAGCTAGCTTTAACGAATAATTTTAAAGTTTCAAAGAGGTTTTAAGTTAAATGCATGTGATGAAGAAGTCCACTCATGGGTAATCATCTTTAAAAATCTTAATATTTACAAATCAAATTATAATCTTGATAATGATTTTTGCTTTAGCAGAGCAGCCCTTGTTCTTTTGTCCCAGTAAGTCTTATTTTATGGGCCTTCACTCCAAACCATCGAGCCTGTGGGTGTACGTCATCCTCTCTCTTTATGTGTTTTCCAGTGTTGTAGTAGCAGAGCATGAACAACACTCTTATCCTCCTCTGACTTTTCAACCAGGAAGTTAAAGCTTTGTTTGATGTGGTTCAGAGTTTATTTGGGCAGGCCTCATCTTTCAGTAATTCAACGCTGGAATTTTCGCTGCACGTATTGTTTTGGTGGTGGTGGTGAGGACTCAGAGTGACACACACACACACACACACACACACACACACACACACACACACACACACACACACACACACACACACAGGCCTCCTACAGTTCAGAGTCACTGCTTTGTTACAGGATATGAAAAATCTGCCCTGAATCAAAAAACTCCCACTTCAGCCGAAGATGGAAATTCCTCTAAGCGCTGCAGACTGTCAAACGGAGCAGACATGTTTTAGCAGGCAGCATCCCTGACACTGAATGTATGTCCTCTTTGTCTTGTTTTGTTTTAAAGCCCTAAGCCTCCTCCTGTGAAGACAAACCCGTCCAAAAGACACCGAGACCGCCTCAATGTGGAGCTGGACCGGCTCACGGGCATGCTGCCTTTCTCCGAGGAGGTCAGAAACCGCCTGGACAAGCTGTCGGTGCTGCGACTCAGCGTGGGATACCTCAAAGCCAAGAGCTACTTCCACGGTCAGTGAGCTCTGAAAGCCACTCAGAGAAGGTCAAATGTGTGTAATATTGAAAGTGAGAGATAGTGTGTGTGTGTCAGGTGTGCAAATATGCTGCTCCAGACATTTTTGTGGCCGGGCGCTGAGTGTTTGGGGTGTCAGAAAGGAAACCTGACACTGTGCATAATGAACATTCGCCCCGCTGGCAGGGAAACAGGAGAGTGTGCTGCGGGGCAGATGGAGTCTAGGCAGAGCAACATGAGACCTGAAGACGGGAACAGTAGGTCTTTATTCTGATGCCGATCAAACACACACACACACGCGCGCGCACACATACACACAGGGTGCCTACACAGACTGTACGTTGTTCGGGTGTCAGAATGTCCGGCTGACATGATGGAGTCAACTTTTCCTGAAGCTCGAGGTGTCAAAGTGTTGAACTCATACTCACCAAATCCCAAGTGTGGTGTTGTGTTTTGTCTTAAAGGAATATTCCGCTGTTTCTGACACAGACTGGATGAACGAAGAATGCAGCGACCATCATGTCACGTGTCAGTTTGTGCGAATAAGACCAAAATTAGGTCGGCATTTGTTTGTTTTCTGGGGCTGGAAGTGACCATATTTGGAGGGGAGGGATCGGCCAATGGGAGCTATCAAATCTTCAGAGGCTGTACTCGTTAAAGGAAGTTTTTTGATTTGTGGGATCTACTAGAGGGAAATGAGTTTGTGTGTGTCCAGTGTAGCTGTCTTATCTGCTGAAGAGGTAATATGTGATGCCAAAGTCCCTTAAGGGAAGGTCAAAAGTTTTAAGCTGTGTTATTTAGGGCCTGACCGATATGGATTTTTGGGGCCGATGCAGATACTGATTATTAGGGGGGAAAAATGTAATTACCGATTAATCAGCCAATTTTAACAATTTTTTATGAAATTATAAAAATATATAAACACTACAGGCCAAAAGTTTGGAAGCAAGGCTATTACAGGCTAAACAGTTGGGAGTAACTTCAAGTTTTTGTTCACAATGCTTTTTTTTTTAAAATCCAGCATGAGTTTTATGTATCTTGGGATGTATTTACTCCATGATCAGATGTTGCTTTCATGGAAATGCACCATTTTACTCCATTTACCTTTAGATATACATTGATGTTAACAGACCATTGTTAAATATATGTCAGCAAAAGCTAATGAGGGCTTAGTTTTAGGGTCGAAAACATTTGCAAGAGTCACAACTTCAGTGCAAAAGCAAAAAAACAAATCACAGTTGGATTATTCACTTCAACTTCAACAAGGCTTTTGAGAGTCTGCATACAAAAATCCTAATAAATCTCAACTACGTTCAAACTACTGCAGAAATGGCTAGAAAGAAGCAACTGAGTAAAGAAACAAAGTACAGATTTGTACATTGAGGAAAGAAGGATATACAGAAAGAGAAATTGAAAAATGCCTAAAGGTGTCTAACAAAGGAGTCCACTACACTCTGAAGAGACTAGAGGAACCTGAAAGTTATGATGATAGAAAAAGACCTGGATGAAAGAGAGTTACTACAAAAGCAGAGGATAAACATAGCATTGTCACCAGTAAGAGAGATCGGCGAAAGACAGTACCACAAATAAGGGAGGAAATCAAAAATGACAAGGTCGAAACCCATATCTCTGACAACGGTGAAATGACGTTTGAGAAAGGCTGGTCTGAAGGGTTGTGTACCTGCAAAAAAAAACACTACCTCATCCACAGAAGTAGAAAAATAGATATGAGTGGGCAAAAGCTCAAAAATTTCACCTATGAAGACTAGAAACAAGTTTGCACTGTTTGGTTCAAAAGGCAGAATCTATGTCCGCAGACAAACTGGTGAATGTCTGAAAGCACCATGTGTTACATCCACAATTAAGCATGGAGGTGGTAGTTCCATGGTATGGAGATATTTTTCAGGTGATGGAGTAGGAGCTTTGTCTGAAGTAAAGAGTATCATGAAGAAGGAACAGTACCACTCCATCCTCCAGCACCATGCTGTTCCATCTGGACTAAGACTTGTGGCTCATAAGTTTATTTTGCAGCAAGACAATGACCCTAAGCACTCTGCCAAGCTCTGTCAGGGTTACCCAGACAAAAAAGAAGAGGAAGGTGTTCTTCAAAAGATGGTTTGGCCCCCTCAGTCTCCTGACCTTTCTCAATTGAGCTTGTGCGGGATAAATTGGATCAATCGGTCAGAAAAACGTGTCTCACGAATCAGCAGTCTCCTTTTAATGAACTTTAAGAAAGCTTGAAATACAATCCCTGGAACATACCTTGAAAAAACTTTTGGAACGAATGCCTGGTATATGCCAAGCTGTTGTTAAAGCCGGAGGAGGTTACTTTAAAGAAAGCAAAGTCTAAGCATCAATAACTCAAATACCTAATAATTATAATCAAAATGTCTTCTGATAAGTTACTCTTTACACAATAGTCATGTTTATTGTGTGTGTAAATTATATTAATGAAACTATGATCTTTTTTGTACAAATCTGATCTTGCTTCCAAACTTCTGGCCTGTAGTGTATACTGTAGATGCCTACAGTATACTATATACTGTAGATACACTGTAGGCTACTGCTCTTCACGCCGACTGATCAAACTCGGACCAGATCAGTGCCTGCTTGTCTTAACTCACGTTACTAATTTCCGGTCTGCTCTCATCTGGAGACATGCAGCTGCCACAAACCGGTTTATTTACCGTTGAGGCGGACCACTCTCCTCCGTGCGTCCCTGAGCTGCCTGCTTCAGATCCGTCACTCTGCTGTGCTGTGAGGTAGTTAGTGGATGAAGATTGTCATGAGGTCGCTGCGCCATCTACAGGATAAGTCGGGGAACTTTTTAAATGGCAGAACATTTTGTAAAACCGAATCTTATTCTCCACATTTTATTTCTGAAAATATCAGTGAAAATCGGCGTGTTTTGGCCAGTTACTGATTAGTCTTAAACTGGCTAAAATTGGCCCAAGTGTTATTACATGACTTTGTATTCCCGTCAGCAATGCGCAGTTTTTATGTGCATGTGTAGCTTTTCTATTATCGTCTGCTGGCTCCATAAAGTGTAGTTCAGTAGTGTTGATAGTTGTGAGGTACAGACAGACTCACCAGTGTCAACCAGTTTGCTGAGCGCCCTCTGCTAGTCATTAGCTGTCCTAAACTGAGAAGTCTTTTAATTAAACCTGCTCCCCACTTTGTTTATTTACTGACTGATTTCTTTAAAGGCATGATGGTTACCTAATGAAGGGGAAAAGCTTTAATTAGTTGCATGGGAAACATCACAATCATAGACTGTATATAGAATGGACGCCGTCTGCCTCCTTGCTGGGTGAAGCCACCCCGAGAACAGCACCCTTTGGTCATGGGCTGCAGTATAGGTCATAAATCCCGCCTCCTCCAGCAATCCCGGAGCTGTGGACAAACTATAGAAATTAATTACACAGAACATACATTTTTCTCCCCCCCGGTTGCGATGCTGACATGTAGTTACAGTCAGACTGGTTTGTGCTCAAGTCCTCTTTTTTCTGTACAGCTCCATTTTTTAAAGTTATTAGGGTGTTCATGTTTTTTATGATTGACACCTGATACACACGCTGTTTGAGCAGAGCATCATCACAGCGACTCTCCCGCCGAATACGTACAATGCTGCTGCACAATGTTGGTTTCGGGAAATGGAGAAAAAACCTGGAATTAGCGAGAGCTTTTCAGCTTCAAATCCGTATCCTGGCGAAAGGCGAAGCCAAGTTGTCCATAGTAAATACAGTCTATGATCACAATCTATCCAGATTTCCACACCTACAATACAGTTCCTTTTTGTAAAGTTGGAAGTGTAATAATATTTTTTTTAAAAGTTCATTTTTAGTCTTAAGTGTGGCACAAGCTTCCTACATCTCCCATAATGCTAATGAAACACTATCAATTAGACACTCCCTAATTGAAGATATCCTAAACTCTATAGTTAGTCTCTAGGTTGTATTTTTTAGATCTAAACTCCAACTCTTGATAACATCACAATATCACCACCAGCCCATACAGAGCCACAAACATCATTTAGAAACTGCTCCCTAAGGAAGAGCAGTCCTCCACATGTCTGGTGAAGTGACCCTCTTGTGGTAAAAAGTCTTTGGAAATTCCCTTTAACTATCTGAACGCTCAGTTTGAGACACTAACAGAGAGATGCCTCCACCAGCTGCTGTCTAAAACCGGCCCAAATAAAGGCTACGTTTTAGCTAAATTTGTACTTAAGTCCTGCCATCGTGGCCACGGAGTCCAGCAGGCTCCTCCTCTGACTCTGTGCGTCTGTTGCTCTGCTATCACCAGGCCGATCACTGCTGCTGATGGAGCAGAGGGGGGAGGCGGAGGATCGGAGAGGGGGGCTCTGGAGCACAGTGGCACGACATGAGGGCCTCTGAAAAGATGGGAGAGTTTGTGAAGGGAGACGTGAACAGACTCGGTTTGTTCAAGTCTTTGCTGAGGGAGAATGTGTGTGTTAAATGGAGATTTTACAACCACACTGAGTCGAACATATGATTATATAATCCGCAGTTAGGAAATGAAATAAGGAGATTTAAATCCACAGGACAGAGTCGGTTTATGGGCCTATCAGATGAAGTCTGTATCTGCTTGCTCTGCATCAGGCCGTCCAACTTCATATTGTGAAATGTTATCTTCTCTCAACTTTGATCTTCATCCAACTGACATCACACACAACACTGTCTTATTTACCTTTTGAGTGTCTAAAGCTCATGTGATCGCAGAAGAGTCAATGTGAGAAACCCACTGTGACATTATACCCAGCAGTATTAGACCAAACTAGAGCTGCAGGACACTGAAAAAAAAACGTACATTACATTTTTTCCCTCTCTGCAGTATAAATATGAGAGGACTACAGGGAGCTCTGAATGGCTTGTTCAAAAAATCACATGAGAATTCAGCAAGATTTGCTCAGACAGGGAATCTCCTTATAAGGGCAAATTTGTCATTTTAGAAAAAGAATTTTGACTATTTTTTGCTTGGCAATAGTGGAGGAGGCTTCCAGAGTGCTTGAAGGGATATTTCAGCGTAAAATTAATTTAGGGTCAAACACACCGTAACACCGGGTTAGACACCCCCTCCAGGGATGAATGTGGCTGACCGCTTGCTTCTCTAGTTATACCAACTTTGGAAATGACCACAGGATAGCAGTACACAGTGGTCTGAGGAACCATAAACAAACCTCAAACCCAAAACGCCGCTCGATAGCCACAAATAATGCTCAGAACAGCACCTAACTTCATCAACAGTACATATACGGTCCCAGCCATAGTACTAGCCACTAAACATCTCTTAACTTTGCCTGATTTCTGTAGCAAAGACACTAAACCCAACTCACCCACTCTCTTTCAGCAGCTGCTTGTTTGTAGGCCAGGCCAGTCCATTACGGACCACAGCGGGGGTGACGCAGCACAAGGAAAGACATTTATGATCGTTTCTTTATAATTTCCTTGAAGTAATATTCTTTCTTGAGCTGCATCACCCCGCTGTAGTCGACGGACTTGCCCGGTTGTCTCGCTACAAACAAACGGCTGCTGAAAGAGAGTAGGTGAGTTGTGTTTAGTCTCTTTGCTAAAGAAATTAGGCAAAGTTAAAAGATGTTTGGTGGCTAGTACTAAGGCTGGGATCCTTTATGTACTGTTGATGAAGTTAGGCACAGGGAGACAACTGTACTGCACAGGGAGACAACTAACTTTCCAGAGTCCATTGACAAGAGAATATCATTAGACACCTTCAAAAGTGCCGACTCTGTGCTGTGGAGAGCTTTGAAACCTGACTAGAACAACTCTGTGATACTATTATCTTCCAAAAATGGTAACAACTGATTGTAGACAACCTTCTCTAAAATCTTGGACAGGTCGGGAAGATTTGAGGTGGGTCTGAAACTGGCACAGAGGGATGGGTCGAGGCCTGTTTTTTTAAGTAGAGGTCGTACTACAGCATGTTTAAAATCCCTAGGTACTGTGCCAGAGGAGAGGCTACTATTTACAATATTAAGGACACTTGGTCCAATAGTAGCAAGTACCTCTTTAAACAAGCGAGGGTGGATGGCATGAGTTTTCTGAAATATGTGAAGAATCTGTTAAAGTGTAAATCATGTGAAGTTTTCAGAGGAACGACATGAAGACAAAATACTGAGCAGAATAACCTCGACTCTAACCTGCCCAGTGTTGTTGGCCAAACTCGACTCTCTGTTGTTTCCCTCTCCGGGCTCTGAATGAGTCCCAGGTGATGCCGCCGCCGCTGCTACTGCATCCATCACCAAGAGCAAAGGTTACCATGGTGAACCCTGGTTACCTTGGTGAGGGGGCTGGAGGGCGGGGAGGAAAAGGAGGAGGTGTGTGTGGCCCGAGAGCTTGACTGTTCATGTCTGCTTCCTGTTTGTCGATAAGGAGGGTGAAGGAGGTCACAGTGAGGTCAGAGCGGTCGTAAACTCGGCCTCCAGCTGCACTTTCTGCTCAGGGATGTTAAAAACACCTTCTGCTTCAGTTTAGACTGGAAGTGAAAGTTAATGGGAGCAGAACCGCAGCAAGATTTCTCCCCATTTAAACCGATTACTTGAGTTTCTGTTGTTGGCTGAAGTATAACACAGTCCACACTTTGGGCTGTTCATTATCTTCTCCCAGACTCTGACTGCATACATAATTCAGTTTCTAAATACAGGGTTTCTACGCAAGTATGGAAAGTATGGAAATAATTTGATCAATTTCCAGGTCTTAAAAAGTAAAGAAAGTGAAAAAGAAAGTATGGAAAAATATCTATGTTTCCAGACTATTACCACAGTTCTAAAATACAATTTGTTAAAATAGAAAAGTAGGTATTTCCAAAAACAAATGTAAAAAGTCGGGTATGAAAAAGTATGGTGTAGGAACCCTTTAAATAAAATCCCCCAAAACTCAAATTAATCTTCAAAAATATAATTCCAAAAAAATATAAATATCTGTCAAATCATATTTTGACAGAGGCTGGCAAATTCAGAAGATACTGACTGAAAAACTTAATTCTTTTAATACTATTTTTGTCATCCCAAACACCGAGCTGGGTCTTAGTGTCAAATGTTGAGAGGTTTTTATTGCACTACAGTATTTTACCCAGAAGATGGCGCTTGAAAAGTAAAGCAGGAAACATCATCAGCACTTTTTAATGTTTAAATGTCAATTTAAGACGTTTTTGTCTTAAAAACACATTTTAAAAAAGTGGAGTTGTCTTTTATTCCATGTGTCCAAATAAAACTGTCAGGGTTGATGCATTAAAGTGTTTAAAATACCACGGTATGGTGTAACAACTTAGTATAAAATCCACACGCTTTGTGAGACTGGCAGCTTCCTGGTGTGTTTACCAATCAGAGGCTGTCTCTAGGGCTGGGCAATACGGCCTCAAATCAATTTCACGATATATTGAGCAGTTATCCTCAATAACAATAAATGGACGATAACTTCTTCACAAGCTGCTCACCCCTTCCCACATTAACTTGGTCTACTTCAGCCGCTACAACTTTTGAACTGTCCTCCATCTCCTCACCTGTCTTTCCCTCTTTGTTACAGACTGGATGGAGTAGAGTCACGTCTCTGACGTAGGACAGCGTCTTAAAGGGACATGAGACCATAGCCTACCTACACACATTCAAAACCAACTTTTCTTATTTTTTTTTTTATGACACCGAATAAACCCATACAGGAAAAATGATGTTGGTCATTGTCGTAAATTTCGGTATCGGTAAATTTTCGATTTATCGTCAAGCCCTACCTGTATCTATGGTCAGCTGACCTGTAAAGACCCAGTTAGAAGTGAGTGCAGCCTGGAACATGCATCACGTTCTGCTCTCTGTATAGAAATAGGAAAGATAGAACTGTTTGAATGGATTTATCCTATTCAGCTTATCTAGTATGAGTAGATCTGTGTAATTTCATCTTTAAAAGGCTGACTTTCTTGTACTTTAGTCATTATAGTATTAGACAAACAAATATTAGTTGGACAAACAGAATAAATAATTTGTTTGGATGGAGAAAGTTTGCTAAAACGCTTATTTTTTAAGTTACTTTCCTTATTAAACTCTAAAATAGAAAGTATAAAAGCAGGGTCATTATTCTTGTTCCTCTCTCTGCTGTTTCTACAAACCCCAAGGATTGTGGCCCCCTCATCGGGCCCCCCTCTTGTGCACCCTTGTTTGGCAAGGTGCGCTGACTCTGCGTGTGAACCCTCTTCCTTGAAAACCTCCACAGCAGCGAGCAGAGGAAGAAGACAGGGGAGGAAGGGAAGGGAAGGGAAGGGAGGGAAGGAGGAAAGGATGGAAGTGAAGGGAGGAAGGGGGTCAGAATACAGATTCAGGATCAAACTTTTGACTCTAAAAGTGTCCACTTTGTTTAGACCGTGACGCCTCTCTCTCTGCTCTCTGCACATTGTGTCCTTTCGTCGGGCTCCACACCGAGTCAACCTCTGGAGGACTTGTTGATGTGTTGCACCAGTTTGAGCAGATCCCTGGAGTCGGTTACAGTTCGTGTTGTAATAACAAACTAGAGATTCTTTCAGCTGCCTGAGTGTGGAGCAAGCCGCTCTTGACCGAGATGACAGGGCAAATTCCTGGGACGAGAGGCAGATCCAGCGGGTTTGTTTTAAAAAGGGGAGGGAGGGTGGAGGGAGGGAGGGTTGGGAAGTTTGTTAGCGTGCCATAGAGTCATTACTGTAGGGAAAGGAAAGGAGGTATTACTTAACTGAATGAATGCCAGCGATCACAGATTAGATTACACAAGATTTTGCTGAAAACTCACATCAGAAAAAAACACAGTTCTATCCTGTTTGAGCAAAATAAAACTCCTTTGTGCGAGGGTTTCTCTGGAAAGTCCCGCTTTTCTGCTAGAGATGTTTTCAGGCTTCGATCTGTGAGCTTCTTTATGAATGCATCAAAAATGCTTAGGCGTGAAAACATGCTCTGGTCGCACTCAGCCTGTAGGACGTCACTGATACTTTGTCCTGCAAATAAACCGGTGAAACTTTAGCAGGGATGCAGCAAAGACACATGTAGAGAGTGTGAGGCAGAAACACTGGATACCCTCTGACTTTGGAGAGCATTTTAACGCATGAAGGGACGAGTTTAAAGCTCCATTGTGTAAAAATGAAACATCTACTGGCTGAAATCTGGTCAGAACTGAACATATTAGTCAAAGAGATTAGGAATTGTGATGTTTTTGTCATCTCAAATAGAGTCAGAGAATGTAAATGATCTTGCCTCTGCCTGCTTGAAACTGAAACTGTTAAATTTGCAGGGAAGAAGAAAATCTATGCAAAACATCCAAGGAGCTCTAAAAAAACATGATTTTAGATTTGATTAATGCCTGAACCTCACTGAGAATCATCGTCTTAGCTTAAAATATCAAATATCACTAAAACGGACTCGATGTTGGAGATTCACAGCTCTCTGTTGATCATTTAAAGCACCGAGAACTAAAACCTGAACATTAATATAGAGTCTTAGATCATGCTGTGTCAGCAGGAATGGGAGCATTAAACTGGGCCGTGATGGTGAAGAAGGAGCTGAACCTGAAGGAAAAGCTGAAATGTCGTTTTATTCTGTGGTTTTTAAAAAAAACATGCTCTTATTTTGAAATGATGGTATATTTAGTGTCAAAAAATAAATACATAAAGGTTGGTTTTGGATATGTGTAGGAAGGCTATGGTCTCATGTCCTTTTAGGACGCTGTCATGACTCCACCCAATCCAGTCTGTAACATAGAGGGAAAGACAGGTGAGGTGTATATGTAGCCATCTTGTTTACGCCTCCGATTTAGCTTTTTTCCGACTTGGTAACTGAAACGTGAAGTTAATGTTTGAGGGGTGAGCAGCTTGTAGAGTTGTTATTGTCCATTTATCGTTATCGAGGTGAACTGCTCAATATATGGTGATATTGATTTAAGGCCATATCGCCCAGCCCTAAGCTACAACATTGTTTTATTTTCTGTTTTTAAAAAAGGTGCTTTTATTTTGAAATGATGTCTACACTTTTCCTAGTAGGTCTGAGTTTTTTATACACAGACTGCAGAGTGTTGTGGAAGGAATTCATGTCCAGTCTGGACCTCGGTCCCTCAAGAGGAGCTGGAAATGTGGATTTAGTGGATAAATCAGAAGTGACTGTAGAAAAATAGTCATTTCTCTCCCTCTGTTACGTTTTTATTTATTTTAAAACATCACGCAGTGTTTTTCTGTCTCTCTCTTTGTACAATAAACTTTGTCACTCCTGCAGTCCAGGACACTCAAAATAAATGTTTTCAGACATTTTTCTGACACCTTTGTTTGTTTTGTGTCTTGCAGCAGCGCTCCAGAGGAGGTCAGCTCCTCCTGTCACTGCAAACGGCAGAAACGGACAGTCAGTGTCTCTGGATGGAGTCAGCTTCTCAGAGGGAGACCTCCTCCTGCAGGTGCAAAAATAATAAAACCTTTCATTCATGCGTGCTTTGCTTTGTGTTGTCGGTGTGTGGGTATCATCATATTGTTTTGTTGTTGTTGTTATTATTTCCTCAGGCTTTAAATGGCTTTGTGTTGGTTGTGACAACTGATGGCACAATCTTCTATGCGTCACCAACCATTCAGGAGTTCTTGGGCTTCCATCAGGTAAAACTATGACATCTAGATGAGTCAGTATATTCGACCCTGAAATGCAGAGAAGTCAAAGTCTGTGGCTTTATTAAATAAACCGTCTTTCTTCTGCCGTCAGTCGGATGTGGTCCATCAAAGTGTGTACGATCTGGTTCACGTGGACGACAGAGAAATATTCAAATGTCAGCTCCACTTCGCCCTCAACCCCAACCAGAATGACTCACAGCAGAGAGCAGAAGGTAAAAACTCGTCAGACTCCACCTTTGGGGTCCAGAAAGAGGTTTGGATGCTGTGAAAAATGCTGACAGATACTATGTAATGAAGGATAATCTGAAGTTGATGTTTTTTCCTCTACAGACGGACAGTCCAGCAGTAAAGTTTCATGCAGCTCTATGAATCTGTTGCCTCGGTACATCCCTCCTGAAAACTCGTCTTTCTTGGAAAGAAGCTTCTGCTGTCGACTCCGCTGCTTATTAGACAACACCTCCGGGTTTCTGGTAAATCATCATCTTTTAATCCATGACTGACAAACAGAATTACGGAATAAAAACACGAAATTAAGTTTTGAATGACCTCCTCAAAGCACTGTGTGCCATTTCACTTTATGAGGACCATCCGTGGAGCTCTGTCTCAACCACAACTTGAAATGCATTTGTGTAGCTTCATGAATGTGTGTTTTCATCTCCTCACCTCCAGGCTCTGGACTTCCACGGCCGTCTGAAGTTCCTCCATCTCCAGGGAAGCACTGAGGCTGATGGGACTTCTGTTCCTCCTCCCCAGCTGGCTCTGTTCGGCATCGCCACGCCTGTACAGCCTCCTTCAGTCATGGAGATCCGGACTAAGACCCTTATCTTCCAGACCAAGCACAGGATGGACTTTGCCCCCATGGGCATCGACACCAGGTGGACATTGAGAGATCTTTATGACTTCTCCTGGACCCAAAGTCAGTGCTTTCTTTAAAGGTGTGTTGTTGTTGTTTCTTCTCAGAGGGAAGGTGGTTTTAGGATATTCAGAGACAGAGTTGGTGACCACGGGCTCTGGATATCAGTTCATCCACGCTGCTGACATGATGTACTGCGCTGACAATCACCTGAGGAGTGAGTCACTCCACCTGATCTGTACTCTTAACAAACACTTTATACGTCTCTGCTCTTTAACGTTACTGCTGTGTCCACCTGCAGTGATCAAGACTGGAGACAGCGGCTTCACCTTCTTCAGGCTGCTGACGAAAACAGGACAGTGGCTGTGGGTTCAGGCAAATGCCAGGGTCGTCTTCAAGGGAGGAAAACCAGACTTCATCATCGCTCGTCAGAAAGCCCTGACGTAAGCTTCAGCTTCTTTAAATAAGAGATTTTCTAACAACATCTTTTGAGTCTTTAATGAAATATCTGAGGAACATCTGGAAGGAGAATGTTTGAATTTTGCCCAGATGTCTGTTAGGGAGGAAGGATGACATGGTTTGATTTTGGTGTTTGAACATTAAAGGGATATTCCGGCGTAAAATTAAGTTAGAGTCAAACGCACTGTAACACCGAGTTAGACATCCGTCGAGAGCTGAGTGTTGCCGACCACTTGCTTCTCTTGTTATACCAACTTGAGTAGTAGATATCAATACAGAGTGCCACACGCTCAACTAAAACGCCACTTTATAGCCTCAAATAATGCTCAGAACAGCACCTAACTTTATCAAAAGTACATATAGGGTCCCAGCTATAGTACCATCCACCAAACATCTTTTTAGCTTTGCCTGATTTCTTAGGAAAAGAGACTAAACACAACTCACCTACTCTCTTCCAGCAGTCGCTTGTGTGTAGTGAGACCTCTGGGCGAGTCCATTGACTGCAGCGGGTGATGCAGGTCAAGGAAGAACATTTATGATCATTTCCGAGATGCTAAGGCTGAAGAACTACCGTGTCTGCAGTGCATAATGGTTAATATGATGATTATTAGTTCAAGGAAATGATAAAGTAATGATCATAAATGTTCTTCCTTGAGCTGCACACCCCCGCTGCAGTCGATGGACTCTCCTGGAGGTCTCGCTACAAACACACGGCTGTTGGAAGAGAGTAGGTGAGTTGTGTTTAGTCTCTTTGCTAAAGGAATCAGGCAAAGTTAAAAAGATGTTTGGTGGCTAGTACTGTGGCTGGGACCCCATATGTACTGTTGATGAAGTTAGGTGCTGTTCTGAGCATTATTTGTGGCTATAGAGTGGCGTTTTGGTTAAACGCATGGCTCTCTGTATTGATATCTGCAGTCGTTGGTAAAGTTAGTATAACTAGAGAAGCAAGTGGTCTGCAAAATTAGTCTCTCGAGGGGGTGTCTAATTCGGCGTTATGGTGTGTTTGACCTTAACTTAATTTTACACCGGATTATCCCTTTAATGTAGAGGAAGTCTGAGACCAAGTCCGTTCTGAAATATTATAGGTCACGCAACATCGACTTGTGTGACCAGTTACAACAAGCTTTTACTGATTCTAGTACTCCTGCAGACGAGCTCCTTTAGAGAACACGGCTTGCAGCAGTGTGACCCACAGATGTTTATGGATGAAGTCATGGACGGCGTCACTTTATACTGATGTAAACATTCATCGTACTGAGACTATCCTGTCCTCCTCTGAGCTGCTGGTCCGAGACAAAACATGGCTCCACTAATGCAAACATTACGCTGAGGATAAGTCCCAAAACACGAGCAGAGCGGGAACATGAGGACACTGAGACTCAGTGGTATGAGTCCAGAATGCCTCATGTGACCTGTGCTGCACACAGCTGGAGCAGTTCTTACCTCTGTTGTGCATCATCCACCTTTAATTTGATTTGACCCCTGACCTTTACTTGTCTCCTTTCTTTTCTTTAGAAATGAAGAAGGAGAGGAACACTTGCATCAGAGGAGGCAGCAGCTTCCCTTCAACCTCGCCACCGGCGAAGGCGTCCTCTATGACATCACCCTCGATGCTTTCTCCATGTCCGGTTCTCCTGGCTCCGGCGCACCAGGCCCTTCGGAGCCCACAACAGAGAAACCCCTGGACCCCGCCTCCATCCTTGGATCTCTTCGCCGTCAGGACCACTCGGTGTACACCCAGCCACAGAACCCCAGTCCTCAGCTCTCCATCTTTGACCAGATGGAGGACCTCGAGTGTGATCAGCAGTCGTTTGAACAAGCCTTCCTGGACAGCCATGCTCTGCTCAGTGTTCCTGAGGGACAGATCCAGGCTTCTCAGAAGAGGTCCATCACAGGGGACCTCACCTCAGACGCCATGATTGACTCACTGGAGCAGATACTGGGGGATATCGGGGACGGAGTGATAGAGGATCTTGAAGTTGAGGAGTCAGAGCTGAGGAACTGGGAAAACACGCTTGTTGAGGTGAACAACAAGAGACAGGATGCTTCAATGGACATCAACCGCCTCCTGGCAAATGACGTGTTCTCGTATGTCGAGGAGGCTCTGAGGAAAGAGACCGGTGGATTTGTGCAGGTTTCAGATCCGAAATCTCGGGTATCCAATCACGTACAGCTTCCTGGGTCTGTGTTTTCAAATAATGTGCAGCCCATGACACAAAGGACTTCAGGATTTGCAGATCAGACTCAAATGGGAGACGCTTTTCTCGGTGTTGATTGTTCTGGACCAAAAGGTGCGTCTCAAATGGGGTCAAACAGGGCGAAACCCTCACAGTGTCGCAACAATCCACAAGGGCACACCTCGATGTGGCCTCAAAGTGGCAGCAATCAGCAATGTGGCAACCCAATGATTTCAACACAGTCATTCTTTGCGGTTCAATCACAGCCTGACATGACTCAAGAGGCCTGGCTTCCACCTGCCCAAAACACGATCCACCGACCTGGTTCAGAAGTGATGAACCAGAGAGGACAATACAGACTGAACCACGGCGGCAGCTCACAGCAGACATATGTGGGGCAACCATTTCAGAGCCCTTCAGCGTGGCAACAACAGCAGCTGCCGCAACATTTTCACCACCACACACTGACACATTCCTCTCACACACCAGGCAGCGTGAACTCGACAGCTCAGTCATTCCACCAGCAAATGCAGCGATTATCTGGCAGCTGCATGTATGAAAAAAGAGAAGGTCACATACCCAATGCTGCTACTGTTCCTAACAGACAGAACGGACCTCTCCTGGGACCTACAAGATCCAAAGGACCCACACATGGTGCAGGGACGAGCACTCACGCTCCCTTCACCCTTTCCCATCCTTGTGTGGCGGTCGGAGTCGTAAACCCGGGGACGGTGCAGCCCCCAGGCTCTGGCACATGCATGAATTCTTGTAGTGATGTCGGGGACATTCACTCCGGAGACAACGCTGGGACGTCTCAGTCAGAGTATCCCAATGGAAACGGATCATTACAGTCCACGTTCTTCTGCTGGAATGGGGAAGCGCAGGTAAAATAACAGCTATCAGGAAGAGCGTTTCAGTAATTTCAAGCTAATTTGGGAAGGAAATTAATGTAAAATGTAATCATGACCAAAGCCTGGCTCAGGTTTTTTGGATCACTGCTGCGAGAACTTCCCAACTGTTTGTGCAGATGGTTTTAATTTGTCGCGGGAAACACACAAAGGCCTCAGGCGGTTCTTGCCCTGTTTAGATAAGCCTCTCCTTCATTTCAGCTGTCCCAAAACACATCCAGTTGTGAGGCGAAAGGAGTCATTTCAGACGTCATATTCATTGTCTGCACAGTCTTTAGGGACCGGCGGTTGGAGGACTTCCAAGATTTGAATGTGCATGAAACTTTCTAGGTTTTAGCTTCACTGCGTTCATGACTTACAGATTAAAGTCTGTAAGTCATGAACATCTAACCATCTTTGCTTCAACATGCTAAAGAATGTTTTTTTTTTACAACTTCCAAACTCTTCTATTGAAAAAAACACGGGTTTGTCTTTTCTCTATAATTTTAATTTACTTTATGATTGAGAAGTATGCCCCTGGTTCTTTTAAAATGAAAGCATTCTGTAATGGAACCAGTGGACATAGTTCAATAGTTAAATGTAGGGCTGAAATGATTCCTCTAGTACCTCGATTACAAATAATGATCGAGGACTTTTCGTGTACTCGTTAATAAGCTCAAATCGTCAAATTTTCAAGGTGACACAATGCGCTAAATGTCACCATGATAGAAGGAGGAGTAAGTACGGTTTTGGTGTTGCGAAGCGGGAAATACGAATGATGAGAAGGGGCTTTTCTTCTGCAGAGCTCCAGCAGCTCATTAGCACTTCACCTCTGAGTCTTGGGTGGAGACAGCGCTGCTCTGCACACTCCTCTTCAAGCTACCTTGCAGCTTAACATTGCCGGTGTAGTCGCAGAAGCAGGTAACACAGGCGATATTCAGCTCTCGGACACTAATGTCTTTTGAGGCATGATGAAAGTTAATATCATAATTAGCATTCTTACGAGAGTTGCAATCCGCTAACGCACATGCTTGTTCCGCGATTATCCTCTGTTTCTCCAAGTCTGGCCTTCATAGTGGGGCTCCAGGGTTGGAGCTTGGATTTGTGACATAGGAAATCTCACTGTAAGCTATGTAAATCTGCCATTTGGGTCCGATTATTCGAGTAATCGATGGAATATTCGGTCAAATACTCGATTACTAAATTATTCGATAGCTGCAGCCCTATTTAAATGTAAAACTGTGGCCAGATAACTAAGCAGCCTCTCCTTGTTTCCACTCTCTACAGTAAGGTTAAGATACGAGCAGCCAAACGGAAATCCATATGTGGTTCATACAGACACGAAAGTAAGATATTGTCATGTTGCTTCAAATCTTCATTTAGATCAGATAATGACCATAATGCCTGCATTTTTCCCCCCACAGATGTCCAACGGTTCCCTGAATGGCGTGGATGACTCGTTTGCCTTTCCTGCCCTTCCCCCTGGGAACATCAACCTTTCCCAAAACAACGGGCCACAGCCGCCTCTGCGCTGCCCTCAGAGACTCTGATGGCCTGGCAGATATGGGATGATGAGGACTTTCCCTTCACGGATACTTATATTTTAAGGATGTTGTGTCTGCTGTGGCTCACCAAAGACTACGGACCTTCTCATTTCAAACTTTTCTGCATTACAACCTTTGGACAGTGATGGAGGGGAAAGTATCTCCTCTGTTTTTTTAGATGTTGAACCTTGACTCCTCAAATATTTATCTGACTATCCTTATCCTGTTATCGGCTGTCTACATTTACTCTGCTGAAAGCAACTAACCATTTTGTGAAGAATAAAAGCTGGACCCAAGTGGATTAATTTTTGAACTATTCACAAGAACTCTCGACTGTCTGTATCCTGTAACATGCCGGGATGAAAAGGCTTTCGCTCTACAAATGGAGGATTTTTTCACAATGTGAATCTGGGAACTTACTCTTCTGTTAACCTGTCAATAACCAGTTTATGCAGATTATATTTCTGTATTTCTTTAACTGGCATTTAGGGGACACATCATAGACTTTAAATCAACTCACTGATTGTAAACTTTCATGTTTATACCCAACTCTAGACTGGAGCAAATGTTTGTTTCCAAATAAGTAAATTCACCCAAACGAAGTCAAAAGATAGAGTCAAGTTTGTTTTAAAGCAACATACAACTGTCCACATTTTCCTTGAAACAGCTTTGGCTGCCTTTAGTGTGTGTCCTCCGCTTTATAAATGGAAGCGTATTCAGTGTAAGTGAGGGAGAATTCTTTAAGCTAGAGTGAGTATCCGTCTGTGCACACCTCAAGTGTTTCCCTCACAGACAATACCCTGGCAGGTCGCCCAAGTATATTTTCAACTGCACAAGTAAAACCACCCAGCAGTTTTACTTCACTGTATGTAATCAGTGGTCAGTATGTTTACAGGTTGTTCAGAAAATCAATGTATCGCCTCAGTGGACTTTAGAAATACATGTAAACACTGAAGTCTGACTGTGAAATCACACTAAATCAAACTTCTCATAGTTGGACTAATGTACCCAGATAATGCAGTTGGGGATTGATTTTCTCTTGCATAAGAACGCCTCTGAAACTGACCTCAGCAGTCTGTGCATGCCTCATAGTTTGTGTGGTTTGCAGATAAAAAGTATGAATGTGTTGCGAGAAAACTGGTTAGTAAACAAAACCTCAACAGACTAAGAAAGGACCTAAAAAGACAAAGCTGTCATATCGTACATATGATAGATGCAGAGCTGTAAAGTTGTTTCATTGTTCCATGTGCAACCTGTTAGCCCCTTGTTAACAGGTTTGTTGATTGTTCTGGTATGATACATAAACCAGAAGACAGCCTAGTAGTTATGACCTGAGAAGGGTAAAGCCAAAATTAGCACATTAAGAAATGGTGTATCTGATTATTTCGTATGAAAATAAGCAGCAACCAGAAACTGTTTCAAAGTACAAATGGGGGCTTGTTCACATTTGATGACAAACTTCTAAAACATGTCCTTTATCAAGATTTATTAGGTTTAAGGGTAAGATTTCCATGTTTGTATATTCCAAATAGAGACGCAGACAATAATATTAAAACTTGCTGCTTATCTGACATTTAAACTGACACAAAATAATCACATTTTGATTTTAAATAATCTTGTAAAACATGGTTCACAAATGATGAAGTATTGCTCTGTATAATGTGTTTCACTGGGCCATTTCCCCTCACTAAAAGCACTGAAGCAGCATTCATGGGCAGTAAATGAGCATTGAAATTTGGAGGAAACAAGTACATTGGTTTCCTGTTGACTTTTATGATGCCATATTTTACTGTGGTTCACTGTGTTGTATACAGGCACAGGAGAATATTTAAATGTTAATAAAACAGTGATAAACACTCAAAAAGGTCCTTATAGATTCTGAAAAGGTTTCTAGAGTGAATTGGAGTATGTTTTATAACATTTATTGGTGTTTAGTACATAACTGTTGCAATTAAATGTTACATAATACGTATCTCTGAGCCCTAATCAGAATTTATATAAAGCAGTAATAGATAATTGTATATATGTAATGTTTTCCTCTGTTTTAGCATGATGTGGGAGAGACGGCAGCTCCAGTGTTCATTGTGATCAGATCTGAACTGGGGAGTAAGATTCGAAAGTCTGATAACATACTGTATATTCTCAGTTAAAATCCTGCATCAATGTCAGCTGTATCAAAGAAGAACTTTGTTTCCCTCCTCAAATCAAATCATATTCAGAAATGTGCAAATTTATCCTTTTACCTGCAGGAGACGGCCATATTATTGTGCTTGTGTAATTATCAGAAACAGTATAGCTGCTTGTGTACCAGATATAACCATTGAGGACAAGTTTAATTTATTTTGCCATTAAAGAACTGTAACCGCTCATTTAGCCTCATGTATTATTCCCCTCACCTCACATAGTGTTGTCTATGAAAGGGTTCATGCGAGGAGACCGTATTCAGACTGACAGGATGACTCCAGACCTCAGGTGTGTGAGCAGGTATCAGATGAAGCCCTTTATGAGCATGAGCTCTGTCTGCAGCACCTGCACAGACTTGTAATGCTATCTGTGTATGTTATCTGAGGTCATGGTGGCACATTAAATGTTTTTTTTTTTTTGTTCCAGTCTCTCTGCTCCCACATCTGCCGTCCTCTGAGACGTATGTGTTCCCTACAGGTCATTACGTAACCGCCTGCAGCCTCCAACTTTGCAGAGCATATTCAACCCCTCAGTGTTTTGTTTGTTTTTCAACAAGAACAGCTGAAAACCTTCTTAGCTATTGAGTCTGGCATTTCAGGGTTTAGTGTCTTCTGGTTGGTGCCACAAATAGCAGTATGATGACAAGAAGGAAAAAATAGGAGACATTTTATGACAATTAAGCAAATGTTTGAGTGCCAAAAAATGTGGTTCATCAAATGGCATTTTGAAGCTGGCTCTGAATGAAATCAATACCTCATAGTGTCCCATGTTACAATAACAATAATTTCTTTAAACTCAGCCAAGTATGAGGAAAGATAGGGGGCTTGATGGCCAATTCTCTCTAATCTGAAGCTCTACAGACAGGTCAATACTGTAAGAACTAGCATATTTAAAAATACAGTCAAGCTTTTGTGGGTGTTGCTACCTGTCTATTGATGTCACTTAAGCTGATACCAGTCAAAATTCACTTTAATATCTAGGTGAAGTTTCATATCAAGTATACCACTCACAGAGCTGCCAAGTGTCACGCTTTGAGTGTGACAGTCACGCAATTTGACCCATTCTTACACCACACACCACACTTGACATTTCTCATGCTTATATTTCCCCATTCAATACTCTGTATTTATTTTTTTCATGATAATTAACTTGGCTTGCCTTAGTTCGAGTAACTCTGATTGACTGACCGAGATAACCAATCCCAGATCAATCCATCAGTCCTTTGTGCCTAATGCTGCATTCGAGTTACCTCAGAAGTCAGATGTCGGAGCTAAAAAAATGATGTCATACCTGAGTTCTGGGTAAAAGCAAAATTGAAGGCCTGAAACAGATGGCTACCTCTACTTAAGTTATTTTAGTGCTTGTATTGTATTCGGACAAGGCAAGCACTAAGATAACTTACGTAGAAGTAGCCAGTCAAACTTATGTGGGTGTTTCTAGCTGTCTATTGATGTCACTTCAGCAGATACCAGTCAAAATTCACCTTAATATCTGGGTGAAGTTTCATATCAAGTATACCACTCGAGCTGCACTCAAGCTAACATTGGTTAATTTAGCTCCTCACTAAGATAAGATAAGATAAAAAGGGAAATTCGATCAAGGCTTGGTCAGTTAATAGGTATTAGTCCAGTTCCTGAGTTGTAATCTGTCTTAAGTTTTTTAAAAGTGGTGGAAACTGGATCCAGTTTCACAAAAAGTATGTTGTTGGACAAGCTAGCTTTAGCTAGCCTGTAAAAAATGCTAATGGCACCGAGTAGCCGTTTGCCTTTAGCCCGCCCACATCATCCACCTAGTTGCAGCACCGAATTCAATTATATTTTCCCACACTTTGCCATGTTAGCTTTGTCAAGGCCATAAACAGGTTTTTCATTCTTACCGTTCACAAAGTTTTAGTGCTCATTGTACAGTTATAGTAGAGTTAAATAAGTGTTGATAGCTTTTCCACTCATCACTTGTGCTCAACAAGTGTTAAGTTCTAAAACTGTATTTTTATTATACTCTCATACAGCCAACATTAACCTTCTTGTTTGCAGGTGTGAAATTTCCTTCACTAACATATTAAAATTAACCTCTAGGCTACTGTTGTCCCATTGTCACTGTTATTATGCCATACGGATCATGATCAATACTTTCGCAGACTTATTTCTTGCAAAAAATTGTTTGTTTATCAAAGCAATAATATTATTTGGTTTAACATTGAAGGCACTCATCTTACAGTTTTTTGTTTTTTTTTGTAAAACAATATTTTATTAAGTTTTACATATAAGAAAAACATAACACTGCAGCAATAGCAATGATGTGTAAATGCACTATACAACAAAACTCTCAAAAAATCAAAAGAAGAGAAAAATAAGTAAATAAAGACAAAATAATTTAAAAATAATAATAATACAAGTAAAATAGTAGTAACAGAAATAAAATAAAGTAAAATAAAATAAAAAACAACTGAAAAAGTAGTAGCAGTGGTGATTTGAAGACCAAGGGCTCTATTTTCGTGCGCGCCGGTGAGGCGGCGGAGGGCGGCGAGCCCCGCGCAGTTGTATTTTCGTCTGGCGGAGCCCAGCGTAAGGCCAATTTGGTATTTTCGTGGCATGAGCCGCACGGAGGCGAGCCGAGATCCGCCAAGCTGGGCGTGGTGGTGTGGCAGGGGGAAGTGTCGACAGAATCAGCAGGCGCAGTGACATTTTCGTGCTCGCCAACGGCGTGTAAAGTGCGCTGAAAGCTCGCCGATTCAAACCTGGTCAGCTTTCAGCGCAAGGCGGAACGCAGCTGGTCTGGTAGTATTTTGGTAGACCGGCGGCGTATCGACATACGTCACTGATGCCTCATCGGCAGTTTTCCACAGTGTCAGGCACATTTCAGTGCAATAAATAATCATCAACAACTATTAATCTGAGTCAGCACATACATTTAGATCTATATCGATATATTCTGATCTATATCTGATCTGATGAGCGCGTTTGGCACGCGTTTGGGCACACAACCTGACCGAATCAACACAGCTGAAACCGCATCAAATTAAATTAAATATCTAGTAAATAAACTCACATGATGAAGTTAACAAGATATGTAATTCGTCTCCCTCCTTTTCTTTCTTCCTCTTCCTCTTATTTCTCGCACAGCTCGACCTGGACACATCTCCGTGTCCTCTGTCCGTCTTGCTGCTGCTGCGGCTGAACAGATGATTTGTTTCAGTGCTCAGATGCGTTATCTACTTTAAGCCGACATACGGATATTATAATATTCAGTTTTGTGAGCCAAATTTATTTTATATGCCAACATCTATGAAAGAAAGAGCCAGGCCACGGAGCGCGATGCGTCATTTACGCACAGATGGTTCCGATTTTAATGCCATTTTTGGAGTTTATGTTGTGATCTGTGCGCACAACCCACCTTTGTCACATGAGGTTTGAATATGAGCAACTTTATGTGAGTGTCTTTATTTGTGGAAAAGGGTGTTTGTCTTACCAGTGGGTCCAACATTACGCACACTAAATCCATCTGTGCTCAGATGAGAGAGTGTGGAGGACACTTGTTGAGGAGCTGCCCTCTGTCGCCATCTTGTGGCATTACTGTCTTAAGACATCTCTTGATCTCTTTGACTACTTCATGAAAATAGTAATACGCCTCGCCGGTGGTGGATTTAAAGGCAAGGAGAGGAGCCTATGTGATTGGTGAAAACAGGTCTCGGCTGTGTTAAACCCACTATACGGCCTTTCTCCTCCCCGTCTACGACTTATGGTGCTGGGAGGAGCTGAGTTACGGAGGGGGGATACTTACGCCGGGCTGCGCGGCTCACCAAAATACCAAAATGTGCTTGGGAACGCCTTGTCAGCGCGGCGGATCTGACTGACGCTGCGCTTGCGGCACGTCTCCGGCGAGGCACCAAAATAGAGCCCCTAAAGTTCTAATACAATTCTCATCCTCCAAAAATTCCAAAAAGGTTTCCATACTGTAACAAACTGTTTTCTTTTCCCTCTGACAACATATGTAAGTCTTTCCAATGCAAGACATGTTGCAATCTCCTTCAACCATAACTTTACAGAGGGCAACTGTATATTTTTTCAGAAAAGAGCGATCAGCCTTCTAGCTTGTAGAAGCCCAAAATCAATCAATACTGATTGTTAGAGTTGACAACTAAATTTACAGGGTATTTACCCAGGATACAGAGTTTGGCTTGTAGGGGAACATTCTTAAACACCATCTGGGAAATGGCCCGCTCACATTCTGCCAAAATGATTGTACTTTTGAATCTTATATTTGTTTTTTAATATAATGTAAGCTATAAAGGAAAACCAGAACAACTTTGTTCAAGAAATCACAGCTCCTTATCTATTTTACTAGAGTTTAATTCAAGTAAAATACTCATACTATACTAAATGAATATCAGTCACTTTTAAAAAGATCTGTGTTGAGGTCAAGTTGCTGAATATGACCTTCTTGAAGACATTTCTAATAATAGAGAAGTTTATACACCCTGTTTAAGTCCACATGCTCAGGTTCCCTTTTCTTTTGTGCTCATAAAGTCCTGCCTAAGTGAGCAACCACCAAAAGCAATGCTGAACCTTTATTTTACACTTGGAGGAGTCCTGTTTTTTAGCTGTTTTTTCCAGCTTGTCTAAGTCCAGCTCTGAAATCCAACCTGTCCCTGAAGAAAAGGCTGACTGGTCTCCCTGAAAGAGGGATTAAAAGACAAGGAAAAATAAAGTAACTCAATATCACAATCAACCGGACCTGATACGACATTCTCACGCAAGGAATCTGATGCTCTATTAAGGAGGGAAAAAAAGGAGGAAGACAGGCTGTGAGAAAGGGGGGAGACTGAGGGAGGAAGTGAAAACAAATGACTGCTGTGGGAGTGGGTTATTACGGCCAAAGGAGCAGTAGTTCACAGTCAGTTCACAGCAGAGAACAGAGACAAAAAACTGGGAGAGAAAAACCTTCAAGATGATTTTGATGATTTTCTGAAGACCATTTATTTTATGAAAATTACCTTGAATTAGTTTCTGTGTGAGATCAACAGACTAAATCTGATGTAAATTGTTTTGCACGTTTACTTCAGGATGTTTTTCTCCCTTTTAGGAAGTGCTTTTTCAGGTTTTAGCCTTAATGAGACTGGTGCAGACTTTCTGGATGTGCAAAAAATCAGTCAAGGCAGCTTTTGCCTCCCCTCATGGAGTATTTA